TCTCTATCTCAACGAGGAAGTTGAAGCAATGAAAGCCCAAGCCACCGAACCATTCAATGTCGAAGAATATATGCAAGAGCGTATCGAGCACATCAAGCGTGAAGCAATCCGCCAGGAGAAAGACGCCGCCTATAGCCTTGGCAACAACTTCTGGAAGCGAGATTCGCGCATTGCTCCACTTCGCGGCGCACTGGCTACCTGGGGCCTGACCATTGACGACCTCGACGTGGCGTCCTTCCACGGCACCTCCACTGTCGCCAACGACAAAAACGAATGCGATGTTATCTGCCAGCAGGTGAGGCATCTTGGCCGCCAGAAGGGCAATGCGATGATGGGTATCTTCCAGAAGTACCTTACAGGCCATCCCAAGGGTGCCGCAGGTGGCTTCATGTTCAACGGTGCGTTGCAGGTGTTGAATTCAGGTCTTGTGCCTGGCAACCGCAATGCGGATAACATCGATAAGGTCATGGAGAAGTTCGACTATATCGTGTATCCGAGTCGCAGTCTGCAGACGGATGGCATCAAGGCGTTCTCAGTGACGTCGTTTGGGTTCGGGCAGAAGGGAACTCAAGCGATCGGCATCCACCCCAAGTATCTATTTGCGACACTTGATAAGACGACGTTTGAAGGCTATAAGAGGAAGGTTCAGGCGAGACAGAAGAAGGCGTACCGGTATTTCCATAACGGGCTTATTAATAATAGTCTCTTTGTGGCCAAGGACAAATCGCCGTATGCTGATGAGATGGAAACGAAGGTCTTCTTGAATCCAGACATTCGGGTTGTTTTTAATGAGAAGACGGATACCCTGGGTTATGCTACCACTCCCGCCCATGGCAATGGCACCGCCAATGGCAAAAATACCAGCACCACGCACAAGTCATCCACGCCAGTGCCATCCGAAGACCCTCAAACCCTCCACACGCGCCAGATGGTCGAGTCCCTCGCCAAAGCGACAGCGTCCGAAAACTCCAAAGTCGGTGTTGACGTCGAGAGCATCGCAGCCATCAATATCGAGAACGAAACATTCATTGAACGCAATTTCACGGAGGAGGAGCAGCGGTATTGTCGCGCGGCGCCGTCCCCGCAAGCGTCGTTTGCTGGCCGGTGGAGCGCCAAAGAAGCTGTTTTTAAGAGTCTCGGGGTCGCGGGCAAGGGGGCCGGGGCGGCATTGAAGGATATCGAGATTTTAAGTGGAAGTGGAGGTGGACCGGTTGTTGTTGTAAGTTCATTTTTCTTTTCATTTTTCACTACTCACCCTGTCGGCGAAGCAGTGGGAAGAAACGGTTTACTGACATTTACCCGTGATTTTATTTAGCTACACGGCGACGCTGCCGCTGCTGCGAAGCAGGTGGGCGTTAAGGAGGTTAGTGTTAGCATTAGTCATAGTGATACACAGGCTATCGCGATCGCGATGTCGAAGTTTTGAGAGCCATTGATCTGTGTTCCACTTTCAGACGTATTGGGGATAAGGAGGATGCGAATTTAGACATTTTGTTGTTAACATAGAGCCAAGGGGAGGAAGCGGAAAAGTCCTCCTCTTAAGATTTCTTTACTCGGGGGATACATATGTCCTTTTGTTTACTTTTCTCATTTTATTTTAATTTTTTCTGTACAGTGGGAATGACCAAGACGGGAGAAGGTAATGTCATGTTTTTTTCCTACTTGGTTTCTTTTTCTTTTTCCCTCCTATTTACTTTTACCTTGATGACGAGTCTGATGATATATTTGAATAATATTTTTATGGACGTTTTTTTGCATGTTTAATCAAAATATCATATAAGCATTTCGTACTGTATAATAGTACTTCTCGATAGCAATAATAGCCTCTTTCACCACGTTCAAAGTAGCTTCACCTCAAATACTATTCAGTTATCGTCATTCCCCTGATTTTTAGGATACATAGTCACGTGGTAGTTATATCGATTGAAAACTTCCGAACCTCGCAGCAAGCAGAGTAAGATCCACAACTGTGCGCTTCCAAGCTGCTATGGAACGTCAATGCACCCAATTCTCTCCTTGAGAAGCGCACGCACATGCACACGCATAAACCCTGCATTTTTGCTATGTTCGGCGACAGCTTTAGCGCCTCCAAAATCTACAGCCCTTGGTGCTCGACTTCCGCCGCTCCTCCGTAACACACAGCTCACTACTAACATTAAGAGCTTATCTACCGCGCTTCCATTGTCCCTAAGGGGTAGGAAGCTCCGGATCTGTCTCCGATTGCCATTGGCCGTATTTCCAGAGAAGCGTGTGTTTTCGAGGACGAGCACTAGCTCAACAAAAGTTGCAATGGCTCAGACGGCTGGGGAAATCTCCGGTTCTCTGCCTGCAGCCGTGGAATCGGGCACGGAGTTGAGCGCGGGACAGATTGTGCGTCATGAGGGAAAGGAGTATATGGCAGTTAAGGAGGGTTTGGCGTATATATTGATACCACGATCCCAAGGGCAAAGTCAAGAGCAGGATGGAATGGCGCAAAAAGGAACGGGATTGGGCGAGGAGAATATAACGGCTCCTCAGGGAGATGAGGAGTTGCAACGGCCCAAGAAACAACAGGGGAGTCAGCAGCAGCAGCAGCAGCAGCAGCAGCAAAACCAACAGCAGCAAGAGACACAGTCTGTCTTTTACAACCCAATTCAGCAATTCAACCGCGATTTGAGCGTGTTGGCGATCCGGGCCTACGGAGAGCATGCGCTGGTGGTGAAGAGGGAGAAGATGGAAAAGGCGGCTCTAAGTAAGAGAGCGTCAAAAGTGAAGAAGAGGAAGAGAGTAGTTGCGGATGTCGGGGGGAGAGAGGCTGAGGGGCAGAATAGAGGGGATGGGGGTGGGGATGAGGAGGGCAATTCTCTTGGGAAATGTGTTCAGGCGGAGCAACAGGATACTTCAACAGCTACAACTGCAACCACGGTTACAGAGCAGAATAAGATACCGCCCTTCTCCATCCTTGACGCTCTCTCTGCAACCGGTCTCCGCGCCCTCCGCTACGCAAAAGAAATCCCCTTCGCAACACGCATAGTCGCCAACGACCTCTCCCCCGACGCCGTTAAGTCCATGAAGCTGAATATACAATACAACGGCGTCGGAGATGTTGTCATGCCAAACATCGATGATGCCTGTGCATACATGTATAGCATGCTCCGCGCTCGGCCTCAGAAGGCTGGCAGCCATTTTGGGAAATTTGACGTTGTCGATCTTGATCCCTACGGCACCGCAGCGCCCTTTATGGACGCTGCCGTTCAGGCCATCTGTGATGGGGGACTATTGTGTGTTACATGCACGGATGCAAGCGTGTTCGCCTCCAACGGCTATCCAGAAAAAACCTATGCGTTGTACGGTGGATTGCCCTTCAAAGGCCCGCAGTCACATGAAGCTGGCCTACGACTCATCCTGCACGCAATTGCTAGTTCAGCCGCCAAATACGGCCTATCCATCGAACCTCTTCTCTCTCTCTCTATTGATTTCTACGCAAGGGTTTTCGTACGTCTCCACCGCTCACCGGCGCAGGTAAAGTTCACCGCTGGAAAATCGATGATAGTGTATAACTGCGACAACGGCTGCGGAGCATGGAAAACGCAGGCTCTCGCTGTGAATAAACATAAGATTGGTCGGGATGGAAACCCTTTCTATCACTATGGATTTGCGCAGGGACCAAGTACGACACCCACATGTGAACACTGTGGGTTTAAAACTCATCTTGCTGGACCCATGTGGGCGGGCCCGCTCCATAATAATGTCTTCATCCAACGAATTTTGGATTTGTTGGCGGGTGCCGATAGCGAGACCTATCCCACAGTGGGGCGAATTGAAGGGATGCTCTCGACTGCATTGGAGGAGGATTTGGATATGGGAGGCGGGCCCTCCCGCGAGAATACTCCCGCACCTGAGTCTGCTGCTGCAACTGAAACTGCTACGAACGGCAAGGGAAAAGACACCCCATCCTTCATAATCCCCCGTACTGACCCAGCCAAACTCGATCCGCACCCTTTCTTCTTCATGCCCAGTTACGTTTGCAAAGTCGTGCATACACAAACAATCTCCGAAGACTGTCTGCGTGGCGCCCTGCATCACCTAGGCTATAGATCTAGTCGCAGCCATACCAAAGCCGGCTCTGTGCGAACGGATGCTCCATGGAGTGTCATTTGGGAGATTGTACGTGAGTGGGTGAGGCAGAAATGCCCCGTTAAGGAGGGGAAAATTCGAGAGGGGACAGCGGGGATGGGGATTATGAGGCGGAAGAGGGATACTGAGAATGAAAACGGGAGGATGGATGATGAGGCAGGGGCGAAGCTGAGAAGCCTGAAGCGGGATGTACTAGCGGCGCTGGAGGGATCCACGGAGGTCTCGGACCTGGTCCTGCGTATTGAGGCTGCTTTGTATCGTGTTGGTTATGGATCAAGAGGAGTTGGTGAAAAAAGCAAAAACGGGTCTGAGAGGGGTGCCTCTCCTCCGAAGAGTGAAAATTGCGACGGGGAAATTAAACAACCGCAGCGATCTATTTCACCCATGAGAGCAGGATCTAGACGGTCGCGCTCTCCGTCCCTTTTAGAACCGGATCCAAACACATTGACTATTGTGTTTGACGAGGCTCTTGGGAAGACTGTGTTGGCAGCGCATCGGAAGAAGAGGTTGACAAGGTATCAAATGAATCCAAGAGCGAATTGGGGCCCGATGAATAGAGCGTCGCGGGGTGGGAAGTGAATAATTTACATTATTGTATTGGCTTCATGCATTTGTTCAAAGAATGAATGATCAACCCCCGGATTGCTGAAGCAACAGACCTCAAAGAAAAATTCATTGCATATCTATACACTCTTCTATATGATTGAATCAGCATGCATGCAACATATACCCTCCATACCATATGATATCAAGAATATTAAAGAATATAACAAAACGATTGCGTTCAATCATTCAATCCCGGGCAGTTCGTGTAAACCACGAAACCCTACCACATCCTCAAAACCTCACCCATATAACCAAAACATCACTTCAGCATCCGCCGTCTACAATCCCCCGGTTTTCTTAATAAATTCCACAATCGCATCCCCGACCTCTGCCGTCTTTGCCTTCCCCCGCAAATCGGGCGTGCGGATCCCAGACTCCAACACAGCCGAAACAGCCTGCTCAATTAATTGAGCCTCGGCCTCCATATGGAATGAGTAGCGGAACATCATCGCCACACACAGGATCATGGCGATGGGGTTTGCTTTGCATTGGCCGGCGATGCTACATTTACCGAATATAGGTTAGCGTTTGTCTACTTTCTTCTTCTGCTTCTTTCTCTTTTGGTCCACGGCCACGCAGAGCAATACATACTCGGGTGCCGAGCCATGCGTCGGCTCATACAACCCCTTCAGGCCCCCTTTCCCATCCTCACCGGGCACCCCACTCAAGCTTGCACTTGGCAGCACACCCAAGCTACCCACAAGAGACCCCGCCTGGTCCGACAGCATGTCACCAAATGTGTTATCAGCTAGGAGAACTCCATTCAGCACACGCGGCTTCGTCGCCATGAGCAGCGAGGCGCTGTCGGCGAGCTGGTGGGTGAGTTTCAGCTGGGGGAATTCGGTGGAGATGGTTTCCGTGACGACGCGGCGCCAGAGACGGGAGGAGGCGAGGACGTTGGCTTTGTCGAGGGAGATAATGGGGAGCGGGTTCGGGGAGAAGGTTGGGCTTTTGTGGTGTAGGGCGAGGTAGGCGGCTAGGCGGGCGATGCGCCTGACTTCCTCGGCGCTGTATCCCCATTCATCCATTGCTGGAAAACGTCAGTAAAAATGCATATTCGCCACGTTCGAGATATCTATAAGGGATGGAGTGCGGATGTTGATATGAGATGCTTTACCATAATCCTGCTCCTCCACTTTCCGCCCAAAATAGGCCCCACCACAATTCTCCCTCAGCACCAGAAACTCCACGCCCTCAACCACCTCTTCCTTAAACGGAGTAAACTCCCTCGTCACCGCCTTGCACGGCGATATGCACGGCCGCAAGTTACCATACACACTCATCGCTTTTCGCAATTGCAAGAGCCCGCCCTCCGGCCCCTCCAGGCCCCGGCGGACACCATCCCATTTTGGCCCGCCGACGGCGGCGAATAAGACGGCATCGGCGTCTAACGCGGCTTGCTTCACAGAATCAGTGAGAGGGGTGCCGTGGGCATCGATGCTGCATCCGCCTATTAGTTCGGTGCGGAGGGCGAAGGTGCGTGTTTGCGAGGAGAAGACGGAGAGGACTTTGACGGCTTCGGCGGTGATTTCAGGGCCGATTCCGTCGCCGGGGAGGACGAGGACTTTGTGGGTGACCATTTCCGGGTGTGTGTACGGGGGTTATATATATACTAGTAGTTCCTGCTTTCGGTAAGGGAGGCTGGGGAGAGGGTTAGTAGAGCAGAGAGGAGAGAGTAGCAAACTAAGATTGTTTCTTTTGGACAGACGAGGGCTTAGTCGGCGCTTTTATTTACTTGTATTTCCAGCAGGTATCGGCGGGGGGTTAAATTTTTCTTTTTATTTTATTTTATTTTTTTTTTTTTTTGCGGGGCAGGTTCTCTGTTAGTTCGGCATAGTCTCTGCCGTGTCTACTTCGGCACCCGGCAATCGTTGAACTGAGAAGAAGAATAAATTAGGACCGACTGACATGGCGATGGCAGGGAATGGACGCGAGCTGGGGGAGATATTCCGCACAGTCGATCAATCTATCTCGATCTACTTGCCATTTTCTTCTCTGTTGCTCCTCTTGTGAAATTCGAGGCGTCTCTAAGATCTCTGATTGCCGTCGTCGTTGATACATAGTTTCGGCGAAACTCAGAAGCGCTCCGATATCGCATCGATTGGCAAGCCGAGCCAGTGGAGGAAGTTTGTCTCTATACAGAATAAATTTGCCGAGAACGACTGCTGGTTAGATATTAAAGAATGGGTATCTATTGGCGTGATTGAGTTGAATTTAATTGGTATCAGAGTATCCCTACCTGTGTCCTTCCTCATTTTCTATCCTGTATTTACGAAGGGCTTTCAAAGAGAACACTTCTGCACGAGAACATCTATTATTGCATCAGATATGTCATGGCATATCTGCAGAACTCTATACACATACCTTTAAACGTGCCCAAACATGAAATGGCCGAAACCATCGACAATACGTTTTCTCATTTCAGCCCTAAAACCCGCCCTAACAACGGCACCTCTTTGTATATTTTATCCCACCCTTTCGCCTCCCACCCCATTCCCAGTTCTCTTCGTCCTAAAACTCCCAGTCCACCAGCCAGCCACAACGCAATCCCCGTCGCTGAAACCCCAATAACGACCCATCTAACGTTCCGCGACCTCCTCCTCCAATCCATCGATCCCAAAACCCCCCCATTTGGGCCCAGACTCCTCCCCGTCTCCGTCATCTCCGTCTTATACCCCATCCACCACGCCCACCCACCCACAACATGCCAAACCCCAACCCCAACCAACGCCGCATACCACCCTCGCATAAGCCACGGTGCCCTCGCAATCCCGTGGGCCACGAACCCGAGCCCCACCCCAGAACTGCCACCGTCCACATACACCGGCACAACCCGATTCACCAGCACATGGGACGCAAAGAGCGGCAGCAGCAGATAACCCAGCCGGGCCTGGACGCTGGGCCGTTTCCAGTTCCCCGACGCACGGAACTCGTGGCGCTGGGCGCGTGTTTCGGCGCCGTAGAGGCGGGCGCGGCGGCGGGCGCGGAGGATGCGGAGGGCTACGCCTGCGCTTAGGTGGGTGAGGACGGGTATAGTGAGCAGAAAAGGTTCGAGGGCGGGGGACTGATAGAGGGGTCGCGTGAGGAGGAGGTAGGGTTCAGCGGCTGTAATGGAGTTGGTCATGAGGGGGATTAGAGAGGTGTTTGTTAGGTGGAGGGTTAGGAAGAATGTGGGCGCGTAGGTCGAGGTTCTCTGAAGGATGGACACTGATAAGATTTTTACGGTTAGATAGGATTCTTTTTCTCTCTTCCCCCTCCCCCCACAAGCTCCAGGCAACTATAGCAAAGGGTATACGTACGCCAGTACTCCCAACCCTTCCCGCTTAGCCCTACATGTCGAATGGGGTCATGTCGATGTGCATTCTCTCCTTCATACCTTCCTTCACCAGCGGCTTTTCCGCTGGCGGTGGAGGCGTTCGGCAGGTTTCCGCCCTGTTCCAAGTCTAGTGTCCAGTCGAGAGGTGACGGCTCGAGCTGTTGAAGCGAATCTGTCCCCGAATCTTCAGATATTGCATAGCTATCCGCACCACGTCGTCGCCCTGATGCTGCGCGGTATGGTCGGTCCATTGAGCGTTTGCTTGGTGTCCAATGTTATGACATTGGCTGTGTAGAGATGTCCGTGGGAGAAGTACGGGAAATGAGGTGTATCTATAGACTTCTCTATACAGGCAAAGAAGGCAACGTGCATCTAATAGAATAATCCAGTGTCGTTGAGCAGTTGAAGCAAGTTGAACCCGGAAGCAGCTGCGGCTTCACCTGTTTTCACCGCCTTTGCTGGTCTGCCGGCAGAATCTCCAGTTGATACTTGATAGCTTCAAGCTCTCCAGCGAAGGAAGGACTCAAAGAATCCCATATATATAAACCATGCCACCCTACCCTCCACAACGCCAAACAGCCCGATAATTATCAAATAAGGAAAAACAAACAAAGGCAACAATGCCACCAGTTCGTGTCCCCTACCTACCCCCTCTTAAAAATTAGAAATAAAAATAAAAAAAACCCCAGCTAACCAGACCCCAACCCTTCCCAAACGCACACAAGAAACAGCGCAGCTTCACCAACCCATCCCCCAAAACGGAATCCGCCCGCAACGCCCTGACCTCCTTCACCTGCACGCTCTGCAGCAAATCCTACTCGCGCCACCCGGAATATGAAGCGCACATCGGCTCCTACGACCACCAGCACCGCAAGCGCCTGCGGGATCTGAAGCAGCTGTCGCGCGATCCGCAGGCGGCGGAGAGGGCGCGTCGGGAGGAGAGGAGGCGGGATGAGGAGGCGGGTATTGTGAGGGTTGAGGTTGGTGGAGGGACGGCGAAGGTAGGAGGGGGAGGGGGGTTCAAGAAAGGCGGGTTTAAGAGTTCGTTTACGGCTGTCGGGGTTGGGGCGGGGGTGGGGAAGGGGAAGAGGAATCCGTTGGGCGATGATGCCGACGACGACGGCGACGATGACAAGAACGAGAACGAGGGGGAGGGAGGGGGGCGGGGGGGGACGGAGGTGAAGAGGAGTGCTGCTGATGCTGCCGCTGCTAATTCTAATACAGGCGAATCGTTGGCTGCGGGGCGTGGGGATGTAGATGCGGAGAGTGAGACGGATGAGGATGAGGAGGGCGGTGGGTATTATGATCCGAGGAAGCCGACTGGGTGTTTTGAGGGATGTGCTGGGGTGGGGATTGTCCCGGTTGCATGAAACATGAATTATGAATTTGGGATGGCGACTTTTGCTTTTATTTGATTGTATGTATATATTTTTCCATGCGCTTTTCTGGAATGCCGGAGTGCTTTGGTGTTATGGAATGGAATGGAACATATAATGACAGCGTTTAGATATATATATACTCCTAACCCAAAGAACGAACTAGAACTATACCAAACTCCCATCATATCATATCTCAGTTATTGTTGTCATCCACGGGGACTGTGATACGTATCTATCTATCCATATCTACGACCCTTTTTCTGCATCCCTTGACGTTTAACTCAACCAGATCCATGCTAAACCATGAGCTACGCCATATTTCATTTCAACGTAATCCCGTCCACCCCCTCATTCGTAATCTTCACGACCTCAATCTCCCCGCTGTCAGTAAAATACATCCGATCAATGCACACGACGCGGTGATCGCGCGCACCATCTCCCGGAGGCCGCCGATGATAAACGATGTAGTACTCGTCGCCGACATTGAACACACTGTTATGGCCTGTGCTTGTGCCGATGGCTGGATCGCTGCTGAGGATCAGTTTGGAGGGTCCGCTGAAAGGTCCGAGTGGGCTGTCGCCTTTGACATATTTGACAGCGTAGGACGGATCTCCCCATCTATGTTTTATTTTTGGTTATTTTTAGGGTTTTTTTTTTTTTTTTTTTTCGGAATTCGTCATTAACATATGAGCAGAGTGAAAGCACAAGGAAAAAAAGGGGGTTAATAATATAAATAATACGCACCCTCCAACGCTATAAAAGAAATAATAAACCCCTTTCCTCTTCAGCATCCACGGTGCCTCCACGTACGCTTTCTCGGGAGTCACTTCTCTGAAACCGCCCTTGAACGACACCATGTCATCTGCCAACTCGCCCACAACCGCATGTCCCCGACCGCCCCAATACAGATAATTTCTCCCCTCCCCATCCCCCTCCCCATCCATAAACACCATCGCATCGATGGGCTGCGCGCCAAATACATAATCGCCAATCAGCGGCCGACCCAATACATCCTTGAAGGGCCCCGCTGGCGATTTGGAAACGGCGACGCCTATGCCGACACCGTCTCCGGCGGAGTAGTAGAGGAAGTATGAGCCGTCCTTGTAGCCAACGGTGGGGGCCCAGGCGGCGCGGTCGGTGGTCCAGGGGACATCAGCGAAGTCGAGGATGCGGCCGGCGCGTTGCCAGGTGAGCAGGTCGGACGAGAAGAAGGCGTCGAAGAATGTCTGGTTGTTGAAACTGGTGGAGGTGGTGGGGTAGAGGTAGAAGGCGTCCTCGTAGATGCGAAGTTCCGGGTCGGCGTACCAGCCTTCTATGATGGGATTGCCTGTTTTGGCGCGGGAGGATAGTTGGGCTGTTTGGCAGAGGGATAGTGGGAGGGAAAAAAGCAGGAAGACCAGGACGATTAACGGGGAGTTGGTGGCCGTGTATTCACGGCGGAGTTTCAGCATGGTGGATGGGATGGGTATATGTCTATATCTAGATATATACGATAAAGGCTTGAAGGGCGGGGGAGTTCTATGTAAGAAGTGCTCTTTGGGCAGGAAGCAAAGGGGAATTGCCCAGGTAGCAGCCCGGAGCTGCGAGATGACAGAGAGGGACCAGCATTGGAATATGTCTCGAGTAGCAAGAGCTTGGAGGAATGGCGTCCAGCAAGTCCAGCGGGAATGGGACGCCTGGGATGTCTCCTGCCGCGCAGAAACTCCACAGCGCCGTGCATGGAGACAGACTCGTTCCCGGCATTGTATCAACCAAGCATCGCGCAAGGCTTGGGAACGAACCGCTGTGTTCTGCGTACAACTGCAGCACATACTGGTGCAGTAACTATACAGTACAGGCGAGTGCAAGCACTAGTATCCCCTGCTCTGTGTTGCACAACACCCTGCTCGATATCAAGGCAGTAAACCAAAGACACACCCGACTGGCCATTCCCAGCTCCCAACCCAGCACAAGCGGGGAATAGACTATGAAAAGACGGGCAAAAACAAGCAAAAGACAACCTGGATCTGCAGCAGGTTGAGGGTGCCCGCTCCATGTGATGATGTGTGATGATGCCTATCGCACCGGCAGATCCCATGGCATCCAAGTAATGCTAGCTGTGTCTGGATCAGGGTGTTCAGCTTGCAATGCATATCATAAGTGCCCGATGGGTGCTCCACAGCGTCGCTCTGACTGACTCGGTGTGCATCCATGGCGGGTAGTTCATATCCTGTATACTAGTATGTGTGCCATGTCCATGTACGCGAGGGCATCGGTGATACATGAATGACGGCGGATGCGAGTACCTAACCTCTGAGACCGCGGTGGATTCCTCCTCCGCACGTTGAAATGAATAGTCCTATTTACGAAGGCGATCAATCATAGCAGCAGGTGTTGTTTATTTACATAAAAGTCAAGAAGGATGGAGTTGGGCAGAGTACATGATCTGCTGCTGGGTTGGAAGGAGAACAGGCTTTTCGGAGATCCGCCGTAAACTTTGTGATTGCATTGAGATGCAAGATCTAACTTAACCCATGGGTGTCCCGCAAAAGTCGGAGTTTAAACACCAAACAAAGTACAAACTAGAAGCACGCGAAGAAGACCCTTGCCACGCCGGGAATTGTAGATGTCTTTATTGTAAGCTCCATTTATGCTCCACTGATTCCTCATACTTGAGTAGATCCCCCACCAACAACAGTGTATATTCTACGTATTAACATAAAAACTGCATGGCATCCATTTAAAAACCGTATCTTCATCATTGATGCTCCTTCGATAAAACTTTCAATTTGTGTCAGCATGACATGGCCGTCTCCGGAGGGAGGTTCTTGACATCAAAAAGACGACACAGGGGGCCCGTGAGATGAAAGGAGTCTTTCATGTGGCCATTCATCAGGCAGGTTCGAAGCCATTCTCAAACTTTGACACCAGTTGATAGCTATCGCATGGTGAGAAGACGCTCGATCAGTGTGGCCCCCAGAACATCCGGCAATGCGTCTTCGAGTGATTGATGGAGTAGATAGACCTCGACAGCCTTTCACAACGGAATCCTATCCCAATACTTTGTACAGTACAAACAAACACTGGGGATGAAAAAAAAAACAAAAAAAATCACATAGTGACCCCGTTCCGTCTCCCAGCCTCCGTTGATGCATGACAAAACTCGAACCTCCCAACCTCGCAGAATACCTTTGCCTGTTGCTCACGCCACCCCATGATCGCCTCTGCCGTATGGGATGGAAGCACCGCTGTAGCGCGAATTTGCAAATGCAGGCTAACATTGAGATGGGACACCATGCCAAAACACAGAAATAATAGAAACGTTTCCCACAGTTTCCACATCGAATACAATATAATTCTAGCACCGACTGACGGGCCAAAACACATGAGATTCTGGGGTTCTGAACCCAATTCTGTGGCCAAGGGCCCGGTGATGGCATTACACCAGGTGTCGACATTCTCTTGGAGTCCAAAACAGGTGTTAAACAACCCCCATGGGTTGGTTATATGGATCTTCGACAATATCGAGTGATTGCAATCCTCTAATGGAAAAGGGGAACATGTGTGTCACTTCAACCGGATCGGCGGCACCAATGATTGACACACCTATTGCTGTCTCTCCTACGACACTGTCTAGGTGGTTACGCCGTAGAGTGAAATCTTTTTTTTCCTCCTTTTTTCTTTTTTCTTTTTTGGCAATGAATGCATTGCAATTCTCACCAGTTCTACACCTTTTTTGGACCGGGGATCCTGTCTGCTCCTCACCTCAGGCTTCGGGTTGGTGAGACAGGTTGCACCCTCCACTGACACTGTCTCCGAAAGTGTTGTCATTGATGGCCTTGGTGAGAATGTTAGGGAAGGCGTGGATGGGTGGGATCATGAGCCCTCTAATATATCCCTGTAGGTCAAGTGCATGGAGGAGATATTGAGACAGACAGACAAAAGACAAACTCACAATCTTGGAAGAAAGCCTGACTACGTCGAGGTCTTAACTGCGTAAGTCCCCAACAAGAAAAGATTCTAAGATTTATTCAGGTTGGAGAGTACTCTCTTTACTTCAAGCTGTGGAATTAACTAATTTGTCTGCGAGCCATAACTACATAGTAAACTAACTACATAAAAAGCGGCCCATAAAAGCTTTTTGGTCGATCTCTATACACTCAGCAGCCTCGGGCGATTCTGTTGATCGAGTCTTCCGCGGGTCTGTGAACCAAACTCGGCTTCGCTGCCATGCTTTGGCAAATGAGGATGATGAAGGAAGGAAGGGTGAGGGGTGTCTCTGTCTGGAGAAAGAAAGTTATGACTTTGGATTGCGCCGGGCGACGCAAGGTGATAGATAAATGGCCAGCACTCCCACAAAGGGGCCAGAGCTAATCAAGAAATAACTTGCATGGCACTCAATGGCGTAGGAGTGGTTACACCCAAGACGAAAGATTTGATTTTCCCAGGAAATTACCCCTACATATTAGATATGCGGGTTGTCAAAGGTCCTGAGAATTTACAATTCGATGGAAGGGTAGGAGGTTGATTGACTTCAGATACCCTTGCAGCGGATATAGTTATTAATAGTTGCTGCTAGTAATATATTTTGATCAGTTAACTAGTTATTCTAGACGAGTACTTATACTTATTCAGATAACTAGAGGAGGAGGTTTCTTCTTCTTCTTTCTCTTATCTTTGGTTTCCAATTCCCTTCCGGTGGAGGAGAGAATAACTACTGATGTATATAAAAAAAAATCTTAAATTCTTCATCTTTACTTGTACTAGTTAGTAGTCAGTCAGTCATAGTATTTCAACATGACCTACCTGTATATCTCTATGTTGATGTTGATGTTGAGGTTCAAAGAACTAGCAAATCATCCATACTGTTCAGTGAAGTCATCCGATTTCTCTCCGCTACTTAGGTACGTGCCAGGACCGAACAATGGGTTAAGTAAAATGTTCAAAGGTCATGGTGAACGAAGTATATACTACTCGTACAGTACATTATTGATTTGCTCCATGACAATTTTGTTCTCCTTGATTCCAGGGATTATTGGAACATTATAAAAACTAAGTCCTTTTGACTTACGCATCAAGAAGACTCCGTGACTTCTACTCCCGCGTGGACTGTATCCAGTTGAGCTCCAGTGTTGGGAGATTTCCATTTATATTTCTAGAGAGAGCGTGTGTGTGTGTGCGTGCAAGGACATTGTTCCGCACCTCCATGCTCCAATGCCCGGTGGTTATTTTATTTTGTGTATAAAAAAGATGGACATACACAGTTTCGCTGCTCCCCCCAAAACTCTCAGTCCCTCTCCTCTCTGACCACCAACTGTTCTGGTGAACGCGACGGTGGGGAAGATAATAATGAGAAATCCAGAGAATCCATCCCTGACAACAGTGAGTCAACTGACTGACTGGCTGGCTTGGCTGGCTGGCCAGTGAGCTTCGAAACCGTTGTCAAGATGATAAAAGAAGATATCACCAACAAAGGGGGAGGGGAGTAACACTCTCTCTCTCTATCTGTATATATCTCTCTCTCTTATCTTCTCTTCTCTTCCTTTCTTTTCCCTTTTTCTCGTTTAATTCTCTCGGGAAAGCAGGAGTCCGTGTATAACCGAAGCTCTCCACCCCCCCCCCCACCTGTCCTCTACCCGATACCCGATACCCGGTTTCGCGGAGTAAATAAATTGGACAATGTCAATTGCTCCATCTCGGTTACGGGAGTTTTGGTGCGGAGAGGTTTTGATTATGATTTTGATTTTGCGTGCTAGACTAACCTACCTACCTACCTACTCCCCTTCTTCGGGGGTACTCCCAGCCGGATAAACATCTGAAAAGGCAAGAAATGGTTGCTAGTCTAGTCCTAGACGCCTTGTTGAAGGTTCTGCGCGGTGTTAACTAAGGATTAAGGCATAACTAGTTAACTCGTGAACTAAATCTGCCTCCTCTCAGCGTCATTCAGAGAAACTGTCTAGATGTCCAGTGTCCAGGTCTAGGTCCGGCCTGAACAGATTTGTTCCAGATCAAGACAAAAAGTTACTAGAATCGCGGAGATAACGATACTAACTTGTTCGAACCATGACTTTTTTAGCTTGATGCTTTGCCGACCCCGAGCAGAAACCCTGTGTATCACCACCATACAGCCATTGCTAACGACGACGACGACGACAACAACAACAACAACAACATCAACAACAACATCAACAATATCAACAACATGCCACCGGTCTATCCACATACCAAGCGGGCTGATAGTTTCTAGCACACCGCATCGTATACGAGCCCCTCAGCTCTTGGACACGGCCTGTCGTTAGTTGTATTGTAGTGCACGGCATCAATCCGGCTAGTTGATGTGTCTTGTGTCTCTGAAAAGATCGTTGTTCCACTGATCCCGGGGGCCTCTCGGCTCTCAGCTCTCAGGGCCTCACTCGGGGGTTGTGTTGTGTTGTGCTGTGCAAATAAGGTCGAATGGACAGCGCCAGAATGGCTGGCTGGCTGGCACACCAACTTCCGTTCCAGCGAGAAACGTAGTTTAATGATGAGAGCGGCATTTCGAAAAAAAAAAAAAAAAAGAAAAAAAAAAGAAAGAAAGAAAATAACCCGCGCTCAAGTAGAGACATGTGTCCTTCTCTCTCTCTCCACTGAAGGGAGAAGAGAAGGAATGGGTTTGCGTTTACTTTAATTTCATCGTGCGGTATGGAAATGGTTCTTTTTCCGTGTCTGTCTGTCTGTCTGTCTGTGCGTATGGGTGTGTGTGTGTGTGTGCGGTGGATTTGTCCCCCAGGCTCACTGGCAGTTTAGCAGTAGTTAACTACGTACTAACTTTTTACAGGGTCAAACGCACGAAAGTTAAAACGACACGAGCCACAGGAATGAAGCCGAGGAACACCCCCCATTGCCCGGACGCAAAGTTGCGATGACGAGGATTGAAGAGCATGGATGCCAAAAATTCTGCTGCGGCTATCGCGGCTCGGGACGTGGAATCTGGCAGCTCATTCGGTTGCCCGTCGTCGTTGTCGTCGTCGTCGTATGAGGGGGAGAGCCAGACAAAAGCCGGATGTGGGCCAATGGGACGAACGGGACCTAAAATGGGCGATTAGAGTGCGGCCTAGAGGCCTGGTAAGGAAAGGGTGGGCAGTCGAAAAAGCAAAGCAGGCAAATATGGTTTGGTGAACAATGATGATGATGATGATGGTGGGGGTGATGTTGGTGATGATGGTGATGACGATGATGATGATGATGAAGGGGAGAACTGAGAACTGACTTGACTCCCTTCCTCCCGAATCCCAGAACCTTGCAGCGTCAACTGCGAAATTCACCAGATTTCCCGCCCTGGAAATCCCGAAAACTTTTACCCTGGAGATGCGGAAGCCATTATTATCAAAGTGCGATGAAGAAGTTGTCGTGTCAATGGAGCCTGTTACTTTTGTCCCGAACGATAAGTAAGGGCTTCAGAGCGGGGGCGCGGGGAAAAAGACAAAAAAGGGATTGGGTGGAATGCACCTTAAACTTGGCCGGAAGGATTTGGGCTGGAGCCAGCGGAGAGAAAGATAACTAACTCACTCACTCGTCAACTGGAGCGAGCGAGCGAGCGAGCGGGAAAAAAAAAAAAAAAAAGACAAAATTAATCTGCGCATCCAAACCAGGAACGAGGCTCGGCTAGGCGCACGTCTTTTCTTTTCGTAGCTAGAATCAAGGGATGGGCTGGCGATCGAGAGAGAATTGAATGAATGCACCATAGTAGACGAGTATAGTCAATCAATCATCTTGCACGTTCGTTGAGCTTGTAAGCCCCGTAGTACCAGAGATGTATTTCAATTACTGTATTAACCATCCATATACATAATCCATATACTAGAAAGTCATCTAGATTGGAGAATGCTACATGATTTAGTTTTTTTTCGGTTTGGATTATATAGTTATAGCAAAGGATAATAGATAGTTAGCTATGTTATCACAGAAGTTAAATCAGATATCATACAGAAATATAGTATTTCTCCCTAGGAAGTGGAAAAAAAGTATCCTTTCCTTGACTTTTTACTGCACCTCATAATACGAGTAGTTAGTTGGTTACTTTTAACCTTTCTAGAAAAATACAACATCCTAAACGAGGATTTCGAAGTACCACTTAACAAATCCAATCACGATAGATCGTAGTGGAGATGTGAATTTCCAGAACTTCCACAGCTTCTCTTTCTTGCAAGGAAAACAACAGGAGGATTTGCTGAGTGTGAAAACGACAAGTCTTTGGGGGGAAAGGAGAAGACCCGTGGAACATCCGCGCGGTGGCGGAGGGCAAAGCGCGGAGTTTGGCCGAAGTCGAATCGAGAAAAGGAAGGCCATCAACCATCAACCTCGGGAAACTCAATCGGTTAGGGAGAAACGGTTTTTGATTTCTGCCGAACGATAGTGATGGGCGTTGGTTTTGGGGGTTACCCCCAGCAGCTAACCACCACCACCACCAGCCCCAGCACCACCACCCCCAACCCCCACCCTCAACCCCCACCACATACCACATGGTCCGCATCCAACATCATTGAACCTCCAAGGTCGGACTTCTTTCTGGAAAACGTGGGAGAAGGAGAAGCAAAAGCAGAAGCAGTGCGGCCGACAGCTCCCGTTGTAGGTTCCTCGCCAGCCAGCCCATCACATCACATCACATCACATCAAATCACCACAGGGCAAAAGAACCAGAGTTCGGGACTGCGTTCACCCGCAACTTCCCGCTTCCGCTCTCCCCTCCCCGATTCAGGGGAGGACGATAACCGAAGTTTATTTTCCCTCCCAAGGTCCAGGCCCAGGGTTGTGTCGTCTTTCTTTCTTCCTTCCTTCCTTCCTTTCTTTCTCCTTTTTTGTGGTTTTTTCGTGGTTATTTTTTTCCAATTTTATTCTTCGTTTAGAACTTATTGATCGTCTCTGCGAACCGGGGGCGCACTGTGCAATGCTGTTGCCGAGTCCCGCAAGGTGATGGACGACGGGGGAGAGAGAACCTTGCGCCCACGGCATTATGGAAGTGGTGGCTTTGGAGCAGCAATTGGCTGGCTCTCGATGTACGGAGGGGAGGAGGATTCCTTTCGGAAGTTTTCGATTAAGCGCGCTAAGAATTTCAAGAGCTGTAATATCGTTTGTTACCATTTCTCAAGGATCCTTCATTCCCGAGCAACCTTTTGAGACTTAGGGCTAATCCTTTTGTTAACTGAAGCTGGAGGAGTGGGTTATCCTAACTCTTGTTAAGACATGGAAATGGAGATACTTAAATGACGGTTACAAATATTTCAACTTAAATCGTTTTAAGTGCTAATCAAAACTTTCGAGAGGATCGATCCTCCGTATGGATGGATAGATGGATGGGTGTAGGGGATGGGTGTCTGTAGAGAGTATGTAGTATGCACCGAGCATATGTAGGTAGTGTGCATGGACGTAGTCTGTACCAGTATGTATGCACGCTGCTGGAGGGCAAAGAAAGCGTTCCAGCGTGAAGCAAGTTGAAGCAAGTCGAAGCAATCGAAGCAATCGAAACAAGCGAAGCAAGCGAAGCAAGCGAAGCGACAACGGCAGCCCGGTGGCTCTGCATCTCACAAAATTAGAGATACTCCGTACTCGTACTCCGTAGATTGGGCCAAATTGGGGCGTGGTTGTGGGGAACCGGAATTGTACAGTACATACCGTATTTGTCATGTGGCTGTGGAGTCCTCCCCCAAGGTCGGAGGAAATCTCTCTCTGCAGCAGAGTAACTTCCCAGGGACTGGCCACGCGCAAAAGGGTCGATTCGACGGCTCCAGGGCTCCAGGGCTCCAGGGCTCCACCGCCCAAGCACCGCCCAGAAACCCTAGGAACAACCCTGGAGCTAATTTCGACGAGTCGAGAACAGCGGACAGTGCAGCCTTTGTCCATACTCTGATTAACTCCTTCTCGGTAACATCAAGTTCCGGCCGCGGACTTTCATTGTTGCTGACGCGAAGACTAGTGTAAATCACCCATTACGGAGGTTTTCTATGCAGGCTGGGATGTGCTGCACGTTGTTCGGCGCATGAAAGGGGATCAGCAGCGATCGCCCGGCAAACAAGACGATCCTCATGGGCGGTGCATCGACTCGGCATGCTGCTATCCCCCAGGTTGGTACTCCGTACTCTGGAAGCCGTCCAGATTACCGATTCCTCCGTCCCTGGTTAGCAAAAGGTCTCGCCATCTCCAAAAGGGGAATGGGGAATGGGGAAAGGGGGAAACAGGGGGAAACTTGGGCAACGGTCGGGGAAACAGCCGTACCGGTACCTCTGTTGACGGTCGTTACAGGCGGGCCAAGCAGGGGCAGCTCCTGCCAGTTAGGTACTGGTACCCCCCACAGCCAACCTTGGCAGCCAAGCCCGGGAGCAATCGCCTTTACTCCGCGCCACCGCTAACCGTATTGGGACAGAGGCGCCTCTAAGCCGACCTCGTCTGGCGCTAGGCCGTGTTGGGACTAGTACCCGGGGGGCCAGCACGGCCTTTAAAGAGCCGCAGATTCCCCCCGGAGTTGAGGCCACGGATTCGAGGAATTCCTCCCAGGGCGACAGCGATACGAGGCGACAGCGAGGCCCGACCGAGCGGTCGATATCATATAAATACAGGCAACATTCGACACAACAGCCAATAGCCAGCAGGCAGCACCTTACCCAGCCTTCGTCTAGGTCAGGGCGAGACAGCACAGCAGGCCAAAACAGGAGCGAGAAAAGGACAATGCCACCGTGGCCCTAACCTCTGGATCCCCACTCCCGCTACCGTTGTTCTTGACTCCCTTCCCAAACCACCACCACCACCACCACCACCACCACCCTTCGTCTGAGCAACCTTTTGTTTTGGTTGATAAGAATAAATTAAGAGATAAGAACGCTTGATAGAACACTGGATAAAATCCACTCGCCTGGCGCTCTCGCCTACTCACTCTCACCCTCTCACCAACCGGCATCCATCATCTCACCCAACTCCCCCTAACCTCTTTACCACCTCCATCATGACTACACCGTTCTCCTATCTAGGCGCCATGTCTCCTCCACCGTGTTCAGACCCCCCCCTCCAGTTGACCGTCGCGCCCGCTGAGACTACGTTCTCCTTCGCCCATCCTGTCACTGCAACAACGGTGCCGCTGGATACCACCACTGTAACTACTACCACCGCTCCAACTACAGCCACCACTGCTGCCCCCGCTGCCACCGCTGCAGTCACTACCACCATTGCCACCACCCTCCCTCCCAAACCAGAAGAGAAAAAGCCTGTCAAGAAGAGAAAGTCGTGGGGTCAGGAACTACCCATCCCCAAGACGAATCTTCCTCCAAGGTAATTCATTTCTTCTTGATCATCAAGACTACATGGACGTAAAAATAAATAACATGAATACTGATTGGAATACCTGTAGAAAACGAGCCAAGACCGAAGATGAGAAGGAACAACGCCGTATAGAACGCGTTCTCAGGAACCGGGCTGCGGCTCAGACTTCCCGAGAGCGGAAGAGACTCGAGGTCGAGAAACTCGAAGGCGAGAAGCTGGAGATGGAACACCAGAATGGAATCCTCCTCCAACGCCTGGCCCAAATGGAAGCTGAAAACAAACGTCTGAGCCAACAAGTCGCCCAGCTATCCGCCGAAATCCGCTCCTCGTCGAGGGGCTCTTCCTCCAGAGGCTCCTCCCCACAATCCATCGTCTCCGGACTCACCTCTCCAAACCTCCTCCCGGCCATGTTCAAACAAGAACGGGACGAAATGGTCTCCCTGGACAACATTCCATTCCTCACCCCACCCATCTCCGCCTACTCTCCCAGCGTGAAGAGCTGCGATCTCACCGATTCCTCCGACCTGACACAACATCCTGCAGCGATGTTGTGTGACCTGCAGTGTCAGTCGGAGGCGTCGCTACCATCGACCGCTCCTCAACTGCTGTGGCGCCCTCCCCAAGCCTCTCCAAGTCCCTCTTCAACCCCCGCTCCAATCCCGCTGTCCCTGCCCCTCCCACCTCTCACCCAGCAGCTGCAACAGCAGCTCCTCTTGAAACTAGCCATCCTCTCAATCATTCAACACCTCTTTCAGACGATGACTTCCACCGCCTATTCTACCCTTCTAATCCCTTTGACCCGGATCTTTCACTCATTGAAACAGGGGTCCCCTTTGACCTTTTCCCCACTGGAGATCCAGCAGCACTTGCCTTTGATTCTCTGGTTGATTTCGACCCCGACCCAGTTAACCTCGACGGCACCAACAACAACAACAACAACAACAACAACAACAACAACAACAACAACAACAACAACAACACCGCCTCCACCTGCCCCTCCCCAACGAGCCTCGGACCTTCCGACATCGAGCCGCCCAGTCTTTCGAATCCGCCTTTTCACCCGCCTTCTAGCGTGCAGCCCAGCTTTGGCGCGTCCACTTCGCGATGCGACGAGCAAGGCATTGCAGCTTGTGGCTAGTGGTGCAGCGCTGGATTTGGATAGCCCGTTGGCGTCTCCGGTGTCCGGCAGCGTTCTGATGGGTCGTGGTGATGGCAGCGGTGGCCAATTTGTTGGTAGTAGTAATAGCAGTCGTTGTCGTCGTCGAGTAGTAGGCAATGGGCTGTTGGCAATGATCCGGGCGATTGACTGTATCGAGCGGGCCAAGGCGAGGAAGCGAACGTGGAAGTTGACAACGAAAGGGCAGTGGTTGGCTGCGGGGTTAGGGAAGGCTGTGGCGGCGGTGTCTGTGCGGAGGCGGAGGGCCCTCCAGAGCCGGACGCGGTTATCTGGTGGTGGTGGTGGTGGTGGCCGTGCGTAGACTCCGAGTTTCAGGTGCCGGGCGGCATTGGAAAAAGTTATTTGTGGCGATTTACAAAGTTCCTGGGTCTGGTTTCTGGGTCTGGTCTGATTTGTATTCCAAGATCTCTCTTTAAGTAGAGGAGGGTTTGAAAAGACGTGATGAATATCTATTATTATGATTTTCGTTTGTTTTTTTTGTTGGTTTTTCTGTCTTGCCAAGCGGATTCAGTTTACCTTTTGGAATTTTTATCTTTTCTTTTTTTTGATTTTTGAATTAGCAAATTCAGGGTTTGATCCAATCATCCCTCCTTCCTTCTCTCGTTCTCTTGTACAAACATTATACGTACTTTTGATCTGATTTCCCTGCCACCATCTATATATATGAATTCATGTCCCTTTCACTATACATATAAATATATTACATGTATATACATAACTATCTATAAAACAAAAGAACTCAACATGCAATGAAATGAAATCTTCTTCTTTTCTCTATTTCTTCCCCGCTCACCCCCCCACTCTCACCCGCCCAAAGTTAAGTTTTTAACCTTTTAGGCACCGCACGTAACTTTAGCAACCAGCGAACCCAAATGTCTCGAAGAACCGTGGAAAAAAAAGAAGCGCAATAACATTCCAACCAAGGTTGCCTCTCCAATCAGGTTTCTCCTAAATCCAATGATGATCATGTTCCGGCTCCGCCGCTGAGCCCTGAGGGGAGGAAGCCCGGAAATTGAAATTGAAATTGAAATTGAAACAAGATTAGACTATAATTATTATTATTATTATTATTATTCTTTGGCGACCCGGCCGGCCGTTTGCCCTTGCTGAGTTATTTACTTGCTACATAACTACGCAGTTAGGTTGGTTTTGGTTTTGGTTCGTCGGAACTGCGATTGCGATTGCGATGGCGATGGATGGGTGGAAAATATAATGTCTTTGCGAAGGGATAACTAACTATACTTACAAACGGAATAGATAGGATAACTGGAATCGTCATTGAGAGCTTTGTTGCTTCTCTCCCCTTACTCTTTCTTGGAGCAAATCGGGGCGATTCTTCTTTTTGCTTTGCTTTGCCTTTCTTTTCTTTCTTTGGTTTTCCCTTCGTTTGGCTTTGGCTTTGGCTTTCTATGGGCGATGGGCGAGAGTGATGTCACCACTGCCACTCACTGTCATCATCATCATCGTCATCAACATCATCATCTGCCCTGGGGTGGGGAAGGGGAGGGAAGGGAAGGGAGAGAAAAGAAAAGAATGAAAATGAAAATGAATGGGTGCAGTGTGTGGAGTGTGTAACTTGGAAAATCATCAATCAATCAACATCGGTGCTGGCTTGCTTGCTTCCTTTTTTTTTTTCTTTTCTCCTTCTTCTTCCTCTTGTTCTTTTCTGGATGTTGCATCCTCTCGCTGATAAGTATTGATTGGGGGAGACCGCTTTGTACTGTACATACTATTGTACTTGTAACCATGGATTGCAGTATGCATGATGCTGCCAAAAAAGGGAGTCTAGTCTCTCCGAATAAATGAAATGAATGGAAGAAAAAGCACCTAACTACTCCGTAACGTGGTCTGGGTCCTTCGGATTGCTGGTCACACGCATGCCTACACCCTACATCCATCTGTACAGATAGATACACACATACACACATAACATAACACATACAGGTTGCACGGCGTGCATATACATACATTTCCTCTCCATATGTATATCCCACCCACCCATCACCGCCCGCCAATCATCCCGCCTGAATTGACTCAGCTCTCTTCACTGGGCCTAGCAACACGGCCGTCTCCTCCTCCTCGCCCAACAGTTTCTCCTCGACAAGGTTCGTCAAACTGCCGAGATATCTCCACACGACAGACCCGGCCCCCGAAGTTTTGAGGCTTCCGCTTTCAGGACGGTTGTGGGGAGGCAGAGTTTGGGAGGCAGGTTTTGGGAGCCATGGGTGGAGAAGCGGGGACCGCAGCGGGAGATTTATATTTATTTATAGCAGTTGTGGCTTAAGCGGTGTAGAGCTATCTGTATCTGTATCTTTTATCTTTGCATGGGCTGTGCAGGGTGAAAAAGATCTTTTGTTGGAGTCGCTCAGGTTTTCATGGATCAAAACAAGAATCTGGTGGGGATGCATGCCCACAGTGGCCTCGTATCACTCAACTCACTGACTCAGAAGCCAGTATTGCTGAGTCGCCTTGAGCGTGCGGCTGCCTGGGGGCTAAAATATCTCCTCTTCTGGGAATCCATGTCCAGCGTCCCTTGCTCCCTCCGATTGGCTTGATATTCCAAGACAGCTCACTCATTGGTTGTCTGGTCAGGACGGTGAGTTGAAGACGCCGCTGTGTCTGCATACGAGGAGCACAGAGGATTCTAGGACGAGGACAGAAATACAGAGTCACGTGGGATGACAAATATATTACTAAGTCATACCAATCCATCTGCCTATCGAGCATCGACATCGAGGGCTCGTTGCGCGGACGGGAACAGTCACGGCTCCAACTGCCGGAGAGAAACAAAACAGCAAAGGATAAACATATACGTATATTGCTGCCACCATGCCGCCGGCAGACCCTCTGATGAAGGCCCTGATGGAGGTCAAGGTACGACATCATCCCACTCCCCCTCCCCCGCAACTGTGCAACTCCGCTGTGAAGTGATATGCCTATGTCTATCGCATATACTATATATGTTGTCCCTTCTCTCTCCCTCGCTGCTACCACCCTGTGCCAAAATCTACCCTTGACCATGCCCTTCCCCTCCTCCCCCCACGAACACAAATGCTAACTCATCTGCCCTTGCCGACCCCGCATGCCAGATGCTCGCCTCCCGCTCCCGCAAGGAAGCCGAAAAGGCCAACAAAACCCGCCTTGCCGAAGAAAACAAAGCCTCCCGCGCCATGAAAAACCGCGAATTCCAAATCGCCCAGATCCACTCCCAGTCCGCCGTGCGCGAGCACCACCGCTACGTCTCCCTGCGCGCCGAAGCCGCGGAGGCAGAGGTCCTCGTCAACGATCTCAAAGCCGCCTATAGTACGCGCGAGCGCGCCCGATCGCTCGCCTACGCTTCCAAGGCGCTCGAGGGCGCCTCGCGGACCATCAACCTGGAACGCGTGCTGGTGACGGCCAACTCGTTCCTGGAGCGGAGCCAGGATTTCAAGATTGCGAGCTCGGCCATCAGGGATGTGTCGCAGGGGGTGCAGGAGCAGAGTTTGGGTGGGGAGGGGAAGGAGGAGGTGGAGAGGTTGATGCAGAAGTTGGCGGATGAGGCCGGGGTGGATATGCGGGAGCATCTGGAGGCGAATGCGGCGCCGGAGGGGGAGGTCGGGGTGCGCGAGGGCTCGGGCAAACAGAAGGAGGAAGAGGATGGGTTGGATGCAAGGTTGCGGGCGTTGCGGGCGTGAATTTCTCTCTCTCTCTCTCTGCCTTTGTTTTTTTCCCCCATCTTCCTTTCTTTCCTTTGAATGGCTTGGTGCCCTCTGCGCTGGTGTGGTGGGTTCACACATCAGCGCTCAGAGCTTAGAGGTTCCTGGCTTGCTCACGCCCATCTCATCCGGAATTCGACCATTTTGGGCAGTCCCTCCTCGATATTTGGCCCTTCCTTGCTGGCCGTCCTCTATAACTCTCCCTTCCGTGTCGCGGCTACCAGGACACCCCACGCCATCCTATCTCCCGTTAACGTCCCCGAAAGACAGACCTAGTTACGTATTACGAACTCTTTAACGAACTCATCTGCACCCTTGGCATACAGATGCTGGCTTCTTCTCATCGGCTCTTCCCATGATAGAAACTCTTCCATATACTTTCCTGCCTATCTTCCCGGTTATTGTCTTACTTTTATTGACATTTGTTCTTTCCAAATGGTGTTTTTACTGCTGGCGATATGATTGTATGGGTATTTATTATCTTATTTTTGTGACCTGCTATGTTAAATCCGATTCATTTTCTCTTCTTACCGTAACTGCCAGGGATGTCTTGTCGTTCTGATTTTTTTTAATGTAGATCGAGTGCCTTTTACCTCGATTAAAGGATATGGAAAGGAACGGCGGAGATGTCATTCTGGGTATTTGGAGCGAGTAGTTATAATAACATGGAGATGGAGCAGAGTGGGCAAAACAAACAAGATTGGTTTATTTTATATGGTGGTCAACGCCATTCGCTGCCACGGCAATGCGGCGACATGGGTATATTATTTATATGTGTGTGTGTGTGTGCAAAAAAAATGTGGGCTAGCTTTTGAGTTCATCAAGAATCATGAAATGTTTTTCCGCTAGAAGTAAAACATGCAGGAAGTCAATGGGAATGAATGGAAATGAAAATGAGAAGTGAGGGAAGGAAAAAAAAAAAAAAAAAAAAAAAACCCCAAGAAAAAGGACAAGAGAAGATGCATCATATAACCCACATACGTCCGAAGACCACATTATCTCCATCTGAAATGTTCTCCGCTCTCAAATCCCCATATCCATCGTATCATCGCCCCCATTACTAACCCCAACGCCGCCGCCGTCACCCTCCGCATTCCCGGCCAACACAATCCCTCTCCCTCTTCCAGCCAACAACTCCCTCCTCACCTCCGGGCCAATATCCTTATGGCCCCTTACCAATAACAGATCTAACAATGCCTCTCGCTGATCCTCCGTAATATCATTCCGATACCGCTGCGCAAACACAAGCAATGACTTGTGCCACAGGACAGGTAGTTTATAACTGTTCGCCGCGGCCGCCTGTGCCGCGTCGGCCATGTCCGTATCACCGCTGCCAGCCCCCTGTGACGGCGGCAATTGCTCCGAGGCTCGAAACCGGAGGAAATGAAACACCAGGGCATCGATGACTTTGTACGGGAGGGCGTATTTCTTCTCCAGAAACACGCGGATGAACATATTCAGCGCCCCCGTGCCCTCGGAGGAGAGGGCGGACGCAGTCTTCTCCGCTGCCAGGTCGCATAGTCGCAGCAGGGCCGCTGCGGAGTGTAGCACGGGAATCGAGACGCGGGCAATGACGCTCGAGACGATGTGGGCCTCGCGCAGTGTGCAGGTGCCCGACTGCACGAGGGGAAACAGGAAGCCTTTGAAGAAGCAGGCGGGTTTGTAGAGGGCCTTTTTTAGCGCGTTGTAGATGTGTACGTGGAGTTTTTTGGTTTCGTGGATGTCGTCGCGGACGCGGTCGAGGAGGACGGTGTTGATGAATTCTTGGGCAATGTGGGGTTTGGCGGAGATGAAGATGCGCGTGGCGGCGTAGATGGTGTTTGGCGTCCATTTCTCTGGCTGGGTGATTTCGAGGAGGGTTTGCCATTGCGGGAGTGTTGGGAGGATTTTGAAGGGTTTGGGGAGAGGCCCGGATTTGTAGCGGGAGAGGAGGAAACCGACCCTGCGGTTTTTGCATGTTAGAGGGGTTTTTATTGTTATTGCATATCGCGTGTTTGTTTGGAAGGCATATACGGTGGACGCACCTTTGATAAACCTCTACTGCTTTTGCGGGGAGTTCAACGGCATCCTCCATCGAGCCTCCTCCAACTTGAGGCTGGCCACCACCACCATTTCCGGCCTCGTATGCTGCGATCTTCTCAAGGATTAAATCTGCCAAGTTGGTGCTGTGTCCTTGCCCTTCATCATCCGGACTGCGGGGATTGAATATGGGATCTTCTTCACCGCGCGGAACGAATTTATGGAATGTATCGAGGTCACCAGGGTCAACCTCCTACAGGCAAATAAACTGTCAGACAGGAGGCATATTTAGAAACACTTTCTATAAGCGTTATATAGTACACATACCACTTCCTCAATCTCCTCTTCATCATCGCCCCACTCCTCCCCATTTTGACCAGCGTCCTCGTCGCCGTCCCCCGCATCAGCGTCAGCAACAAACCGGGATTCGAAATCAAAAGCCGTGTTTCTTGTTATTCCCGCAGCGGTTAGCGCAACACGAGATTCTTCCGCATCCTCATCTGCTAGATCCTGGCCTATTTGTAGGATCTTCTTAGAAGTCTTGGAGTCGAGATAATGGTCGCCATCGTCTTCGTATGAGCGGGATTTTCGCTTCGCTGATTTTGTGCGCAGATGGCCGGCTGAAAGGATATCGTCTGCGAGAGGCGCATGTTTGCGCTCAGCAGCAGTAAGCTTTGGCATTGTTTCTAGTCTGCGCTATAGTTAATTTTTGTCTTTTGTCGAGGCGGCTTCTCAGTTCAATTGGTGACCGGTTCAAGCAGCTTCGAACTGGATTGCCTCTGTTTGTATTCCAAACCGGGGTTCTCGGCCCGGCATAAAAGATGCTGCTATATAAAAAGTATGTTGTAATACCCATGTGCTGTAGATACAACAAGGCAGTCTGAGATTTCTCTTGGTTTTGTAGATTTTTGACAGAAATTGTGGGCAGAGTGTAGTCACATGACGATAGATAAGGATCATTCCACATTCCAAAAACAGTCTAGCGGTGGAAAGCCCATCGCTATCGTCCGCATTACGTAACCCAACTGACTTCCTTATCGAGCACAGGCAAGATGCACACTAAACTGCATTCAGTTTTCCACTTCCAGAAACGGGTTTCGAGACTAATAGTTTAGCTTTGATCCGCTTTGTCAGCCGCGGCATTTTCTCCTTTTCGAGGAATCTCCTTAACTTTATTTCAGCCGCCATGAACCTGCCTTTCCTAATCGGGCTTTGTGTGTATCGCCAACAACATCGCCGTCAACCCACACAGCAACAGCTCTGGTCTCCAACCTCCAGCAGCCGGACCTACCACAACGACGGCGGCCAGGACGATATCGGCCAAAATACCTACCATTGCTTAATTTCGTCAAGCGCGCGAACTCCAGCTGGGATAGAACTAACTTCCTATTCGGAGAAGGATACCAATTCCGTCCAGTGCCTGTTGCGCTTGCACTGGCAGCAGCAGCAGTGTGTTGTTTGGCCGATCGAAGGCAAGGGAGCACACCTATTCCCAAGCCCATCACCGTTGGAGCAATATTCCGGTGCAAGCCAATTGCCACTTGCTCAAGCGGTCCAGCTTCCCTCTGCCCGGAGCAGAGCCCCGTTTCATCCTGGTACTAGCTAGCAGAGGTGTCTGTGAACAAAGGAAGGCCAGCGATTTGGGCGTCGGGCCGCATTGGGGGTTGTATACATTGGAGTGGCTAGACCAATTACCCCAGGCTTCTCTGACTACAGAGGGACATAACACACGCCCCCACCTAAATCACCTGTTCGAGCTGTTTTGTGCCGCAAGAATAGCCCATCTGTGAGAATCGCCCTTCCAGTGCTAGAGAAGATACTACTTTCACTGCAGAGATCGATGTCACTCACTTTCTACCCCCTTTGTTCTCACTGCAGTTACCGGCACCGCGCGAACTCAACCCGGACTTGGGCAGGCATATCCCGGATGCGCAGGACCCGGGACATAGACTCTCACCTGCCGGCGAACCCTAATCTGTATTATTTACCGCAGTCTTCCTGCGCGTGTACGGTGAATCAGGGATAATTTTATTTGAGCAGAGATCAAGCGCTGCGTCGCTCTCCAACCCGTAACTCCATTGCCGTTTTTGGGTCATTGGACGCCGTGTTACGGCGCCGGTTTCGTCTCTGTGGGAAAACAAGAGGTTAGACATTCGGCGGCATTGAGTGGGTCATTGTATATTATACAATATATTCCCCCACGTCAGGCAGCTCAGATTTTGCTTGGGGGCACTCTCTTGTCTTCTCATCTCTGGGCGTGTGCTGTATCCTCGTCCTCGAGCTCAGCTCTACACACACCTAGATTAGAAATTCACGGTCGAAAAGGAACACCTCTTGGTCAAGTTGGTAGGCTCTGTTCTTACTAGGTTCCATATTGAGATGACATTTGTACCTTGTCGTGGCATGCGTTACCGTTACTATGCTGTTGCTAATACACACACTCTTAAACGCCTGCACAGACAAGCAAACAAATAAATTCCCATAACTACACAATATATACAAACCACATAGCAACCTGAACATTTTCGTCGCCATGGGGTCACTACCTCAACCTCTCAATCCCTCCATTTCTGCAGCGTCATCCTCAACACCTCCCAGTCTCAGTGCCTCCGTAAATCCCAGCAACCTTATTGATGCCAGCCAGACAACCCCTTCTCCAACGAAGCTCTCGTCTTCAAATATGAACAACGACCTCTCAACCCAAAATGGCAGGGCAAAGAGAAACAAACGTGATAGTCGCAAGAAACGCGAAGCAAAAGGCACTTTAGAAGGGGCGAATGATGCTCCCCGTGAAAAGAAATCCACCACTTCGTCCTCCAGCTCCGCTATTCCTGCCTCTGAGCTTACTATGCTCATGCCCATTCAACTTGCAGACCCGCGGCCATCAGATGTTCTGTCTCCGAAGCCACGCCAGATGAATTTCGCTTACGAAAAGTACTCTGAAGTACTAGGCCAGTCATGGAAGTTTTACGAGATTGCTGATAAGTATGTTTTGGCCCAACAATAAAATCTTTAATTTTTGATAAGCACAAAAACCCACAAATATCTTTCACAGATTAAGCAACAGAAACGGCTTCCGCTACACCTACGCGGCCATGGACCCTTCTTTCCCACACATAAAATACCGCCAAACCGACGTCCCCCCTTATTACTCCCGCTTCAGCTTCGAAGATTCCCCCGCAGCTATCTGCTTCACCGAAGACGGCTTAGCAGTCACCACAAATGAACCTTGGCACTCCGCGCGAGCTAATGTCTGCGCCCGCGAAGGCTCTTATTACTATGAAGCACGTGTGATCAGTGGGATCGTAAAAGGATCACAGCACACTCCGAGTGGCTCGCCGCGGGGTAACGTCCGCTTGGGTTTCGCGCGCCGAGAGGCTGATCTAGATGTTAACGTTGGCGTAGACTGTTACGGCTATGGTATCCGTGACGTGAACGGGGAAGTTGTTAACCGGATGCGGTGTGAATACTTTTTCCCGAAAGAGGAAGCTATAAACGAAGGTGATGTGATTGGAATGCTCATCACACTGCCGCCGCTGTGGCAACACAGAAAGATTGTAGAAGGTACCTACGATTCGTCTATTGATGGCGATGGCAGTACTCCAACCACTGCAACATCTGCCACCACAGCTCCTCTCCCGCCAGCATCCAACTTAATCCGAGATCGCATCCCCTTCCATCTCAAAACCGACTTCCTCTATCAACAATCACACATCTTTCCTTCCAAACACCTGCGCGATTACGCCTTCAACCTCAAGGAAACACCCACGTACGGCGTCCCCTCCCCGACGAATACCGAAGACCCTTCTCTTCGAACCTTGCCAGGGTCGAGTATCACAATTTTCAAGAACGGAGCCAAAATGGGTACCCCATTTCGCGATTTGTATGCATTCCTCCCACCCGCCTCGCGTGCGACGCAGGCGAGTAATAACCTCGGTGTCGGCACAAGGGAGAACGCGGATGATGGGATGATTGGATATTTCCCTATTGTCAGTTGCCATGGAGGCGGGGCAGTGGAGGCACGGTTTGAAGGGCCATGGTGGGTCGGGCCTCCATCCGTAAATGAAGTGGATGGCATTGGCCATGGACAGGCTATAAAGGGCTTTGGGGAAAGGTACGGCGAGCAGGTTGTTGAGGATGTTCTTGCCGACATTGTCGATGAGATTGAGGCGACGTTTATGGGATGGGGTGGTGATGGGACTGCTGTGACGGCACCGACAGCGGCTGCTGCGGCAACGACTGTGGATATGGCTGCGAATGCTTCTGATGGTGCTAGTGTTGCTGCCGCCGCAGGTGTGTTTACGGATGATGGTGGGAGTGTGAGCGTGAGTATTGGGACGCCGCAACAGGGGTCTGTTGCGGGGGAGACTGTGATGTCAGAAGATGTAGAGATGGGCATGTAGGGCCCAATATTGTAATATATCTGGGGCTTCTCCTTTGTGCTTGGCGGTGGAAAATTGAGGTAGAAAAAGGGATGGTTTTTTGTAACACTATTAATTGTGTTAGTTATCTACATAAAAGAGAATTTCTTCTCTCCTTATTTCTACAGCTTTTTTTGAGAGGCATGTCATGTAAGCCGTTATTGGATAGCTTGGAGTTTAATTGCCCACGAATTGCACAAAAGCCCCAGTAGCTAATTTGATAATACAAATCTCCTTCCATCCATAGTAACTATCCATGCATACCCTCCAACATCTCCCCAACATGTAGCACCATTTCATCATCGCCAAACTGTCCGATCGCCTGAATTCCCACCGATCCAAATGCGGCATCAGCACCATCTCCTTTTGATTCATCACCATCGCCTACCGTCGACAGACCCCGCATCTGAACTGGTACACTTAGCGCCGGCAACCCCGCCAAACTCGCCGGAACCGTAAATATATCATTCATATACGTCTCAACAGTGCTCGCACGTTTCAGCGACTCAACCGTGGGTGGCAGGGTGGGCGCGGTGGGTACGACAAGTACGTCAACACCAGCATTGTCTCCCGCAATCTGCTTCTTATCCCTCCCATCCACATCCGCATCCACATCCACAGCCGGCAACAGTGGGTTCTTCACCCTAAACACCCTCTCAAAATCCGCCTGCACAAGCCTCCGCACCCGCTGCGCCTGTAGGAAGTAGTTATCGATCGCATCCGCACTGAGCGAAAAGGCTCCGAGCAAAATGCGCCGTTTGACCTCGCTTCCAAGCCCCTTCCCGCGCGAGCTGGCGTACAGATACCCGCCAGGCTCCGCATCATCGGGCGCGTCAGTGTCGCGCGTCCCGTATCGGACGCCGTCGTATCGAGCTAGGTTCGAGGAGGCCTCAGCCGGCGCGAGGACGTAGTAGGCGGCCAGCGCGTGTTTGGTGGCTGGGAGAGACACTGGGAGAATGGTGTGGCCCATTCGTTGTAGGTGAACGATGCTGCGCTGCCATGCTGTCCGGACGGTGGGAGAGAGTTCGTGGATGTTGTATTCGGTAGGGATGCCGATGCGGAGGTAGGGTGAGGGGGACGAACGGGTTGTTGAGGAGTTGTGGACGGCAGCGGTGAGGCGGGTACGAGTTGCTGGGGGAAGGTTGGTAGGGTCGTGGAGGTCCGGATGATTTATTGTTTCTGGTTTATTGTTAGGAGGGTACGGTGATCCTTGTTTTGGGGGTTGCGGGGCTCAGGGGACGTACTGTAGACTTCGCGGATGGTGGAGATGCTTGACCCAAGTACGCCAACTGTATCCAGGGAATTTGCATAGGCTACCACGCCCCATCGCGAAACATGACCGTACGAGGGCTTGAACCCGACAGTCCCTGTGTATGCGGCAGGGAGCCGCACAGAACCTCCTGTATCTGTTCCCAGTGCACTGTATAGGATTAGCAGCAGAGCTTGATTGGGTATGAAGCCCAGCAAACCAAACATACGCATAGCATTGACCCGTTGCAACAGCAACAGCACTGCCTCCAGAGCTCCCGCCAGGGGATATTGGCTCCCTTCTAGATTCTGTCACATTTTTCACTGGCCCGAAATGCGAATGCATTGAATGCGACCTATTTTGTAGTTGTAAGCCAATGAAATCCGGAAGCTCTTCAATTGCATATCGCCCCTGAGAGCTCACCCCATGCCGAACTCATCCAGATTCGTTTTACCCGCGATTATCGCCCCGGATTTTTCTAGGGACTCTACAACCGTGGCATTGAAGGGGCTAGTGTACGTGTCGAGGATTCTCGAGGCACAAGTCGTGGGCATGTCGCGCGTACATATGTTGTCTTTGATCGCGACCAATTTGCCATCCAATGGCGATTTTGTGACACCTATAGGCAAATATATCAGGATAAGCCCGTATACAATATATTGGAGAGACGCATACCCCTCTCTCTCCGAGTGTCCGAATCCCGCACACGGTCCCGCCATGGTCCCGCGCGCTGTAACGGGGTTATGAAGGCATTGAGACTTGCATATGTCTTCTGGTTAGCAAGACATTTTTCAGCTTCGCGCAGAAGGGACATTTATGTCTCTGCGACGAAGGATAGGGGGAATATATAAAAAGTATTTTGCATCAACTCTCCGTCAATATTTATCCAGCTTCTCCTAATTTGACTCTTGAGATCGACGGAGATAAGATGTTCCGGTTGGCCTGGGCGGTTGTTGTCACATGATATATAAGCCCTAATTAAAAGCCCATCCCCACACCTCCTTTTGCTTCTGTAACAGGCAATGTTTGGGCAAAGGATGCTGGATGCACCCTCATGATTCATATCATTAAGCCTTTTGTTCCTGCATGGCGGCAGAGGGGAATTCCTCTAACCACGGTATAGTTAATCATATACAAAAACACAGCCTCAACATGGCAGCCTTGACAGCAATCTCCGCACAGCATATAACTCCTTCTCCTATTTGATGCTCATGACAGACAATTGAACTTATCCCTCACAATGGACCCATTCAGTATTGCACAGTTGATTCTCCTCTCGGGGGAAATTATCAGTGCGTGTTACATCTACGGCTGTGCTGTTTCTCATGCCCCAGAAGATTTACGGAAGCTCGTTGAGGAAACCACTTCCCTGAGCGGCATCTTCGTGGCAATCCAGGGTCTGGTCAACGCGGATAGATTTGTAGCCACTCAAAAGGAGGCGCTGTCCAATTCCTTGAAAGAATGCCAGGTTACACTCCGGCAACTGAAGGATATCCTACAATCTATACATCCAGGGCCAGAGGAGAAGAAGATGAAGGTCTTGAAGAGGCTCCTATGGCCACTGAAACAGAATGAAACGACGAAAATTCTGGAAAGTCTTGGCCGACATAAGAGCTCACTGAACTTGCTTCTCGCCCTTGAAGCCACTCTGGAGGCCCAGCAAACGCAGATCGTCCTATATGAACTCCAACAGGCACTCCAGGATGATAGAGAGGAGCGCAGAGGCCGTGAAATTAGGGAGCGCCGAATCCAAGTAAATCAATGGCTGTGCGGTATTAACTTTACGACTACCCATGATCGTGCTTCCTCAGAGCACTCCTCGGGGACCGGGGCTTGGGTTCTGAATAGCGAGCATTTGCAGTGCTGGCTTTTTGGAGGACATGGTCTTCTATGGATTCATGGAATTCCGGGATCAGGCAAAACAGTATTGATGAGTACGATCTTGAACCAGTGTCTTTTATCCAGTGCCTCCGAGAAAGACATCATTGCTTACTACTATTGTGACTTTCGGAGTCATGATAGTTGTCGGCCTGAATCTGTCATTGGAGCCATTATCCTTCAAATCTGCGAGGCTTTAACTTTCCTTCCTGAACATGTAGAGGACTCATATACGCGTCATATTGGGAAGGACGGCAAGGCCGCAGCGCCAAGTTTTCAAGAATTGGAGGTCCTACTGAGCGAAACTCTGGCTCTGGTACCGAATGTCACAATTGTTGTGGACGCCTTGGATGAATGCCACGAGAGGGAATCGCTCGTCAAAATTCTGAGCGACTTACCCTCCAATGCCTCTGCAAGTGTCAAAGTGTTAGTCTCTAGCCGCAGAGAGGTTGATATTGTTCGACTGTTGAAGGATCATCCTAGTATCTCAACACAGTGCCAGGATGCCGATGAAGACATCCATCACTATATCCGTGCGTCCATCAAACTTAGGCCAAGGTTACAAAAGCTGAATCAGGCATCGCAAGAACACATAGTGGAAACTCTGACCAAAGGCGCTGGCGGAATGTATGTCAATTCGAAAATAAAGCACATATTCTAGCGAACTTGCGAACAAGACAATCATAGTTCGTCTTCTAACAAGAATGTCTTCCTACAGGTTTCGCTGGGTGAAATGTCAACTCGACGAACTTGCCCGCCTCCGAACTGATGGCGCCATCAAATCCGCCCTCTGCGGCCTTCCTCGCGATCTTGACGAAACATATGAGCGAATATTAGGCCGTATCTCTGAACACGACATACCCCTCGCACGACAAGCACTCCTCTGGCTCGCCTACGCCAGCCGGCCCCTCACCCTCTCCGAACTAGCCGAGGGCGCCATCCTCCAACCAAATATCACAACTCTGGACCCAGAGGACAGACTCCATGACCCTGAAGACATCCTGGAAGTCTGCGGCTCTCTCGTCTCTCTTGACGGCCCATACGTCGTCCTTGCCCATAATTCCGTACGAGACTATCTTCTTTCATCCTGCGCTGCGAACAACCTACCATGCTTCTATCTTCCCGAATCCCACTGCCTCCCTGAACTTTCCACGCTCTGCCTAACCTACCTGATGCTATCCCCATTCAGCACGGGCCCCTGTGTAACCTCTGAAGATATGATACAACGGCTAAAGGACTGGCCTCTGCTCCAGTACATCTCACATAACTGGGCAGACCACGCCCGCCCATACCTAAATCCGTCCCAAAACCCAAGACTCTATATCCAAGCCACAACCCTATTCGCAGATCCCCCAACTGCCAACTTCTTATCCTGGGTGCAGATCCTCTTCGTCAACCCTCGCCGCCTACAGAAAACGTACAACCTGTACCCACGCACCGGCACACCGCTGTACTATGCCACATCCTTCGCCCTCATATCTGTATTCGAGCACCTGCTCGCTCAGGGCAGCGATGTCAACGCTCAAGGGGGTCGTGGGGGTGGGACACCGTTGCACGCAGCGTGCTGGCGCGTGCAGGTCGAACTAATACGGCTGCTTCTACGCTCCGGTGCTAATTTGGACGTGAGGGATAAGAACGGGGAAACGGCAGTGGATTTGGCAGAGTCTGCGATGGCAGCAGGGAATGTGGAGATTGCCGGAGTGTTTCTGGAGGAAAGGGGAATCGTTTTGAACAATCAGAATGGACGCGATGCGGGCGATTGGTGGGACAATGTTAATGGAAATATACGGAAGTATAGGCTCAAGTGGAAACCGAGAGTTATCCGATGATGGATAAAGGGGAAGGAAGGACGGACGAACATGTGTGAGCGATATGAATTTTATGTATTCCTTTTTTGTTTCGTGTTATACTAAGAATGAGATGTGTATCAATCGCAACTGTAGAAATATATACCCGAAACGTCTGTCCTTGTACGGATTAATGTACAGTACCATACAAACAACCACAGCCCATACATATTTAAAGATTAGCTGATTTTCCCATAAGGCCGCCTATGTCTTACTCCGTTTCATATTTCTTAGTTAGCTATTCCAACGCGTATATCAAGATAGTCAAGGGGGGGGTGTTTTAGCCATGACGAGTGGGAGTCGCCCGTTGCAGGGGAGACTGCACTGAGAAAGCATCATTGTCTAATTTCAAATCTCGAAATCGTCAAAATGGATCGACGAGCTTCAGAAGGTGGACTCAAAAAAATATTTTATATTTATATTTGTATCCAGAAATCGTCTTGTGGAGGGCTTATATAAAGACCCTATAACTAAAGACCCGCCGACGTCATGCCGAGTAACTTTTTATTCATTTAAATATCATGCTCCACCACCAAAACACCAACATCAAACCGCCAACCCAACTCACCTGCAACCTAGCACTTTGGCCGGCCGAGCTGCCACAACGCTATAGCCATGTTTTCTGCTGGAGCAGCTGTGCGCGCGCTAGGCCGATTGAAGCCTATGAACGCTGTTCCCTCCGCCCGTGCCTCCTTCAGACTCTCCCTGGACCGTCGACGGTACATCTCCGCCTACGGCTACACCCAGGCCAAAGCCTTAGTCTACGCCAACTATGGTGAGCCCAAAGATGTCTTAAGGTTGCTAAACCCCTCCCAACACCTTTCCTCTTTCTCGCCGTCGATCGCACTGTGTAAGCCAAATGCCGCTGCTAACATCTTCTCCAACAGCCTACATTCCTACTCTATCTCACCCCCACACCACACCCAGGTCAATGTCCGCCTCCTCACCGCGCCCCTCAACCCCGCCGATATCAACCAAATCCAGGGCGTCTATCCTTCAAAACCCGCCTTCGCTACAACCCTCGGCACATCCACCCCTTCCGCCATCGCCGGCAATGAAGCTGCCTTCGAGGTCCTGTCAACCGGCTCCGGTGTCAAATCCCTCACAAAGGGCGACTGGGTCATCATGAAGCGGTCGGGGATGGGCACCTGGCGCACGCACGCACAATTCGACGAAGCATCCTTAATCAAGATCGAAGACCGCAGCAACCTGACCCCGCTCCAGGTCGGCACCGTTGGCATCAACCCCGTCACCGCCTACCGGATGCTGAAGGATTTCTGCGAGTGGGACTGGGTGGGCAAGCCGGGGGAGGAATGGGTGATTCAGAACGGAGCGAACTCCGGCGTCGGCCGCGCGGTCATCCAGCTCGGGCGCGAATGGGGCATCAAGACGCTGAACGTCATTCGCGAGCGGGACTCGGCCGCGGAGACGGCGGCGCTGACGGACGATCTGCTGGCCCTGGGCGCGACGGCGGTCGTGACGGAGGCCCAGCTCCTCTCGTCCAAGACGTTCCGCGACATCGTGCACGAACGGACGCGCCAGGGCAAGGAGCCCATTCGCCTGGCGCTGAATTGCGTGGGCGGGCCCAGCGCGACGGCGATGTTGAAGGTGCTTGCGCCCGAGTCGCATATGGTCACGTATGGAGCGATGGCGAAGCAGCCCCTGACGCTGCCGTCGGGGTTGTTGATTTTCAAGAATCTGGTCCTGGATGGTTTTTGGGTGTCGAAGTGGAGTGATAAGAATCCAGCGCTGAAGACAGAGACGGTCAATGATATTTTGAGGTTGGTGAGGGCGGGAAAGTTCAAGGATATACCCGTCCAAGAGAAGAAATGGACCTGGGAGACCGAGGCGGCAGAGTTGGCGGCGGAGGCTCAGGGGACGTTGAGCGGGAGAAGAAGCGGGAAGAGTGTGTTTGTGTACGAAGGGGATTAAGTGAGGCGATGGTTTTGCGTCCTCTACACTTCGGTGTTCGGTTCTCGGGTCGTGTTTGTATGGGTGTGTCTATAAAATCATTTTATATTATCATATTGTACATTACTGTAGCTAGAGAGCGGGAAGAAAAAAATGTATTTGAGTCTATTTATGGTATGGGTCTTCATTATCTCTTCAATTGAGCCCGCTGTTTTGCAAATCCTGGCATCCTGTATCTGTCTAGCAACTATATTGCGATTAAACAATCCAAACACGGCGGAGATATATCAAATTCCATCCACGATATCATAAATCCAACACGCAATTATATCTCCTTCCCTCTATAGTAACCCCGGAAAGAAAACGTGAATCTCAATAAAAAGCCGCACAATCCCGAATCCAAACATAAAGAGCCGAAAACACAATATCTAACTAGTAACTAATTTCCAATTCCCAAAAACACAAGAAAGCATCCCGACTCCGCTACCCCCTCTCTATACCTTCCCCTCCTGACATTTCCAATTCTCCTCTACCCACCGGACAACAATAGTCCCCAGGGTCTCCTCCTCCATAATAACCTCTGTATCCTCCTTCATATCAACATCGTGTCCCACAAATTTAAACGCCATATCCAGCCATGGCTCGACGAAATCGAGGTAAACAACGTCGACGGCTTCTGGGTCTGCAGTGTCGGAGTTCATGTCCCTGGGCGAAGGCGAGGACATGGATGTGGATGTGGAAGTGTTTGCAGGAACGAAGGCGGACAGGCAGTTTGGTACTTTGTAGGAGGATATCTTGGAGTGGATCGTGTCGTCACCATCGTCGCCTGCGTCGTCTACCGTAGTGTAGCCCGGCATGATGATCAGAGCTGGCTCTTTGCCTTGATCATCCTCTGTATCGCGGTCATCACCACTGGGGGAGTTGAGTGGGATTTGGTTCGGCGAAGACAGTTGGGTTTCTCCTCGACCATGGCCATCGTTCTCGCCGTTGACGAAGCTACTGAGAGATATCTTCTGCTGCTCGGGCGGGGATAGGAAAGACGATGCAGAAACAGTCGAGTTCGGCATGTCTGCGAGAATTTTTATCTGTCGATTCAGGACTTCCATGACCAGTTTCGCTTTTTCGTAAGGCACGTCCTTAACATAGCGAAAGCCGGATGGAAACGGTGATAGAGTGTATGCTGAATCTTTCGTGAAAGGCCCTTTGAAGATATCAAAGCGGAGAGCACCTGTGTTTATGATAACCATAGCGGCCTTGTTAGGGCGCGTTTTCACACGGAAGCTATCGGGCAGGACCTTCTTCTCCAGCCAAGAATATAAACTTGCGTTGTGGGGATACGGCACGCGCGACATCCACAGGTCTTTCGGCGCGCAGCCATGTATGTGGTCAAGTTTCAGTTCGCGCCGAGCACTCTGGATCATTTTGGAGACATTCTTGCCATGTTCCGTGGGGAAGGTGGTTGTGTTGAGACCGGTATGGTAGCTGAAGGACCAGAGGTTATTATCGATGTATCTCCGTGTGAATGATGGGTTGGCTGCTGCAGACGATGACTGCTTGTCTCCCGTCGACAAACCGCTGATGGAGGCGAAGCCGATCGTTTCCATAAACCTGCCACTGGCGAGTCCGTACGCCTTTTCGTCGTACTTAACATAGTCCCGGATATGATAGTGGCCTCCAAAAAAATGGATTGGGGTGTCCCAATGCATGCCCCTTATCTCTTTGTAGATGGTTAAGAATTCATTCGATTCCACAGCAACATGTCCAACAACGACGAAAAGGTCGACATCCTTGTCCCGAATCGCGTCCTGGAACCATTCTTCCTTGACAGTCTCCTCCACAGGTTGGACAAAGGTATTATTGTAGTTTTGTTTGAAATTGAATAAAAACCCAAACGCCACAATACGGATACCTAGTTTCTGTGTCGTGAATTTCTTGAAGCGTGCGGCCAAGGGGACCCGCTCCCCCGAGTGGGGATCCATTATATCGATATTCGAGGAGATGTAGTTGCCTTTGAAATTGGGGACTGTTGTCAGATACTCATTTACGGACGTGTTCTTTTGATACAGCTCATGGTTGCCAGAGCATATGATGTCAATGCGTTGCTGCTTGAAAATCTCCGCGGTATATAGCCCCTTTGGCTCCGAGCCGTCGTAGAGACCATTTCCGTCTACTCTATCGCCTGTGTCTATTAGGAGTAAATCCCCCCCTTCCGCTTCGACTTTTGTACGAATACGAGCCGCGAATGAGATGTAGTCTCCCCAGTCGGCGGCGTAGGAAGCTCTGTTTTCAAAGGCAAACAGTCAGCCGTGTGTATCTGTGTATCCTCGCGGAGCAGCAAGGATAACTCAGCTTACTCCTGGAGATGGCCACCAAGCCAGCCATGCGTATCAGTTGTATGGAGAAAATTCAGCTGGCCGAACGTGAGATCCCGCATGCGGGCCGGAATGGGTTTGGGAGACGAGGGCTGCGCCGATAGAACGGAGATGGAGAGGCCCAGGAGGGCGAGCAATAGTGACTCCATGGCGGCTCATGAGGCAGCTAAAACGTGCATACCAACAAATGTGCCCGACTATACTCGTATTTGTAGAGCGGAGGCAACATGTTGATATAAATAAATAGTACGCCTCCAGATAAACCTGGGTGGTGTTGATGTCACCGCCAAGAGTCAAGGGCATAACCGGACTAGTTAGCAGGTAACTAAGTTACTGTGTGGAACTGTTACTCTCTACGCAATCAGAAAAGAAAGAATCACAAAAGGAAAGGAAAGGAAAAAAAGAGATTAGATATCAATGCTAATCTAAATTGAAAATAGTGGAATTATGTGCCAGGTCAACACTTATTGATACTTAGCTTCTGCAATCAAATATTCCTACAACAGAACTAATGTTCTGCTGTCACTCACGATATTCATACAATCATTCTGTGAGCTTCAACTTCATAATTGCATTTTCATACTACTATGGAAATCTTCAATACTCCTCTAGTTAGTTGGTTGGATATCATCTAATGATTCTAGAGAATTGTGTACAATAAAATCCAAAGATTGAATGACTCTTGTGTCATGTAACCCTTGACTAATAGACTACAAAGCAAGAATGGTCACACTCAGTAACAGGTAACCGTTGCCGCTGTTATTAGAGCCTGTAGCCTATATATAGTTAAACCCCCAGAGCGATGCCCGTCGGTCGCCAGCTGCATCGCCCCAGGCTCATTAGGGATCGCCCTCATGCCCTTATGGACTTATGGGCGCTGTTAGGAGCGGATGCCCACCGAGCACGGTGGCCATTTATGGGGTGGGTAGCTCGCTTGGCTAAAATGTGGAGGGAGTCACTGCCTGGAGCAGTAACTCTCGGGTAAAAGCCGCCGTTAGTTAATTATATTACCAGGAATCGAACCCAGCTGGTGGAGGCTGTGAAAATTGTACGCGGTCTGTCGGAGTGATTGGGTTGGGAGGTTCGTCCCCTCTCATACCAGCATGGCGCTGGCGGTGAGCCTCTTTTGCCCCAGTTCTAGTGGCTCTGAATGTAATGGCTTCTTGGGAGGCGCTTGACCACACAATAACAGCCGCCGCTGTTATTGGAGCCCGTACTCCGTACATCTGTACCCTTAGTCTATAGTTAGCACCCCCCGAAGATGCCTGGCTCGCCTGCTGGAGCATGACACTTGGATATCCTTACTGAATTCATCAATCTTATTCTTCGAAGGGTTCTGAGAAGTAGATGATAAAATAGCTTTTGTATAAGCATCTTCACTCATTCGTTCTGCCATCTCATACTTATTTCATCATCATTTGTATCAGATAGTTACTGGTTGTTGGCTGGGATGGCCCAGGGGTAGGTTCATACGAGTAGTATTCATGACTTTAGAGTTCTAGGAGGCATTCTTTATTCCTTTCTCAGTCAAATCAAATCTTTCTGGTCACCTGCAACTCAGTGATGCACTTCGCTTTCTACCTCAGAGTAGTAAAATGTAAAATGAAAACAAGCAATGCTGGCAGCTTAGAACGAGGAGTGATGCACTAGTCCGTAATAGGAAGTTTAGGGCTTCAACAATAAGGTTTGTTGAGATATTCACGTGATTGATATCATATGCTGAGTCAGCCCAACAAGTCCAACGCCAAGATCGCCCAATCCGGAAATATACAACGTCCCATCGCTTTCTTTTTTGCCGGCTTTTGCATGCTGCATTTTGCTATCTTGCGCTTCAATTCTCCCTCTGTCTATATATGTGTTGCTATCTCTGAACCTCCAGGGCTGCAGCTAGCTGGGCTTTCCTTGCTGTATTGTTTTAACTTCTTTGAATTAATATTCTTCTGCCTCCAATGGCTACCCCAAGACTACTTAAACCAGCTTCGCGCTTGGTATCCACACGGCTCTGCTCCGCTTCCATCCGCTCTGCTTTCAAGCCAGCTGCGTGCTCTCCTTCGGTTCTTCAACGGCGAACATATGCAACTCCAAGTGGAACCAAAGAGGTTACAGTCAGAGAGGCCCTCAATGATGCCCTTGCCGAGGAACTCACGCTCAATGAAAAAGTGTTTATCTTGGGAGAGGAGGTTGCGCAGTATAACGGAGCGTTAGTTGCTATTTTCACTATGTATTTGTATGCCGGTATTAACAAGGTGCTAATGAATATGCTTTCCGAAATTCAGTTACAAGGTAACAAAAGGCCTGCTGGACCGATTCGGCCCGAAGAGGGTCATCGATACCCCCATCACCGAACCTGGTTTCTGCGGATTAGCGGTCGGAGCTGCGTTAGCGGGATTGCACCCCGTTGTGAGTGATATAGACCTTGGATATCTAATGGCGCGAGCAAAAGCGTAAACTGACACATAGAGCAATTGATATAGTGCGAATTCATGACCTTCAACTTCGCCATGCAGGCAATTGACCAAATCGTCAACTCCGCAGCCAAAACACACTATATGTCCGGCGGCATCCAACCATGTAATATAACCTTCAGAGGTCCCAATGGCTTTGCTGCTGGTGTCGCTGCTCAACACTCCCAGGATTATTCCGCTTGGTACGGATCCATCCCCGGCCTCAAGGTGCTTAGTCCATGGAGCTCTGAGGATGCAAAGGGACTCCTCAAGGCCGCCATCCGCGACCCCAATCCAGTTGTATTCCTCGAGAACGAGTAAGTATACGAAATATAATATACCCAAATATAATATACCCTGATACAAACAACTTGTGAAAACGGTAGTATACGGGCAAGGATCGAACTAATTAACCTCAATACATTAGACTCATGTACGGCGAATCCTTCCCCATGAGTGAAGCTGCGCAAAAGGACGACTTCGTCCTCCCCATCGGAAAAGCCAAGATCGAACGCGTCGGCAAAGACCTAACCATGGTATCCCTCTCCCGCTGTGTCGGCCAAGCCATGCGCGCCGCTGCAGAGTTGAAGCAGAAATACGGCGTCGAGACTGAAGTGATCAACCTGCGTTCCATCAAGCCCCTCGATGTCGAGACCATCATCAAGTCCGTGAAGAAGACCGGCCATCTGATGGCTGTCGAGTCCGGCTTTCCCATGTTTGGTGTTGGTTCTGAGATTCTTGCGCTGTCCATGGAGTATGCTTTCGACTACCTCCAGGCGCCCGCCGTCCGGGTTACTGGTGCTGAGGTACCAACACCGTACGCCCTCAAGTTGGAACAGATGAGTTTCCCGCAGGACGAGACGATTGTCACGCATGCTGCCAAGTTGCTGCGGGTATAGAGAAGAGGGGGAAAGAAATCTTTTGAAATTTACTGCTATACCCACGGCTATTTTTCACTCGTTATGAGCGCTTTACAGCAAGTCAAAATCTTTTTTTTCCTTTACCCCTCCGTCTCTTTGTAATCATTTGAATGAATATTCATTATTGGAAAAACAAATAGCATGGACTGGAAATATATCAAAAGGAATTAAAAAAGAGAGATATGACACCAAAAGAAGTAGGGAAAGCCTTCCTGTTTTAATCTATACACCATTTGTCTCGTGGCATTGCCCTTATCCAGCTATTTGTTACACATTTACCACCTATGGCCTCAGGGGTCGACCAGAAAACCCCTTCACTTTTATCCTCTGACTACTGCCCGCTCTCATATTTCCGATATTTATCCTCTTACTTCTGTTCCCGCTGTCCGTTTGTACCCATGACTTAAGTCTCCCTCCCATCTTCGTTTGCTTTTTTGAAAGACCGCTTCGTTCTGTTGTACGATTAGATATATTAACCACCCATTCAATTGTATGTATGCATCTACAGACAAATGAACATTTCCTCACATCTTACCGAAATTAGAGACAAATATATTCCTGATAAATTTGCGCTCTCTGGCCAGCTAATACTGCTATAAAAATTAGTAGACTCAGACGGGAAAAGCAACAGTGGTACGTTGGTGCGTTTTTACTCATCTAATGCTGAGAAAGTGATCAACCAAAACAGGTTCAAACATATATTGCCTTCTAGCGACAAACAGACAAGGGATTTCCTCCTCTCAAATTTCCCAATATGACAAAATTCACCAATCAAACTTCTTCCCAGCAAGCGTTCACTTACCTCTGATCCCCCTCCCTCCTCGCACGGGATACGGCGTGGGATTGGACGAGGAAATCCCAGCCGCGCACGTGCATGATGGCGCGGTCGGCGACGGTGCCGTTGCGAGGGTTGCGGGAGCGGTTTGTATCGGCGGACCGCGAGGGGAAGAAGCGGGCGTTACTGTCTCTTGCCGGCGATGATGATGGGTAGATGTGGGAAGAAGCCTGCTCCTGTCTGCTGGGCGGTGTAGAGAGCGCGTCAGGCCTCGTCAAGGACAGAGTCGTATTATTAGCCTTCCATGACTGCGTCGTGGTATATGAGCACGTTCTCTGGGGAGACAGAGCGGTGGTGTTGTTTGGCCCAGAGCTTCAGGCGGGATTTGAGAAGCTCATCGAGCCTTGAGATCATCATCTTCTGGAAGGCGGCTTGGATGCAGAATTCTGCGGGCCATTGGGTGAGGTTTATATATATATATATATATTTGGTCAATTGAGGCGACGATGGCTGCGCCGCTGGAAGCGTTAGTGGAGGGGCCCGGGGACGGGTGGGTGACGTCGACGCAGACGACCATGGTTTTGCAGCCCGGTATAAAGCCGAGCTTGTGTGCATCGAGAGTGTGACTTGCGCCATCGAGTTTGCGGTTGGTTTCGAGGGCTACGTTGGCGAAATACGTGTGGTTCATGTCTTTTGGCGAATTTGCTGGCGATGGCGCGAAAGCTGTGCACGCCAAATTTGACATCACAGAGGTACTTGTTGTGATTCCATATCGTGCTGACAGCGGGAATAGTCGCCAGATATATAAATTTGTATCCATTGTATAAATGGTTCGAATTTTGCAAAACGCGCATCAATGGATGTCTACGCCAAATTCAAGGCTCACAGGCTTCAGACCGACGTCCTCGCAGAGAAGCATAATCAAAAATAGCAAGGGACAATTGAAAATCGCTAAAACTCAAATCCACACATGGATTTGGCCCAGTCTCCACATTTCTCTGGATTCCGAAGGCGCGATTTCCGCTGGATTTCTCTATTGATGCTGGCTTGCTCTAGCCGAGCACGGAAAAATCGACCACAAGAATGTGAAGGAGAGTGAAGGGATTATGCAAAAGGGGCTAAAGAGAAAAGGGGTTGGTTGTGACTCTTTTTTACTTCCAGAAATCATCAGATAAATGATACCTATAGCTCTTCCCCTCGCGTGGAGTGGTAAGAAGTTAAGCTGCGTATTGAAAGGCGAAGAAAGGCGCCGGGCACTGACATCGACGGCTGATATAAACCATCCTGGCCTTTATATGCTGTCTCTCGGCACTTTACTGGGTTATAGCCGGGTTAAGCGATCAAATTGAAGGATGCCCGTTTGACTTTATTTAATTCAGCAAAACAGAAAACTATGATGTGATTTAGAGCTGCCAACCACTCGCTGCTCTCAGGAGCCCAGGGGAGAGGTGCAATTTATCATCTTCTCCTCGTCCTTGTGTTTCGAAGAGCCAAGTTAAAGTTCAACCCTGTTAGGGAGCAGCCCATATTAATATGGTAGAGCGTCCATGGCTGTTATTGCGCTTGGAAAGTAACAAGAGTTCAAAATAAAGATCAAAAACCCAACCACGTCTTGGGTTGTTGGTTTCGTGCCTGTCAAGCTAGCGAAAAGGAAGATAAATCGTATCTGCTTGCATGGCAGCTCGACGGCTTTTGGCGCCAAGGAAGTATAGCTAAATGCTGATGTCAGTTAGTTAACTCTTGATTGATTCATCCAGGGTGGTCTTACTTCCTTCCTCACTTGCTTGCTTGCTTGCTTTCGACTTTTAAAGCTTTTTCAATGTAACTCCAACATGAACTAAATGAACTAGTGGCTGGCGATGGGGAGTAAGGAGGAGTCAATTCATATAGTTAGGTATGTATAATAGCTAATCAACTTATTAGTTTAACAGCTGATACTTGTTGAACAGTTCTGATTGCCCATGAAGAAATTGCAGCGCACTGGCCGAGATTGAAGGAATGAATGAGGTTCAGGTCAATCCGTTTCTGCCGTCTGAATCGAGTTTAATGCCACCGCCTAACCAAATTATCTCCGGGCTCTGATACCATACATATAGTCACAAAGTAAATAAAAATCAAAGAAAAATTATAAACCTCTGATTTCCCTGACAACTATTGATAATTATGTTTTACAAAAACACGCCGTCAAGAATCTATTATTGTAATATAATTGTCACTATAACTATACTGCGTGATAGCTCTGAGTACGGATATAGTTATAGCTAGTAAAAGCTAGCTGTTTAACTAAATGTTAGCTTATAATGGTCAGCTCAAACACAGCTGTTTCATGCTAATGTTTCCTTAGAAATCTCATGTCGCAACGGGGGGTTTACTATCTATGGAGTGCGGGCTCCATGTTATTGTTGGCTTTTTTTTGTTGAGTGGCTAAGGCACCAGTTATATAACTAACATCTATATTTATAGCGATGTTAGCTCTTCCTGCGTATATTATGCTTGTCGAATAGACATCAACCTTCATAATGCTCGATAAAAATGGTATTTTTCAAAGCTCATCGGGCTTGATTGATATAATGCAATTCTTCAAACACGTCAACAAACATTCATAATAGCAAAGATTGAGAGGGGGGAAAGAAAATGTTGCTACAAACACATCATGTTCAGGTTTTCACCTGAACTCACCAGGGCCCGTCACAGACGGACTGGATAACTCTCCATTGAATTCGAGACTAAACAACCGTTTCTCTGATAATGTTCGCAAGTCCTGATGCCCGCCAAAGCAAAGTGCTCCCACGCCTGTAAAAAGGAGCTGCGCCCAGATAGTTACATAGTTACAGGCAACCGCCATCTTCCACCTTCATCAGATGATGACATTCTTCATATTTAAACAAAGCACAATCTGTTGGTTATTCATCAGGTAGCTAGTATAGAACAAACAATTAATTTTAGTGATTTTCCTTTTTTTTTCCATTAATTTTATTTTATTTTTTACAAAAACTCCCCGTTAATTTCAAGTAACTACTAAAATAACAGCTTAAAAATTTCAACCGTCATATTTAGATGAATTCAACTCCTTCCACAGACAGGTTTTCTGAATATTCTTTACCGAAGTGAGCATCTGATCTCTAGATTCTCTACGTTATTGACAATTGCTTTCCAGAAATTGCAGGAGAACTTCTCTTTGTTTTTGACCTATATAGGGCCCGGGAAGTGGCTCTGTTCTTCAGCGGGCAGGAAACGCCCTTCAGAACTAATTGAGCATGGTTGCACGGCGTTAAAACCATGCGATATGTACGTAAAGTCCTTACAACAAGCCACCGCTGTCCACTTCAATCAGTGATCTTTTCTTTTCTTTTCTTTCTTTCGGTATTAGGTTAGGATTAAAGTTATCAAACGGGCGAGGGCCAAAAGAAAAACGACGCGGAAGCGTGGAGAAAACAGCTTTATATAAATGTAATTGAAGCTTTCAATACTCCGTACCAAGGTTAAATTTATAGATGAGATCTTGATGCCTGACTTCATTATCGAGCATTAAACATCAAACATCTAAACTAATCTCAACCGCGTAGGAGCTTGCCAGACTATATGTAACATATTTATCATATAAATTTCCGGCTTGTACAGGAGCAGTTAATTTCACTATAACTTTATACAGAGGTGAAACAGATAACTACAATAAACCTGTTATAGATCAGTTGAGATGTCTTTTACAAAATTAAACTGAGTTTAAGAGATAATGTCTAAAGCTTGACTGTTAAATTAAGTATTATGAAGATTGATTTTATATGAGCTTCAATATTGAAAATTCTATGTGCAAGAGCTTGTATTCCGCACCGCTGTTGTTGAAGAGAGAAACCATCACCAGCTAACGTATTGGTTCCTCTTCCACGACTCGAGGATTCTTACGGCAGATTCTGCCGATAAATGTAACTACAGCTAATTAATATATATATATACATGAAAATGAGAGATATTGCGCGAATATTCAACGGTCGATGTTACTACCATTTGAGATGTTATCAAAACAATATTACAACCTTTTTAACTTATGATTAATTTATGACTTTACATGTTATTTACATGAAATTTCCAGGAGTAAACGCGGAAAATAGAAATGAATTGCCTCATCATATTCATGATTCAATTGTTAAATATTATATGATAATGATGATATAATTCATATACCGAGTTGAAACCAAGGTTATCTTTAAAAAAAAAAAAAAAATTTTTTTCTCTCAAAATTCAAGCCGGTAAATGCTGTAACTCGCTTAACAAATATTACCCGAGGCACGAAATAAAATGATTGATCAAGCGACATAAAGTACCATGGAATTAAAGTGAAGGAAAACTTTGATGATGCTTTAAAGCTATGTATTTAAAAGATAAAATATTAATAAATAAATAATGTAAAATGTTTTCAATTAATTTAAATAACTTTCTATTATCGATCAAATTATCAATTGTTAAAAATAGTTCAACAAAGCGATATTATCGATATTGAAGCTGCAAATCGCTAGCTGTTATAATCACTTACAGTTTTATTAGCAGATTATCATTGATCAAATCTTATTATATATTCAGAAAGCTTTGGCAAACTGCTTTAACTATACTCATAACTATATAAATGCAATTATAATAATTGCCTAGAATACATATCAAAATTAAACTTGAAGATTGTACAGTATATTGTTGTTATTTTGATTAGTTTACGTTCTTGTTAGTATATTATTGCATTTTATTATAATATTGACGCTTCAACGTAATAATCTTCTGATATTATAAAAAATTCGATTACAGTATTAAAATCAATAATTGTTTTTATAAATCATCTTTTATATAGTTAGATATTATAGCTAATCACATAGCTTTCCCTCGCTTTTTTTCTGATGGATTTACTTTAGTAGTTATTTGATTTTCGATGCTTTTTACCTCTGGGGGAATGGAATGATATGATGATATATCTCAAATCTATAATGCGGTTTATTTTGGCCACAGAACTATTCATTCTCTATATAATATCCTATCAAAGATAATGTAAAAAATAGTGCTTCTTTTTTTTTTTTTTTCAACGATTGTAAATCAGCGGCGTGAGATGTATAATTATAGGATTCATTTTGCCCCTAGGGTGACCGGGGATAGCAATCATAAATTTAGCGGGTGCTAAACACAGCCCCTTAACCAACTAGCAGCTGGAGCCCGTTAGATATAGTTAAACCCCCGGGGAATACCAACGCCTGGGCTACTTCAACAGCCATTCGGCATGACAATGATCGCCACCGCGACAGCTTCGCAAATAGGATTGTGTATTGCATTTGAAAAGAAAATGTCTGATTCAGTAAAATAATACAACTATAAAATATGAATATCTTCCTGTAGAACTCGCGGCCCAAGTAGATAGCGGCTTCGAGTAATAGTTCAATTAACTACTAAAAGCAGTATGTGTACTGCACAAGCATAGTTTGCTTGCAAAGCCTGCCGCGATCTATTACAGAAGTGATATATATAGTGCCTTTACGATTGAAGAGATTAAATTAAAAGATTAATTCTTTCTAGTAACCTACTATACTTAATTAAAAATTATATAACTACCATAACAATTGCTAACTATTATTGAAGTTTATTCTTTAATATATATCTATAGATATATATGTATATCTCTCAAAAAATATTTGAGGTTATTAAATCTTTGCAGTTGCCATCAAGGCTCTGAGATTAGCAAATTCTGCCTATACTTGTAAATTAGATCTGAAGATAGGTGTATAAAGAATTTAGATAAAAAGCTGAATCTATTCAATTAAAGTGTATATAAGTTAAGAGTACTATATGACTTCGGAATCAAATAGATAATAAAACAACGAAAAAATAAAAGAAGCTGATTATAATTAAAAAGATAAATCTCTTAATTTCAAAACGAATAGATATACTTAAATAGGTATTCTTTTTTTACTATTGAGTTTAATTTTAATAATCACTTCACTTAATAATATTTATATCTCAATCATGATTCATTACTATTAATAAATTTTTATGATCAGTTAGTACTTATGATTTGATATATATAAGTTTAGAAGTTAGGATTTCTCTAATTAATTCTTCAAACAAGCTAATCTTAACCTTATTTTTTTCGTTTTTAATCAATAGATCTTAGAGTTGTATCGCAGGTTTACAACAATAGGATAAGATAAGATTTTTTTTTGACTATGAAGCGTGTATCAAAATACTAGTTACTTTGTGTGCATAAGCTATGTATCACTGTTAACTACTTTTATAAAAAGTAGTAGTGTATTTTTTGACGGATATAATTATCAATTCCCTTTGAGACTTAACTACTGAATTAATTCTATTATCAATTATATCTAATTGAGTAGTATATCTAGTGGATAGTTACTAGGTATACTGACTTTTAAGTTTAGCGGCAGACTAGGTGATCAGACTGCTCTTTCATGGTTGAAGACCCTTGGAATCGGAGATTTAATCAAGCCTGACTCCATGGGTTTAATACGCTGGCAGTCAGGGTCCTACTAAAGTCCAGTTAGGGCTGCTGTTAGCGTCAAAACTATATGACAATGCTCTAAGGGTCTAAAGGTGTATGTATTCCAATCAGCTGTGAGGAGGGGAGGTGAATTGTCATGCTGAAATGGCCTCCAAAACCTCGGGATCCCCTAAGGCGTTTAACTATATATAGAGTACGGATTCCAATCACAGCCGTTACTATTATTGTATATGAGCTTTTAGTTGAGTTGCTAAAGGCCTATCTATGTCTAGCACATACCATAGTCATCTTTTGATCATTTAATATACAGTCATAAAATACAAAGCTTTGATTGAATCATATTTAAAGGCTTAGGTATATATTTCAACTGTGATTGATTTTCTGAATAGAAGGAATTATAATAATTATGATCATGACTAGTGGTTTTGACTAGATAAAAATGATATCAGTAAAAGTTACTAGTATACTCATTGATAAAGGGAAAAAGATCAATTCAAAAAATAGAAATCAAGCAAGCAGTCTCATATATTCAGAGTGAGGAGGAGCAGCCACAACCTCCTAGCACTCCGATCCATACTGTCGCCATTTGTTGATATAGCCCTATTTCAAGATGTCCAAAAATATTTGACAAGGATGCAAGAACTGATAACAAACATATCATAGCCGAAAGTTAAAGTTAAATCTAATACCTGGAGACAATGTGGTTGCTTGAACCGTTCCAACTCCTTGGACGCAAAGCGGGTTGTTGCCAATCACCAGCGTTTTTTTTATTAGCAGGAGCACAATCACCCTTGCGACTGGCATTGAAAACTCCCATTCGATGAACCGCCTTCACCTGTCCACTCTGATTTCAGCCGAAGCGCTTGCTTGAATCCTGTTCAAATTCCTTTGTGAGGCACGTACCCATGTGCAGCAAGGATGTGCAAATGACTCCGGAACTGTGGCCCTGACTCGGAACCGGTAACTGATGATTCCTTCGGATTGTCTTGCAATAAACCAATCGAGTGGCGAGAGAAGTGGAGCAGTGCAATATTTTTCATGTTCAACCAGGTTCTGAGGGTCTTGAGAAGCAGCAGCAGCAGCAGCAGCAGCAGCAGCACCGTGTGTCTCTCTCTGCGCACCGACTTCAGGCCCAGCCACCTGAGCCGCTTACGCTAGCTGCTCTTTTCTCGGCAGCGCATCAACATCTCTCGTTCTCATCATCTCATCATTCTCATCCTTCTCATCCTCTCAACCGCTCATCCTCATCCCCATTCTCATCCTCGCCCTCAGCCCCATCACCCGCTAATCGCTGAGGGACCACCCCACAATCTGAGAAGTATCCCTGTTACTCTTTCCTCTAGTCACTCTTCATCTTTCGCAGATGTAGTGGCAGTGAAGTGACACTCAGACCCACTTCAGAATAACATCAACAATATTTGTTTCCGAAAGAAAAAAAGAAAAGAAAAGAAAAGTAATATACCTCTCAAACCAACTCCCTTGCCCATTTCAAAACTTCCTTCATGTATTAGCGGGTTCATCCATCCCCGCCTCACCTCTTAAGACTATCAAATCCTGCATGGTTATATATTCATATATAGAGATAGGTATATGCTTTAAGACAGCCCATCCCTTCAACCTTCCGGCATCATGCCGAACCTACGATCCCCGGGCGGCGGACAGCAGCTCTCCCTGCTCGGCTCTTCCGCAAACGAGAACATCACTGACATTCAGCAAGCACCCCAGCAAGTTACGACCCCATACCATAAAAGGGATGAATGGCCGCCTGAACGTCTGGCCAAACTCTACATGATTCGTGTGCAGAACTCGAAGCTAAACTGGGATGAATTTCAGGATGTGCGCCTTAGAACACATTCCACTTAGTTATTTTTCTCATGATTATTCGCAAATTGTTTCCTTGTATTTTTGTTTTCTTCTCTTCTTCTTCTTCTTCTTCTTCTTCTTCTTGTTGTTGTTTTTCGTTGCCGAATATTCATTACGTTTTCTAACTTTGTTTTTTTGGTGCAGAAATTCTACCCCAATTATCATACGCAAGTGAGATTTAAGTTCTATGTAAGTGAACATATGATATATTCCCTCATGAAATATTTTCAATATCCGCATCCCCCATTTAATTTTATCTACGCATGCCAGATGCAGCCAGTACATAGGCACTCTTTTACTAATTGCTACATAGGAAGCGAGAAAGCTTGCGGCTCAAAATGCACTGGTAATTATTATTATATTCTTTCTGAAAATATAATAATATCTCTGCTAGCATAACGGGGTAGATGCTTGGAGCTAACAACTAGACCTAGCCAAATATCTCCCCGGGGCATCTTCCAAGCAACATGCAGCCTCGGAGCCGCAAGGTGGGACGTCCGCTTGACAAGTTCTATGGAGAAACCGAACCAGAGGATTCCGGCACCGAAAGTGAGGGCGGTGACATTATGTATCATCCCGACAATACCTCAGCGGGCAATCATGTCGCTGTAAGTTGTCGAATCCCCACCACATACGCCCATACCCGTGCTCATCTATCCATCCCAGAAACCTTTGACCAGCAATCCCACACCCAAACAGAAGTCAAAAACCGCCTCAACCACATCGACCCGCAGAAGCCTGAGACCCACCACCTCTTCTTCAATGACCGGCCCAGGTGCACGCGCAACCAAGCGCCTGCGCACCAGCACGTCATCCCACCCTCCAACGCCATCTACATATGCAGAAATCCCACACCTACCGCGCGGCCGCAAACCCGGGTCATCGTCTGCAGCAATTACTCGATCCGCTTCTCTTGCTGGCTCCACCACCACCCCCGTCCTCTCCAGCTTCTCAACGCGTATGCACCCGAATGCAACCGCCCCAGTCCCAGCACCAGCAACAGCAACAGGACCGGCACCGGCACCAGCACTAGTACCAACATTCACCGCCGCCGGAAACCCTGCCAGCGAATTCGGCTCCAAAATCCGTTTCGATCGCCTCAACCTGTCCGACTGGACGTACATCTACCAGCTCGCCAAAGCATGTCCTGCCGAGCGCGAGCGCGCCGATGCTCTCAGCTTGCGTGACCGCGACCACCTGCGGGTCATCGCTGAGATGCGGAGTCGCATGGCGGAGATGGAGGCGGAGATGGAGGAAATGAAGAGGAGAGTAGTGATGCAGGAGGCTGCTTCTGCTGCTGCCGCTGCTGCCGCTGCTGCCGCCGCCGCCGTTCCTATGACAGCTAGGACGGGGAAAGCGGAAGGCGACAGCGAGATGCACGAGGGTCAGGGCCAGGGTCAGGGCCAACCCTCGCCGCCGCCACCACCACCCCCACCCCTACCACCACCATCACTACTACCCCAATCACCACCGTCACCACCGTCGTCGTCATCATCAGCCTTATCGTCGTCGTTACTCCTACTCCAGAACCTAGCGGATCCCACCTCATCTTCATTTCGTGCCACAAACACGCCAACATCCACGTCCACAGTAACAGCCGCCGTCGTAGTAAAGACGGCCGCGCAAGTCTCCTCAACGCTGAAAGAGCGCACGACAGAGCTCACGGCGCTGTTCAACGTGCTGTGGAAATCGAGTTTGAAATTCATCCCGCCGTTCCAGCTCGAGGAGATGGGGATGCAGCGCGGGTGCGAGGCGGTTTTGGGCAAGATTGCAGAGATCCACGGCGTTGCGGAGGAGTTGGGAAAGGTGGGGCGGGTGATTCAGGTCGAGAGCGGGAGGGGCATCGTTAGTGAGACTGGGAGTGGGACTGGGAGTGGGACTGGGAGTGAGGAAAAAAGAGGAGATGAAGGTGTCATTAACAGTAGTGTTGGTGGTGGTGGTTGTGAGGGAAGTGATGGTAGTGTTGATGGTGATGACACGAGGCCTCCTTCGGAGCTCAAGGGTGAGATGGATTAGGAGGGGAACGGACGAGGAGTTTGCTTGAGCGTTATTCCATTTGTCATGCTGGGGGGTTCAAACTTTCTGGCCCCCCCCCCCCACAAATTTCCTACTTTTAATTTTAATTTTTTTTCTTTTTCTTTTTTCCCCGTCTCTTCTATTCAGATTGATTTCAGTTCCCCTCCTCTCCCTCCCTCCTTGCCGCCCTTGTTTGTAATTTTCGTCAGCTAGTTTCTCTCAATGAATCACGGAAACGGAGGGGGTTTTTGCTTCTCTACAGATGATGACGATGAAGGAATTCAGTTTAAATTCCCCACCCTGCTCTCTGGCCAGCAACTGACCGCAGGCCAAACTTGAAAATGTGCAATTAAGGTTGGATCAAACCGTCCCCCAATATTTATATAAAATCAAGGATGGATGGCCATCCCCTCCCCTATTGATAGCTCAACATTCCCATGATGTGAAAGTGCTTTATGCTATGCTATGCAATTTACTGATTTCTGATTTTCGGATAGTAGTAATATTGCATAACTCAGATGATTTGAATATTTTATAATTTATCAGTATACATTGTATTGCTGGGCTATCTACGGGCTGCACGTTGTAAATGAATGGGCTGCACCTCCAATCATAGATTATATAGATCAAAATATTGTCATCAACATATATATATATATATATATATATATATGTGTGTGTGTGTGTGTGTGCCTTATACTTTTTCTTGAAAGTACGTACATGATTCAGACCCAGACTAAGATCGCTATGTTAGTGAGTTTTTTATAGCTACGTATATATCTGAATTGTAACGGAGGAGGATAGGAGGACATGCCAAAGATAAAAAAAAAGTTTCTTCAAATATGAGAACCCTGAAAGAATACCAGTACTACTAGCATTGGTGATTTTCACACATGCAGTGCACATCATCATATATAATAAAAATTCTCTAGGAAAGGCAAATAAATTTCTTAAAAATATATAGTTACTCGTGGTAGGGGATTCTAAATTACCCACCTAACTATAGATTTCACTACAATGATTTTGTGGTTGGGAGATATTGAATCTACGCCAGATCGTGAACATAAATAATACTTGGACAAGGAACGAAAACCGCGGCTGCGTACGGTAGTTACGGGCCGGCCGGATCTGGACCGGATGGGGATTTGGGGGCCCCCGGCTACGAGCAAAACCCTGCGGGCGGCGCTTAAGCAGATTCACACACTATGTAGTCTGTATACAGTACAAACGGAAACCCCTCGCAGAAGGAACAATAAATAGTCTGCTCCGGCGAAATGGAGGAACTTTAAACGTTGAGGCTAAGCAAGAAGGTTTCTCCACAGTTCCGATTCTGTTCGTGTAAGCCGTTCATTGCTCGTAGTTATATATTATGCCTGGGCAGCCGGGCAGGTATACAGATGGTGGTTATCTCCTGTTCCTTTTATCAATTTACTGCTCTTTATATCTCCTAATAGCTTATGCCTTGCATACTAGTATTCACATCTGATAATTGGAGTAATAATAGTACTTATGTGTCTTTGTAGCTAAATAACTACCAACCATGAAGCTTCTCTTATCGACAATTGTTGGTTTTCATATTTTTTTTAACGGAATAGCGTGGAAAACATCAGTGGGTGGCTGTCATTTTCATTTCATCCCCTCATGGAGTAGGATATTAGTTAGTAACCATCACATCTAGATATCGGAGTTTCTCACAAAGCTTAACCCGCACATGGATGGGTTTCTCCACATCGATGAGCACGGGATTTTGCGCCACTATGATGGAGATGGAGAAGTTCTTGACTACGCCAGGCTTGAGCCCACTGAGCTCACTGCCTTTGCTCAAGAGCGCTATACAGGAGGCACACTCGACGATCTCCTTGCAGTGTGGAGGGATGCTGACAGCTCTCTGGTCGAAGATGAGATGATTTGGAACCCGCCTGAGGATCATTTCGCACTGATGAATTCGGAGGACGCGCTGCCAGACACTCCTGAGACGCTGAAGTCGGGAGACACAAATCTTCTCGAAGCTTCTGCAACGCTTTCCTGCCGTGACTTCTTTTGCAGGCAAAACAGTCACTGCTCGCTTGCTTGGGGTACTCCTTCACCGTGTCGGTTGTGTCTTGGTGTTTCAAACCACTCTGGCGGCTATTGTAATCCGTAACTATTTAGTTAGTAGTCAGTCACTTGTTAGCTGGCTTTGTAAAACAATCATCGTGTATATATATATTTTTGTTGCGATGGTAATGTCCATGTACGTGGCCTTGTTATCTATCTCCTGCAGTTTCTGTGTCCCAACTCATGGACTGTATGTATGTATGTACTGTACAAAACGCTGCTTGTCCCTTCGTCTTCCATGTATGTATCTCTCTCCTAGTTCCATCCATGTTGCCGCCATCGATGGACCGCCAGCGTGCCAAGCCGCCACGGTACTCGGGGGGACCTTTAAGCTCACAAGCACAGCAGCCTATAGTGACACTCAAATGGGTTTTTTTTGATGTTTTCCAATGCAATTACTTAATTCCATTTACAGACACTTATTGATAGAAATTTATACTAGAAAGCAATGCACCTTGATTCCTTGAATTCTCTAAGTACATTTAAAACAGTGAATTTATGTCATTGTAGATATTATCACTAGATATCATCACAAGATATCATCACTAGATATCATCGCTAGATATTATTGCTAGATATCATCGCGAGATATTATCACAAGATATAGATATCATTGCGAGATATCACTGTCAGTATATATATATATACACTGTGGTTTCCACACTATGGGCTGGTGATTGCAGTGTATCAGTGGTGGGTTCAGTGGGCCACACCCGCTGTGGGCCGGGCCACATCACCACACCCATGGGTATATATATCACTATGAGCACAACCATTTAACAAATGGTTATGGCTTTTCACTATGGATAATCTAGTGATTATAGTGCTATCTTATCACAGTGATGATATATATTGAAGATGATATCTAGCAATGCATTGCTTTCTAATAATCAATAAGCTCTATTCAATTACAAATAGAATGAATATGATAGGTGTGCGTACATTGTAACACTAGTATAAAAAGTTGAAAGGACATCCAGGTACTTGTTACTAGAAGAAAGAAGTCCACTGTAGCTTGAGTTTATTCCCCAAGTTCCTACGTAACTAGCTCTCTCTTACTTACTATTTAGCTTATTTTTTAAAGTTTTTATCGTTTATTTCACTCTCGACTTTTAGTAGTTAGTTAATTACAGCATAACTAATGCACATTAACTCTATTGCATGACTTGGTAGTATAACTTCGTCCCGTCGGCCGATCTATAGATCTCTATGTTCTAAGTTTACAACACAACAGCTGCCACGTCTCAGACAGTGCGATATAAATTACTACTTTAAAATGTCTGCGAATATGTAATTTATATAATATGTTTAAACTCACAGAAGCCAGTGTGGTAAAGTTGTATTTCTTTTGAACTAAGTTCCAAGCAGAATGGGTTTTAGAGCATGAGAGATTAGTGACAAGTTGTAAAAACTTAACACTGCTTAGAGAGCGGTTCTAATCGCTGAGCTAACAAAAATTTACTCGAATATTGCTAACTTGTTATCAGTTATATCCTATGATCCATCTATACTAGTATTTATGCAGAATCTCCTGTCGATTCTACTTGACTACTAACTTACATAGTAACGAAAAATACACTGATTTTTGCGATGCTTCACTTGATGATTGATTGAATGGGGATGAGGTGACTGACTCTTTGAGGGTATATGTCAGATGGGATTCAGTAATAATGATATACTTGTTATTTTCTTAATAAGTCTGTGGATATGAAGAATCCAGCAAGGTTCACATAGTTAAACAGGGTAGGTGCTGCATCACGCGGATATTGATGTAGACTCTGAAAAACTACCTGGGCGAAATAGAGGGTTAGTACTAAATCCATTCAGTTGCTCAAGCATACCTCGGAAACTCACCTCATGGGTGATTTATCTGGGGTGGTAGACTCATCCAGAACTTTATTGCTCGGCAAAGTCCTTATATCATTGGTGCGGGGGATGAGGTGCCCCGCCGTAGGTGAGCGCAGATATACTGTACATACACTTATTTTCTCTCCTCTCCCCCCTCCGTGTAAACTGCAGATCCGAGTGAAGAATGCACAACTTTTCAAGGCTCCAACACCCCTTTCTTCAGTGTCTCCTTCGGTCTTTTAACCTGCATAATGGCAATGTTTCTCCCTCGGTTGTCTAAAATCTGCACTGACGAACCAGCAAAAGCGGGCTGGCCGCGAAATGTGTGGCCATCAAGGGAGAGAACAAGCAAGATCCTTATATCCACCCCATACATGCCCCCTTCATAAATACAGGGTTGCGCCGCACTGAAAGTCCCGTTCCATGTGAACCAAATGTACAGACCCTCTAATATCCCCCCATAATAAACGGCTCCGGAAACATGTCTGCCGGAGTATATTTTACCGCATATAGTCGGAGGACGTTGGCAAGGGCATCTAATCTATTATGCGAATTTTTCCCGCCATAACCGGCAAGAGGGGAGGCTAGTTCAACTAGGCCAACGCCTGTATCAACTGGGAATGGGAATGGGAATTGATCTTTGGGTTCTAAAATGCTCAGAGCTTATATCCATCTCCTCCCCCCCCCTCTCTTCCCCTCCCTACCCTCTCTTTAATTCCAGACGGATTTGAAAAATATGTCAAGATTCAACCTTGCAATCTGGTGACCGGTAGGAGAGAGATGAGATATTCTCGGCAGGTTTCGCAAAGTTGCGCTCTGATTTCTGGTGGAGGGGCGGGCTAGTTAGTGCTGAACATCGGTGGACTCGGGTCAAAAATTCAGCTGCAGCAGCCAACCTGCAAAGTAATTTGTTGTGAGATAAAAGGTATTAATTATCATTTGGCTCCTTTTTCGTATCTAACATATACTGCCTACAAGAAGCAACCACTGGTTAACAACTCGGAGCTTATGTCCAAGGTTTGGCATGAAATAGGATTTTCCCAAATTTCTACTTAAGATTCGCATATATAATCGCATACAACAAAAAGATATCGTCAAAGAATAAAGGAAACAGAACCAGATTCTTAACTCCGTGGGCTTTACTTTATTGAAGCAGAGTGGTAGTAGAAAAAAGAAAATATCTCGCCGACTTTCAGCTCATTTGGCTAACCAACCGCTGAATTATTTCCCCATGTTCCTCCAAGCTGAAATTCCCTAAAATTAAACACTCGAACGGACTATTCAGCTCCCAGACGATGCACGTATTTGCTTCACTCCCATCCACTCTGTGGCCAATATTCCGTCATCAGCAGATCTTGGACGCTTGGGTTTTGATCGACTAGCCTGACTATTGTCAGCTTCCCACTGCGCAAGGTAGAGGCGAACTAATTTTTCATCTAGCGGCGGAGAGGCCAGCCCCCCCGGATAGTCCTTGAGAGCACGGTCGGTGTTTTCGGTACTGTAGATTGGCATGTTTTCATACATCTCCCAACGGGTGAGTCCTTTGTAATACTTCTGCTGCAGCATTGGTTGCAGCGGCTTCAGGCGACTGGTGGGCTTGCTGGTAAGTTTCTCGACCCATTCACTATAGGGCAGAGTTTCCAATTTTTGATTTGCGCACCGTGCAATTAGGTCGAATGTGTCGTTCACGGAAACATACTTTGACGAATGTGGGACTATGTGGAAAGCCTTCCCCAGGTTCTTGTTTGACGAAGAGATGTGGAGAATGGCAGAACAGACATAGTCAACCGGGACAACGTCTTTCCGCTGACCAGGAAGTAAGGGACAACATCCGATCTCGAAGCATGTGTTGATCAAACGACAGAGGAAATCATCAGGGTTGCCAACACCGCTGACAGTGTGACCCGTGACGGATCCCGGTCGGTAGACGGCGACAGGGAATCCCCGGTTGATCAAATTCTGTAGCATATATTCAACAACCCACTGGCTCTGGGCGTATCCATGGTCGTATGACAGCGCATCAAGGTGAGGCAGCATTGGGCCATCTTCGGAAATTCTCGAGGCGCCGGTGATCATTCCTGTAGGCCCGAAACAGGATATGCTTGAGACGTAATGAAGTGTCTTGGGTCTCCCGATGCTAACGAGACGCAGGATGTTCAGGGTTCCGATGACGTTAGCGGCGCGATGAACGGAATAAGGCTGGATATAGTTGACACGTGCGCCGAGATGGAACACCACGCTCGCCCATTCCGCAATCTCTTCAAATCTTTCTTTGGTAAATCCCAGGTTGTCGTCCTCAAGGTTTCCAGGGAGGACAAGCAATTTCGCCATGAGCGATTCGTTCCAAAGTTTGTATTTTTCCAGGATCTGGCGAAGGCGCTTGAAACCCGTCTCAACACTAGAAGCACGCACCAGGCATCCAACCTGGTGGACATCTGGCATCTCGAGCAATCGGACCAGGAAAAAGGCACCCACAAAACCGGTAGCACCTGTCAGGAAGACACGGCCTTCCGTATCGCGACGCCAGTTGAGAGGAGATTTGCTGGGGACACTGATGCATTCACCTAATTTGGCATCTGCTAACCAGAGTTGTCGCTCGTCCTTCTCGATAAATGTTCCCTTCCTAAAGCTATCAATTACAGTTGCTAGCCCGATCAAGGTGGAGTTGTCGTAAAGTGTTAACGTCGAGATATCGATGTCGAACTCGTTTCGAATTCGGTGAATGAGCACAGCAGCTTGAAGAGAAGTGCCACCCAAGAGGAAAAAGTCATCATGATCCTCAAAACTTGTTATACCCAAGCCTAGGATGTCATACCAAAGCTGTTGCAAGCGATGTATAGTTGTCATCGATTTTAGGTGTTTTGAAACCGACTCTGATTGGGCTTGGGCTCTTTCTAGGTACATGGTGACGAGTTTCTTGCGATCAACCTTATCGTGGGAATTTAAGGGTAGTTTGTCGATTAGTTCTATGCGTGGGATCATGTATTCTGGGAGCATGATCTTCAACCTATCGGCAACCCCAACGAGCGTATCTGTTGAATGAAGACTTGTAACAGCGTATGCCACCAACATGCCTCCTGTTCCATGGCCAGAAGTATCAACTTTAAATGCGGCAGCATCTGAGAAACGACCTGTCTTTAGCAATGCTGTTTCAACAGCCTCCAACTCAATACGGAATCCACGGATTTTAACCTGGTTATCGCGTCTGCCAACAAAAAAGATGTGACCGGACTGGTCCCGTTTGACAAAATCACCAGTGCGATAAACCACGCTTGACGTTCCCAATTTCGTCAGGCCGTTAATTTCGAGAAAAGCTTCAGAGTTTTTTTGAGGATTGTTAACGTAGCCGCGGCTGACGCCTGGCCCGCCTAGATATAATTCTCCGACCTCGCCATCTTTTACGGGACACATGGACTCATCAAGGATGAAGGCTGACGTTGCACCAATGGGCTTTCCGATACTGATCGACTCTTCCTTGGTATCGTCAAGGGTGACTCTGTGCGCAAGAGCAAATGCACAGCATTCGGTCGGGCCGTAAGCATTAATTAGCTGGCCTGGTGGCGCGTTTTCTAGTATCGTTTTCACGGCTGACGGCTGAGCAACTTCTCCTCCGATCATGCACATCTTTAGGCCAGAAAATGCTGACGGGTGGACAACAGCCGCGAGATTCAGAACAGCAGACGTTGTCGCCATGACTGTTATGTGAAACTTTTTTACTGTGTCGGCCAGTGCAAAGGGATCGAGGAGGATGTTCTTAGAAACGAGAACGACGCGAGCCCCTCGTAAAAGGGGTGCCCATACATCGACAAGGGAGACATCAAAGCTGGTGCTGTTTACATGTGCAACGGCATCTTCCTTGTCTAGAGGAACAAAAGGAAAGTGACAAACAACCTCCAGAACTGATCGAGCAAGGATTTGGACCGCCTTGGGCTCACTTGTGGTTCCTGATGTATGGATTAGATGGGTACGATGTTCGAGTGATGTCGAAACGGGAAGATCAGGCGAGATCTCGGTGCAGGGGATTCCATTCTCAACCTCCTCCTCACTGACGACCAATTGATGGAAGCCGGATAAACGATTTTCGTTTGCACAATCGACAATGGTGTACCGTGTATTGAGCTTTTTTAATCTCGACTCCAACTGCTCGTCGCTAAGGTTTGGGTCCAGGGGGACACAGCTTCCCCCGGCATATATCACTGCAATCTGAGTGATCACATCATTGACACTGGGGTGGACGATAATCCCAATGGGCTCTTCCAAACTAATTCCCTTTTGCCGGAGCTGAGACGCTAGGCGTATGCTCCTTAGGCGAATTTCTGTGTAGGTCGAAATGCGAATGCCGTCGACAACTGCTGGTGCATCAGGGGTGAGAAGGGCTTGGGTATCGAAAAGCTGACCCAAACCGTCGCCGCGTTGAACGAGGAAGTTATACTCGGAGCTCATCATTAGATGTGCTGAAAGCTAATTGAGGAGGAGGAGGAGATTTCGCAATTTGTTTGGAGAATGTCGCAAGAAAGCTCCATCTACAATTTATTTCTCTTCGAAGAACCTTATATTTACAAGTCAGGGGATTTGCTCGGATAGCTCGCAGGCTAGAGTGTACCCTATTTTCGTTTCAAGCCAACCAGGGCTCCGTGCAAGACATATTTCAGTGTGTGTGGCTCATAATTGAGTGGCTGCAACTGATCGTCATCTCATGCTCATCATTTCAAGTCATGACCCAATTTTTGAGAAGTGGAAATGCGTTGTCAGAGTGTGATTGAAATTTGGATCCCGCCCGAGGGACACACCTGAAGTGCCGTCCTACCTTCGGCGATGGTCCAAGGTGGGGGGCTGAAGGAACACGACTCTTAAAGAGGGCATTTCTAAATTTCTCTCGGTCGAACTTTCTGCAAGATCTTGCTAACTTCATTCTACCTCAAAATTTCAAAATGGCTTCCCCCAAAATCGTAGCGGTATTCGGTGCTACAGGCAACCAGGGGGGCTCTGTTGCTAAATCCCTCCTCGGAAACAAGGGCAGTTTCCAAGTTCGTGGTATTACTCGCAATCCTGAATCAGAGAGAAGCAAAGCTTTGGTTGGTCTTGGTGCCGAGGTCGTTAAGGCTGATGGTTTCAATCCCGCTGAAATGGTCGAGGCATTTAGAGGGGCCTGGGGAGCGTTCGTGAATATTAACTCGGATGATAAGGTAACTCTCTATCTAGACATTCGTATCATTCTATTTTATTTCCTCACGTGGTCAAACACTTAAAGACTTAATCAGATTTTCACCGATCCAACGGCTCCCACCGAATTTGACCTGGGAAAAATTATTATCGACAGTGCCGTTGAGGCTGGCGTCCAGCACATCGTCTTCAGCTCCGGTCCTGCCTGCACGGAGTTGACCGGAGGCAGGGTCCAAATGAATGCCATGAACAGTAAGCCACCCGTAAATTGTCTTTTTCTCGCTCACCACTGATTGATGCTGTGTGACGGTCAGTGAAAAACAAAATCGAAAAGTACATTCGCTCAATTGGAAAATTTTCCACTGCTGCATTTATCTGCGCGGGGTGGTACTTGGAGAACTTCCTGGCCAAGGAAGTCGCGCCAATTTTTGGCGGCTTCCCGCACTTCCCTGATCCGGAAGGGTTCCTCACATTTAGGGTTCCGATGTGGGGAGGGAAGGAGGACGTGCCATGGCTCAGCATGACCGACGATTACGGCGACATAATCCAGGGCCTATTTTTGGAGCCCGAGAAGTGGAATGGCCATGTTGTCCATGGAGTGAGCGACATTCGAAGCTTCAGCGAGTTGGTTGGAGCGTTCCAGCAAGGTATGTGCAGAAACTCGTATTTGGCCCATGCACAAGAACGAGATGGGAAATAAGCAGGCGCAGGGTATTGACACAATTCTAGTCACCGGAAAGCAATCTCGATTTGATCCTCTCCTGCCATCCTGGGAGGCATTCGATACGCATGGAATTCATGAGCTCCAAGATGTGAAATTGATGTTTGGGTTCACGCAAATAACTGGCGGACGATATTTTGGTGAGAAAGCAACTGAATCTGATACGGCGGCGCAGCTGAAGGAGGCCGGAGCTCGGGCCAGGGGCCAAGATGGCCCGGAGATCCAGCTTATCACTGCTGAAGAATGGTTCAAGCGGCGGTTTACCGCTCAAGGAGCTTCTGCATGATGAGGCTGGAAACTGGAACCTGCAGGAGATGGACAGTGGAGATGTGTTCGAGAAGCGCCCATCTCGGGAAGATGTTAGTTCATTGGCTGGCTGGTCATTTGGACCTGGAGCTGCTTTATCTCAGCCTATCGGCTTAGCTTTAACTAAGTATTCAGTCGGAATTAAAACGGCTTATACAGCCTAATGGTCCGATTCTCCACCTCTTCTGCACGAACATTTCATCCATTTTTCCCATAATAGGCGGCATTCAGACCGCCAAATTTTTAGATGCGGTGCAACTATTGTATTGACTTGTCATTTGTTTATTGTCTGTGCTGGGAATGGACGTTTGCGAATTCCATTGTCGTTCGCTGGTCATTCAATGAAACCTGGTGGCTGGCTGGTCGTCCAGGCTCACTGAGAAGTTCCAATGAGAATCTGGTGTCGGATCGACAGTGTACAGATTCCTGCGCTGTCATCCACCCTGCCCGCTGCTCAAGTGTTGTGCTGCACCATTTCTTGGAATTCGACAACGTAATAGTCCGTAACCTGCGGCGGATGTTTGCATGAAAAAAGACCTGATTTTCAGCACCCCAATTTTGGGGCCGCACCGTGGCACAAACAAAAATTTTCCAAATCGGGTCGGAGCTGCGAAGAGCTTGACGAAACCTGAACCTGCGGGATGCAAGAATGACTGCCAGGCCCGGGAAGGGTATATGTTACAATGTAAATGCTTCGCTCCTGATTAGTATTCCGAAGAAAACCAGCATATCCTTTTGAATTCCACCCTCAGAACTTTGCCGCGAAAATGTCGAGGCTAATTGACAAAGAACAAAACAAGAGGAAACGACCTATGAAGGTCATTGTTGCGGGGCTATGCAGGACAGGAACGATGTGTAAGCTCTTCCATTGATCAGGGTTTCGCTACGACTCAATAATTTCTTTATTCCAAGCTAGGGATCTATGGGATTTGTATACTGATGTGCTTCAATAGCGATGAATATAGCTCTTCGCCAGCTGGGCTTCACAACCTGCCATTTGACCGAGCAGATGGAAGATCCGAAACGGTATTTCACACTCTGGACCGAAGCAATGAACTGCAATTTCTTGAACAAAGGCCGGCCCTATGGTCGAGAGGAATTCGACCGCCTCTTGGGTGAATACGATGCCTGCCTCGACATGCCCTGTTGTCTCTTCTGGAAAGAGCTTCACCAGGCATATCCAGACGCCAAAATCATCCTCACTAATCGAAGCGTCGACTCCTGGATGGACTCGATGCATAAAACGATTTTCCCGTATATCCAGCGATGGCACACGCAGGCCCTGAAATTCCTTGATTCCGATATGACGCGCCCGATCGTTGTGATGATGGAAACGTCATTTAAGGTACTTTGCAACAACGACTATGGAGAAAGATGCCGCCAGGCCTATATCGATCACTATGAAAATGTCAGGAGTACGATTCCTAAGGACCAGCTTCTCGACTTTAATTTTGGCGACGGCTGGGAGCCGCTTTGTGAATTTCTGGGAGTTCCTGTCCCGGATGGTTCGTTTCCCAAAACAAATTCCGCCGATATGTTTAACGCCAACGTGGAAGCAGAATTGTGGAATACGGTATGGGGCTCGGCCAAGTTAGTCGGCACGTATTTGATACCAGCTGTTGCAATTTCAGCTGGGGTATGGTTGTGGGCTGCCTGAACAATGTAACGTCTGTACATGTACATCTATGTAGCATTCAATTCCTCAAATTCAAGCTGGACACTTTCTGCTCCTAGAGCTAAGTTGTAGGAATAAAAACCTTCGGGCGAGTTCACAAAACAGGAAATTTACCGAGCAAGCCCGCTTCGGCTTTGGGGGCAGAGAACGAATGTTGTACCACGATCAGATCAATCTGGCCTGGCGATGAGACCAATCCTGGCTTCTTGTCTTTTTTTTTTTTTTTTCTCTTTTGTTTTTTTCAGCATCTGCATTCTTCGTCATCCAGTCACAATGCAAATTTTGAAGCGCCAATGAGGTGCTGGACCCTGAGCTCGGGAAAAGAGCTGGAAAAAAGCCAACTCTGCCCAGAAGCGACTCGGCGCATTCGCGAGTAATGCCCCTGTCATTGTTGACAGATGTGTTCTTCAAAATGACGCACAGGTTGACACGTACATGTAACTAATCACATCTGACAAAAACACCAAAATTGCGCCTGAAATGCATGTGTGCCTTCGGTGCGGGGTTTGGGGTACGCTGGCCCACGAAGCACCTGGTATGTCATTCTTTGGGGTCAACATAATGCCACATGAAATAACTGAATATCCAGCTGATGGCCAACGGCGCGTAATGTTGCTGGTCGAGAGCATCTCCGCCAGGAGTCGGGTAATTCCCTTTATCTATGGTCCGTAGATATGGTGCGAGCCCCATCCTGATATCTCTTGCATACATAATAACTAGGAGCTGCCGATCAATGTAGAAAACAACGACTTTTAAGTCACAACTACGCCGAGCCAAGCGGCTTTGTATTCCAGAGGTTTTTATTTTCACTGTTTCTTTCGACCAGGCGTCATCCCCAGTCGATACCCCATACAAGCTAGGATAGGTGGTGCAAAACTGATATTTTGAAGTAATATCCAGTTCTCCTTGCCCTTGATAAACATATTGAATCAGACACGAAAGATGAAGTCCTTCACGGAAGAAGAATCGCTCAAGCAGCAAGAGACAGCCAATCATACAATTGCTCAGCCGCTTCCTCGTCAGACTCCTCTACCCACTGTTTCGCAAGATGACACGGAGGTATTTGAAGTAGTCATTGTTGGTGTATGTAGCAAATCCGACGGCGTGCGATTGCATCAAGACAAATTCATTTCATTAACATACCTCTCAGGCGGGACCAGCGGGCCTTCTACTCAACCTTTTGCTCGCACGTTACGGGTTGCCAGACTCCTCCCGCTTATGCATCGATTCCAGTCCGTCACCACTCAAAGTTGGACATGCCGATGCCATGATGCAACGGACCTTGGAGGTTTTCAAGAGCTTGGATATAGCCGATGAGCTCTGGAGCCAAGGTCTTCGCGCCTACGAATTCACTAGATGGATCAAGGATGCCAGCGCCCCCACTGGCTTCATTCGGCAGTTTTCGCAGTTCACCAACCAGCTGAAGGGTAGATATCAACCGGCTATGGTTCTGATGTCACAGGGGAGGATTGAACGAATCATCCAAGATGATCTGAAAAAATATTCAAAGAGAGGGGTCGTTTGGAACTGCCGGGTTGTGGATGTCAAGATTGAGAATGGTGCAGGGTCTGATTTTCCTGTGAAGGCAACGATGCAACTGAATGGCGAAATGCGCACGGTTAGAGCGAAGTATCTGATTGGGGCTGATGGCGCACATTCAGTGGTAAGAAGGGCGATGGGTATAAATCAGGTTGGAGGCTCTATTGGCGATATTTGGGGCGCTATCGACATGGTGGTTGACAGTGATTTCCCAGATATTCGTAGACCGGTTCATTTAACCTCTACTAATCGCATAGTTTCAATAATTCCTCGCGAAAAGAGGAATGATGGAGAATACCTGACCCGGCTATACGTGCCATTCGCTGAAGATGACCCTATTGAGCAAAAGAACGCCGCAGTTGTGCTCAACACAGAAGAATCCCAGCGGGCTAGAAGAGCCAAGATTACCCCTGAGCTCATTTTGCAGCGTGCCAGAGACCTTTTCCACCCATATTACATCCGACCCAAGCAGGACATTGAGTGGTGGACAGCATATCAAGTTGGGAGGCGCGTCGCTGAACGTTTCGTCGAGAAGGACCAAGCCGGAAATTCACGCGTTTTCCTCGTCGGAGACGGTTAGTAAAACTTTCGAAGTAGCCCCTGGTGAGAGTACGAGAGAAAGCGCTAAAAATGTATATCAGCTTGCCATACCCACTCTCCCGCCATGGGCCAGGGAATGAACGTTGGCCTGATGGATAGCTACGATCTATCGTGGAAGCTCATATATGCAATCAACGGGCTCACACCAGAGCCAGAGAAATTTTTTGACACGTTCTCCCATGACCGCCTGAAAAATGCTAAGACCCTTGTCGAGAATGACAGAGACTGGTATGAGACTCGATATATGATTAAGGCTGAAGATGATATCCAGTCACAAAATTTTCTAGAGCAGGAGTTGCACGCTTTCATGGTTGGTGTCATTGAATACGATGAAGGATACCTCGTCGATGAGAAAACTGGAACCTCAGAAGGGCTGATAAACAGTTCCAACTTCATCAACGGAGTTCTGAGGGAAGGGCGCCGACTTGGAGACACAATGATCACGAGGTTTGCAGATGGTGATATCAGACATTCGCAGGACGAGTTCCCCTCGGATGGACGCTTCCGCATACTTGTCTTCGCATCTGACGATCTCACCAAAGCTGCGGAGGGGATATCTGCGTCTTCGCTTAACAAGATCTGTCAAGATGTATTGCCCTCGTTTGTTCCAAAGACGGTAGAACTAGTGCTTTTCACGCCATTTGACTCTCTTTCTTTTGAGTGGACGGATATACCGCCTGTTGTCAAACAGGAAGCTGAAATGCGGGTGCATTATCTTGCGCCAGAAGGATATGCTGCTTATGGCGTTGATATGAAGTTGGGCGCCATCACTGTGGTTCGACCAGACGGGGTTGTGGGAACCATATCAAGGCTGGACGACACGCAAAAGATCAGTAACTATTTGAAAAGATGCTTACGGACGGTTGTGTAGGTTGTTTGTGCAATGGCGGAGGAAAAGCGATCTCAGCTTCTTAGTTAGGGCTAGTTCATGCCGGAGCTTAGTAATCAAAATCATAACCCTAACTAGTTAACTAAACCAATTCAATTCTTTCTATCAACGGCCACCCTTCAAGTTGTCGAATCGGACACTGCATATTCGAGGGATCTACAAGATCCGTACTTGATTGGTGGGCCGGCTTGTACTACGCTGTAGTATGTTCCAATTTTGTGGAACCAGTTCAGCTATGAAGTCGATTCTCTGGTGTGGATGCGTGAATGCATGCCACAATGGAGAGCTCCACCATGGCGAAATCCCAATTTTGGGTGCCAGTCAGCCCCTGTCCAGGAGAGTCTGAAATCCTCCAAGATTGGTGTTTCGAGTGGATCCGGCTTCAATAAGAATGGCAACAATTTTCCGAAGGCAGCAAGCTCGATGTTCCCCAAAATTAGAGAATATTTTGTTTTGGAAATCTTGTGAAAACACCGCGCGGCCATGATGGACAAGTTTGTGTCTGCATCATCATTCTCCCTTCTCCACCATTTGGTCCCTTGTTATTTATCTTTGGCATTTCAAGGATAAAGGAAGGGAGGCATTGAAGTTCTCTGGGTTGTCCGGCTGTACCCTGACCAGATATTACGGACGCGACACGATAATGTCTGTTCAGGGCTCCCAGAGGAACGACCAGAATGAAACAACTCCCTTGATCAGACAAAATATTCCTGCTCACCCCTCCCCTTACTCATGTAATGGGGAGTTGCCAGGTGCTGGCGGTCGTTGTGAACAAAAAAGCGACACCAAAGCGAGCATCTGTGACGACGACAATGCACACGCCACTCATTTCATCGACATTACACCCTCAAAGTTCTGGGTGGTTTTTGGAAGCATCCTCCTTTCCATCGTCTTGTCCTTCTTCGATGGCTCTCTGTTAGAATCTATCCATCCCGTAATCTCGTCGCATTTCCATGTCGCCAACTCAGCTTCATGGCTATCGACGGGATTCCTCTTGACATGTACCGTGTTTCAACCGATCATCGGCCAGATATCCGATATTTTTGGCAGACGCGTACCTTACCTCGTTTCCATTGCGATATTCTTCGTATCCACGATATGGTGCGGGACAGCATGGAGCTTCGGCAGCTTCCTTTCCGCGCGGTTACTTTGCGGCGTGGGTGCGAGTGGAATCATCGCCTTGGGGTCCATCATCTGTTCGGATTTGATCTATATTGAACACAGGGGGATGTATCAGTCGTACCTGAGTCTTGCATATGGCCTTGGGAACTGTCTTGGACTGGCCTTTGGGGGGGTCATAGTCGATTCCCTCGGTTGGAGAGCTGCCTTTGGAGTACAACTACCAATGCTTTGTGCACTATTCGCTGCTGCATATTTTACCCTTCCTTCGAATCTGGGTCCCCAGTTGGCGCGCCAGCGCAACATTAACATCCGACAAGCACTTGGAACGATTGATATCACGGGCTCCTTTTTCCTGGTCCTTGGCGTCACCGCACTCATGCTAGGGCTGAATTTAGGCGGGAATGTTTTCCCCTGGAGTCATCCGATTGTCGTCTCCTCATTGATCGTATTTTGTCTAGTTTCAGTTCCCTTCGTTAAAGCTGAACGGTCGTCGTCCAACCCTGCGATCCCGTTGCCGCTTCTAACAACGGCGCCTCATGCGAATCTAATACTCGGGAATTTCTTTGCTGGTATCTCTATTAACACAATATTGTTCAACGCACCTCTTTTCTTTCAGGCTGTAAAGTTAGAATCTGCAACTAGCTCGGGGTTCCGTCTTCTCCCCGCATCAGTTGGGCTCATGATCTCTAGCCTCTTGACCGGTATTTTTATGGCGAAAACGAGACAGCTAAAGCCAATCCTCCTTCTAGGAATATTTTGGTTAATTGGCAGCTCTGCCTGCTCGGGAATTCTCGGCGTCAACGCTCCAGATTGGGTTTCCGTGGTCATTATTGCAATGGCAGCCTTTAGTCAGGGCGCATTGTACCCACCAACGATGATGGGAGTTTTGTCGACCAGCGCCCAGGATGATCAGGCAGTCATCACCACCACCCTCTCCCTTCTTCGTTCTCTAGGGTGGGTGATGGGAGTTGCAATTAGCAGCTTGGTCTTCCAAAATGCGCTTGGCGCACTTCTATACCAAACTGTTACCGGCCCTAATAAGGCGGATATAATTCTCCGCGTCCGAAAGTCCATTAAAGAGATAGCTCAATTGGACCCAATCCATCAATCGCAGGGTACGTTTTCTCTTCCGACAATCCGCGTCCTAGGGCTCATTGGATAGACCACTAACGAGTATCGAAAACAGTTGTCAATGCATATGAAACGGCACTTCGTTTAACTTTCTTGTCAAGCGTCATCTGGGGGATCATTGTGCTTCTGCTCGCTATTCCTGTCAAATTACCCCGCCTTGGACACAAAAAGTAATATTTCAGTTCAAATGTTTTCTTTGCAGATTGTACAATTTGTATTGTCCATATTCTCGGTTAATTCCGCCTTTCCTTGTCCTGTGGGCTTTCACTAGAAGGTCATTAATTCTATGGACCAGATACAACACTACTCCAGAATTCCGTATAAATATCATCATTGGCTTAGAGATTATAATGTTTCATTCCTATGATCAGACAACCTGTACCCTCGCTCAAAACTCATCACCGCTGCCATATCTTGGTGTTCCACCAAAACAGAGTTTCCATTAGTCTGAGATTATAGCCATTTCTCACTGAAGAAATGCGCACGCATGTCCAAAACATCGCGAGTCGTTTTGGGCTGTCTGCATGCGAATATCTAGTTTCGATCAAGGGTACACAGTACAATATGCCGCACGACATCCACATATCTGAAATCGCAGCCTGCAGTAACTAGCTCTCCCAGGGATACCCTTATTTTGCGAAAATAATCAAGAAAAAATTACCAAGCACAGCATAATCCGTTGAACCCTGCTCATCACGCTGCAGAATTGTGCGCTGGCGTAGCTCTGAAAGAAAAATAATAATAATAATAATGATACTTGCCGCGCATCCCAGTCCGGGCGAGCATTGAAGAACGGCCTAGCTACTTATTTTTTTAGGTAGATATGCAGCTGTGGTCGAAGTGCAACAAAAGAACCTGTTCCTTTTTGCAAACCGCTGAAATTTGAGACTGAGCGGGGTAGAAAAATGCCATCAAATTGAGGACGGCTGAACTGCTGCTACCTGCACTGCGTAAAGCTGCACAGCTTCTCTGGCTGATCACACTGATACTTGATACTCCCCGATTTCAGAATTAGGAATTGCGCGTACATGTTCTTACACGGAGAAATACCATTATTTGCTCAACTCAATACTCTATTTTCTTTGAATGAATAGATGTGGGTGATATCTTGCGGCAGCAAACCGTTCCAAGAATAAAATATTATAGATGAAGATAAACATGTGAGCAGCCTATACTCAGTATAATGTTGGAATTTATGAGAGGGCGAATTCTGCAGGCAATGGTCTAAATCAACTGTTTCGGCACCGATATCAGGACGGAGCAGATCATAAACGCTGGAATTTGCTAGTATTTTACATTACGAATATGACTCCCCAATGCTTGACTGATTAGCGGACAGTGCGACTAGTCGCGGGCGTGGTGTAATTCTCAGAGAGTAGGAGTACCTAGTGAGGGGTAGGCTCTCTATGTATATATATATATATACATATATACATCAAACATTTGAAGCGAAGACTCCATGTCAGATTCCATCGAAGTATTCGTTTCCATAGTTCCATAACATATTCATTGCTTTAAGAAACTCTACCCTCATCTCCAAAATGACGTCCAACGGCACCCAAGCGCGAAAGAGCACCTTCTATGATTCAGCCTACAATGCCGATTACTATGACATATGGGCCGAAGAGAATGGCAAGACACTCGATCTCAAGGACGGTGTACCCGCTTATCCGCCAGTCTTCAAGGAGCAGCTTTCTTCACGCTCCCCAAAACCTTCCGGTGGAGCTCCCTTCGCCGTCCTGGACGTCGGGACTGGCACCGGCCGTATCCTCATCGATCTCGCCAATGCTGGCGAACGCGATGAACTCGATCTCTCGAATGTCCACTTTATCGGCGTGGATACAGAACAAGCAATGCTGGACCGCGCAGAGAAATCGCAGGCGACACTTGCCAGCATGGCTCGGGTGGGGAAAATCGTGTGGTCTTTAGGCAACGCCACGACTGTGGCATCATTACCAGCTCTCGAGAACTATGCTGGAGGAATTGACCTCCTTGTCTTTGCGGCCGGTAGCATCAGCCATCTCACCGGGCCTGAGGAGCCGCAACGATTCTTTGCTCAGGCAGCCTCGCTTCTGCGCCCTGGCTCGGGCCGTGTGTACTTCCCCATTATGAATGCTCTCATCTCGAATAGATCTATCTCCCAGGAACCAGTGGCTCCAAAGAGCGGGTCGAGATTGCAACAATTGGAGGAGTTCCCCAGCAAGACATTCCCGAATATTACTTATAAAAAGTTTCCGTTCGACGATATAAAGGTGGAGGGAAATATCAGGACCCACTACCATAACTTCCATGTTATCCGCAAGCTGGAGTCTGGTGAAGAGGAGGTGGTTCAGAACGATAGGGTGACATTTTCGTTGCGGGCATGGGAGGAGCCTGAACTTCTCGAATGGACCAAGGACGCTGGATTAGAATTCGTCGAGACATTTCATGGGCAGCGTGACACCTCTTATGTTTTCAAGCTAAAGGAATGAAACCTTATTATCTCCCCTGAGTTTGTAATTTACCATGTGTAGCTTAATCTAGACATGAAATAGACTTGCAATTACTGTTGCAGCTGAACAGCACCTGTTCCGTGAAGTTTCCCGCAGGTATCGGATTTTCCTCAGCTTTCTGCAGTCCAAGTACAAGCGATAAGTCTTCCAGCTGTACATCATTCTGTGTGCAATCGTGCAATGGCCTAAGTAGATTATCTGAATTTCGGTATTCCACTCACTGTTACTTGTGTCAAGCGTTTAAAACATTCCAACCCAGTATAGGAAAATTCGGAACAGCCCCAATTCGTATCTCCGCCTAACTTGACCTTCGAATTTCAACAAAATGAGGTTGATTTCAAGTTTAGCGACTTTCCATGTTCCAAGATCAATGAAAGTAAATTAGTAAATATAGATAGCCCTTTATCTTCGAGGATGTTGCGGTAACCAACATAGGGCATAGGGCGCTGGAGCAAGTGATAGACCAATGGTTTGAATGACAAAATAACCGCGTTATTGCCCTCAAAAGTAACGTTATTAAGAAAGAACCGGTTAATAGAATTATCCACGGGTATGTCGCCGCGTGCTGCATTCGTGAAAGTCGATACGGGGCTAATGCTCGGAGTGAATAGACGAACATTGGACCTCAAGTAACTCCTCCACCCATGCCCCCGAACTAGCATTTAGGTATTCCTTCACAACCCGAATGGGGTGTTCAGGTATTCTAAAATAAATCGTTTAATGGTAAGCTGGATGCGACATAACTTGCCGCGAACCATGTTTTCTCGAAAGATTCAAGACTCTGCCTGTTACGCTCAACCACAGCCCAACGTAGGTGTGGGAGCTTAAAAGCCGCCATTGTTGTGTCAGGGTCACCATATGGTACCATTACACGCAATATGTACCATTTTTCAAGTTTCTTTGATGCTTGCACTCAAATGTGTTTGCAAAGAATGCCACATTATCATAATCTCTTAGGACTTGAGTCATTCCGCTGGGAGTGGTCCAGTCAGACCGATGAGCGATAGGAAGCGCGTATATCTAAAGGAATCTCAGCGCGCAGAACAAATAAAGATAGTCCGGATGACGAAGTTGAGAAAATCCATGCAAATGGCATTGTTCCTCTTTCAAAAAATTTCGAGTTGAGGAGATCAGCTCTAAAGTAAGCAAACCGCATATATTCCAGTGATATAAGATCAGTCCAGACAATTCTTTTGGTGGAGTATCGATAGGATTGCCGCCGTATGTGTTTGAGATTCCAAAGAAAAGTTGCTTGTCCTTCAGGCACATGTAGTGTGGTCAGATCGAATATCAATTGGAGTTGCTTGGAAGGACGAAGGGCTGGACATAAATATGTTGCGGAGCGGCGCAAGGCTGAGCCTCACGGGCTTCGAGTTGTCATCAATAAATATTTATCTTCTGGTCAACGACGGGCAAAGGTGCTCAAGAACTATATAGCTGACAATCATGGTTTCACCACCTTCCCTGGGTACTCTCCCAACCGAGATTTTTCAAAATATCGTGTCACACCTTGGTCGTCAGCATATCAAGCATCTTTCGCTCATGAACAAGCGTCTGAGGGCACAAAGTCTCCCATTACTGTTTCGCCATGCCAGAGTCTCCTTCTCGCCCTCGGGGCTCGCAGCCCTCCGCGGTATTGCTGACGCTGACCATCTGAGCCAGCATGTGGTTTGCGTCACGTACAGTGTCACGGATATCTTGGATCCCAGTTAGCTAAATCAAATCTGCCTGCCACCTCTATTTCGCCCCGCTCGCACCTGTTCTTACCATCGCTCATTCTTTATAGGGACCGGCAATGCTGAGCATTTCGCTAGCGAGCTCTATTCAACGAGATCGTATGTGGAGGACGAAACTGATCATTACTTTCTTACGAACGGCAGGATGGAGACCTTCCCTGAATACAAAACGGTCTTCCCAGCTTTCCAGCCTATTGCTAAGAGTCAGCGAACAGTTCTCGACACCCGCATGGATATGGATGTTGTTCCGGCAGCTCTTTGCAAGTTTCCCAAACTTGCGAAATTCACGTTGAGCTACAACATACCAGCTGTTGAACCGTGCTTCTTGCCCATGATGCGGTGGCTGAAACGCAATCGAAATGCACCTCTTGAGCACCACTTGAACGTCGTTGTGCATGGAATTCGACAGGCAAGGAGTCACAACATACGGATTAGCACGTTTGAGTTTGACGGGAGGGAAGAAGAATGGGGTCATTTTGATGTGGCAACTTCCTCTGGATCTCTGCGTGAGATACTTGATGACGTCGAGGTTCTACGCCTGTTTTGTCCTCGTGCGGTGTTAAATGAAATCTTCGCGCAGCCCCTTTTCCCTCATCTGAGAGAGATTGATGTGTGCATATCTTATCACAAGATGCTACCATCGTTTGAAGCATTCATTAACAGGCATGCGAATACGATTCGATCCATCCAATGCCACGAGGATATCCCAATATGTAAATCTCTTGGGAGCCTTATCAAATGGCCAGGTGTTTCTCAAAACCTCATAAGGAAACATTGTCCATTGCATCCCCTGGCTACCACAGTTCAATTGCTTCTGACAAGATCAGGGACGAGTTGAAATGCCAACGCACTCTTTTGTTCGGTCCTTTCTCTCGGTTTTTCCTCATGTACGTTTTAAAATGTCAACAACTAGCCTTTTCTTCTATCGTTTCTTCACTCCCCCCTGCCTAAGACGTTTGCAGATATCTATAACAATATATGCTTATTCTTGGCTAGTCGAGGATTGCCTTTGGATTCGGGAGTATAGATTAAATCTAGTCGACTGTTTTCGCGACATGGTTTCATATCCAGCATAACTGAGCTTCGATATTTGTTACTTATGCTGACTCTCTTTCTCTGGCAATACATATCGAATACATATAAACCTGTCTGTTATGAATAATAGTCGACGCAATGTGCTAAGCTAGGATAGTTAACTTTTTGTGGCCATGTCTTCAGGTAGATACATATCTTGCCATTGCCGTTCCCTTGGTGAATCTCGAATGTGATGTCACCAACCTAACAATTCCGAAGAGTCGATTCCAGTTCTTGAAACCAAACAAAGTTCTGTTGTTTTCAGGGGTGAATGAGGGTTTCTGTTCCCTGCCCGCTGCCAAGGGCGGCTTGTTGGGCACTAAGAAACACTGCCCTGATCTGCACCAGCAGAGAACGAAGGCCTTTGTTAATGGCAAATGCATTCCCTGGAGCAATTATCCTATTTCTGAAGGGTTAATATGACTGATGGGGTACATCTGGGTTTATTTTGTAAAAATTTTGCTGCCGGCCTTCTTCCGGGGTAGTCTTCCACTTCATCAGGAGGTAGAGTTGATGTTTTTGGAGCTTCAATCTGGGTTTGGATGTTGGTAGGTTAAGCCTCAAACAACGCCCTAAAACCGTGTCATTGACGAACACTAGCGATGTTTGCCACATGAGCTCTCAACTCTGAGAGGAACGGGACAAGAAGGATTCACGAACGCCAGTTGCACTTCACGAGCGGAGCCGAATTTTTCGACCTCCCATTTGTCAGTCATGGCACTTAATCTTCCCACTCGTGGTCTTTCTTCACCACCTTCGACACATGCATTTCGGAGGGCGAACCCTTAAGAAATTTTGACAGGAGGTTAGCCCGGGTCCTCGAATCTCGCGTGCGAAGCGACCATTCTGGATCTTGATCCTGTCCATGATCGCGATCAGGCCCGCCAGGCTGACATTGCCGATCAACATCATCGTGCCAGCAGAACAACTGAAGCCAACTGCGCAAGTTTCTCATGCCCATCGTATTTTCATCGCCTGCTTAATTTAAGCACTGGCAGTGGCGCGAAATAGCAAGTGAATGTGGGGGGATCCTTGCCTAAAACCCTGCGCCAAAGGACGCTTCCAAGCAAACTAGAGATACACTTGCAACCAACCAAAGTCTCTTCTTGTTGAGCCTCCACCGGTCAGCGGGATTCTTAGGAATTAGCCCAATCATCGTCCAGTTGATTGGTTGATTGGCATAGAGTTTTGTCCTGCTGTGCTCGGATTGCATGTCAAAATTCTCGTATTCATTTCGAACGATGCCAAAACAATGCTGCTTGGCGGCCAGATAGGAAAAATGACATTCATGAGAGAACAGAACTCAGCCTCCCCATTTGATTGCCGGATATTTTTTAGATGGGAAATTTCAAGCATCAATGGATGATTCTCGGGCAGGTTTATATACTGGAGCCCTTCGCACCCGGGCTTGCTTTCTCTTTGCTCTCTCTTGACCTGAGCTCATATCACCAAATTTTCTCCATTTACTTTTTGCGGTCCTTGTCGCCTGTCGCATCGTCGTGTTTACGCAATGCCTTCGTGGTCGCGCGTCGCCGCTCTTGCTCTCGTCACACTCTCAGCCTCGTGCTCCGCGCTGGAGGCCGGCGAATTGGTCTCAGACTTTTCCGATGTCTTGCTCGGCACTCGAGATGTGGCTGAGAATGTGACACTCGCTGACACCGGAAACCTGAAATCCCTAACGAAACGCGACTGCCCGGCGCGATGCTCTCAGTACTGTTGCCTCTCCGATGGCACTTGTATTCCCTCTCTGTCCTGGAGCTGCTGCGGCGGTGGTATCGTTTGTGGTCCCGGACGGAAATGCTGCCATGACGGCTGCATTGATGACAATGAGGAATGCTGCCGGACAGCGGGCAGGCATTGCAATGCCGGGTATGAGTGCTGGCTTATTAACGGCGTGCCGAAGTGCTGTCCTCAAGGCGAGTGCGGGAGCGGTGGTGGCGGCGGCGGGTCTCCTAGGCCTACTCCTCCACCATCCAACCCTCCACCGACGAGGCCTAGTTTCGACTACTATACCTGGACAGTAACCTGGTAAGTTGACTTTCCTCTGCCCTGATTTTCCGATCCCATATCTGTGTTCCCTCTAGCTCTCTGAGCTTCATGACGAGGAGGTGGGCGAAACAAATGAGAGATTTGTCTAACATCCACCAGGACATACCGCGTCGTATTTTACACATCGATCACAATCCGGACAACCACAACCACAACTACTACAAGCGTCGTTTCCTTCTACGCCTCAAACTCGGAGGATGCTTCGTCTTCTTTCGGCGAGTACACAGCCACAGCGACCTTCAGTCCTCCAGCCAGTGCGACTGACCCGCCAGAACCACCTTCTGGTGGTAGCGGAGGCAGCGGAGGCAGCGGAGGCAGCAGTGGATCCGGTGGGAATTTGGTAGCCGTCCCGCCTAGCACATCAGGGACTAATGCAGCCTGGAATTGGCACGCTGCTCTTCTCGTAGTCACTGCTCTTGTGCCTGGCGTTCTCGCAGTTTACCTTTAAAGCTCGGACCCTAGCCTTGTTGAAATTTCCCATTTGACGCAGCGTGATATCCCTTTTGTGTTTCTATTTTCCGACCCATTCTCCGTTTTTAAATTGGGGGGTTAAGTTATTATTCCCTTAGCGTCCCTATCCCCCCCCCCCCCCCCCCCTTTTTTTTTTTTTAGTTTTCTTTCATCAAGCCCGATCTTCCTGCAGCGAAAATTATGGGTTTGCTTGTGTTCGAGTGACCTGGAAATGATACCTTTCTTGATATACATTTACTGTCTTTGAGCTAGGGGTAGTGAGTGCGGATAAATATACCTATTATTATATAATGTCTATTTGTTGCTTTTCGATGCCCCTATCTTGGGTAGATGCCTTCAAATGTGGTGACCATTATATGACCAACAATCACCCTCAATCTAATATCGACAATGCTTAGAATGAAATCGTATGTCCAGCCGTTTATATCATATTAAGGAGCCAGTATCATTGTCGTTAGTATAATTTATTTATCGCGGCAATTTGCGCTAAACCCTTCTTGGCCCTCCCTGCTCCCGACGAAAAAGACAACCAGGAAAGCTTCAACGCGCGCAAAACAGCTTGACCCGCTTGACCAGCCCAGTGCAGCCAGCCCACCATGCCGGCTTTCAAGGATGAACACATACTGGTATGCATTCTATCCGTATAAGCCTGCTTGTCCACTTTTACCTCGTCAAAATCCCCTCAATACCCCCTTCGACAAGCTTATCTCTTGCTAATGCAACCCCTCTAAAACATCCAGATCATTGCGCCAGGTTCGCAAACCACCCTGGCGCAATTAGGCCTACCTGAATCCTTCACGCCTGCAAAATTCCGATTTCCTACTCGCATGTTCCCGGCTGAAAAGAAGGACGAATGGGAACCATACAAGATCCGCGAGAAACTCGTGGTGAAGAGGACAGCGCCCGCAACAGCGCCCGCACCCCCTGCTGCCAATGATTCCACCGCCACAACCGATGCGCCAAAAAAAGATGACGTGGAAGTTAAACCGGATGTCGAAATGAAAGATGCCGCAGAGGGAGATCTACCAACAGAGGACAAAGAAGCAGGAGATCAAACGCAAAGCGAGAAGCCAGACGACACGAGCACCGGCGTCGTTGAAAATGGTCACGAGGAAACCACTGCTGCCGATGCTGAACACTCAGAGGAGGGACAAGTTATATACGAAGAAGATCCAACATCAGACGAAGGCGCCGTCTACCCAATTCGCAACGGCGAAATTGTCGAGTGGTCATGCTTCTTCGCTCTCCTATCCCACATCTTCAAAACCCTTAGCCCTCCCTTCCACACCCCCATTATGTTTATCGCACAGCCGGTATGGACCGCGCGCGACCGCGAGGCCATCACGCAGTTTGTCTTTGAGAAATTTCAAACACCCGCATTCTGTTTGATGGACTCCGCCTTGGCCGCTTGCTACGCGTACGGGACCGTCAACGCCACGGTGATTGACATCGGCCACGGTAAGGCAGACGTTACTGCTGTGACAGATTTCGTTGTCAACGAGCATGGCAGGGGATTTGGGCTGCGCAACTGCGGTGGTGAGGCGATGACGGATCGACTGGAAGAATTGCTGGGTCCCAAGGGTTTCACGCGCGACATGTGCGAGCAACTGAAGAGGAGCAATATCTGTGAAGTTCTACCTTCAAATATTCCGCTTCCGGGAAACTCGGCGACAGTATCACAAATACAAAACTCGTCTGATGCGCTTGGTGCAGCTAGTGGAACTATCGATAGGGATCCCACGAAGCCTACGCCCAGTGTCGCTGGCAAGGGGGCTGAAACTGCGAATGGGACGGCGGAGGAAAATGATGATGACGGTGTTCTTGATGTGGCAGCTATCGTTAGCAGTGGCAATACGAGCGAATATCTTGCCCGAAGAGAAAGAGAGAAAGCAGAACGGGCAGCTGCTAAAAAGGGGGCTACAGATGCCGCTACGGGCAAGCCAGTTCGGCTACCCAATTGCAAAAAGGAGCGCGCTACATTCCAGTATCACGAATTTGTCAAAGTCGAACCTAAGGATGGGAATGTGCAGAGCACTACTGTGCAGTATATTCGCCAGAAGCGCGATATTGAAGTTGGAATCGAACGATTCCTCGCACTAACCCCCAGCGAGGCGAAGTCGAATGACCACTGCAGCTCCAGCCTTCTCGATACTCTTGCTGCCCAGATCCACCATACGATCCTTTCCGTCCCTGATGCGCCCAAGCGCAGCGAATTATGGGATTCCTTTATCATCCTTGGAAACGGCAGCAAAATAAAAGGTTTGCCCATCATCTCCGCCCCTCTCCTCATTTCATTCTATATATACAAGAAAAAATCCCATGCTAAAGTTAGATAAAATACCAATCCAGGCTTTACCCAAGCCCTCCTCTCAACAATAAACCAAAAATACGTCCTCTCCCCTTCCTCCGGCACAATATTCACCTCCGAACTTCCGTCGCAAATGTCAACACCGCTCCCAACTGGCGGGACAAACACCCCAGCTCACCTCCAGAACCCAGGGCCCCTTCACCACCCAGCCGCTCACGGGGTCAACCCCCTCCTCGTGGCTGCTACCCACGCTAACAACCCCTCAACCCCCAACCACCTCAATCCCCACGACCCTCACAGCACCAACTCACCAGCCGCAGCCGCCCACCAGCAACACCACCGCTCGACCGGCCACTCGCAAACACCCACCTCCATCCGCCTCCTCAAGCCTCCAGAGTACTTCCCAGAATGGAAAAACCAAGGCGCAAGCGGTTCATCCGGCGCGGGCGGCGTATTGGTACCACCATCAGCAACGGGTGCTGCCGCGGGGGTGGGCGCGGCGGGGACATCGACGGGGTTAGGTGGTGCTGGGGGACAAAATGTGGGGATGGAGGAGGCGACGTTTTTGGGCGCGCAGGTTGCGGCGAAGGTTGTGTTTGTTATTGATCAGGGTGTTAGTAAGGGGTTCCTGAGCCGGGTGGAGTACAACGAGACGGGGCCAGCAGGAATTCATGATTGCTCTTTGTAGGGTTGTTGGTGGGCGTGTTTTTGTTTCTGTTTATTTTTATTTTTATTTTTATTTTTATTTTTATTTTTATTTTTCTTTTCTGACAAGCTGTGTTTGGAGCTCATGGGTGGAAAAGAAGGAATGTATTTTCTCTTTTCTTTTCTCTTTTGTTGGGAACTTTTCGGCAGATTATTTATTACAACTTGGAGAAAAGGAATGGTGTTTGTTCTGGGCGTGATGTAGATTCCCCGTTTAATATTTTTTCTTTGCTCGTTTTCGTTTGCCTTTTTTTTTTTTTTTGTTACCCTCACAGTGCATCATTCAGCAGTTCACTATATGATGGTTCAAAACTGGTTGATTCATCAGTACGTTCTTGGCTGTGATGGCGTGAGTGAGAATTGAAAGAGTTTATAGGCGATATGCCATGATAGGAAGAAATATTTTAGAAGAAAAAAAAACAGCAATAGTATAGGTAGATGGGCGTGCATCTACGAAACCATGCTGGCGTTACAACAAGCATAGTAAAGCAAATTAACCAAAGGATGAATACGCCATGGTCATGTCACCGTTCATTCCATCTATCATGCAGATCCGTTGAAGGGCGTAAAATGCATATAACGAAATTAAGAAAAGGAAACGAGATCCAGATGTGAGTATAATAAAACAGTAATCCTGGAGCACCTGGGCGAAATTCCTGAAATTCCAAATCCAGCTCTAGGGAAAATGGGAAAATAGCCACTAGAAGAGAAAAGAGAATGAAGAAATATCGTCATTTCGCACTATTTGACTGATTCTTCGGATTCACGCAAACCAGTTCCCCATTTTTGCACCTCGTGGCATATATATATGGCGCAGCTCCGCGATTATCTGCATGTTCGTCTTGTTCCTCTCCCACTTGATGTGTGAGAGCTAGGTAACTTAGGGAGGTGATCCTATCGTAGTCGCGCTGAAATCCCATTTTATTTCTCCCGCATCGACACGACCGTTGTTTGAAGGTGGAAAAGCTGGCACGCGAGACATCCAAGGTATGACCTATGCGTATGGAACGCACGAAGCGTGATCCCTTACTAAAATACTTTCTCATTTAGGGGGTTGGAGCGTAGCCAGGTTCCGAAGCTATTCCGTTCAGTTAGTGCTGCAAATTCCACTAGAAGTATATTGTGTGTTAATGAACTGCATACCGTATAACTCCAAGGAAGAAGGCGTGGAAATCAGCGTACGCAAACCGCACACCCTCAACTGGCCGCATTATACTTCTCGCCAGCACAACGGAATAGTTCCTGCTGTTGTCTGAGCAGCTCTTCTTCCGTGAGGCCACTCTGCTCCATCTTATTGACTTTTTTCTCACGGGACTATTTGAAATAATTATTCGTAAGTAAAACTCTTCTCATTTTCTTTCGCCAATAAATCAAGCTCAATGTCTTGATGTATGGAGAGATCTAGCGTGTCAAAAAAGGAAAAGGCAAATGGAACTCACCTTCAACTGCTCCCTGTGTTCCTCTGCCACTGCCAGTACATCGGGTACATACTCTCCGAAACCCAAATCCGTCAACGCTTTCTCGATGTGTTCGCACGCGATGGTCTTTTTCGCCTCCTTCTCGCTAATATCGTTTGCCTCAGAGGATATTAACGTTATAAACTCGACACAACATTCTATGAGGAGGTCGCGGGCATCTTTAGCGAAGGTTTGCCCGGATGAAGCGGGGAGGATCTCTGTTATTATTTTTTGGACGGTTGCTGTCATCAGGGGGTTTGAGATTAGTTTTTGAGTTGTCTTGTGATACAGGACACAAGATGATATTCGTTTAATAGGGATATGTGCAGGGAGCGCAAGAGGCACTTGGTTCAAGGGATGTGGGACTGTATATGAGGAGAGGGATACGGTTGTTCGGGGTATGGTACCTTTGGGCAAAGAGAGGTCATCGTTTCCTGTTGGATTCAGATAATATATTAGCTTGGATTTGCGCACGGAGGGGTGCGGGGCATATATACTTGCCTCCAAACTCTCGGTCTGACATATTTAATCAATAGACAAAGGATGCCCTAATCACGCCTACCAAAGGGACATCGAAATGAAAGCACAAATATCGTGGCTGTAGATGTATACGCGCTTCGCTGTTGATGTTGAGGACAATGTGTTGCTGAATGTTTTTCGCATCTCGATCATTCTGCCGCGTATGTGGAATTTATAGTTATTCACCGCCCAATCATGACTAAGCTTGACAGCTTGGATAAATTCCAATCTGGAAATTTCTGTTTCCTCTTTTTCCTTCACTTCTTCGCACAACGGGTGAACGACAATTTTTTATTTCCCGCACCAACGGACTAACTAATTGATTGCGAAGATACTTGTTATGGCGATGGTTTTCACTCAATGTTTATACTAACAAAGTGGTACGTGTGATATCCACTCTCCATTGCTCTTTTCCCCAAACCATCATGATGAACGTTGTTGTCGCCCCTATCATACAAACCGAGCATCAAGCTCCCGTGGTGATTTACCTGTCCTAGCCAAACGGACTTTCTGATAATAGTCTCCCCTCTCCCCGAGGATTTTATCATTGTCTCATTGCCTGCCAGTCTTATATATTCCAATCGGAAGCAAGAAAGAGTGCTGACTGTTTAGGAGTTAGAACCTATTTTGCTCTTGTGCTTTGAATCACCTACGATGCCTGGTGTATAGTACAGCGTCAAGCTCCATATCGATTTATCCAGTGGTGATTTGTATGTGTTGGTCATGGAAATTAACAGTTTTTGGGTCTTTTGGTTGTGTGCATGACCATACAGTGATGAGCAAATATTCATGTACTATCAAATGCCGATTTTCATGACGAATGCTTCACGATTCTCTGATGCATGCACACGACTTACCTTTCGCTAAGGTGTCTTATTTGGCCACGTGGACCCTTAGGAGCGAGTTATTGAACATCTTGCTGATGCCTGTGTTCACCTAGACCTGGGAGAATGAGACAGACGAAAAATGAAAAAGAGATTCTGGGATATGAATCCATTCGTAGGTATGTTGGATCAATTTCTTTTCCGTCGTTTTTATCATTTTCCCGTTCGTGTTTATCCCCAAGTCTTTGTATAAGATGAGACAAATGATTAAAACATACACTCCATGCTAAATATAAAGGTACCTTCTGTTGGTATCTAATGCTTAACACACGTATCCATTTTTCATCTTTCGACTGATGTCTCGATTTTTAAATTTTCTCTTGAATTGGATGTTTCTTCATCTATATCTACAAATCTGCTCTCTTCAAGTCCCACTGACTTGATGATCCTAGTTTTCTCATTTCGATTTGCCAGATAAGTGCGTTCCAGAACCAGCCTGTTTCGGAATATGTCATCTCTCACTCTCCCAGTCAGCCCCAGCTTCATATATTACTCGCTACGAGTATTTCCTTTTTGCACGCTGTAACTTTTGTCGAGCTTGTTCAGAACGTCATCATACACGAGCTTTACATTGACGTGCCTCAATTTCTTCAGTTTATACAAGCCACTAACCCTATAAGCATCAAGAAGAATCGTTTATTCTTTGTCCGTCGAATATATTTGTACCTATATTCCTGGTGTCTGTATTGACTTTGTGTCCGTTCCGCCTCCTTAGCGAAATTAACAGGGAGCTCTCCCTTTGTTGGACTCAGTATACAGCTAAAAATAAAATGGTGAAATTTAAAATGCAATTAAATGAATGGTAATCGAGATGTGATGTATACCCGTTGAGCTGTCAGTTATCGCTGGCGGTGAGAGAGCTCGTTTGCCCGGTGGCTGGCAGCTCGGGATTAAAATTTGTATATGGCTTATGACGCAGCGATTATTACGGAATAGTAGCTATAGAAACATAACGTACACTTCTATCTCCTCCAATGGTTGTCAACTCTAGATTAATGTGCAATGCAAACGACATGCAATTCTCAACAGTAACAACCTCGAAAAACACATGGGAACATCGCTCCTCTTGCCCCGCCTTCGGCTCTGAGCAAAGAGTGGGGCCCATCCGCAAAACTTGAATCCTCCCCAGATCCGGAATGTTTGACATCTACAGGGCGTATTGTGTAGATTTGGGTGAGTGACATGAGATATGCGCTGAAAGCCGTTGTTATCCTGGGCTGTAGAGTTGATTGTACTGAACTTATATACATAAAAAATATCGTTAAAAGTGTACGGTCCGTTCCACTCATTGATTTTCTTCATTTATCATTCTACGCGGCTATAGTATTAATACAGAGGCCATAGTAGTAATACTAATAACCATATAATAAAGGAAAATGACCACCGTAATCATTGGCGGCGGCATCATCGGGCACTCAACAGCTTACTACCTCTCTCTCGCTTCCAAAACACACCGACACCAAATCCACATCATCGACCCAGCCGCCGACCTCTTCGACTGCGCTTCAGGCTATGCCGCTGGCTTCATCGTCCGCGACTGGTACTCCCCTGAGCTAGCTGCGCTCGGCAACCTGTCCTTCGAGCTGCATGAGCAGCTCTCGAGAGAGCATAGCGGCTACGAGAAATGGGGATATATGCGCGGCACCGCGGTGGGGTTGCAAGTGCAGTATGAGGACGGGCAGAGGTCGGGGAGCGGGCATGATTGGCTGAGGCAAGGGGCGAGCCGGGCGGAGGTAGCGATGAGGGCGGATGAGAAGAGAGCAGGCGAGCCGGATGAGGCACCGGAGTGGCTGACCAGGCAGGAGGGCGGGAGGACGGAGAGGATAAGTGACGTTGGGGGTACAGCACAAGTGTAGGTTTTCGTTTCACCTTTTTCATACTTTTTCCCCTTCCCCTGCTGTTTTCTCTATTCGTTTGGCTGATCTGCTGGTTGGAAATGTTAAATGCAGAGATCCACTTCGACTGTGTCAATTCCTCCTGGCGAAGTGCATCGAGCGCGGCGTTCAGGTCCACAACCCCGCTCGGGCGATCGCGCTCATCAGGAACTCCTCATCTGGCGCCATCACAGGTATAACACTCCAAAACCGGCTGACAAACACCCGCTCGACAATCCCCTGTACAAACCTCATTTTTACCGCTGGCGCGTGGACGCCACATGCCTTCAACGCCCTCTTCCCCACATCCCCCACTCGCATCCCTGTCACTTCTCTGTCGGGATACTCCATCCTCGTCCGCTCCCCGCGTCACACCATCGCGCACGAAAGAGGCACATATGCCGGAACAGCACACGCTGTTTTCACAACCCACCCGCGCTCCTGCGGCTTTAGCCCTGAGATCTTCTCGCGTGCGGGTGGCGAGATATACCTCGCCGGTCTGAATAGCGCGGAAATGCCCCTCCCGGCACTCGCGAGTGAGGCGCGTGGCATGATGGAGGCGGGGGACGTAGCACGGGTTCGTAAGGCAGCGGTGACGCTGATAGGGAAGCTTGACCAGGATGCGAAGGCTAGATATGCCGAGGGGGATGTAAATATGGATGATTTAGAGGTACTTCGGGAGGCACTCTGTTTCCGGCCGTGGACGGAGAGTGGGAGACCGATTGTGACGCGTGTGGGGGATTGGGTTTTGGGATCAGGGGTTGTGTCCCCTCCTGGTGGTGGCGTCTTCATGGCGGCGGGACACGGCCCGTGGGGTATTTCGTTGTCATTGGGGACAGGGAAGGTGATGGCGGAGATGGTTATGGGGGTCAAGACGAGTGCGGATGTGAGTGGGCTAGGTCTGGAGGAAGGGATGGGAACGACTAAGGCTAAGATATAGACTGTTGCTTATCATGAAGAGCGAGATGGAAAGCGCTTGGTTCTGGACCAGCATGAGTATCTTGAACTGCACATCCAGGCATTTTGTTGAGCAGCAGCTAGGTTAGTATGCATTGGGATTTCATGTAGAAGAGCGGGAATTCTATGGCTCTCCCGGCCCATCACAGTCCGGTTCGTAGTTCATGTTTGCTGCATCTCAACATCTATACCATTGATATCGAGAAGTATTTGACGCGCTGGTTCGTGGGGAAAGGCCGCCTAACCCAAAACGGATAAATTAAGCAAACCAGAAACCCATCAAATATTTCAAGACAACTTTTTCCATCCGCCATTGTAGCACTCTGACATCCCATCCCTAGCACTTCTACATGCGACACGCGTCATCGAGTCATTGGAAATTGTCGAAATGGAAGCAAACGAGAGCTACAACGATAGCCACCGCGCGCTCCTGCAGGCCTTCATGGCGCGCTCAACAATGACCTACGAACAAGCAAAGCCTGTTTTGGCTGCGATATTTACTGCTCGAGGTACTTTTCTACTGCTCATCCTTGTTGATTATATTATCCCAAGAGCTCCCTCCCCACTAGCCGCAGCAATCCGCTAGACGGCTGGAGCTCATTCTAATTAATGTTTCTTCTCTTAGACAACCAAGAAACCCTCCCCGAAGACATCACCCAAGCCGACCTCTCAAACTACATCGCCACGATAAACACTGCCATATCCCCCTTCGATCTCGAAATTAGGTCCACCAGGCACCAGACAGACCCCACCCGTATCTATGTCCTTGTCAACACCACCAGCGACCCCCTCACCCAGCTGGCCACTACCTACAACGCCAACGAAATCGCCTTCGTCAAACGTGTCCTGGACGCCATGTTCGATACCCACAATACTCCGCGCCTGGAGGCGATGGCCGTGTCGTCCATGCAGGTCGCACAGCTGGCGAAGGCACCCAGTGCTTCCGAAAGACGGGAGTCGGCTCCTGCAAATAGCACGCCAGCTGCTGGTGCGCCGCAATCGCTGGGAATACGCGAGGCGGATGACGTGATGAAGAGGCTCGTGGAGGAAGGGTGGCTTGAGGAGAGTCGAAGGGGATATTTTACGCTTAGCCCACGCGCGCTGACGGAGTTGCGCGGGTGGCTGGTCGCGACGTATAATGAGGACGAGGAGGACTCTGGTACGGAGGGTTCTGGGCGGATTGCTAAGATCAAGACTTGTTTGGGCTGTAAGGATATTATCACTGTGGTATGTTTTGAGAGTTTGTTTTGTTTCTCTGTTGGTTAATCAGCTGCCGTGTATATTTGTATCTTGACATATATATGGGGGATTCCTGACGAGGATCATGTAAACAGGGCCAACGATGTTCGCAGCGTCAATGCCCCGGCCGTCTCCACGACATCTGCACACAGAACTTCTTCCGCCGCCAACAAGCAGAGACATGTCCTGTTTGTAAATCGAAATGGACTGGTGAACACTTTGTGGGCGAACGGGCCATCGTTGCTGCTAATCGGCCGTCAACCGCACGGAGGCGGAGTGGACGTCCGGCGGAAGGAGCTGAAAGTTTTGGCGATCAAGATGGTGGTGAGGATGATGGTGATGATGGTGGTGAGATGGCGGACGTCGCTGGATGAGGTAACCCGGCACCTTTCTTAGTGATGGTTGGCTCTATGTCGATGTTGCGAGGCTCCAGCCAAGTTGGCTGATAGCTTTATGATGCAGCTGTCAATCGTATCGAGGGAGACTACGGGCACAAGTCGACCCGGGGAAGGAGAGGAGGGGTATGGATCAACCGCATCCCTTCATAGGCTGCATGACATTTCATGGGTCGTATTGATAACATTGCTGGGGGACGCAATCAAGAGTATTACACAGTCAACAGGATATTCCCCGAAGTGAACACCATCCTGAGTGTCTGAAGCAGAGGAAAGGGGGTTGGATGGAGAGGTGCGGTGATTGTTCTGCCGGTCGCACCTTCAAGTGCACACGATGCCGACTCTAGCTGGGTTGCTTTATCATGATCGGTGGACATATGCACATCTTGAAGACAATCCGAACCATTCCAAGCCCCAATAATCTGGGAAATACTACAATGACTAAGCACGCAAATGACGTCATTCGGTGTCCCAGCCATCTTTTTCGTTGTTCGGTCCTTGGAACTTGATAAGGTTTTTTCTTTTGCGATAGACTTATGATTGGAACCGGGGACGAAAAATATCGATTGGCCTGTCCCCCTCTCAGGCCAGCTTTCCCGCGGGAGCTTTTCTTTTCTCCCAGAGCCCTGTTACTTCGGCTTTTATCATGATGGTTGTGGTTAGAGCTTGAGCTCCAAATGCGCCAACCCCGCATGAACGCTGAAGCCATTCTGCAATCGCTGTTGGCTAGCAATGGCATCTCATCTTCCAACTAGCCGTATGATACGAGCTCCTGTTTTCTCCCTTCCCTCCAGGGCCAGAAAGCTATATAATCATGTCCGAACTAAGTGTATACGATGTCGCACCACCAAAAAAGTGATCGGCATTTTTGGCTCAAGTTAGCTATGAAATCGACCGGTTTCTATTTTGAGTTTACTTGACATTCGCTCATTTTTGGCTTTGAGCTTTGGCAAGTTAACGCTAATTAAACTCAACTTCTTGATCTTCGAATTCCTAGCCTTTTTGACGGTGGTGCTGCCTTGGTTTTTTCATGAAATCGGCTCTTCATAGGGCTGAATTTTTTTCCCCTCCAGTCTTTAAAAGTTGGCAGCGCCTCCACAGTTCTTGCTTCTTATCAAGACTTTTGCTTTCCATTTGATATAGACCAGAAAGCTGTCCTCGTTCTCCTTGATGTAGATCTCCGCTGTGTTACATCATTTTAGACGGAATCCAACATTTGTCCTTGTAGAAGAGGTATGGAGCGTTAAACCTCTATTTATCGTAATTACATATCTTGGTTTGGTGGAGAGCTCCCAGAAGGAGCTCAACAACTATGCTGTGCAAGGTGAGCAACTACGACTTCTGCCTCCTTTCAATTTTGGTACTAGCTAAATGCCCCAAAGTTTCGATCATGGAGCTTCGTGCTTCTTCTCCTATCCTCGTCGGCGATATCAGCGTTGTCATTTACTGAACGGGTCGCCACCGTTTTTGCAAAAAATTATATCTCCTCCGATTCTAGCACAAAATGCGATGGTGCAGACTGCCAGGAGTTCCTTTACCCGACAAGGTTCCCCGGCGTCACCTGGGACCACGATAACTGGAGGTTAGCCACAACAACCCTCTACCAAGGCCACTACCAATCTCGCGGCTCTATCGCAAATGGCTATATCGGTATCAACGTCGCGGCAGTGGGACCGTTTTTTGAACTCGATACCGCAGTCAATGGTGACGTCATCAACGGGTGGCCGTTGTATTCGCGCCGACAAACGTTCGCGACCATCTCCGGCTTCTATGACCTCCAACCAACAACCAATGGGAGCAATTTCCCCTGGATGAACCAGTACGGTGGCGAGAGTGTGATTAGCGGCGTGCCACATTGGAGTGGGTTGGTTCTTGATCTGGGCAATAATAAGTATCTTGATTCTAGCGTTACCATGGATGAGATCTCGAATTTCAAGTCTACATTGGATATGAAAGGCGGTCTGCTGAACTGGGAGTATACCTGGTCCCCTACTGGAAGGGGGGAGTCATTTGCGATTTCCTACCAGCTCTTTGCGCATAGGCTGAATGTCACTCAGGCCGTGGTGCGATTGGCTATTACCCCATCGGCAGACATGAATGTGAAAGTTGTTAATGTTATCGACGGATATTCAGCTGTGCGGACCGAATTTGTCGATTCAGGTGAGGATGGGCACGCGATTTACTCATCCGTTAGCCCTGTCGGTGTCCCGGATGTGACTGCTTACATTTACGCGACAATGTCTGGCTCGAAGGAAGTGGATATCGAATCATTGAAATTAGTCCCCAATCCTCCATACGTACACACGAACCGTTCCTCAATTGCCCAGGCTGCTGATATTAAACTACGCGCCGGCCAGAAAAGCATCGTCACTAAATTTGTTGGTGTAGCATCTTCTGACGGATTTGAAAACCCTAAGCAAGTGGCAAAGGAGGCATCATCAGATGCTGCAGACATTGGCTATGACGCGCTTTTGAAGTCTCATATTGGAGAGTGGGCAACTGTTTTCACTGACGACTCTGTCGATGATTTTGCTGTTCCAAAAACCGGGCGCCTACCTCTGGATGACCACGTTATCGAATCTGCTATCACATCCGTCACGAATCCATTTTATCTGCTCCAGACCATTGTGAGCGATAATGCAATCCACGCTGCCAGAAATGCCCCTATCCACCAGGGCAGCGTTGCCGTGGGCGGTTTGACTTCAGACTCGTATGGTGGTCTGATTTTCTGGGATGCGGATATCTGGATGCAACCGGGTCTAGTTACTGCGTTCCCACAAGCGGCTCAATCATTTACTAACTATCGTCTCATAAAATACGGACAGGCCATTGAAAATACTAAAACTGCATTTGCATCGTCAAAGAACCAGACTAGGTTCTCTCAGGGCGCTGCTATCTATCCATGGACTAGCGGACGGTTCGGGAATTGTACGGGGACAGGCCCATGTTTCGATTACCAGTACCACCTTAATGGCGATATTGGTTTGCAGATGATCAATAATTGGGTGACCACTGGTGACACCGATCACTTTAAAGAGAAGTTGTTTCCAGTCTACAATTCGATTGCGATATTATATGCCGATCTCCTGGAAAAGAACGGGACAAAATGGACACTCACTAATATGACGGACCCGGTATGTGTCCATTCTTCACGTTTTCCCTTTCTTCTAGTTGTCTTTCTCTGCAGTTTGACCTGAAGCACCCTAACAATACGTAGGACGAATACGCTAATCATGTTGATGGTGGGGGTTTTACCTTGCCCATGATGGCGACAACATTGATCTACGCAAACTCCTTGCGCCAGATGCTCGGTTTCGAGCAGAATGAGACATGGAATGAGATGGCTGAAAACATACTGGTGTTGAGAGACCCCGTGGCAGACGTCACCCTAGAATATACAACGATGAATGGCAGCACCCTAGTGAAACAAGCGGATATCGTCTTGAATACGTTTCCATTAAGATATACAGATGGATACTCCCCGCAAAACGCACTGAGCGATCTTGACTATGTACGTTGCAACCACCCGTTTCCCGTTAGCTATGCTCCAACCCCAAGAAATGATCTGTATACCGCATGCTTAGAGGTCTGCTAATGCAAATCTAGTACGCCGCAAAGCAATCCCCTGATGGCCCCGGAATGACCTATGCCATCTTCTCCATCGTCGCCAATGAAATTTCTCCCTCTGGATGTTCCGCCTACACATACGCGCAATACTCTTATGCCCCGTACATCCGGGCCCCATTCTTCCAGTTCTCTGAGCAGCTAATAGACAACTGGTCGAGAAATGGCGGTACTCACCCCGCATATCCATTCCTAACTGGAAACGGTGGCGCCAACCAAGTCGCCTTATTCGGTTATCTGGGTTTGCGCCTCCTCCCAGATTTTGTCTTGCACCTGGACCCCAACCTGCCACCACAGATTCCACATTTATCCTACCGGACTTTCTACTGGCATGGTTGGCCCCTGAAAGCTGCGTCGAATTATACACATACAACCATACAGCGTGCCCCTAATACCCAGCCACTGCCAACAGCAGATAAAAAATTCGCCGGCGCTCCTATTCCTGTCCATGTCGGTCCCGAATCAAATGTAACAGTCTATTTACTCCCCGCCTCCGGCATCCTCACCATCCCAAATCGCCAAATTGGCTCCCATGCCACGTTCCCGGGAAACATGGTACAATGCCAGCCAGCTTCCTCTCCAGACGAGTACGAACCGGGCCAATTCCCCATCGCAGCCGTAGACGGCGCTGCATCAACTAAATGGCAACCTAAACGCGCAAATGCCACCTCGTCGCTAACTGTCTCCTTCCCCGACGACGAAATCTCGGAATTAATCACCGGTTTCGGCTTCGACTGGGCGCAGGCACCCCCTGAATCCATCGCTGTCGTCCTGCACAATACTCCGATAAGTAAACCAACACAACAGCAGGTGTCCCAGTCATTTTCACCATCATCGGCGTCGGGAGCGCTATCTGTCCCTTCGACTCCAGGAGCCATCACAGTCACCGCCTTTCCTTCAATCACACTCTCCAACCCCTACAATCCGGCAACGACGGACCTAAACACCATAGCCCGTTACGCTGGAAACACGACGAATGTAACGCTAGCACGGCCCGTGCCAGCCACCCGCTTTGCGACACTCTTCATGTGGGGAAATCAGGCGCTGGATAATGCAGATCGACGGGCGGGGAATGGAAGTGGGGCTACTGTGGCGGAATGGTCGATCCTTCGAGCCCTTCGAGCGGGCCAGAGCGGGACAACTGCGGGCCGAGGAGGTGGTGAGGAGGGGAAGTTTAAGGTCAGAGGGGCTAGATGGTGGGGGGAGTAAATGGATCCTTTTTGAAGGTGTTGTATATATATATATATATATATATATCTATTTTAGTTTTTGGTCATATGGGAATGATATGTAGCTCGCCCCCCTAACCCCTATTTCCCCCAACAGGGGCTAAATCGTTCAGGTTTTATCTATATTCGAAAGTCATAACATGCGTCGTGAAGCGGAAATACAGACATTTTTATCAGATAGTCAGCTTGCCGCAGCCATTTCAAATAGACACGACCGACCTTAGTGAGATTTTAAGCTAAAACATGTTTTTCTGGTTATTTGGATGGTACGCTCTTCCCTACATTTACAGCATATAAATATTCAATATCAGGCAAGCTTGTGGCATTTTTGAGGTATCATTACAACATGATAGATAATATCTGATATCGTGAGGGAAGGCCTATTGGGTGTGCAATTATTTGTTAATCTATCATTATTTGTCTCTCTTGGCTTATATTTAAACAGCTACAAAGGACAAGGATCAAATATAGATTGAATGTGAGAGGAAATTACAATAGACATTAATTATAAGTTATTAGTTATTATAAATTATTATAGTTACACCAAGATTTCACTTCAACCTCCTCTTCAAATTAATTAGGCCTCTGAAGCTTGACACCGGCTTTCGTAAACGCAATTTACTGATATCTGCAATATTACCTCAACCAAAGATGGAAAAACAGAAAAGGAAAAAAAAAAAGGGGGGGGGGGGGGTAGTAAACCCATATTTGCGCCCCAAACCTCATACCATATTACCTATCCAACGGGAACCGATTCAGGAACCGATATACCGTCAACCCGTCCAAGACACTTCTAACGTAGGCCTCACTTGCATCGTTGGAAATATACACACCAGGCTGGTCCAGCCCATTCGACGCATCCCCACCAGCGGCCATAAGGACGTCACGAAGGGCTTCATTGCTACCGTCACCGACGGCGCCAACGGGCTTTCCATACGTGTATGCATCCGTAATAATCCTGAGCGGGCGACCCGTTGGGTATTGCGTTGAGGTGCTCGGGAGCAAGCCGCCGACGACGATCACGGCATCGAAGATCGAGCCGTCGGCGCCGGAATAGGTCATGTTCACGCCGCGTTGGGGATCAAGCGATGGACCCACTAGGACGATATCTACGTTGTTGTTGGCGCTGTTAAACGCGGCCCGGAGCTGCTGCGCGATCGTGAAGCTACCGTCGTCTCTTGTCAGGAGGGCAATTTTCAGCCCGTCGAGCCGCAGGAGATTCGTGCCGAAGGTGCCGATGGGGACGGTTGTCTTGTTGTGGTAGAAGGTTGGGTCCGGGGATGGGGGTTCGACGCCGATAGCTAGCGCGACGCGGCGGGCGAGGTCGTTGTCGACGCGGTTCAGCTGGATGATGACGTTCTTGCGCACGATTTCACTCCGCACGTGGGAGTTTTCGAAGCGCATGGCGTTGACGAGGAATTGCTTCTCGAAGACCGTGAGTGAGTTGTAGAAGAGACGCGGTTGGGACCAGACGTCGTTGAAGCTCGGGCTGAGCTCGCGCACTAGTGGTCCATTTACCATACGCCCAGGTGCGGTGAAGAATCCTCTGTTATGGGTCCGGTTGGCTTGTTGAGGGAATCCGTTGCTCATTGAGTTGGGTGTATATGCGGCCGTGTTTAGAGGGATGAACATTTGTCCTGTGCAGACGGGGATGTTAATACTCTATACAAATCGATTGGGTCAAGATGGAAGTTGACATGGTAGGTGAGAAGTAGCTTACCAGCACCGTCGCGATTGTTGTTATGGAATGGGATGCGGGGTCTGTTGATCGGCAGTTGCTCGAAGTTGGGACCTCCATGGCGATTCAATTGAGTGTCAAGGTAGGAGTACAAGCGGCCCTGAAGCAAAGGGTCATCCGTGAAATCGATTCCGCGAACTACATGACCTGGTTGGAACTGTGGAAATATATTTAGATATACGCTTCATCTAGCTATACATGTATTCATATTCCAAATATATAGGGGGTGGACCAACCATGATCTGCTCAGTTTCGGCAAAATAATTTTTTGGGTTTCGGTTCAAGACCATTTTTCCGATTGGGGTGAAAGGAACAAGATCTTCTGGGATGATTTTGGTGGGATCTAATAGATCGAAATCAAACTTGGATTGATCTGCTTCATTCACCAATTGAAAGCCCAGCTATATGAGTAAAACGTATATAAAGTCAGTCTTGGGTTGAAGATATAAAAAAAGACGAAAAGAGCAACCGACAGAGCAGAGAAGCGCTGTCAGAACTAATGATTCGGGGGAATCATATCTTACCTCCCACTCAGGGTACCTTCCAGATTCAATGGCATCCCAAAGGTCTTGTCGATGAAAGTCGGGATTTTTTCCGCCAAGAGCCTGTGCCTCTTCCCATACCAGGCCCGCTCTTCCTTGGAGGGTCTTCCAGCGAAACTTGACCAAGGTCGAGTTGCCCTCATCGGTGACAAGTCGGAAGGTGTGGACGCCCCACCCATCAACATGACGCATTGAGCGAGGGATTCCATGTCCTGACATTGCCCAGAAGAGGGCATGCAATGAGCTGGGCTGCTGGCTGAAGAAATCCCATGCCGTATCATGTGCAGTTGCAGCCTGGGGAATTTCATTGTCTGGTTGCGGCTTGACAGCGTGAATTAAATCAGGAAATTGAATAGCGTCCTGGATGAAGAAGACTGGAACGTTGTTTCCAACGATATCTACATTGCCGAGTAGTCAGCCTAGGTCCTGGGTTTGTATTCATATTTGTTGTGCTGTTATGAGTATGACTACCACGATATAATGCTTACCAAAATTGCCTTCATCGGTATACAGACGGGTCGCAAATCCGTGGATATCGCGAGCAGAGTCAACACTGCCTCTGCTACCAGCGACTGTAGAAAACCGCACGAATACTGGTGTCTGCTTTCCTGCCGCGTTCAAAAAGGATGCGGCAGTGATATTGGACCAATTATTATAGGACGTGAATACGCCATGGGCACCAGCGCCTCGAGCATGGACAGCGCGCTCAGGAACCTGCGTAAAATTGAATTAGCGGATTTGCAACACGGTCACATATTTTGTATCTACATACCCGCTCATGATCAAAGTGTTGAATCTTCTGGCGGAAGATAAAATCCTCAAGTAGAGTTGGGCCTCTATTTCCAGCCTTCAAGCTGTGTTGATCCTCAATGGGACCACCCACGTCCGTTGTTAGCACCGACTGTGCATCATCAATGTAAAACTGGCTAAGAAACTGGTCCGTAGGGTCGGACAGAGTGTCATGGCGGCGATCGAGGGGGCCTTTCTGACCGCTAGGCATCTCCCCTGACATGTAGGGACAGGCTGCAGAAACAACACCCGCCGAGGCGAGTATAAGCTTGAGCGACCGCATTTTTACCCCCTGAATTGAACGTGGAGTAAGCTTGCTCGAGACAAAAAGATGCTGAAGAAGACAAATAATCAATGGCAGTTAGATATCGATATCTATTACATATGCAGATAGTGTTGGAGAGGGTAGGGACCAAATTGACTGGGACCCTTCTTGAGTGGAGCACGCAGTGGCCTATAGGGAACCCAAATGGGGAGGGGGGAAATGGGAAACGGACGCACGAAGTCTGGAAAGAATGGCGGGAGGAGGTCCAAAATTTAACAGGCCAGGGCTTCCGGGCGGCTATAAATAAACCATATGCATCAAGGGCCACACCCCAGGGTCCAGAGCTCGCATACCTGCATGTTTGCCACAGAGAAGATGAATGAAAATAAAAATAAAAGGTGCGTCATGGGGTGAAGCCATTGAGGTGATAAACTTCAAAATATAGATCGATGGCACCTGGCATTCGCCGAGACCCTTGGATAAAGCAAAGTTATCGGAGCCAGCAGAATCCGTGGATCCTGGAGAAGTGTAAGTGAGGTTATATGTGGCGAGTCTCCCCGACTATCGTGCTACTCACCCGGATGTCAAAAGGTGCTGTTTCCATTCTCTGGGAAGGATATTTCTTTTCCTTAGAGGTGGTGCAGTCGAGGAGCAGCTAACTGCTGGGATTGAGTATATCCATGTGCTGGAGTGTCTAGAGCTGATGTAGCCCATTTTTAGTCGGAAAACACCCCCCATATTCGCCAATACGACATCCATCATTATTCAGAGCCTTTCAGAGCCTACCTCGCAAGCAGCTGGTTTCCTCCTCCCAGCTGGTGGCCCTTAGATGGCTGCAGATGTCTTGGTGGTACAGGCGCATGTGCTGTACAGTGTACACAACAAAGGTACATGTGTATCACATGTATCAGATATGTCATATCTCAGTTTTCCCGTTTCGTACGCTTCTTGCCGGCTTGGGCATGAGATGAGGTTGGTGATATCAACAAGCGTGCTTCATGTTCCCCTGCTGATTGATTGGCTAAGGCCGTGCCCTAAACTGAAGTCGTGCCTTGGCGGGCCGCCTGGATACGGCCACGGGCAGGAAGCGCTTCCACGACAGCTCTCGGCATTGAAGTAGATCACTCTGGCTCTTGTCGATCAGGAATCAGGAGCACTGGAGTAGAGTCAGCTCGAGAAGTTAGCGTGGAGTTTGCTGGTCAAAGTTTTAGCCAATCCGCGCCACCGGCTGGACAACTGTGGAAACATGGAACCATTCATCGACGCCAGGAACGAGACGGAGTTACCACAGCCCAAGCGCCAACCAGGGCGCCGCCATTTCTCATCGCATTGACGATTGTTGTAAGGGCCAAGTGTTGCTACTTTTCTCGGCGTGAGAGCACTGACGAGTGACCTCCGTTGATCGAAGGGATTGATTGATTGACCATACTAGAAATTACTAGTAATAATGATAACTGTGCAAGAGCATGCATGTAAGTGCAGAAGTTCGGAACGATAGGAATAGCGCTCTGAAAGTTGCTGAATGCCGTTCTGTGAAGTGAATTCCGCGAAACGAATCAATGATGACTCTGATGTACTGGCAAGGATTTTGGGGACATAAATGGTCTGCGAAGCAGTGATCAAATCCGACTGGGATGGTCCAGAGTTCAGCATTGGATAGCGATCGACACCGCCTGAACGGCCCGGGACGTATCAAATTTCCCTCGCTGGAGATGGAGAAAGGGATTTGAATACAAGGCGATACCTCGGATTGTTGATCGCATCGGGAGGTCGAGATGGAGAGAGCTTTTTTAAATAGTTTGAGTGAACACGATTACGCCGTGCAACTGCTGATTAGTTACAAAGAATTCATGGTTGACACCTTGCACAAAGTTCCACATGAGTTTCAAATTTCAGCGAGTTTCGAAAGAATGTTCTTGGCTGTTTAAACAGAGCCTTCTAGTCAATTCAAGTATGCGAATGGCTAGGATATACAGGGAGGCTAACTTTACAATGGCGTATGAATGATGCGATCACATATGTAGGTTGAAGGGGTTTGTGAGCATGCATTCTGGGGTGACTGGATAACTTACTCCGCTGACACAATGATAGCGGTGAATTCAAGTAAGCAGTCATGTATATCCCGCAAAATCGGCCCAACTACTGGGCCAAATTGCAGGAGCCTGCTCCTTCGACGTTGCTGGCCCATGGCTATCTCCACGACTGACAAGGTGTTGCGCCTTTTTCGAAACTATTATTATTCGCTCTCGCTGGCAGACGACGGTTATTGGGTAAACTTCTATCCTCACCGAACATTGGTTTCATAAGGTCTGACGAAATGCTCAATTGGCCCCCAAAGCGGCATCATTGCCCTAGCCGGAGGTGTCCCACTCTGTCATTCAAATTTCTTTCGAGCCTCTCTGCTGCGCCCTCAAAGTAGTTGACGAGGCAAATTTTCGTCACTATCAGGCCAGAAAACTCCGCAGTGGGTCTCGGAATACATTAACTACTGGTCCCAGAATGGAATGTGCCAGCTCAGGAAATGGTTTTCAGGTTTTGGATAACTAATGGCCGTCCTTGGATAGGACAGTGAGGACCCAACAGAATGAGATTCCCGCCCGATACCATGGATGAGCAGGTTTCTTGACGCCAAATTTAACCAGAACGAAGATTGATCCAGGGGACGTTGCATCCGATCGAGTTCTTTTTGTTTCGCCTCGTTGAATTGAATCTGTGCGCGCAGAGTGGATTGCGGCCAATTAGCTGAGGGCTTCGAAGATATCAACATATAACAAAATGTTTGCTTGATGCTTTGGACCACTGAGGTCAGGGAGAGCATCAAGGACCTCGATCGAGGCCACGTTGCAAATAATCTCAGGGAATGAGCCGCAAAAACCGAGAAGGAAAAGTTTATTCAGATCTACTTATAGAAACGAGCGGATCCAAGATCTGAACCAAGATCTGCCTTTGAACCTAATCGGAAAATTCAAACCTTGTCCACAGACCAGCAAGGAGACATCGAGATAGTTGCAGAGACCTACACTGTGCAGCTCAGGCCAGCACGTAATCGCAAGTTGCCACTGGGGCTCAAATATCTCATAAGCAACGACTCCATGCTTCTATACCAGCCGTAAGAAAGACAGCTGGTCGCACCTCGTCTGATCTGATCTTCCAATTGAGTTATTAGGACAACTTTTCTTTAACTTTAACCTAACGCAGATCAGCCCTGAACTCAATCACTATGAATTTGTACTTGCACCTCTGTGCTAGCAACCCCACCAGATGTTCCAATTTATCAATGAAATTCATCTATTAGGAGTGTTTGTAACTATCCAGAGGGCGCAGCACCGTGGACTGCTTAAATAGGTGTGGGCCATGTGGCCTTCGAGCGAGCAATAGGGATGCCAACTTGAACAGAATAAAAGTATTTATCTATTAAGAATATATCAATAGTTAGTTAAATCCTAGCATGGGTTACTAAGAGTTATTGTAGTCATAGTTACCTTTATTTTCTCCAAATCACCATCAATTTGAGGAGCCCAACAGATTTATTTGTGTATTAGATCTGTTTGTTTGTCGTGGCTGAGCGTTTAGTTTGAAGCGGATCTCGTGGTCCTGGCATACCTCACTAAAATTACGTGCACTAATTGCATGGTGGATTATGTCAACATACGTTGGATGAGTGGTTTAGATGGGTCAACTGACCCACCACCCCAACACCACAATACACAGTTAGAGATGAGAGTTAGTTTAGAGGTTAGAGGTTGGTATAACCATGATATAAGTCAACTTGCATTGTGCGTAGTTATTCAGGTATTGACAACGCTTCGTGGTGTCTCTGGCTTTGAAATGCTTGAACAGGGCTGAAAGTTTTTCCGGCCGAGAGACAATACCATAGCCAGGATCCGAGAACTCCCTTTCAACCTCCCCGCCTCATCCTGAGAACAATATCCGTATTCTTCAATATGTCTCCTCAGTCAAAGTTTCCGTTGCAACCTCAAAATGAACGTGTCACGTTGCATACAGCACCCTGCACGTTCCGCACGGGCGACCGCCACAAAATCAAGTGTTCTCTAGCTCTTTAGGACAATTGCTGTCATATTCAATTTCTCCTGTTTGCCTCCCTTCTGGGATTCCGAGGTTTCGGGTAACTCTTGCGCCTAATGCAGACGCAGGAGAAGTGCCCTTGTAAACACCGGATTTACCCCGCAGCTATAATGGCGCTTTACCATGAAAGGGTTGTTTGTCCTATCATTCCCCGGCGTGGAGTCGACAACAACCTCGGTCTCCGGTTAGGTTTGATAAAATGTGAAAGCGCATATTTTCATATCTCGTTATTTCAAATTTAACCGAACCATCATCTGTGACTCTTGTTTGAGATTGTTTTATATACACTCACGATTTTCTTTCTTATATCGTCAGATTTTCGATATTTGACAGGACACGGAGAGAAACAACAGAGGGCGCTCCTCCCCGTCCCTCCCCGTCTCTGGGCGGAAATTCCCTGGGCGGAATTCCACGGCCGATTTCCTTATTCCTTTCAAAGTCGGGGTCTTTGTGGTGTGATTTTCCCCATCCGCACCATATCCCGACTGGGGCACAATCAAATGAAGCGAAATCGTTTGCGCCTCCCTTTGCTGTGTCTTGCAATATGGGGCCCGGGAGTTAAGCCCATTAATTTGACTTTCTAGAGTGACCCCAGAGGAGAACGAAGATCCTCACATCCCCTGCACACCTTTTCGTCCAGGGACTTTTTTTCAGGGATTTACAAGACGCCGAGTATTGGTGGGGTCATTCAACGGAGACTTTGCCAGATATTAATATGGGTCAAGGTAACCGTGAAGAATGGTAGCGGGAATCTGGTCTCTACTCCCCACATGGCCCGAAGCCGTCAATATGCAAGTGAGCAGCCACGCCAGGCGGAAGCTTCTTGATTTAGCATAGTGAGCTAGTGGAAATTTGAAAGGACGGTGCATGATTTCTGGGGTTATGGTGAGTTCACCCCAAACCTATTATCATCTAATGATATGCAGAACTAACTGTCAAAAGTCTCAAAGCTCTATATGAGGTTCCGCTAATGAATCTTTTTCGCTTGGGACTTGCAAGTTAATTTTTATCTCGACCATACTTACCCAGATAGCAGGAGTATACAGCTAATTGTGGGGCATGGATGGAATCACTCTCGCCTGGGTAGTCTTCCGGCTTGGTTACCGTGTAGGGACCGTATTGGGTAGCATACCAGGTTGAGCCACAGCGGCAGCAGCACAATCTGGCCGCTATCTTTCCCAGCAGGAAATAAGCAGCCCATGTGCCATGGATCTGAGTTGACCGTTTAAGCAGATAAACACGAGATGGAGAAACGCAATCTAGGATCAAGGCCTCCGGCATATCACCCGTTTTGGTCCCCCAACTCCGAGATGAGTTATACAGGGCCATAAGCTCGCCAGCGAATGGGCCGCCTGGCCCTGGCAATCCTAGATGTGGGAAAGCACATCAAGAACATTGGATTGATAGCGGCAGTCCACTGGCAGACATATTTTTGGACAACCCGATCTCCACCTTTCTATCTCCAGGTATCAATACGACTCTGGAACCTTGAAAGCGAGCGCCAATGAAAAACTGTTTCTGAGAAGATTAAAATTGTATTTGCTCTATGATGGCTTTTTTTATCGCAGAGGAGTCAACTATAAATACGGCCGCGAGGGAACCTCGTGAAAGATTTATTTCTAATGCACAGCAGCAATCAATTGGCATCAATTGACCAAGGCCCTCCCTAAGTACCCAAGAACCTCAAAAAAGGACCCTAATCACAGTCCTCGCGAACAACGAAAGCTCCCCATCAAAAAACCGAATACCAAAGTCGAAACCCCGAAAACTCGGATATCCTCAATTTTTTTTTTTTCAAATCACAAATCAAAAACTTCAAAAAACTAAGCCTACTTTACATCCTCAACTATGAAGATCTCTATCGTTCTCCCCGCTATTCTCGCTCTCTCCACCGCCACTTCGGCAACTGATTGCTATGGCAGCAGCAGATGTCAGGTTGGCGGTTGCCAACTTAGTGATGTTCTGAATGCGGTTCCCGCCAGGAATTTCCAACCGGGAGAGAGGATTGCCTGTTGCAGCCCCAGAAATGGGGGCAACGGTCTCTGTGCCTGGGCGACGCATTCGAATGGATACATGAGCTGGGTGGTTGCCAGGAATTACATTCAGGGGTTGATGAACTATGGATGCCGACGATGCGGGCATAACGGGTCCGTCAGGGTCGATGTTCCCTGAGCTATTCCAGAATTGGAGAGAGTACAGTGCTGGTGGATTTTTCTGTGTTCTTCTCTATACGTTATATATGACCTCTTGTTGTCAGTTTTATGTATCTGCGTTCTGCGTCTTAACCGACTGCTTGTTTTCCCGTCCTTATTTATCTCTGATGTTAAACCCGCCAAAGTCCATCCCACACTCGTTTTGTTTTTCGGAGTCATACCCCTGTATCTCAGACAATGTTCCGGATTAGGGTCGTGCTGTATTGTGTCATCAAAAATTATGGGCCTGCGTTGATGCAAGGGTCAGTTTGGTATTCCTGCCACCCTACCCACCAGACTTAAATCCAATTGAAGAGTTCTTTGTTGAGCTAAAAGCCTTTTATTAAGCGAAATTGGCGTTTCTATGAGGAAGACCTTAGGCAGAGCTTTGATACATTTATTGAATGGTGTGTTGATGTTGTGGGTGCAAGAGAATAAAGCGCAAAAGGCCATTTCCGGCATGCAGGCTTGGCAGTTGAAGAGATATATATGATGAGGGTTAGCAAATTGTATCATGTCCTCTATTACTATTATATTGATCCAAGTAGATAATTAACTATACCGAAATGCACTGCAGGTGTTAAAAGACGAACTAATATAACATGTTTGTACTTGACCCATGGTGCAAATTGGTTGTAGTCATTATTTTCCTATCCTATCTTTAGAAATATCCAGATTAAACGGCATCTCTTTTTTCTTTCGCCATGTAATAGCGTAGGAAACTAGTGCCGGAATTTCATTCAAAGACGGTCTGTTTTGTGGCGCATTTGTTGACGAGAAATCGTTGCCGTCAATCAAGAGGGAATCGTGGCCCTGAGGACTCAGGATGGTGCCCTTCAGTGCTTTGTTGTTTGTTTCCGTCGAGAAATTGCTGGATTTTGACTGGTGTTGTTCCGTATTGTTCCCGAATAAGCCTTATCGAAGCTTGCTGGATCCGAGAAGGGAATCTTCGTCGCAATTCTGTCAAGACATCAATTGTGAAAGCCTGACGGTTGTCGAGAAGGATATTGTAATTGAAACTCTCGAAGCATGCTCTCGCCGCATCCTCAACTTCCCCGCATGTTGCATGTGACCCTACAAGGGGTACGACACTCTTTGCAGAACTGCGCGAGAGTTAGAACTGGTTGATAAGTAACTCCACGTCACCTCCACCAGATTTTGCGTCACAGCCATTTATTCCAATATGCACAAGGGTTCCGTTCGGGTCGGCCATTCTGTTGGGAATAAATAGCAATGCGCTCTATCTCCGACGCCAAATGCAACAAGATGAAGGGTTTGTGGAGCATGCTCAATGGTTTGAGATGATGCTGAAACCATTGAGGACATAGTAAAGCTTTTGCAGAATAATCACATTATCGGGGCTGGGAATACGGGGTTGGGGAGAGGGATATTTGAGTATCCAATTAGGCAACATTCCATTGCAGCCCTAAGTTCAGCATAATGCACATGGCTTTCAATATCCTCGCTTGTATTTCAAACTCTGAACTTCTAGTCGCGCTGGAATGCAAGGAGTCAAGGCTTCCATCAGTATGGGTTTCCACCACTCTTCTCCTCCATAATCATACAAACATGCGGCAAGTGCGTACTCGACATACTCCGGATAAAACCCACTACGCTCCCAGTCCACAATACCTGTTATCTTCCCTTCCTTGACAAGGATATTGCGTGGAAAGAGGTCCCCGTGCGTGAGCACAAACTTCGACTGACTATTCCGCCGTAATTCAGCAAGCTTCCTCCTCCACTTGCTTCTCTCAGACGTGTTCTTTATACGGGAAAGACACCATTCATCGAACTTGGCCTCCGAGTTGAATGGGCCAATGAAGTTTGTCGTGATACCTTCGTACGGGTTGTAGGTGGGTTGGCGATTGACACGTCCAATATATGGCTGGGTGCATGACCTGAAAAGTTTTAAATGGTCTGCAAGCTGTTCCTTGATCGACATGCGTTGTTTTTCATCCAATGTCGGCCAGACCTGGTCAAGTGGATTGCCTGGCACAAAGTCGGCAATCATAGCGATCCGGTGGCTGTTGAGTTGGCGGCATTCCCAGACAGCAGGAGCCAAGAGGTTCTGAGAATTCGCGTAGGCCATCATGTCCGCCTCTGATTCCCAGAAAAAGCCCACGGTTTTGAATTTAATAGCGACAGGGTGTCCATCTGGGATGTTGTGGCTCTTGATAACGCGGTTGCCAAAATACTCGTATACTGTTTCCCCGTCGAAGGAACCATCATCGTACCGTTCAGAACGGTCTATTTTAGAATCTCTATTATTCTGCGGTCTAAACTTGTTCACAAGAAAAGCGAGCATTGATGCGAGTACTGCAGGGATATGTATATATACATATATTGTAGTTTGCTAGCTCTTTTTCCGAAGACCATGCACGATTATTTACCAACGTGACTTAGCACGTGGAAGATTTGGTGGACAACGTTTGGCTCTCTACTTGCTTCACGAGATTGAGAGTTGGGCCAGGCCGAAAATTTCGACTTCACAAGAGACGCGACAAGTAGATGACAGGTTGGGCCGAAGTTCACCCGCTGGGCTCACATAGCTGAATGTTGGTGGTGAAAAGCGCAAAGTGAGGAAGGGTTATTTTTGATATGTAGGTCCTGTAGTCGAAGAATATGAATAACTATATACATGATGCCTAAAAGAAAATCAAGCTTCATATTCTGTTTATGAACTTGCACGCAATATCTCATTAAACGTATACTTCGAAATATAGTTATCGCTTAGCTGTCTAGAATATCCACCTGTTCTTTGGCCCATGTAGGGATGTCGCTAACAGAACGCTGAGCAATGCCTATCTTTATGCCATTTTCAACAAAGAATGTTTGGTTTGGTCTTGTAGATCTGCTCAAGTTCAAGGCAACTTTCCTGCCACTTGCTGTGCACTTTCATGGCGTTAGTATGTAAGAGATTTGATATCAATAGGGAAAGGTGTATTGGATGCAGGCGGATTGTTGTCCCTCAGTTGTCTCTTTTCAGCCCTTTGCTTGCTTTTGATATAGCTGCTGACGGATCCGATCAGTCTCTGTGTCGGAACTAAAGAAGTCCGAATATTGTCCCGATTACTGAATATCAAAAGAATAATTGAATTGCTTATTATAACTCCAATAATTACATGATAAACAGGCAGTATTTATATAGGGAAAAATATGCTTGCCTATATGAGCAGAGCAATGCTGAGTAACAGCAGAGCATTGGTAAGTTTCATATAGTGAGACGTTCCAGGTTCCAAGTTGCTACATAACACTTGATAATAGAACCTACCAAGTTCTTGATCTGACACTCTGCTTTTTCCACATACCTAATAAGGTTTGTTAGGTGACGTTGTTCCCAGTAGTATTCTCCCGGCATGATGGCCCGTCGATGCCGGCGTCTTGTTCAACAAGCATTCCCTGAGCCACCGATGTAGTCCTGTCTTCTCTGTGGTTAAAGGCGATATTGAGTCTAAGCTTCAGGTTTTCCCCACAAGAAGAGCTGCTTCACCACAGCTGTTCCAGTCAATATCAGTAACTATTTTCGAAAAGCTTTGTAATACAACGCCGGGAACGATCATTTACAGATACTGCTGTTGTAGTATCATCGGATCTAGCCCGTCGGTTGCGGGATATTTTCCGACGTAGAATGGCATCCGGCAGATAGAGCGCGGTTGTTGACGGTAGCTCGCCACTCAAACGGGTGAAGAAAGTATAGTTATCAGGTTCCAAGTTGCTACAAAGTCCTTGATAATATAGAACCTACCAAGTTCTTGATTTGACAACTGGGAATTTTTTATTTTCTATTTGAATCATTCATATCTGCTCAACGCTGAGTCTTCAGCTCAATTGTTGCACCATGTGATTGGTTAGGATTTTGGATGGCTTTTTTCCCTTTCTTTTTATTTTTATTTGTTTATTTTTTGCTTTTTCAAGGATATTTTTTATTTTTCAATTGTTTTTTTTTCCTCTTCCGAGACGTGCGCGAATGTCAACGCAGAGGCGTGAGAACGGTTTGTCGACGCACGCCAACAGGAGGAGGAAGACAGGAACAGGCCCGTCCCCTTATAAAGGGGGGAAGAAAATTCTCACAAGGAACGAGCCAAGGAGAGCCCTGCCATAGCGACAGCGATGACGTTTAAAGTATTCATCCCATACCTGGCGGCTGCTCTCGCTGTTGCATTGCAAGGCATAACACTCATTTATATTCCGCCAAACTCCCACAAACGGAAATACATGTTGCCGGTGATTCTGCTGCCAGTTTCACTCGTTTGCCTTACGGCTCAACATGCTAGCTTCGTATGGCCATGGAACATCTTCATCGGCTTGGAATTTGGTGCTTTACTTGGCCTGGAGGTGTTTGATAATGTCTGCCTGTCCAAGGTCTCATATCACGCAGTGGGAGTCGCACAAGTGGGAGCGAGAAAGAAGAACGATGATGACGATCCGGATACTACGAGCGCATGGAGCCGATTTTGTGATAAAGTCCGCTGGTCTGTTGATATAGCTATTAACAAACGGCACATTAACCGTGCAGACCAAACGCGGAATGTGCCCCTTTTCGATCCCAGCAGACCACAGCATGTTCCATCGCGGCGCAGTTTTCTCCTCTTCCGTGCCGCACGCTTCATTCTTCTATACCTGGCTCTCGATCTTATTACAAGCCGACCGCTAGAGGATGCGCAGGTTAAATTTGCTGCGGGGAAGGCGCGAATTTTCACCCGCGTACTGGCGAGAGACATCTCGCCTGCAGAAATAGGGGAGGCGTTGGGCCTTATCATGGCCCACTGTGTATGTGGGTATATGTCGCTGCTTTTGGGATACGACTTTTTCTCGCTGGTTGCTGTAGGATTGTGTGGGGGCAGGGTTTCGGACTGGAGGCCCTTGTTTGGAGACATTCGACAGGTTTACACCATCAGGACATTTTGGAGGTATGTCATGTCAAGAATCAGCTCCTTTCCAAAAAAAATTCCACTCCATCAACCTACCCGGATGGCAAATATGTGAATAAGGAAAAGCCGACAAAAGCTGACACCACGCCCTCCCTGGTAACCAAAAGATTATTTTGGCACCAGCTCCTACTACGGCCCCTCGACGCAAGTGCCTCCTTCTTAACTCATTCACTCCTTGGTCTCCCGCGCTACTCTACTAGAGGCATCAACCGCATCGTCACCTCTGCCGACAACAGCAGTAAGCTCAGGACATCACCACCAGAGCAGCAGCAGCAGCAGTCGCAGACGCAAGCCAGCAAACTCCTCCTCCTCATCACCGCCTACACCAAACTCACCCTCATCTTCCTGCTGTCGGGCCTCGTTCACATTAACTCCGACCACATCCTGGGCATCCGCTTCCGCGACTCCTATTCCATATCCCTATTCCTCTGCCAGGCCTGCGGCATTATGGTTGAGGACGCGGCCCAGTGGACGTACCGTTGCATCACTGGGAGCAAAGGAAATGGGCCTGTGAAGGTATGGCACCGCCTCGTCGGCTATGCGTGGCTGGTTGTTTTCGCGCTGTGGGCGGCGCCCGGCTGGGCGTTTTCGGTTGTGAGGTTGGAGGTGCCGCCTACTGCTTTGCCGGTGACGATATTTCCCCGCCGTTGAAGCGTATATAAATTTGTTACCCAGGGCTGGAAATCGATGATTTCGGGTTTTCTAGATGGGGTGGGGTTTATATGCGGATCTAGTCATATATATTGTTATAACTAGTTATATAGGTAATTTTAGCTAATGTTATAATATTCTTAACTAGTTAGTTACTGGGTTTGTTAGGATTGAGGCGTCGCGTCGCCCGGTAGTCGTTACGCCGAAGCCCGGCTAAGTAGCACAGTAGCCGAACAAGCCGAGGTGTTTCAAGCGTCGCTGGCACGAACTGGAATTTATATGTGTGGGGGTAAATTGCTGACCTGCATGGCTTTATTTGTTGAAAATCGAAATATCATAATCTAGGACAACACTAGAACAGTGTAACTACAGATTACGTAGCTGGCTAAACACACGAATAAAAGGAGCAGGCCAACCCTGCACACCACCCTTGTCTAACACCCTTGCTGAAAGAGATCTCTAGTCTGCGTGTGCAACTTGTTCTAATTTACGCCCGCTCCGTACTTTAATTCATCATCTTCTTGCGCTCCTCCGCCAACACCTCCTCAGTAACGTTGACTAAAATCTCGAATGCCCGACGGACATATTTCTCCTCCGCCAGCGGATTCCCGCTCACCGCCCGAATCACCACAACCCCACCAAGCACCGAGGACGTCAGGAACAACTCGCCGCCGGCATTGATCTTCTCGCAGACTTTGTGCGTAAGAGCCTGCGTGGAAACGCCTGAAGAGGTGTCCTGCGACGCTTTCTTCTCATTCTGTCCGGGAGTAGCACCATTACTCAGAGGGGTAGAATTGGTGCGGGACTTCTCGTCCAAGCCTCGTACTCTCAACGTGGTCAAGCCAAACGCAGGGCCCGTGACGATCTCGAAGAGGTCGTCTCGCGTTCTGGTGAGGTCGGCGAAGACAACCCCGTTGTTTATGCCCTTGCGGATATGCGCTTTCATACCTGAGAGCCCGTAGGTGCGCATGACGAACCAGACCTTGAGCGCGCGGAAGCGTCGGCCGAGCGGAATCCCCCAGTTGCGGAAGTCGGTTACGGGGGTCGTCAGGTTGCTGGGATTCCGCAGGTAGGCTGGGGTTATGTCCAGAGCGTTGGTGAGGTCGAGGGCGTTGGTGATGAAGAGACAACTATAGTTGGTGACAAGGGCGCGGGGTCAGTTTGGGGAGGACGTAATAAATACACATATATAAATATATATTTATTGGTCGAAGACCGGGGGGGGGGAGGAGGGGGGAGACAAGAAACATTACCTGGCGTCGAAGTTCACTAGGAGCCATTTGGCCATATTCACATTGAAGCTATCCACACCTTCTGCGAACTCCTGCGCAACATGCTGCCATTCCTCCGTGACAAGCGCAGAGCCAGCAAACGCCGCATCGATATGGACCCATATTTTCTTCCACGCTTCCTTCTCCCTCAACACGGCCTTGATCTCCGCAAACCGATCAACAGCACATGAATTAGTTGTGCCCAACGTCGCAGTCAGGAAAAACGGCTCCAGGCCATCGCGTTCACACTGCTGTAGCATCCTGCGCAACGCATCTCCCGTCATGGCCAGATTCTCTTCCAACCGCGTCGGGATAGCCCGGTACCGCACCCCAGCAATCCGCGCCCCTTTCGCCGTGCAGCTGTGCGTCTGGTCGCTGCCCAGCACCACAAGCCGGGTCCGCATTTCCATTGTCCGATCCTCCCACTCCGGCGTGTCCTCCACCAACCCCTCCGCCATTGCCTTGGCCCTCAAATGCCTTTCGCGCGCGGCAACGATAACGGTCGCAACAGCCTCGCTTGCGGACCCCTGGATAGTGCCCCCGCCGGTACTTCTCCCGGACCGGGACGCCGCAGCGCTGAGGAAGCAATCCGGCAGCCCGAGCGCTTGCGCCAACCAGTCCATGACGATGATCTCCAGCTCCGTGCACGCGGGCGAGCACAGCCAGTTGAACGCGGGCGCCGTGAAGGCTGCCGAGTACAGCTCACCGAGCATGGAGGGGTATGTCACTCCTGCGGGGAAGTAGGCCATGAACTTGGGGGACTGCCATTGGGTTAGGCCTGGCATGATTTTGGACTCGATGTCCGGTTGGATCTTGCTCCATGGCTCTGGGTGGTTGGGGGCGGATGTGGGAACGAGCGGACGGAGGTACCCGGGTTCTATGCTGGGAACGACTGGTTTAGAGGAGATGGTGTTGAAGTGTTGGATTACTTAGGATGTCTAGTTAGCTTTCAGGAAAGAAAGAGAGAGAAAAAAAAATGAGGGGGAGGGGAAGAGAATGAGGGAAACATGAATACTTTCTTCAATGGCAGCGTGAGCTGCTTCCCTGAATTGTTCTCCGTTCATTGAGTTTTTATTATGATGTATTACTTTTTTTTTTGTCCTACGTTTTACGTCGACAATTTCATATACAATATCTGCGTGGGGAGGACGTCGGATGAAACACAGATCAGTTTTAAGTTAGGTTTAAATTGGAGCAGCCTTTGGATTTTAAGTACAACAGTCCCAAATGCCAAAGGGCGCAAGAAATCAGTTCCGCCGCAGATCTGCGGTATAACAAATGGTCGATTATAAATATTGATCCAAAGCCGACATGGGATTCGGGATAGAAGAGTAATAAATTAGGGCCTGGTTTAGTGTTCGAAGACAGCCAATTAAAAGTTTATTGCGATCTCCATTTTTCCGAACAAGCTATCTTTGGGAAAAAGAATCTGAAATACCGTTTTTCTCCTCTGTATTCCTTCCGAATTGTTTTGTTGTTCAAGTTGTTTCCATTTTCTGAGAATAACCACAGGATTCCTCCATGTTGGCTAGGAATACATACAATCTGTAAATCTTGGTTGATCTTTTCGGCTGCTCTGTGACCCTGGCCACTTGATGTCGCGTGGAGCTTAAATCTTGTTTCTCGCCGAGTTTGCAAGGGTAAACCCGAGGGACCCTCGGTACATGTCATAGTTTTTGATTGCATACGTTAGAAATTGAGGGAGTTTGGGCCGGACAGCTGGCTGTCTGATTTGACCTGCAAAGATTTAGACACCAGCCCCCAAATAACTTGCGGGTCGGCAAAGTTCACTGTATAAATTTCTGCCGCGTATGAGGCAGTGACTCTGAGAAGTTGGCCCTCATCCCTCATCCCGATTATCTCATGTACTCTCCCAATGCACCAATATCTCTCTGCCATTACTATTTTCTCCAGCCTTCATTTAAGGAACTGTGGACCAAGTGGGCCGTGTAGCCCTTCTACAGACACCTGGCAGGGTACGGACAGGATTTCATCCCTTTGTGGTTCCCACACCATGCTGTGACTGGCACTTGCGGTGTATAGATGGTGGGATGGGTGGGCATGCGCCGGGCCACACCACCACACCCACGGTTATATATAGCGCAACCATTTAACAAATGGTTACGTTGGCTTTTTGCTATGGATAACCTAGTGCTCATAGTGCTATCTTATCACACCTTAGGTTTTTGACAATTATTTTTCTCGCGAGGTTTTCGTGTCCTTTGGTGTGGTTGCGTAGGTATACAGAATGGTGCCAAAACGATTCCATGCTAGCTTCTTCCTGGCATTGTACACCTTTTCAGCCCATTCACTCCAGGCCATATCGATATTTTGCCCTCGAAGTTCTTCTATTGGTAAGCCGAATTCGTCGAAACCAAGCATGAGGCTCGGCGGGGGATTTGCGGGTTCCGGGGATTTGATCCATACGGAGTGCTTCTACAACTGCCAAGATAACATGCCAAGCAGACAGTTTAAGGCGGAGGGCGGTTAGGACACCAGAACTGTATCCATCCACTTACTATGCGCTCTCCCCGAAGCCCAGCACTGCCAGATTTTCCCTTCCGCTCCCAAATCTCTAGGAATGCTGTGGTTCTTCCAACAAGCGGGGCGCCGTACGCTCGCAGGAGTCCCTCGGAGGCATCAACCTTAAACCCAGCACGATCATTTGCATATCGCTCCCAGTCTGCTACCACCTCTTCTGGAAGAGCAGCAAAACACTTCTTCGCACTGTACTCTGGGGACTCTTGGAATTTAATGAGAAAGGCGAGGTTAATTTCTTCATGGTTGTCAAGCCAGAACTGCATTGTCTTCACGAGATCTTTGTAGCTCTCTGTAAACCCTACTTCGGTTAAAAAGAAAGGGCTTTTGATGGATTCAGCATCTGGAGCATATGAGAGCATGACGTCAGGTACTTTTGTTGTAAAATCTGCCCTGCGCCCCTCCCGTTCATTGGTCTGAATATCAAACCGTCTGAAATATTTTGGCACTTTGGACTCAATGACATCCCAAGTGGTGCCTAAAATATGATGAACGGCGCTTCCATGAAGCGATGAGGGCGCAAGGTGGACAGACGTTTTAGACAATTTTCTGTCGAAGAAGAGATGCCCCGATGGCCGGTGGTCGTCCCTGGTATTCATCATACTCCAGGTGAGAAACCCGAGGAGCCCAATATGGCATGGAACAAAGAAAAGAAAAGAGGAAACAATTTACTCTGATCTTGAGGTATCAAAAGCATCAACTATCCTGCGGAAGTCACGCTGAGAGAGATTGCTCAGATGGATGACTTCATCGGCACAGTTAGTAGGGAATTGACCAGCAAACAAGTCATTGAGTTGATCCTCTGATAGGTCCGATTCTTCGGTGACAGTTCGTATTCGAGCTCGCGGCGTCGCGGATCGGTGCGATGTGGGTGTTGTTTTCCCACCACCACTAAATGGACGCGACAGAACAGTCACGGACAACTTACTAGGGCGGGGATGAAGTGAGCGTAATTGTGCACCAGCAACGCTCCTAAGCCCAAAGGCGAACGCCATGTTTCCAAGTAGTAGGGAAGAGAAACGAGATCCCACGGGATTTGCAAGAAGCTTGGAGAAACGAAGACGGTCTGTTATTGGCTCAGACGGACGCGGACTATCCAGGGCTGTGGTTGGTGCGCCATGAAGAGACTGTCCTTTCTGGTGGACCTGGTATCTGGATGTTCTAGCTCTTTTGCCCCAGTGGCCTAAAACTATCTCGATAGGTCCCGCATTTGGAGACCACATGACAGTCACATGACATATTAGCCGAGCCCTGGTGGTCAACTGTAACCCGCATATATCAGTCCAAGCTTGTTTCTTCACCAACCGCTCGATATTTACAAGGCGGGGGGAATCCGCAATCGGTCCCTAGGTTTGGACACCACTTAGCCGCAAGAAAATTCAAATTAAAACCATAATTAGATAAAAATATCATAATGATTGGAAGTGGCAGGCTCATAACACCAGCTTTGAACGTCCTGCTTCACGTAGAGTTAAGGCCGGAAGGAAAAAATACAACAGAGCCATCCTAGAACATAAGGGGTGAATATTTGAACATTATTGCGCATCCGTGAAGTAATGCCATCGCATGGCGGAGCTTTGTCGCAGCCCTGTTGTTTTGTCCCACACGCCCTATATATTAGCTCCATGTCGGCCGCTCTAGAACGACCTCCGGGGTATAAATAGGCACGAGTGGGAGTGGAGGGGTGACAGGAAATTGAATGCAGCTCGCAAGAGTCGCCCTTATTTACATTTAAATACTAACTACTGCGTGGGTGACCTACGGGCAGCTTATTATTGCATTACCAACGACCACCATCAGTACCATCAGTACCATGAAGCCAGCTGAGCTTCGCCGACATAGGGAGCGGGGAAGATACGATGCCTCATCCATCCGCGCCGTGTTCTCAGACTGTTTCATGGCGCATGTCTCTTACGTCGACGGCGGCCTCCCGCAATGCTTGCCCATGATCGCGCTGTTTCGGTGTGAGGACGAAGGCGAAGCGGTCTACTTGCACGGCCACCCGAGCTCCCGGCTTATGGAGCTTGTACGGGCGAATGAGGTGGAGAGGAAGGCGAGAATTGAGCGGGGGGAATTGGGGCATGGGGATGAGGATGAGGATGAGGATGAGCGAGTTAAAGTTTGCATCACGGCTACGAAGGGTTGGTATTTTTTTTTTTTCTTTTTCTTTCTTTTGAATGTTCGATCCCTACTTATTACTAACGAGCAGAAACTCCAGTGGACGGCCTTTCGCTCTCGTCGGCGCCGAACGGGCATACGTTCAACTACCGCTCCGCCGTCGTGCATGGTGCATGCTCGCGTGTCGAGAACCGCAATACCAAACTAGACGTCATGCGCGGCGTGATGGACCACATCGTGCCTGGGCGATGGGACGGACTCAACCCCCTCGCTTCCATCGCGTTGTCGTTGGTGTTTGTGATCCGCGTCCAGGTCCAGCGGGGTTCGCTGAAACTGAACAGCGGGGTGCCCATGATCCAGCCTCGAGATCGGGCGAAGGATGGACCGGACCGGGCGGAGCCTGTGTGGACGGGCGTTGTCCCACTGCATGAACAGCTCGGACAGCCGGTGCCGAGCGGCTTGACGGATGGGGCGGAGATACCCGAGAGGCTGTTGAAGTATATCCGGGAGCGAAATGAGAGAGAGGAGGGATATGCGAAGTCTGTTTGTAAGTGATCGGGGTGGAGTAGCGATGGAGTTTACAGCGCTCATTTCCCACACCATGAATTAATAATTATTCATCTCGCTCTGTATCTAGATTGCCTTGACGTATGTAGTCGTGAATAGTCGTGAAGTGCCGGAACCGCAATGCCAAACGGCTGAGTCTTTGCCTTCGATAGTCAGGAGTACGTTTCCATAGTATAGATGTAAACGCTGCAGACGTGCAGTAGCAGATAAGTCGTTCAGCGCCCTGGATGCCCTTCAAAGAAATGAATACCTGTGGACCTACCGCCGCCAATTGCTTGTAAATTTTCAATGCAATGACTTCCTTCACATAAATTGGTGTCTCCAACCCCCCACCGGTAGTACCGCAACGAGCCCGTGTTGAACAGCGCCCGCGCACGTCCAACCGGCTGATTATGCCAGTGCGAAGAGGATGTTCTCTCCCAGTAGAGTGGAAATGTTGTCGGATGCGGGTCTGGTTCTGGATTAGCTTACGCTGATTGGGCAATTGGACGCGGGAGCAAGTCGCGGCTGGAGATAACTTAATCTTATCAGATCTGTGACTCGCTTTTATTACATCGTATGCAACAGTCTGTACGTTTCTAGCTACGTCGTTTAATCCGATGTCGAGCTAATTGATTGTATGCTTTATGTTACATTTTCTTTCTTAATCCTATGGTGTTAGTCGTCTCTATCTCTCAACGAACATTCTGTTCTCCCTACTCATTCCGTGACTGTGGCTGCCCCTCCTTATTTACCGTCTATCATGATGACACCAACGCCGCCAGCTGGCCCTTCGCTCGTCATTGGCGTGGACGTTGGAGGAACAAACACCGACGCTGTCCTATTAGACACTAAACATACAGGGCCAAAGTCAGTCATTGCATGGAACAAGTCCCCCACTGCTGCAAACGTCACCCTGGGCGTCCAGAAGACTCTGACAGACCTGCTCCGCAAGGCGCCAGAAAATGAGAAGAATATTGCCGCAGTCACTATCGGGACAACCCATTTTCTCAATGCAATTCTCGAGCACGATGCGTCAAGGCTGGAGAAAGTAGCCGTTATTCGTCTCGCGTCGTACAATTTCTCCAGCCAGACTCCTTCCTTCATCGACTGGCCATCTGCGCTAAAAAGGATCATCAAGGGTCACGCCGCCATTGTGCCTGGAGGTTGCAATATCGATGGCACGCGTATTGCTGACATTGACGCTGAGGCCATTGCGGAGCAGGCGCAGATAATCCGCTCTAAAAATCTAAAGAATGTTGTCGTGGCGGGCATCGGGTCTCCGATGGATACGAAATATCGACAAGAAGCGCAGGTTCGGGAAATCCTCCGCTCAAAACTTGGCGACGATGTTAACATCGTCTGCTCCCACGAGATCTCTGGGAGTGGCTTGTTGGCTCGAGAGAATGCGGCGATTCTCAATGCCTCCATCATTAATTTTGCACAGAGAACGATCCGCGGGTTTATGCAAGCTATGTCGCAACTGGGTCTCAGGTGTCCGTTGTATCTTACGGCTAACACCGGTCATCTGCTCTCGTTCTCGGAGGCCGTTCAGTTTCCCATCAGAATTTTCTCATCGGGAGCCACGAATTCTATTCGGGGTGCTGCGTACTTGGCAGGACAGTGCCTGCTCGACAGCGATGGAGCTGTGGTGGTCGATATCGGCGGCACTACGACAGATGTCGGCTTCCTCTTGCGTAATGGCTACCCAAGACTCGCCAGCTCGCGCACGGAAATTGCTGGAATCAAGGTCAACCTTGAAGTTCTTCAAGTTGAAAGCATTGCCCTTGGAGGAGGCTCATCGGTGCGCACGAGTGAAGATGGGGAAACCGTGTTTGTGGGACCGGGGAGTGTTGGGCATGAGATCACTACAAAGGCTCTCTGTTTCGGCGGTACAATGCCAACAGCCACGGACATCGCCGTCCTGTCAGGTGCATCCGTCGGCACGACAAAACCTGCCCTTTCACGAACGACAGTTGACAAGGCGAGAGCCAGGATTCAGGCAATGTTGGAAAACCTAGTCGACAGAGTGAAGACCTCGGCAGAGCCCTGCACTGTCATCCTCGTTGGCGGGGGCGCGGTGCTATGTCCAGACCGTTTAGAAGGAGTCAGCAAAATTGTCATCCCCGAACTCGCAGGGGTAGCCAATGCGATAGGCGCTGCTATCGCCCAGATTGGCGGAAAGGCGGAAAAGATGACTGACAGCGCCTCTGTGGAGTTGGCAAAGACTGAGGTGAAAGCTGCTGCGCTTGCAGATGCCGAGAGTAGGGGTGCTGATATCTCTGGGGCCGTGGTTACCAAGGATGAGGTCGTGGGTATCCCTTATATGGAAAATGCAAAGCAGGTTTTGATCGAAGTCGCCTGCCCGGCGGACCACGCGCGGTTCTACTCCTCTTTTAAGGAGAATCAGCTAGATGCCCCAGCTCCTGAGGGTGGGCCTGGATTTGAAGAAATAAAAGCCATTGACAACGACCTGCAGCCTAACCGCCTAGCTGAGCCAGTAGTTGATATTTCCAAATACAGACCTTCTATCGATGCGTCTGGCAAATGGCTACTCTCCAAACTCGACGTTGAATTCATATCCATCGGTTGCTATATTCTCGGCTGCGGCGGCGGCGGCTCCCCATATTCGACATACCTCGAAGTCGTCAACTTAGTTGAGGAAGGGAGAACTTTAGCAATCGTCGATGCTTCTTCGCTTGCTGCGGATGCAGTTCTTGTCCCTGTGGGTGCAGTGGGATCTCCTGCTGTGGCGGACGAGCGACCTGGTGGCGATTTGGTGCTGCACGCCTTGCAAACAATGGAAAAGGAGCTGGAGACGAAATATGACAGCATCTTGGCGGTCGAGATCGGGGGAAGCAATGGGCTGCAGCCGCTTATATGGGCATCATCGAAGTATTACAACTTACCCTGTGTCGATGGTGATTTGATGGGTATACATATTTATCTTGCACACCCTTGCTTTCAACATTTATGTACTGATAAACGTCGCGTGGAAATACAGGGAGGGCGTATCCTAATTTTGAGAAGATGACGAGCTTCGTTGACTCGACGGACATCAACAAACTGTTCCCCGTGGCCTTGTCCAGTGGCACAGGCAGGAATGTAATCATCCCAGCTACTCAGCCGGATGTGCAGGCAGCCGATTATGCCATACGATCTACATGCGTTGAAATGGGGTATGAAGCCCTCCCTCCCTACTCCCTCTTTTCTCCATTCCAGTTTCCATATCTTTGAAAACCTTTCGTTCTAAGTTCGCGGTAATCTCACTATATTTACCCTGGGCCCCAGCTCCGCCGCCGGTGCCACCGGAGTTCCCATAAGCGGCTCCGACATGCAACGCTTTGGCATCCTCAACACACACTCTCTAGCCTGGCGACTTGGCCGGGCAGTCTCCCTGGCGAGGCAAAGGGGCCAGCTGTTCTCCGTGATGGATGATATCATTCGCGAGTTCGGCGGTGCGCAGAGCGCGAAGGTGGTATTCCGCGGCAAGATCATCAGCGTTGAACATAGCTTGTCCTCTACCGCGCATACGACTGGGAAGGTAGTTCTGCAGCAACTGTCGCCCGACGAGTTAGGAGTGGGTGACATGGAGGTGTCTCATGGTCCGGAGCGGGTGGTTGTTGAATTTGTCAATGAGAATCTGAGCGCCAAGGGGATTTACTCCGATGGGTCTGAGGAGGTGACTTCCACTGCTTGCTTATCTGTATTTTTGATGTAATAACTAACTCTCCTGCAACAAGTACCTCGCCGTTGTTCCGGACTTGATCATGCTCCTCGACGTATCAACAGGCGAGGCCGTAGGAACTCCGGAATACAGGTGCGTGAAGAAAAAATAAACCGCCACGAATATCTTCCGCAGTCGTCATCATTTCGCTAACACTGTATATTTAGGTATGGCCTCAAAATCATTCTCATGGTAGCTGCCCCGCACCCGCTGTGGACAACGGAACGGGGCCTTGAGATCGGAGGCCCGCCTGCGTTCGGGTTGAGCGTCAAGTACAAGTATGACCTCCGATATGTGAAACCCAAGAGTGTAATTGAGGAGTACAAGCCTGTCCCTTAGATAGAATGGCTTTTAACTAGATGAATTTCGGAGTGCTTTTCTTTCTTCTCTTTTCTTTCCCTTTTTATCAAGTTAGGGCCCACATGTTTCGATAAACCGGGTAAAGGGGCCAGCAGATATATTTATGCTTACTAGTGTAGAATAAAATGAACGAAGTGAAAGCGGGTTTAACACTGCGTTGATATGTTCTCTACAATTTAATTATAAACCATGGTTGAAGTTAAAAACAATTAAGTACATAGTTAGCTGGAGAAGCACGTAGCCCCTCTGACGTCATCCCCAACCCAACGACTTCCCTCCGCCCGTCTTAACTCGATCGCGACCCTTTCAATCAATCAATTATCATCCATATTCTGTATTTCGGTATATTTTTTCTAGGTCAGATATAATCCATAGAGAAGAACATCATCCACAGTATCATCCAGTATGCCCCGCGCTGTAGCGAAGATCGGGAATACCGTCCTTGCCGAGACGGATACTTGGGAGACAGTCGAGGGGAACGTCTACGTAAAGATTCTGTCCATTGATGATTGACGAGATATGACAAACAAGATAGCTAATACCAATGTATATGCGCGTGTAGTTTCCCCGTTCGTCGCTGAAAGACGGCACAGGGACCTTTCGCCTGATAGAATCTGATTCATCGACTTTCTGTCCCTGGAAGGGGGCTGCGTCGTATTATGATATTTCTCTCCAGGGTATGCATTACACATATACATATATCTATATAGTGGGAATGGGAGAGAGAAGGCCGATAAAACACAATTTAAACTAAGGCATGAATCCGTTACACAGAGACCGGCACCGTCATATCTGACGTCGTGTGGTATTACGCAGAGCCGTCCGAGGCAGCGCGGAAGATCAAGGACCATGTCGCTTTCTGTAAGTTGTGGCTCATTTGTTTGCGTCTATGCATGATCGTTGCGCATGCACATGCCTCTACGTATATCATTCCCATATGATATGGCAGGAATCCCTCTCCTTCCAGCTGATTTGTGGTTTTCAATGTAGATAAGACCAAGGTCGAGGTTGTCGTTGAGTAGAGCCGGACTGGTGTGCGGTCAAGATAGGACGGATGGCTTTTTGCAGTGTGGATATGGGGATTTGAGAGCAATTGCTGCTGTTTCGTTGGAGAGTTGGAGGGTGAAGCTAAGTAGGCGCCTTTGATAACTTAGTTATAAGAGCTATCTAGATTCAACAACTTCAGGGCTTCGCTAGCCACAAGTTTTTCCCATAGGACGTACGGCGCGCATCCCAGCCTGTTCATATCTATTCATATACTTCATCAGACCCGTCTACCACATCGACATATTTTCTTAGATATTTGATATGACTGCGCTTGTTGCCGAATCTGAACTGAGACTCCGGCAAGGAACTGGCAGGGTATGGTATGGTATGGTATAATATGGTAAGAAGCTGTATTTCCGCGTCAGCAATCTCCGTATTGCCGAATAAAAATACGTCGAATGAAACAAATTCTATGCCATTTTCTTTTCCCCGCCTCATTGCTCCGGCATTTACTCACGTGACTTTCCCGAGCCGAGGTTTGCCTTGAGTATTCCGCCAATCAGCATGTACCATGTCGGCCGAGACCGTTGAGACCCGTCCGTATTGGCGCGTACGGTGTGTATTTCTCTGTATGATTGGGTATTTTACGTACTGTCACGGCAATACACGATACGTGATATCTGATCCTCACCACAATTCTTATCTCAACTTTTTACTCCGCTTACTTTTTTTTCTCTCTCTCCTTTCTCTTCTCCTTTGTGTGTCTGGTGTCATTCTTTCCAAGCCCTGTGCTTTCAATTAATCCTTCGTTTAGTATATCTGTCAGGTCTCTGCGCCGCGACGTTTGACACTCTCATTTCGAGTCTTCCAACTGTGTTCTCCCTGGGCAGCGTTATGGCGGCTCCGTCCTCCGTTCTGCTGCGTGGCGGAGGTCGACAGCTAGCCCGCTGCTGCTTGCAATTGGCGTCCCCCAAACCGCCAACTTGGTATTCCTCCCACAGACATGTCCATAGCAGCTCCCCCTCTGACCATGGCGCGCTGCAACCCCGCAACCTCCTGCAACCTCTCGATACCTTCCCGCGCAGACACATTGGCCCATCCCCGGAGACGGCGGAGCAAATGCTAGCAGCTCTTGACCCTCCTGCAAGTTCCCTGGACGAATTCGTTCAACAGGTCCTCCCCGCGGATATCATATCTGCCAAAGATCTGGAGGTCGCAACGCCAAATGGTTCGTCGAGATTACACGCGGACTCTGTCCATGGTGGGCTTGGGGAATCCGACATGATCAAATTGATGCAGAAGTACAAGGAAGACATTGATGCCAGCGGGAAATCGTATATCGGCTGCGGATATTATAACACCATTGTTCCTCCCGTAATCCAGCGGAATGTCCTGGAGAACCCTCTCTGGTATACCAGCTATACGCCCTATCAGGCAGAAATCAGTCAGGGGCGATTGGAATCATTGCTTAATTTCCAGACGCTTACTGCGGATCTGACCGGTCTACCTGTTGCCAATGCCTCGGTCCTGGATGAAGCTACTGCCGCTGCTGAAGCTATGACCATGTCGTGGGCGACGATGCCAGCTCACAGGCAGAAGAAGGATGGAAAGTCGTACGTTGTTTCCCACCTGTGCCACCCACAGACCATTGCTGTTATGCAGTCGCGAGCAGAGGGCTTCGGAATCAAATTGGTGGTTGGTGACATCATGGCCGAGGATTTTAAGCTGGTCAAAGACCAAGGTGATCGCTTGATTGGTGTGCTTGCGCAGTACCCCGATACCGAGGGAGGCATTTTTGATTTCCAATCGTTAAGCGATAAAATTCATGAAATTGGTGGCACCTTTTCCGTGGCGACGGATCTTCTCGCCCTGACCTTGCTGAAACCTCCAGGGGAATTTGGCGCAGACATCGCCTTCGGATCCGCCCAACGATTTGGCGTGCCTATGGGATTCGGTGGCCCTCATGCTGCTTTCTTCGCTTGTGCAGACAAGTACATGCGGAAAATTCCCGGTCGTATTGTGGGTGTCTCCAAGGATCGACTAGGAAACCGAGCTCTCCGCCTTGCCCTCCAGACTCGGGAGCAACATATCCGCCGTGAAAAGGCGACTAGTAACATCTGCACAGCTCAGGCTTTGCTTGCGAACATGAGCGCCTTCTACGCGGTATACCACGGTCCTGAAGGCTTGAAGGCGATTGCCCAACGCATCAGGTCGCTGACTGGATTGCTTCGTGAGAAGCTTTGCGCCATCGGCTACTCGGTTCCAATTAAGGGAAATACTGCAAGCAACGGTGCAATTTTCGATACTCTGACAGTAGAATTAAAAAGCAGCGCAGAAGCCGATTCGCTCGTGGAGGCCGCACTGGAGTCTTCTGTCTATTTGAGAAGAATAAACCCGACCACCGTTGGTATCTCCTTGGATGAGACTATCGGTGTTGAGGAGCTTAAAGATTTGCTGTCGGTATTTGGAAAGAGTGCCCCCAAGGGAGCACCGGCGGACCTGCTTAATATTAGCAGAGTTATTCCCGAATTGCAAATCCCCGCTAGTATCAAGCGAACATCTCCATACTTGACACATCCAGTCTTTAACTCACACCATTCCGAAACGGAAATGCTACGGTACATTACGCATCTTGGATCGAAGGACTTGTCACTGGCACACTCCATGATTCCGCTAGGATCTTGCACGATGAAATTGAACGCGACCACAGAAATGCTTCCGATCAGTTGGCCAGAATTTTCCTCAATGCACCCGTTTACCCCGTCAGAGCGCGTTACCGGCTACCAGAACATGATCGAGGACCTCGAACGGCAGCTGGCTGACATTACTGGCATGGCTGAGGTTACGGTGCAACCCAACTCTGGGGCGCAGGGTGAATTCGCTGGTCTCAGGGCTATTAAGATGTACCAAGATGCAGTTGGTACCCCTGGAAAGAGAAACCTGTGCCTGATCCCCGTGTCTGCTCATGGAACCAACCCAGCAAGTGCTGCTATGGCTGGCATGAAAGTATTATCCGTCAAATGCGACATGACGACAGGAAATCTTGACCTGGCTGATCTCAAAGCGAAGTGTGAGAAGCATAAGGATCAACTAGCAGCGATAATGATTACCTATCCCAGCACATTCGGCGTCTTCGAGGAAGGGGTCAAAAAAGCATGCAAGATCGTCCACGAAAATGGTGGTCAAGTCTATATGGACGGTGCCAACCTGAACGCACAGATCGGTTTGTGCTCACCCGGCGAAATCGGTGCCGACGTCTGCCATCTTAATCTCCACAAGACTTTCTGTATTCCCCACGGCGGTGGTGGACCCGGTGTCGGCCCCATCGGAGTAGCTGAGCACCTCCGCCCATTCCTCCCATCCCATCCCCTCAGCGAACACCTACAATCGCGACGCGCAACTCCTAATCCGGCGCCACCCATCAGCGCTGCACCTTGGGGTAGCGCCAGCATCCTCCCCATCACATTCTCATACATCAACATGATGGGCGCCAAGGGCCTAACACACGCTACAAAGATCACAATCCTCAACGCAAACTATATCCTCGCCCGCCTGAAACCCCACTACCCAATCCTCTACACAAACGCGCACGGACGCTGCGCCCACGAGTTCATCCTTGATACGCGCAAGTTCAAGGCTACGGCGGGCATCGAGGCTATCGACATCGCCAAGCGGCTGCAGGATTTCGGCTTCCATGCCCCCACCATGTCCTGGCCCGTGGCTAACACGCTGATGATCGAGCCTACGGAGTCAGAGAGTAAGGAGGAGCTGGACCGGTTCTGCGACGCGCTTATCGCGATCCGCGCGGAGATTGCGGCCATCGAGGCGGGCCAGCAGCCGAAAGAAGGGAATGTGTTGAAGATGGCGCCGCATACGCAGAGAGATTTGTTGGTGACGAAGGAGTGGGATCGGCCATATTCACGGGAGCAGGCGGCATATCCTGTGCTATGGCTGTTGGAGAAAAAGTTTTGGCCGAGTGTGACGAGGGTGGATGATGGTGAGTTTTGCAGCGTTGTTCATGTTATCTTCCAAAACCTCTCTCCGTAGATCTTTGCTAACAGGTTTTTTCTAGCGTTCGGCGATCAAAACCTCTTCTGCACCTGTGGCCCTGTGGAGGAGATTGTCGAGTAAAATATGTTGGATAGTAGGGGTGGTAATACCTCTAGGGGTTAGGGGTCATAGTAACGCCCTCTCTGCCATGTATCACCATCCACTTCCCCATCGACAATCTATGTATTCATGCATACATATTACTCCACAAGCTCCCACTCCCTATCTCCCTCCCCTCCACCTAGACTTCTCCCCGCCCGTTCACACTTTTTCCCGAAGAAACGAAATAGAACTACATACCCATCCACGAATAATCATGGTCTTCAACGAAACCACCTTCCCCTACACTAATTATAAGATATGATATGGCGTTTAACCACCATTTCCAACCACCCTCCCCTGTATTTTCCTTCTCCGCTTAATTCCATCTCCCACGGCAATGTTACTAGATCCGTTTCTTGCTCCTTTCATCTTCCATTTTGCGTATATATCAACATCTACAAAAATTTGCTGTCTTGGCTTAACAACGTCGTATAAATATGTATTTACGTGTGATTTTATTTTTGATCTTTGATTTTTGACTTGCGTTTTACTTGCTTTTTACTTAATGTGTTGTATATATCCGTCTCCTACATCCTCGAATATCTTTCCTTAAAAGCATAGATTGCAAGACATCCTCCGCCGCGTACGTCCAGCTCCTCCTCATATCGGAGTAGTTAGTAGTTAGTGATGTGCTACGCTTAAATTCAAGTCCTCGGCCGCAGTCTTCATGCAAAACACCGCATATCTCCTTCCCCCTGAGGCTGGTTAAGTCAGAGTTTGATATCACGTGTCGCCATGGCCGAGAGCTAAACAACGCTGGAGCTTCCTAATATCAATCTTCATATCACATAGCTAGTTGTAGCATTGCTCCGCGTCGCGCTGTCTGCGGCTATTTCCTATGTTTCGTGCTGCTGTTTCAGTCTCGGATACAATGAGCATTCGCTAACTGATTTGGAAAATTTGCGGGGCTGAATTGGGTTTTGGGCTGGGCTGTGCTTGGTCTCTCTGCCTTGGCTCGAGATAGATAACTTATTTGCGGGGTGCAAAGGTATCAGTATTGACTTGGCTTACGCACAACGTTGCTCGAACGTGAAAGCACGTTTCAATATGACGATCTGAAGCTCTCCTTGCGTTCCATCAGTTCTCGCGCTGTCTATCTACCGGCATATTTTCCCCTGCTTGTGCGCGGGGGGGGCTTTCTCATCATTCGCTCTGCTGGCTTCAGACACGTATACCTACCCAGACGGAGTTATAGAGACCATTGGGTCTTGTTTTGATAACTAATATGGCACCCTACGCTTATACCGTTTACTACGGTATTTTCATCCACCTCCCGCGCCAGCCAGATGAGCCTGCCACAGCCACTTCGCCGCCAAAACATAGATTGTCTATCAACCATGGTGCGTTGTGGGTTTCGCAGGCGGATGGGAAGATTAAAGGGTTTGACTGGACGGTCAAGGATGAAGAGGGGTTGGGGGAGTTGATTAAGAGGATGGGCTGGAGGGTCGAGATCCAGGACCGGGGAAACGTTGGCGGAGTTGGAGAGTTGGTGACCATTGTGAAAGCTCGAGCGAAGAGGAATGGGTTCTTTTTCCCGGGGTTTATTGGTATTTTCATGCTATTTCTTCTATGCATCCATGCCCTGACATTTGGCTGTATACTAACTACCCCTTCCAGACTCCCACATCCATGCACCCCAGTATCCCAACTCCGGCATATTCGGGTCTTCCACTCTCCTGGACTGGCTAGAAACATATACCTTTCCACTGGAATCCTCCTTCGGCAACAAGGATAATCCCTCGGAACCCCCGCCGTCTGCCCGCACGGTCTACAATCGCATCGTATCCCGCACTCTCTCCCATGGCACCACCTGTGCTGCCTACTACGCAACCATCCATGTCCCTGCCACCAACCTCCTCGCCACAATCTGCCACACAAAGGGTCAGCGTGCCCTCGTCGGCCGCGTCTGCATGGATAACTCCGCTATCTGCCCAGAATACTACCGCGACGAATCCGCGGCCTCCTCCCTCTCCGCTACAAAAGCCACAATCGCCCACATCCGCGCTCTCGACCCATCTTCCACCCTGATCAGGCCAATCATCACCCCGCGCTTCGCCCCCTCCTGCACCCCAAAAGCCCTCAGCGACCTTGGCGCCCTCGCCGCCTCCACCTCCCCTCCCACTCCAATCCAAACCCACATCTCCGAAAACCTCAACGAAATTGCTCTCGTTGCGAAGCTCTTCCCCACCTCCAAATCCTACGCGGATGTCTACGATTCCGCTGGACTTCTGACTCCTCACACCATCCTCGCGCATGCCGTTCATCTTTCCGCCGACGAGCGCGCGCTCGTCGCCGCCCGCCGCTCGGCCGTGGCGCATTGTCCTACCTCCAACTCCGCAATTGGCTCGGGCCTGTGTCCCGTGCGGGAATTGCTCGATGAGGGCATCACTGTCGGCCTTGGGACGGATGTATCCGGCGGTTGGAGCCCGAGCGTTCTCGAGGCGGTGAGGCAGGCATGTCTTGTCTCGCGGCTCGTTCCGTTTGGAAACAGCAATGGCAGTGCGGCCGCTGGGCCAACTAGGGGTGGAAAGGGGGCTGGCCGCGAGAAGATCGGCATTGAAGAGGGCTTGTATTTGGCTACCCGTGGTGGGGCGGGAGTTGTCGGTTTACAGGATGTAATCGGTGGGTTTGAGGTGGGTATGTATTGGGATGCACAGATGGTGGAGATTGGGGGCGCTGTTGACGATGACGGTGAGGGCGTTCGTGACGATATTGGCAATTGTGGGCGATACAACAGTAATGTGGATGTCTTTGGGTGGGAGTCGTGGGAGGAGAAGATTGCAAAGTGGGTTTGGAATGGAGATGATAGGAATGTTAAGGCTGTATGGGTTGCAGGAAGGCTGGTGCATGGGGAGCCTTGTTAGCAAATAGAGGAGGTCTCAGGATGGAGGAATGGCTTATAAATTAAGTAATGTATATCTTGAACTTCCGCCGCTACTGCTTCTTTTTGTCGTTATTGCCTTTCATTATATTTTTGTGGCAAAAACTCAGTCCATCAAGCCTAACTTTTACTGTGTTGAGCAGGGCAATCCAATATGCACAGTACTATATCTATGCATTCCAGCAAGCGCATCGCAACAGCAACCAACAAGATATTAGGGCTGTAGATACTACCCTTAGGTTCATATTTGACTATCACATATTTAATGCGCTATAGACATTCAGATACTTGCTATTGAACCCGCTATACTCGATTCATTCTTATTGTCCTATCACTACAACTAGCACTGCAGCTTTTGTGAATCATTTCATATGTTACATTTACTTGCTACCGTTATAATTGCTGACAATATTGCAGACCGTTGCATTCACTGGAAACTTGCAGGACTGTGTCTCCTGCCGCTACGAAGGGACAGCACAGAAGTCGGGGATATAACTTTTGACCAAATGCCCAAGGCGCTTCTTATGAAGATAGTTTCTCTTTTCTGGCCTCCTAGAAGTTAATCGCTTATATCACATTACCCTGTACTATCCGTATATCTTATCTCAATAACAACTGTTGCTCTGTGAGTTCCTCCGCCTGGACAAGCAACTGGGCGAACCCGGGCAAAACTAACCCCAGGAGAGATGGAGAACAAAAAGAAATTCCGGGTTCTCATAGTAGGAGGAGGAATCGCTGGTCTAGCCCTGGCCAATATGCTTCAGAAGCATGGCATTGACTTCCTCGTGCTCGAAGCGTATCCAGAGATTGCACCCCAGGTTGGTGCCAGCATCGGATTCCAACCGCATGGCCTTCGTATCTTAGACCAACTGGGTATGTATCAGGAGCTCCGCAAGCAGGTTAGTGCTGTTGATAAGTTCGAAATGCGAAATGACAAGGGTGAGTTATTGGTCACCTTTCCTGATGCTGAGAACACCTTTGTCCAGCGGTGAGTTCTTCTTCCCCCTTGCCTCCTTTATCATGTATATAGCTTTGTCTAAATTTGTATGGTCGGTAGGCATGGGTATCCCCTCATATTTCTCGAACGCCAGTTGGCTTTAAACATACTATACTCGCATCTCGATAAATCGAAGGTTTTGACTGGAAAGGCCGTTTGTAATGTTGCCCTCTTGCAAAATGGCGTCACTGTCACAACGAAAGATGGGGACTTGTACTCAGCGGATATCATCGTTGGATGCGATGGCACCCACAGCACGGTCCGCCGGGAAATGGTGAGGCTGGCAAGTGAAACTTCTCCAGGACATTTCCCTGCTAGGGAATTCGATGGTGAGTAAATCTCTCAATTTACTGATTGGCACCAGACCACACACTGACCATTAGTTCCTTGCGAAAGATATGCGGTGTGACTATGGCTGCGTATTTGGCATATCCAAGGTTTCTTCCCCTCTGCCTATCGGCTCGTTCACCAGTGTGCTTCGACGCAACAATTCATATGGAATTCTAGGCGGACTCCATGGCCGTGTCTACTGGTTTCACTTTTTTAAGTTGCAGAATCGTGCTTACGGAGCAGGTATCCCCCGATTCAGCAAGGAGGATGAATCACGACATATCCAGGAGCACGAAAACGACATTCTCACTCCTAACCTGAAGTTCAAGGACCTCGTAAAGGGAAAGGTCGCCTGTAATATGACTGCCCTTCCTGAATACATTGTTCAGCAGTGGCATCACAACCGCATCATAACGATCGGGGACTCGGCACATAAGGTTCGATAACTATATCCATATCGCTTCGTCTTACATCTGCAAATAACTGCTGACGCTCGTGTAGTTTCACCCGATTGCTGGCCATGGCGGCAATTCAGCTCTCGAATCTAGCGCCGCTCTAACAAATGCTTTGGTGCGAGCGCTCAAGGAATCAATTTCTAATGAGTTGAGCACTTCTCAAATTTCAGACATCTTCCAGGAAGTCCAGGATCTCCGCCATAAGACAGTGAAGAGGTTAATTGCAGTGTCCCACAGCCAGCAGCGGCTGCAATCATTGGAAACTCTTTTTCTCAGGTTTGTCGCATTACACGTACTCCCGCGAGTTCACAAAGATCGCGTCATCAACAACAGCTCTGAGTCTTGTCCACCGGCGCAAAGGTTGGAGAATGTCGGACTCCCTCCTCGCATTACCCTTGTCCCATATGACTCCGACCTGCTTAGCCCCCCTTGCTGCAGAGGTTGGTACAGCTGGGTGTTGGCTTCATTTTTCTTCGCCCTTTCTGCTGTTCAATTTTGGGCGATGGATATCTGGGCTGTGTTAGCAAGGGCACCAGGTTTATTCGAGAAGGCGAACGTAGCTCCATTCACCGGTATTGAATTTCTCGATAAGATTTTGGTTATTCCCCTTCCACGGTATGCAGCATGGAACATGGAAGTCACACCTTGCTTTACCATTGTCCAGATGTATTTGTACTTCTCACTTTTTCCCATAGTTGCCATATCCACAACTGAATCTTGCAGGAAACGCAACAGTTTGAACTTGTTGACTTTGTGAGTTACCCTTGAGTCCTTCCGTTGGCCAAACACAACAATATTAACACATTCAATAGCTTCAGCACAAGTTTTTGGGCCATCATCTATCACGCCTTTGGAATCGCCGTCGCCGCTCCCTTACATTGCGCAGCATATATTCTCACATCATCAAACGTGCATTACTGGTGGCCCGTCTCCCGCCAGGTCCCAACATCTTATGCGAAGACACTGCTCCCAGCTCTAGTTCTGGGCTACCTCCTGCCTCCACTCTTATCATTTAAGGGATATTCGGGCCACTGCATAGCCGAAGCTATCGCCCTAACCTTACATCGCGCCCCTATATACGTCAACACCCTTCTCATCATCTTTTCAACAGTATACGCGATGTTCTACCCTGACAGCCACCGGACTCCACCCGCAGATAAACCCATGCCGGACATTCCATGCCTAAATCGCGTCTACCTCTGGTCATTGAGTGTTGCCACCCTAGTCCATGTCCTCATCATCTCCACCGCGTTGTCACCTCGTTATCTAGATCTATCCATCTCACACATTTTCACACCACACAGCAGCAGTTTACAATCTATATTCGTTGTGTTTGGAGATATCCGCATGCTCTGGCTCGCGGGTTTTTGGGTGTTCTGGATCGCGACGGCGGTATGGTGCATTCTGGCCGTGTGGGATATGAATCGAGTTGGCAGGGCACGAGTTAACCTAGGCGTGGCGGTTGTGGTGATTGCGATGGGAATTGCTGCCGTTGGACCTGGGGCAGTGACTGCAGCTGTATGGTATTGGCGGGAAGAGAAGATGGCTAAGGTTTTCTTCAGCAAAGTAGAGGAGAATTCAAGGGCACACTAGCACCTTCTCCAAAAGTTAGATCTGTCTATGGACTTATATCCTCATGGCATTTATACCTGGAGTTTTCATACTATCTATGGTGGGGTGCGGAGAAGTATTTTCCGAATTTGTGTTTCGCTTACATCTTCCATTATGGATCCAGATTTGAAGAGATCAACATTTTATATTATATACTAAACTAAAATTTGTGGAATGACGGGCGGGTCAACTGATGTATTCCGCAAGCTGGGAGTCGCCTTAGGATATCCGAACACCGAACATTGTGTTAAAAAGGGCGTTGGGGAAACGGAACACGGCCGATGACATTGGCGTAAAGAAAAAAAAGGAAAAACGGAGGAAGTTTATTGGACCGGCTTGTCTTCAATTTGCTAGTTAAGTATTCCCGTCTGTTCATTAAGATTCCAACCAAAAAATTATTTATCTATATCTCAACACGCTACACTTTTCTATTCCGTTAGTCAAAATAATCGAGACGCATATTGATACGATATATGGCTATATATTTTCGGACTGCATAGGCAAAACAGTCTGATATCTCCATGTCCCCTTTCCCACCTTGATTTGTACAGCGTGTGTATGTTTTCCTGTGCCGCAATAAACAAACACACATACGTACATGTGGCATATATAGATGCACCATAATACAGTTACCCGGGGATGAGATGGATAATAGCTTATGAATGAAGGCTGAATAACGTACCTCGAAACCCTGGCCGCATAACCTCATAGACCAACTTGTCTGATATTTATGACACCTTCTCATCCATGAACACCGAAACGACTCATGAGTCTCGGATTTCACTCTCGGATGTTTCTGGCTTTCGTTCTTCGTTTCTTTTGTCGCGTCCCTTGGTTCGTCCGACGCACCAGGCGGTCGTCGTAGGTTTTGACATTTGAGCAATGTATTATTAATAGATAGTGAGGTAGATAAATAGCCTCCAACACGAAAACCTCAATCTCGAACTTACCAACTTACCCCCAAACCAAAACCTCTTTCCCAGCGACGTTCTAAACGCCTTTCCGACCCCCGTTTCCACCCCACTGCATAACCCTTGGGTACCTGCTGAGAAGCTCGACATCCCCTAATGCCCCCTTGCCATGGTTGCGGATAAACTGTGCACTGCCATCGGTGACGGGTGAGTAATCCCATGACGTGAACTGCCCTTTCACCAAGGCCGAGTACACAAGGCGTCTGCGCCGCTGCGAATGCAGGACTTGCGACTGCAGCGCCTGGAAGTCCCAGCGTGAATGCGCTTCAGAGATGAATGCGGAGAGGAGGTTTCCGATGTCAGTTTGAGATGGGCTGGTGAGCGTGCTAGCAGAAGCGGCGGTTGGTGTCGGGGTTCGCGGGGGGGTCAGGATCTGTGTTGCATTGAACTTGTTGTTGGAGAAGACGGGGACGTTGGGAGTGAGAGTGCCTGGTGGCGGTGAGACGGAGGGCGTGGGCGGTGCTGCAGGGCCTGTCTGGAGCGGCTTCCCTTGTTGTGGCATTGTTGATGTAGCGGTAAGATACTCGTTTCGTGTGAGATGGGGTCGAGTTGGTATTTCGACACCAGTCGCAAGATTGGTTAATTCCGAGGGGTCGCTCTCCACGTTATAGAGCATTGGAGGGTCTATGGGCGAGTATACGAACTTCCATGGTCCCCGCCGGATCATGACGACAGGCGCAAGAGTGCCTTCGGCCATGTACTCGCCGATGACAGTGTCTGTTTTCACGCCAGAAATAGCCTCGGGTGAGTTCTCGTCGAGGATGTAAGGCATTAACGAGACTCCATCGACAGGGAGATCGTTGTTCATTTCGCCACCTGTCATCTCTACAAAGGTAGGGAGTAAATCCATGGTGGAGACATTTTCCTTGACCCGCTTTGGCTTGTAGCGGCCCGGTGCATGGACAAACATTGGCACTCGGGCTGCATGCTCGTACCATACCATCTTATACCAGAGTCCGCGTTCACCAAGCATGTCACCATGGTCGCCTGTGAAAACGACGATGGTCTCATCAGCAAAATCGCATGCCTTCAGGGTCGCCATCAACTTTCCAACTTGCGCATCCACATACGAGCAGGCCGCAAAGTATGCTCGGCGTGCAGCCACAATGCGCTCTTCGGGGATTTCTTTGCCGAAGAGATCAATACACCTTAGTACCCGCTGGGAATGCGGGTCTTGCTTGTCATGTGGCAGCGCTGAGGTTTTTGGAAGAGGGATTGCTACATCCTCGTAGAGGTCCCAGTACTCCTTTGTCATGGCATATGGGTCATGAGGGTGGGTCATGGAAACCGTTAGGCAAAATGGCTGTTCACGCCGGTGGCGAGCGTGGTCATACAGGTACTGGGTTGACTTATAAATCACCTCGTCATCGTAATCAAGCTGGTTGGTGCGGACGCAGGGTCCAGCTTCCATTACGGAAGACATGTCGTGGTACCAATCCGGGCGGACTTCCTGTATCCCGCGGCCCATTAGCATTATATTCAACATATCATATAACTATATATATATTTCCTCCGATGCAAGCAATAAAACTCACAGGCTCATCCCAATTAACTGTCCATCCATAATCTCCTGGATATATGTCGCTCGTCAAACGTTGCTCATATCCATGCAGCTGATCTGGGCCCGCGAAATGCATTTTCCCCGCGAGTGTAGTATGGTATCCTTGTCTGCGTAAATAATGTGCATAGGTAGGGGTATCTGCCGACAAGTCACTTGCATTATCATAGCCTCCGATCTTCGATGGCAACTGCCCGGTCACCATGGTGAAGCGGGACGGGGCGCAAAGGGGTGAGTTGCAGTATGCAGATTCGAAGCAGACCCCTTCGCGGGCGAGACGATCAAGGTTTGGTGTCTTGATAGGAGAGTTTTTATCATAGAGGGAAAGCAGCGGAGCTGCCATCTGGTCCGCCATAATATACAGAAGGTTGGGTTTCTTCCGATCAGCCATGATGAAAACTGGGTGTCGTGTGCTCTTGACAGTGGTTGAGTGTTTTGAATACTACTAATGACGGAAAGAGAAGAGATGATCGAGCTAATGAATGAAGCAAAGGATTCAAGTATTATAACAATTAAGCTAGGTACTATTAGAACTGCGCTCTTTGGGAGTTGTGGAAAAATGAAGGGCGAAGAGCGATAGGGGCGGGAGAAAAGCTGTCCTTTATGAATCAGACCAGCGGCGCCCAATTACAACACAAGCGGGCTGGGAAACTTTTTCAATAATTCAATCCCGCCGGCGAAATTGTCCCACATACTGGCTTGGCTATTTTTCTGCGCTCTGCGGATCAGTAATTTGCTCCTGATCATATGAGGTTTTGGATTCACCGCCAGTCCTAGATTGCGTGCTGACAGGCCTGGTTTGCGACAACACTGCGGACCATCCTCCGGAATCACATTTCCCATATTTGTTCCTGTTCTGACAAATTGAGCTTTCCCGGCCCTCGAATTAGTGATGTAACTTCGTTGCACTGATGGAAAAGTTGCGAAGCGGTTTCTGTTCCCACATGGTCCAGGCTGTGCCCGCATTTCGCATTTCGCCTTCCCCGTCAACCGTGCTTGATTCTTAATCGGTTTCTCGGGGTTCAAAAGCCCATCATTCCCGGTCCATGGTTTTTACCCGCGCTTCCTCATGTCACCAAGGCGGAGCACGGGTCCACATGGACCATTCCACCCATTTTCAGGCTAGGGTTTCGCGATACAGCCAAATCCACCAACAAACGAGGTAGCAAAACGCTTAGCGCCAGCACTGATATCAGAGCTTATCGGTCAGTGGATGAGGAGCCGGGAAAAAAGCAAAAAGCCGCCACATCAAAGGGCGAGTTCAACTTTTTTTAGCAGCCAGACCCGAGCTTCAAGGACCGGGATGCAATTAGGGTTAGGGCTAGGGCGGATCAAGGCTTGGCATGTATTTCAATACAGCCAGCACACAAAGACGGGTGGAGCAAATCGGTAATACCAATACAACCGCCATTGAACCTCCTTCTCCTTGAAGAGGTGTGGACCTGCGGATCTTATATCAACGTTTGCGACGCCTAGCCGACCCGCAGAAGACGGTTCCGAGTAGCAAATAGCTTAGCTTTGTGTGCCCGAGTCCAGTTCTCTTCTGCGAATACTTGTTCCAGATGAGTATATAGTTACTTACGATGTTTAGCGTATGTGGGGAGGGCAGCATCCAAAACATGTACTGACCAGCACATCTCGCCATAACTACAAGTCGCTGGCAGTCACATTCGCTTCCCATTACCTAATAGATTCTCTGGCTGATGCTATTTCTTCGAGTTCTCACGCAACGGTGGTCCTCCTGATGCGGCTGAGGAGTAACATCACACCAGTTGACATATGTTCAATTTCCCCTCAGTTGAAACCGTGAATTGATTCCGCTTTCAGTGTGAGGATCCGTTCCAATCATTTTGCAGAGATGAAAGATAGTCCGTTGGCCCAGTCAAGTTCTTTTGATGTGGTGGCTAGGTATGCTGTTACGACTGATGGCCACGCAGATTTCAGCAGTTGAGCTGCATGAAAGGGATACTCGGTTGCGCATTATTAGAAACGGCCCACCAAACTCGTTTCCATCAGGCTTCAAAAGACCGAACTTTTGGAAACTTATGAATACCATTATTGTCTTACTCATAGTCGCCCTCTTGGTGTGTTGGAAATGGAGCTGGCTCGAATTCTTGGTTGTGTGACCATTGTGCTTGGAACACCGCTATCCTTCGGGCTGGCCACCGACTGGCGAAGTTCACACATGTCCCACAATTGTTATTCGTGGTGTTCATAACTGGGGACTCCCAAGCCAAAAAATGTGTTTCGGGAAACGGCCAATTTGCCCGCGTATGGGAATTTGCAACATTTTGGTCCCGACGGCTTCCTGCACTTAATGATCATAGCTGCCTCGAAAATTCCGGAAATCAATTTTGCCAATATCAGGGTCTCGAGAGCGCATAGATCTCATCCAAAATGCTGCATCTATTCGCTCTGCTGAATTTCTATCAATGAGATTAAATTTACCGTCCGGTACAGTTTTCAACCATGCTCTTTTCGTTTGAATAGGAATCTGGAGTTACACCAGCATATACTATGAAACGTATGTGATTAAGTTCCCAATGGCAATGGGAAGATCGAAATGACAATTCAACCCCATCATTTGGTTGCCCATTCTCCATTTCCCCCTCTCTCCTGTTGGAGACTTAGGCATCATAGCGGGACATTCGCTTATGCTGGATGGCAGGTTCCTGGAACCAGCTCCAATCGCAATTCAAGAAAATGCAACAAAGGCGTACGGTTGAGGATTGTTTTATCCTATCTTCAAACAGTTTACTCCAATTCCTGCTGATATCTCCGCTATGATGTCAATTAAATTTGATGAACCCAGAGTGAACTTCAGCCCGGATCCCCGGGAAATTCGGTGTAGCCACCACGGTTGCAATGTTAATTCTGCAAATCTGTCTCTAGTCGCTCATACACCAATGCAAGAAAAACTGGCTCTACACAACCTGTAAAGGCCATGGCCCCGTGTTCTGTATATGTTCTGCTCCGGCCCGGTGCCAGGAAGGGAATGGGAACGGATAATCGCAGAGTGGGTTACAGGGGCGGCAGATCACCCCCTTCTTAGCACTTCATCTGAGACAGCGGCTCCAAATCCGGGTTACCAGACCACCTGCTGCTCAGTCCCTCAGTGTTCCTGTAATCTCATCTTTGTGTTGTCGCTGCATCATTTACTTCCAGATATATTTCCATTCCACCAAAGCGTTATTTGGTGGATATTTTGCTAGGAAACCTGGTAAAACCTGAAGGACTGGGCCGCTTCTGCATGGAACAAACTGGTGAGGTGACTTTCTACTCTATATCTTCACGTACAGTATCCTATTTACCTGTTTAACTAAATATCCCAAGTAGGTTCACTGAGAATCCCCCTCCGCATGATGAGAATTAGTGAAAATATCCACGCTCCTTACGTTATTTGGAGCGTGTGGCTTCTCCCCGCGATATCAGCGGGGCCTATCTAATAGGCAAATCGGAATCTAACAAAAGGTCTTTGTTTGTTACTCAGCCAGATTATCGAGAGGGCTATAGACCTGTTTGCATGTGGAGTACTTCCTCAACGTCTAGCACTGGAGGGGTGATGTACCTGATCTACGCTGGACGAATGAACTTTGTTTGCATTAGGATTATATAGCTCAGAGATAGACTGAATTACACCTATTCTACTTATCTAGTTAAACTTCCAATTTCCCCCCTGGAAATTTCAAAGGCGCTCAATAGCTCATCAAAAAATAAACAAAAAAGAATGTAGGGTAGTTGGATATATTTAAATTAGTACCATGCAGGCTTTTCATAAACGGAAATCTCACGTTTTCGTTTTTCGTCTTTCTATGTAAATTTTTCTAATGTTTAGGCAGTCAAAAACTTGGTCTCCCCATCTTTCAGCCTTCCAGCACCAACAAGCCCCTTAACCATTTCACCATAAGTCGACTTGACAGCTGCTGCGTCTTTTCCTGCGGCCGCGAGTTTCGCCGCGAGCTCCGCAAGCTCCTCATTGCTAATCTTGCTAATAAGCACATCGATATCGTTCAGCACGCCATCCACTTGCGCCGCAGTGGCATCCCCACCCTCAGCAAAATAGTTCACATCCTTAACGCTGCCCTTAAGCACACGCTTGTTTTTCTTGGCAGCGTTCTTCGCAGCCTCCTTCGCCTTTTTGCCCTCCAACTTCTCGGCCTTGGCAGCTTCCTCAGCCTCCTTCTTCCGCTGCTCTTCCTCTAGCCGCGCTTTCTCCTTCTCCTCCGCTAGGCGCTTCGCTTCTGCCTCCTTCTCGAGCTTGCGCTTGTCCTTGTTTGCACGTTCCGCCTTGCGGAACTTCTTGATCCGTTCGTCAGCAGCAAGGGCGTCGTCTACTAGTCTGCGCAGCCGGGCGGTGTCCTCCGTCTTCTTCTTCCGGCGGGCATTGGCGTTCTTGCGCTCGATGTGGCGTTTGTGATCGCGGTTCTCGTTGTCATCGGGGACGTCCTCGTCTTCATACTCGAACGACCTCCAGCTGTCGAAGTTGTACCAGAAGTTGTAGAATTCCTCGACCTCCTCCTTGGTACTGTTTTCGTCGCCAAGTTTGGGGACAGGTTGGATTTTGGAGAATCTAGCCTCCGATTCGAAGACCGGGGACCAGAGTTTGAAGAAATTGCCCTTCTTCTTGCCAGGAGGTGGTACATTGGCGAGCTCGTCGACGGAGTCGAATTGCCGGCGCCTGACAGGGTCAAGGAGAATTTCGGTAGCTTTCTGGATGCACTTGAAGAAACTATCGTTCTCGTCGGCGTTACCCGATGCGGCCTTCTTGTCTGGATGATGGCGAAGCACCTTCTTACGATGAGCGCGTTTAATCTGCTCGTCTGTGGCACGGTACCGGTGCTTGCTCAATCCGAGGACGGCGTAGTGATCTTGGCCCTATCGATATTGTTAGAACCAACTTTGTTGTGTGAACGGATTGAAAAGCCATCCATGTTGTAGATCATACCTTCCAATCCTTAGCATCCCTCTGAAGCATAATGGGATCCTCAGGCTCACTGATCTCGTCGGCTTCATCTTCTTCGATCTTCTTCACACTTTCCTGGGCCTGAATTCTGTCATCCTCGGAGAATGTCCGTTGATGGCGCTTCTGTCAAGGGGAGATCTTGAGTTAGTTCACCGCAAATCATAGTAAGATATATAGGAAGAGACGTAAAATATTTAAATAATCAATTGACGTACTCTGCGGGCATGGGCTAAAAAGTGCGGTCCAACAGGTTCTACGTTCCGCTGGGTAGCGTTGGATAGTGAACTGATGATTTTCAAGTCTTTCTCTGCACTCCACCCCTCTGGTAGAGTGGGAAGAGGCAAATGCACAATCTCAGCAGCAGCCATCCCGTGTCAGCTTCTGGTTATATATAGTGATCTAAAGTATGTATATAGCAATTAGAGGGAAGTCCCAGAACCAAAGCGAATGATAAGAAAGTGGACGCTAGAAAATATGATAATTTTTTCTCTTGGTGAGGGAGGGCACAACGCTAAGCCTGTTTGGGACGGAGAAGTCAATTCGCCGCAAACTTGGGTGTTACTTTTCAGAGAGATTAATATATTTGCGTGGGCTTTGGTAGGTTGGATATCGTGAACATATATGTATTCATTTTGAATGATACTCGGGGTTTTTGGCCTCAGTCGGATCATGATTTGTATCAGCTAGGTCTTGATCATTTCTCACGCTTCATTGAATTAACGCCCTATCCAAGCAAGCTACAACGATATTCCTCCATCCCGCCTTTGAGTCTCTTCCCCAAAAGCCCTGCCGCAATTACATACCATACCCCATCTTTCACGGCCTGAATCAAACAGATATAACCCCCAATTATGGCCGCAACAACTGCCCCTAATCCTCTAACCGCCTACCGCTTCCTCCTCCGCGCAACCCGCATTGCCTTCCAAGGTAAGATAACCCCACAGATATCAATGTATATAGATATAAAGCTACGACCTATCTCCAACTGACATTTAGACCTCCTCCATAGGTGATTTCACAACCCTCCATGCTGCCCGTGCTGAAGCGCGCAAACAGTTCGACCAACACCGCAAGCAGGGTGTGGATACCCCTATGCGTATCCAGCATGCAATGGAGACGGCGGAGATATTGAGGACGAATGTTGTACAGGGGGTTAAAATTTCCGGTGCCGGGGAGGAGGCGGAGCGATATGGTAGGTTATATTTTTTTGCTTTTCTTTCTCATTTTCGGGTGTTGCGGTGTGCTAGCTAGTATCCTTGTCATGAGAAGATTTCGGGGCGAGTATGAAGGCGAAGATGAACGAAGAGAGAAGGAGGAGGCAATGAGAGGTGTGGTAAGCAATATGCTAATGTAATGTATCGGCTGGAACAGAATTACGAATCCACGAACACATCGAGCGCGGGGATAATGATTCCATTAAGACGGCGGGAAAAAATGAGAGGGTTAAGGTTGCGGTTGGGAAGGCGTGTTCGAACACGCAGTCATCAGAGTAACTGATAAAAAGACATATATAAGTTATACGGTACAATGTTTGTCGAGGAGGAACTTTACGAATTCCCGACGTATATCCATACAGCGCATGGCCTATGATGGCATGTAAGGTGGTTCTTGAAACGTGGTGTAGGCCACTTTACTTTGATATATGGTATCCGGACTGGATAGAGAAACAGAGTTGATGGGCGGGCGGAGTCTTTGTACACTAGTTTTGGAGAGGGTATCGATTGGAGCAAAAGTAACGATGTGTAAGATGTGTTATGAAAGACAGTAAAAGCTGTTTGTATATAATTTACACAAAAAAGTGTTAAAACGGCGCATGATCCCGGAATCTAACCTATGAAAGGGAGGGGAATAGTTGCCACACGCCAAATAGCCCATAATAAGGCTTTCAGAATAATATCAATCACCCGCCAAACTAGCATACTGCACCTCCCCACTCCCCGGCGGCGGCGCGACGACAAACGATGGCTGGTGCTGTTCCTCTTGCCCAGTCACCCCCGCACTCCCACCAAGAGCAGCTTCATTATTGGTTCTCCCTGCACCTCCTGCGCCTTGATTCTTTCTAGGGACCACCGCCCGTCCCTGCCGTGCATACTGCATTCTCTCCTCCCTTTCCATATTATCCAACGGTCGCGGTTTACCCCACTGCACACGCAAGGGGCAGCCCTGTATCACGGCTTTGCCTTGACAATGGTTTGCGGCTTTCTCCGCCGCCTCTCGCGACGCGTAATTAATAAAAGCACAGTGTGAGCGGTGTGAGCAGATGAGGGAGCGCAGGGTGCCGAATTCGGTGAAGAAAGTGCGAAGGGCGTGTTCGGGGAGGTCGTCTTCGACACCGGTGATGAAAAGAGAGGTTATGTTCGGATCGTCGGGGGGAAGGATGTCTTGGGGTCCTGGAGGGAGTTGGGTGACGCTGGGAAAACCTCGTCCACCACCACGACCACGCCCGCCCCGCATCCCTCCTCCTCTTCCGCGGCCATGAGGCCCGCCACGCCTAATATCGCTGCTTCGAATGGGCCCCGGAGTAGATCCTCCGGTGTTTGGTCCCGGTCCGTATCCTATTTGCCTTTGTCCTGAGCTTCCCTCTTCTTGCAGATCTTCGTTCTCTCTGTTCCTGGTGTTGGTGTTATCCATCCTTCGTTGACGCTTGTAGTATGGTTCGCTATTCGCCAGCCTCCGCAGCAGGTCTCTAGCCTTCTCATCAGTCTTTTCGTATTCCTCCACTGCCCCTCTCCCTTCCTCAATCTCCTTCTCGTGTTCCTGTGCGTAGTATTCTCTGTTTATCGAGCTCTGCGGCCCTGGCGCCACCATCTTCAAGGCCGCATCTCGAACAACGATAGGCAGGCCGAAGGACAGATCCAGCATGCAACACTGACAACAGTTCTTCAGTCGAGCGCATGTCAGGCAGATATTTGTCCGTTTTGTGCGTGCTGTGCGATCTGGTTTCCATTGGAACATGGTCATTGGGCGGGTGCATATTTTACACTCAGCGGCATAGTCTTCCTTGAGCATTTGGACGTAAGGGTTGTCAGGAAGACATGATTCGCAGACAGAGGGGAAATCTGTTGTCTCCCAGCCAGACCGGTTGATATCTTGTTTTATCTGAGGAGGGGGCATTGTAAGGGTCTCCTGCAATTATTTTGCCTTGATGATGGTGACGCTTCTGCTTGAAAGGATTTTGATAACATCATCGAATTGGGACGAATCTTGGCGCGATCACATGGGAGGCTGAGTCAATGATGACTAATCATCGGAAGGTATCAACTTTGATCCGGATAGCACATTTTCTGTGGCCCTTGGCATGCACAAACACCCCAGCAGGCCATCTTAATCGAGCGATTTGCCTAATTTTCAGCCCTCCAACTAACACATAATCCCAAGTCGAAGGTTGTATATAAAAGTACGTCATCATGCCTCGGCTGAAAATGTTGCCAAGAAGATGCAACTTGATCCGAATCGAACGTTGTTCTGTTGGATGAATAACCTCACTCTGATTGGCAAATTCAGCTGTGGCGTCACCTGTCCCTGGCCAGATCCGGTAGTAGGGCAGCAATCTTATCCGTAAAGGGGCCGAGGGAGATCCACTTCCTGAGGCTGCAGAATATCCCACATTTCAATTGGCCACAGATAATCTACTAATCTCCTTGCAGGTGATACACTAATTCACTTTCGGCCTAGTGCATACCCCTTGTTTTCTGTTCCTCCGAATATTTTCTGGAACTGGATTGATATTTCAAACGTCCCACAACCCAACATTCTCATCAAGTCAACCGGTTCCTGTAGCGCAATTCCTCTCGTATGCGTAGAAGCAGTACGGCTTAAGTGTTCGAGATACCATTGAGTGTATTTGTCGTTCATTTCTTCTCAATTGGCTTCTCCCAAGTCCCGCTTCTTCCCACCACACACCTTCCCCCTTTTACCTCTCTGCTCATTCCCGTGACGTATATCAAGCGAAATGGCCCCGTCGACTCTTGAGGTTGAAGACCACCAGCGTGATGCTGCTTTCAACAAGGTTCTCCATGGGTCGTCAGCGAAGAGACGTGGTGGCCTAGCCGCCATGAGTGCCAAGGACCAAAAGGCACAAAGAGCTGCGGTGGACGAGTATTTCAAGCACTGGGACAAGAAACCATCCGCAGAGGAAACGGACGAAATCAGAGAGGTTAGTTTGGAATTAAATTTTTCTTGGGAAATGTTTCTAACATGTCATTCTAGGCGCGTAGAGAAGAATACGCAACTCTTACGCGACAGTAAGCACCTCCGTCCTGTCCATGTCCATGCTGAGTGAGCGCATGGCAAACGCAGAACAGGAGCCCAAATTAGAAGAGAAGATGAAAAAGAAAGAGAGAAGCAATGAGATCATGCGATGCGATTGTTAATTGGACTAACGTGTAACCGCTCCAATTTAGTTACTACAACCTTGCTACTGATTTCTACGAGTATGGCTGGGGCTCATCATTCCATTTCTGCCGGTTCGCATATGGAGAGCCCTTCCGTCAGGCAATCGCCAGACACGAACATTACCTCGCCCACCGGATCGGACTGAATGAGGACCAACTCGTTCTTGATGTAGGCTGTGGTGTTGGTGGTCCCGCTAGAGAAATGGTCAAGTTCGCCGGTGTCAATATCGTTGGCCTGAATAACAACGACTATCAAATTGATCGCGCCACCCACTATGCTGCTAAGGAAGGTTTGTCACATAAACTTCGTTTCACGAAGGGAGATTTCATGCAAATGTCCTTCGAGCCGGAAACATTTGATGCCGTCTATGCCATCGAAGCCACCGTCCACGCCCCCTCCCTCGAGGGCGTCTACAGCCAAATCTACCGTGTCTTGAAGCCAGGTGGTACCTTCGGTGTCTATGAATGGGTCATGACGGACAACTACGATAACGACAACCCGGAGCACCGCGAGATCCGCCTTGGGATCGAGCAAGGTGACGGAATCTCCAACATGGTCAAGGCGGAAGTTGCCCTAGCAGCCATCAAGGCGGCCGGATTTGAACTGTTACATGCGGAAGATCTTGCTGATCGGCCCGATGAGATCCCCTGGTACTACCCGCTGGCAGGATCGTGGAAACATATGACCTCGTTGGGAGATTTCTTCACGATTCTCCGTATGACGTGGTGGGGTCGTGCGATCGTGCACCGTTTTGTAGGTGGGCTTGAGAAAGTTGGCATTATGCCTCACGGCGCTCAGAAGACCGGTGACAGCCTGGCGTATGCCGCTGACTGCCTTGTCAAAGGCGGTGAAATGAAATTGTTCACGCCTATGTTTTTGATGGTTGGGCGCAAGCCTGAAAATAAACGGTAAACGGCTCTTTTATTCTGTCCGAGGCGAATTGAGAAATGCGGAGTAATGTGCGTTTTGTGGAGTGATACTTTGTTAACCTTTTCGTTTTGGCTTTTCTTTTACTTCTTCTTCGTCCCTAATTCTCCCCCTTATTATTTCTATAGAGCTACTCATGTTCCTCATACTTACCCATTGCTGATGGATGCACCCTTCCTGTGTCCAATATTTCTGACTTTTCGCACAAACTTTATTCTGTATCATGGGCTTCCCTTGCGGGATTCTTCTCTTGTTGTATTCTGGTATCGCTCTTCGCACTATCTTTTTCTTTGAAACGTCATTTATATATTTTAATAGGACTGTACTACACTACTGGGACCTGTTCCAAACCACATCCATGCGAAAGTTTCCAGAGAGACTTTCCTTTAGGAATTATATATACCCTTTCTTAGACATGTATACTTCACTCTAAACAGTTTCAACGTTGATGGAGCAAGACAACCGTCGCAAACAAGATATCTAAATTATTAACACTACCGGACACTGAAAATATAGATTGCGATACCAAGTTATTTCCAACTAATTTTATCAACGTATCTACTATGTCCAAAATACTGTTCCAAAGGCGGTTCCACGGTTTGCCTACCGGACATCAAAATTCTGACCTTTGATCTTATATTTCTGTTTGTAGGCTAATGCCTCGCCATCCATCATACCATGCACATAACATTCACCAATTAATTCATAGCTAATAGGACCGCTCTCGGAACCTGACGTGCAGTTCTGACAACCACATTGACAACCGTTCTCCGAACACCCACAGCGATTCCGTTTACCCCCGCTTCTCTCGCGAAGCAAGACAGGAACATTGCATCCATATAAAATGCATATCTTGTCCCCCTTCTTGGCGCACATGGGGACAAGACACAGAGATTCCTGCACCGGAATGCTGGAAAGAACGGCAAGCCTTCGTGACCAAACTGTACATTGTACTCGCTCTAGATACTGCTGGACAAACTTCGGACACTCATAGGCGACCGCTTCTTTAATATCGAGATCTCCTCCTGACGTTCTGAGGCTAAAGGCGTCGTGACATGCTTTTCGCCAGTGACGTGGTGGTTTGTGGCTTGTGAAATCCCGATTCCCAACCAATGTCCTCCAGAAGGTCTCCGGGGGCGGCGAGGATGTGTTCTCCCAACCGGCAATTTTGTTCCAGTCGGATGGAATGACGCCAACGCGTGCCGCTGATGCCTTTTTACGTATCGTGTCTAGGACAAAGCCTTGGATGTTGAGGCTCCCACTGACTTCGGGGTCGAATTTCCAGTCGGCCGGAATACTATGCGCAGCCCTGTATAGATTTGGGCTCGGCCAGGGTTTACCCACTAACGGGTCAGCGTTGACACGACGATAAACTCCGTGCCTTTCCGTGGCAAAGGGATTGTCTGAGACTGGCCGCATCCAGGAGGGAAGGTTCAGGCCTGATGGCGCCCATGGTCGGCAGAGCATGTCCAGTGAGTCTGACCGCGTGAATATAAATTTTAGAACGTCCTTACAAACTTCCAGGACACTTTTGTTATAATCCACTGGGATTCTATTCTTGCGCCGCCTGGCACGCAGTGCTCTTGCAATTTTAATAGCTAAGATTTCTTTCGGCTCTACTGAGTCTGCTCTTGAACTTCGGTCCGATTCCCCCCTTGGGCTTTGGTTCGAATCAACGGATCCTTGGGTCGATGGAATGTCTAGATGGATAGCAGGAGGGCCAAGGCTCTTTTCGGGCGGTGCGGGGAGTTGAGGTAGCGTCGTATGTTCACCCGCGTGTCCATTGACGGAGGTAGTTATCATTGCCGGTTCGCTCACAATGTCAGGGCTGACAAAAATCTGCGGAACCGGGTGGTTCTGGTCCATACTGTGAAGTCGCTTGAAGCCTCTGCTATTATATGTAACATCCGAATGGGCTCTTTTCCGCCTTTCCGGGGATCCAAATTGCAGATAAGCGCTAGGTAACACATCGGAATTATTTGTTGGTGATGTCGGATACTCCGTGAATCCAGAGAGCCCTGAGAATATGCTCTGATCATCTGGAGGCATGACTTCACCTCCACGCCTGAAACCCGGGCGTGCATCACGAGCTAACCATAATACTGCATAGAGAACATCTCGAGGATCTGATGCCTCGAAGGCAGAGAGGGTTGACATGAGTTCTTCGAGGGAAAGGAGTCGCTCGAGTATCTTTCCCTTCTCTGACTTCCGGAACATATTGTCTGAAGCATCGATCAATCGGGCAGCTGCCGACTGACTGACATCCCCAAGGTAATCCGGATGATTACAGTACTCACTTGACTTTCTCAAGAGTTGCCGAACGTTTTCCTTGCTATGGACGAGAAGGGACACCGCGTTGGCGAATTCCTCCCATTCCACGCATGCGCCTCCACAATACACGGTAGCTTTCTTCGCCAGGGCTATCTCCTGGATTATCCATCGCCGGCTGAACCAGGGCCGCCTTATCAAGCCAGACAACGCAACCCATTCCCTCAACAGTGACGGGTCTTCGACCGCTTTGTCGAATTCGTCAGGTTTTAAACGACTCCGAATAAATTCCATCGCTCTGGTGCTTTCATCTGCCTCCTCGCCAAGCCAAACACGCACATTATCGGCGGCATCAAAGATTCGAAACATCATGCTCACTTGGATGCTTTTCTCCTCTTGGTTCGCCTGGTCGACACAGAGTGCATCGACCCACAGGTATCTATGCGAGTTCGGCTGCCGGAAACGCAACAATGCTGCTTTCAGATTTGGTCGTATTTCCATTGGATGCGATTCGCTACCTTCGAGGATTTTAATCTGGCAGTTCTGCCCCTTGGGACCCCAGGTGTAAGACAAGGCATCATAGGGCTCCGGGGTAGGTGCTCGGACGTCATCACCGAAGCGATTGTGTTCCGGGTCATTGTCGGAGGGGAGGGAACGCCGAAGCAGATCGCATTCAAGTTCAGCATTCGCTTCCCCCATATGGAGTCGTACCAGTCGAAATTCTTCTCGTCGTAAAGGTAGCTGCCTGCGGTAGTCGTACGATGCCATGGCTAATTGCGGCGAAATGTGCTCAAAACCAATTTTCTCTTTCCGTTTCTGCTAGAAGAGTAATCCTTCACATGGACCCAGGGTCATCATAGGCGTGACAACGGTTTGTCTCATTGAAAATAATGCGCCAGTATTGCGAATATGGGAGAGCACAGCCCGGACAGCGTCTTGTGGGCTGATTTATGTTCAACCCATCGTCAACAGAGCCGCAACTCTGGAATATGAGGAACTTCTGCAACATGCGAGGCTGTTTCTGCAAGCTCCTGCACAGTATCGGAGATGCTAAAGGCGCATGGGTTCCCGTTGCCGGTGGCTTTTCAGGCCTCCGTTTTCTCTCCAACCATATTGCAGTATCTTATTCCTCGAATTGCGCCCGGGGCGTGGCGAAGTTCGCAAGCTTGACGAGGCGCCCGAGGCATCCAAGCCGTCACCAATCCAATCATACAGCAAAGTTCCCCGCCATCCAACCAACCATCCGGCTGACGAGTGGACAGGCAGCGAACGTATCTGCGGCTTATTCGCAATTCATACCAGTGATAATTTTAATAAAGAGCCACAGATCGCCGTGGATGTCTGCAATGGATTGTGTCTCAGATATGCTGTCTTTTGTGTCCCAGAATTTGAAAATGTTCATCCCGCATCAGGTGCGTTAGGTCGACAGGGTTCTTTAAATAGCTCCCCCCACAAAACATCTCATTAATAGTTGCGATCAGGTCGAAATTTATTCCCGTTCTTGGAACTTTTTACCAGTTTCGGGAGTTTCACTAAACGCTGCAGGTCTTGTGGCCATCGCAGAAGTTTCCGTGCTCGCTAAACGGACCGCTCTAACTGGTACTTCAGCTCTTCTCGACATACTTGTCCTCTGTCCCGGTATACATCGACAACAGTCGGCGCCCGAACTCAACAACGGCGAGCACCCAGCGGTCGCCGCCCTAACATCTGGATATGTCTTCCGCGTTGAAAATCCCGCGACGGTGCTCTTCCTGCAGAAGATGGGCGTCACTGGCCATCTCACATATCTAAGAGTTACTAGTACTTCAGCTTTGAAAACAAATGGCAAACTCGGACGGACATTGGACGCAGTGTTTCCGAAACTTGCACTCTCCAGTATCTCAACCATCCCCTACCTCCTTGCCCCCATCGCGTCGCTAGCAGTCCTAGCAGTCTTAATTGTCGCGCGGGACTGGTGGGGCGTCTCTGCACTGGTCGCGTTGATTTTCGCTCGCTTCTGCAATGTACTCATCATCCGCCGACGAAGCACGATTGGCTGGAAAGGTGCCTCTGAGCCCGGTGTCCAGGGTGATCTGCTCATCCTCCTCAGCCAAGACCGCTGGATTAGACTTCAGGGGGCGGTAGATGATTTGAAGGCTGTGACGTCAGGTCAATGGCTACGAGACTGCTCCTTTATCGAAGACTCGGTCACCGCATTCGCAACATTGCTTGTTTATACCGATGTCGCCCTTGTCAGCAACGTGAGCAAATCGGGACAGATTCTAATTCTCGCGCTTTTCGTCTTCTCGACAGCTCTGCTAGCCTGCGCGAATGCAATGACATCAGAACTCTACATGCATGGCAGGAGAATCTCGGCCATGGGGAAGTCAATAAAGTATGCTAGAAGATTGGACCTTGCTAATGAACTTATCCGAGAGACGAAACGGGATGATTGGGCCCTGCGTCTGGGGATGATTGTCCGCCAGTCTCGAGACGCGTCAACAAGCACAACCGACGGCGCTGTTTGTTTATGAATATGTTCGGGATAGGCTGGTAGGATGTCGGTCGAGGGTGGCTCTAATTCAATCAAGGGCTACACCATGGCGAAACGCTATTAGCACGAACTTTCGCGAGCAATTCCTCGCACAGATTGGGCGTTGGCTTTTTGTAAATGCGTGTGCCGCAAAATGATTTGAACTCCCAGGTGTCTCAATAAGTTTAATGCTTTGTCAAGATTACCCCTGTCTCCAGTCATTAGGATGAGTTAGAGCAGTATGAGAAATGTTGACCGGAACCGGAATTTGGTGATCATGATCTGGCCCTGTGGATTTTTTACCTTATGATACTACGAATGCACGATTTCACGATGTAACGCGCTCAATACTTAATATATCCGGATCCAGGGTACTGATATTCGAAGTATAAATTATATGCAGTGCTCTACTCTCTCCATTTTCCTTCTACCACACAGACGTATTCAAGGAAGATATGTTAGCGAATGTATTTTAGCTGAGTGTGATCGGATGTGCCCAGAAACAATAGTGGCTATTTCTACATCGCCATGCTGGGTGCCATGGGAAAATCCTGGACCAGGGTTCCAGACGCAAGCTCATTGGGCGTGGCCCAAGGCTCTTCTCATTTGCTCGGATTTCATGTGGAACTCATTTTGCCCGCATCGCTAGCTCCTGCATCATCCCGCGCTGAAATCGGGGAATTAGGCGGTACATTAGCTCTTGAAGGAAGGAATTGATCCCCGCAGCTCATTGACACATGACGGGCGATGCACTACATACATACACTACGCAGGATGCTGAAACGAGCTGTCAAGTAGCATAGTAGTTCTGATTGATTGGTGGACTGGTTGGCCAATTGTAACTGCTGGGCTGCCGAATACAGCTGTTCATGTGGGCAGCGTTCATTTTAATGTGCATCGTGCTCTCTAATATCTCTCTGGCTCCCTCCAATTTCATGATTCCGGCTCTCCTGGCACGTTGACATATAATAGTCGCGGCAAATGAAAAAACGTATACAAAACAAAATACAACAAGAAACAGGCTCTCTTTTCATGAACCACGATTAGCAAGCCACTTTGCAACGTCCTCATCGAGGTCTGGTTCATACAGCCACCTTAATTGGCCGCCTTCTCCCGTGGTTGCTGAATCGTCAGCCCAGACTGAACCTGGTGGAAGCTTGGCTTGTTCTGCGGGGGGCAGACGCTTGGCATTCATCTTCTGGGTAAGATCCAGGATTTTATCGATCCGGCGCTGGCGGTATTGCTGCCAATATTTTAAAGCCTCCCCAAGGGGGGTCTTTTGGGATAGATTTGAGAGCAGTAAAGCTAGCATGTTTACATCTTCGAACGCTTGATTGACACCCTGACCGGCTGTGGGCGGGATTGCATGTGCAGCATCACCCAATACAATAACCCTATCAGTGGAGCTGGCCCACTTGCTAAACTTCGGGATCCCGTAGAATGGCCAAATACCCATGTTCTCAACAGGTGCATTTTCGAGTGCAGATTGGACAATGTCGGGCCACTCGCCCTGATTCTCTCGCAGCATGTCCAATAGTCCTTGCCTGTCGGCTGCCAGAGCATCCCAGCCATCCTTATCCTTCTCGGGAAAACGCCGCTGTGAACCAATTAGGAGCTGAGAGCCGTCAATCTCTTGGGGGACCATCAAAAACGCGCCAACTTTGGACAAAATTTGCGCAGGGAGATGGAAGTTCTCAGGAATGCGAAGGCTGGACCGGGGACAGACACTACTAATAGCCATCATACCAGAATAAACCGGTTTCACGTCTGGAACAATATGGTTGCGAACAGTTGAATGGATACCATCAGCACCAATCACTATAGCGGAAGTTTTGACCGATCCGTCGGCAAACTCAATCACGACTTCATCTTGTGAATCACGGATGACTTTCGAGAATTGCTTGTTGAAATGTATTTGTGTCCCGTTTTCCCGAAGCATCAGCTTCATTTCATTAATGAGCAGCTGACGCATAATACGGAAACCTCTGTAGCCGTACAGCTTCTCGGAACCAAAATAGTAGAGATCTTTGATCACTCCATCACCATCGCTGAAAGCTAGGGTGTCAAAATGGAAACCCTTGTCGCGGACACGCGCGAACACATCTAGTTTATCGAGGATTCGGAGCGCGTTTGGCGAAAGGGTTATCCCACCCCCGGCTTCGTAGGATTCATCCCGCCCTTCATACACGGTGCACGGTATATGAACTCTATGTAACGCGAGCGCAAGGCTTAGGCCCTGTTGCAAAGAGTTGGTGAGATTGTGCCCCTGGTTGGGAAGGAGGGGTGAAACTGCCATACCGAGAGACCACCGCCAACTATTGCAACATGTTGAGGAACCTCCATATCTGCCATGGCGGATGGCTGGATTATTTGATAGTAGGAAAATTTTAAGCGGGGTTCGGTTTTTATTTGTTTGTTTGTTTACTTTTATTGTGACCCTGTTTCAAATGCTTCCCTGATTGAACTTCCTTTGTGGGGGAGACAACTTGTCTGATAGACCATGGTTTGGGGACTATATCCCTTTAAATGCTTACGCGGCGTAGAGCATACAAGCGCATTCATAACTCGAGCTGAACAATGGTTTGTCAGCTCGACTCCTTCTCCGGCCACCCTAGCATCCTAGGGATGCTGTTCGGAGATAGCCACATATGAGGAGTGTGATTGGCAGCGGTTGACCAGGAATCAAATCTCTCGGGATTACACCCAACCAGTGCGCTTGAACACTCAAGTTTTGTGGCAGGGCACCGGTTGCCCAACAGCTAAAATGAGTTGGAGGTGCTCATGCGGGATGCCTGTGAGCGAATATCTTGTTGATTCCAAAGATCCCGACATACATTGCACTAGAGGAGGCTGAATGGGTGTCGTTGAAGTTACCCAAAATGGACGGCATCCACCCCCAACGACACAAAAAAAGAGAGTCGCTCTGGGGATTCTGACTCCCATTGCTGTTGTCATTGCCATTGCTTGTAGGCCTTCTTTAAATTATCTTCAGTGGTTAAGATCTACCTATTTGTGTATCAGGCCACGAAGAAACCAGCCTCCTCCAACACCATCACGATGGATGGTGGACCCACCTCCGTCTTCAGGGACGCGCCTCAGTGCTCGAAAACCCAGGTCATCTATCTAGGGATATGTGGCATCCCCGGTTCACCCTTTTATATGAATGACTCCTACACTTTCCGGTTTACAGTGGATTGCCCAAGTGCCCTCTGTAATCTTCCAGCCGGAGAGGCTGTCGATCATGACGCAGAAAGCCAGTTCGTCCAAAATGTGATATCTCTCTACAATCAGGAGATTTTCTCTGCGCGCGAGTGGAGATGCCAAATTTGTGGAAAACCTGCAAAAGAACTATACCATGCCATGGTACCATTTCTTAGCTCTGGACGCGGATCATTGGCCTCCTTTCAACCATTTATTGCCCTTCAGCCATCGAGCGCCTTTCAGCCATCGGTGTGGGACTCTGTCATCCCGATTTGTGTTGCTGCTGGAATGTGTGATCGCAAAGCAGAGGAGGTAGCCAAGGGCTTCTTCACAAATGCACTTCCTGGAACCTTCCTGCACCCTGAATACGCCTGTGAGTGGTGTGGGATTGTCAGGAATACCAAGCGGTGTACTGGCTGTAAGAGAATTTGGTAAGCTGAGTTCGCCGTTGCCAAATTTCTTGTCTGTTTATCACTCTGGAGAAGGAAATTTTGGCTGAAGTGAATGCTGTGAAATGAAGGTATTGCTCAAAGGGATGCCAATCATTACACTGGCCAAATCACAAGAGGAACTGTCGTCAGGCACAGAAAGAACGTGCCAAAAAGGAGAACAAAAAGTGCTTGTGAACATGCGGATGTCAGAATATCTTCACAGAATCACGGGAGAAAAGGGCATGCAGGTTTTAGCGAGCTGTGAAGGTGTCCATGGAAGATTAAAGGTGGGCCAGGTTGAACTTTGTGAGAATGCAATAAACAGTTATATCTTTGTATTACTATCATTTTTTTTTAGAAAGAGTCTGTAGTTGAGACAGCACTTGTATGATACAGAGGTGGCTGCAACAAGGATTTATGTATTATTAGCTGTGGGTTATAACAGCCGTCGTCGGGTTTCCCGCCATGCCAACGGCTTTATTATCTTTATCATTAATTTCCTTCTGCTCTCTTTCATTCATCGTGTTGGCCAAGGATCCAAAGGGATTATTTTCATAGCTGCTGGGAAACAAATGAGTTTTAGGTCCTGAGCCGTCTTCCTTTTGGTGGCCTGCCCGTTCTTCTATGATATCGGGACCAGACTGTGGACTATTTTGTTGTCGAGGGCCATCACCTTCTAGAAAGCAAACTCGGGGCTCGGGAACCCTGGAGAGCACTATGTTTGAACACGGGGGAATACATGCTACCTGCCAAGGAAACAACTCAGTTACTACAAAACAGAGGTTCTGACAGTCTCAGAAAGCACACTACTCTGCTGCAATGTCTAGAGGGAGTCAGACAGAGCCCAGAAGGCATTTTCTCTTCACTGTACTTAACTTATATTTCAGCAGAATTTACTCTTCAAGATGATCATCTTGAGGCTCAGTCACTTATAGACTCCACCAGTCAGTCAGTCAGTCAGTCCTATGCTGAAATGAAGAAGCTTGGAAAATTCATGACAATTTAGTTTAGAGTAATGACATAAAGTATGTTTTTCAGTTGCTGTTAAAAGCGATATAGCCATTGAAATCTCTAAATAATTGGCTGGCATCTCAAAACACAGAGAACCAATATTTAGTCAATGTCAACGCCAGTGTATTTTTGCCAGTCGTTCCTCATAGGTGCTTGTCGTAGTCTTGTCATCGCAACCTAAGGTGCACGTCAGTTGGAGCGATATCAGTTAAAAAAAGGAGAAGGGAGGGGGGGATTTGAATATACATATCTCATGTTGATATGCAATCAAAACCGCAGGAAGTTTTGCTATACCTGCCGCCCTAATCCCGTCGGTAGCTCGAGGACTAACCGATGGTCCTCTCTTGAAACTATCGGGTATTATCTCCTCTCGCCTCATCGCGACATTCATTTTCTCGTATAGTAGAAGAATTGAAACACGGGATGTGTGTTGACAGCTTTGCAAATACGTGTATTTCTTTAAGGCCACCCACACCCACCCCCTTTGCTATTGGAACCCAGACCGCAGGAATTGGGTATTTAACCTTTATGTTTCTATTAGGTATGCTAATTGCCAGCACCTCATTTCCTTTGGGTTCTCGTTATGCAACAGGTATATACTATACATTATCCAGCGTAAAAAAAAACTCCTCATTAACTCCATTCCTCTATGGAAAAATCAGGCACCACTAAAGTCCGAAATTTCCCCAGAGCAAAGGGACGTCTATCGGGGCTTCCTGGCCGTTTGGGGATGAAGTATTCTGTTGCACCATTGACAAAAACATTTCGGGTGTCAAAACAAAATCTTTCTGTCCTAAAGACTGCCATTGCTCTTGGATATCATCATCGATACTCTCCATAGCAGCCGAATCCAGCGGGGCCCATAAAGAAGGGGTATCAGATACCGCGCGGGAACCTGGATTCGGATTCGCTGACTGCTTCGCCCAGAATGCTCTGGCGAATAACTGAGCAGCCACCCGGGCCCCCGACGCAGCCATGTCACTGAACTCGGCCAGCATTTGGAGGCGATTAATGGCCAGCTCGGCCGCTTGCATCGCCCGTTTACGGGACAATTTAACCTTCATTCCCAGAATGTCGGTGTTCTCGTCCCCTTGGTCAAATGGGAAATCTGCATGCGTGCAAAGACAGAGTAAAAGTACGGCAGCCTCGAAGGTGTTGAAAATGATAGCACCAAAGCGCGTGTATGAGCCGCCAAACATCAAATGGAGGGCGGTCACGGCCTCGAGCTCTTTCAGTGCAGCGAGGCCGAGCCTTAGCTTTTGCGATTGCAGGAGTACGCGCTTGTAAGGCGGTAGACTTGCGACATCGTTAGGTTTGAGTAATAGAAGGGGTCGGAAATTCCAACAGACTGAGTCGAAAATAGCGATGTAGAAAAGCTGCCTTTGCATGGGTAGCTTGGGGAGAGCCTCGTCCCATGTCATATCTGGTTTGTCTATAGCGAAAGCCGCGTGTACGCTAGGGAGATATTCGGCGCAAAATCTCTCATATCTGTGCTCACTCTCTGTTGGATCATACTTAGAGTTCTGCTTTAAATTTAGACTCCGACAGAATCGCGCTAGCTGAACTTCCAGGAGCCGCTCGGTGAATATATCGGGAGCACTACCATCTATATCTAATGGTGAATCGCCAATATCAGCGATTAAGCGCAACCGGGGTAATATCTCCACGACTGAATTGTCTGGCAAGAACGGAATCCGATCCAGCTGTCTGGCTAAATGGCTATTATTAAAAATCCGTCAGCCAGTCCGCTCAGTCATGAAGATCTTGAGGCATACCTGTCCAAAGCATAAAGGCTGCAGAAAGTCCTCCGTCGAACCTCTTTTTCCAGCTCCTGGACACCGTTTTCTTGTAATAAGGGGGGCGACCTTCTGCAATCAGTGGCCTCTCTGTGAATACCAGCCTTTTGAGCGGCTCGACTAGCAGAAGCCACGCCTTCCCAGAATGGAGCTGTCCCCCCTTCACACGATAGTTTCAGGGCAGCGAATAGAAGATGCTGCACACGGAACAGGGAACCTTTCCCGTCAAGCATTTCACAGGCTTTGGCAAGATTTTCTCCGATACCACAGCAAGTGTCGCGAATATCTTCCAGTGATCGGCCGTAGATCTGGTCGACAATGCACGACGGCGACGGCAGGAACTGTGTCGCATAGCAACAAATGCGAACAATGAGAGTTGCAAAATCGACATCAGACACTGCCATTGGATTACCCCGCTTTGCCCACCATTTCTGATAATCGGCTAAGAAGCTGGGAGAATGGATAACTTGCTTCATCCTAGACAAATCAAATAAGAGGGAGGGATTAAAATTAGAATAAAATAGATCTGAGCTGTCTTTCCAAAGAGTTCGCCCTCATCAACCTTACCAATTCAGCTCACTGACAAAGTACTGCACAAGGAAATCTACAATCTGGCGATCGGGCATACGCCCAACCTCATGTTGGATGGTACCCCATATAGACTGCGAAGAGGGATCGATTAGTTCCGTTTCATCCTCATCAGGCAATTCTAACTAAATAAGACATCGAATGAGCTTTCAAACATCAACCCTAACCAGGATAATAAAAATACTTAATAAGAGATTTGAAAATAGAACTCAATTACATTCCGCAGCAAAGCCATCGTGTTGGAATTGCTGTCTTCGAAGTAACCAAACGACTTGGCTAGGGCAGAATGCCGACTGGACGAGCAACCGTTAGGTTCATGCTCATGCTCATGCTCATGCTCATGCTCATGTCGTGTTGGCATATTCTTCGAGTGGCTTGCACCCTTGGGCAGTTTCTGGACTTGAGCCTCCCGTCCAGGTGCTGTCCCACCACTATAGATGCACCCTTCTGCCCGCCGGCGGCGGCTACAGTGGTTACATGGATACTGGCGGTTACACTAGAAGGAATCGATCAGAGCCCGCTCGTCTGCAACCATAGGAGGTGGTCTTTTAAACATACTTTTTGCTTTCGCGTGTAACAGGGGTAACAGGCTTGAATGCGACGCTTTCGTGCCTGTTGCATGGTGAGAGGGTGGATGGAGTAGATAGATGGTAAGGGAACGAGAGTGTTGATGACCTGCTAGAAATTAAAACCGACGCCAATGATCAGGCTTGGGAGAAAAACGCTAGGATTTGTTAGCTGGCTGACATCGAGGTGATGAAGCTAGGTGTGTCATGCTGGTTGTTTCTTAATGCCTATCTCCGCTTCAGCTCTATCTTAGATCCCAACATCGAGGGCGATCTTAGATAGCATTTTATCATAGCTAATTATTGCAACATATTAGCATTATTTACAGTTACTCGCTTCACACTCTATAGGTTTCTTTTTTTTCTATTGTCTTTAGCTCCGATCTAGTTCATTCCATAGTGTGGGATAAATCAAAATTGCTGTACAATCTAGGAACCGCCAGTTTCTCAGAACGTCCTTCCGCCCGATCGTGGCCCCAGTCCACACATAAAAAATTATTTGATGCTTTACATTCACCCTTCTAACTCTTCCAACCGCATCTATCCAAATAGTCTTTCCCGCTTCAAGATTAAAGAGGCAATGGTACCTAGCGCTCCGGCGACAAGCGGAATAATGAAGGCTCGTGCCATCGCAGAGGTGATGGCACCAATAGCCCCCGTCCGTAGCTCACTATTCAGTCTGCCAAATAGTGTGCTCTGAGCCCCCGCAACAATGCCATGAATATCTTCCTGGCTGAACCCCTGATCAGCCAAAACACGATTTAAATTGCGGACAGCAGTTGACTGAAAAACCTGGTTGGCAAGAACAATACTCAGAACTGTTGCGCCGATCTGTGCAACATTCTGCAGGTTGATGGCACTGAGTGAGTCAGTTGGTGCTACCTTTAAGCTACTGACAGAGTATCCCAGCTGAATGGTGATTCCAGTTCCAACTCCCATCAGAATACTGAAGCCATAGATCTGTGGGGTGGGTGTTGACGGTGAGAGGTAAGCCACGAACATCGCACTGGATATAGTCATCAAGATGCCTGACACCAGACACATTGGCATATAGTACTTGACCCGAGGGAGGGCCCACCCTGTCGTCAGGTTGACAGTAATGGTGAACACAAGATAGGGAAGCAGTCGAACCGCAGCCATGAGAGAAGTATCATTCCGTGTGAACTGGAAGTAGATGGGGATGTAGAACATGGTGAAGAACATGCAAGTATTGGCGCAGGTGGTAATGACATAGAACAACACTTGAGTTCGCGACCTGAGCAGATGGCAGGGGAATGATCGGGTCTCGGGCGTTGTGAAAATGCAAAAACCCTGTTGCAGAGCATAAAGACCAAGGAGGACACCCCAAACCACAACCATTGCGATAGCGCGACCACCGCTCCACGGCCAGAGACCACCGGCGAAGATAAACCCAATAGCGAAAGTCGCCCACATTCCTGCGCTCAGAATAAACCCAACATAGTCCAAACTTTTCAATCGCTCTCCGAGCGGTTTCCCAGAAGCCGGGTGAACGGGTGGAAGGTAAAACAGGTAGATAGGGCCTGTGACTGCACCGATGATGAGGTTGATATAGAATCCCCATCTCCAGGTCGCAGCGGAGTCCGAGAACCCACCTCCAACCACCGGTCCCAGAATCGCCCCAAACCCCCAAACGAAACCAATCCCGGAAATATACACCGCACGCTCATGTCGAGTTGTCATGGCAGAGAAGTAGTTTAGGCCGCCAAGATAAATACCTGTCCCTCCAGCTCCAGCAATCACACGCCCAATGATTAAAGCTTGCATGCTCGGCGCACCGCCGCAGAGAGCGGACCCTGCCTGAAACAACACAATCCCTACAATATAGAGCCATTTCATGTTGAAGGAGGTGAATAGGAAGCCGTAGGGAAGGATGACAGCGACCGATCCGAGAGGGAATCCGACGCCGATCCAGGCAAGCTGTTCGACCTCATGGAAACTGCGAATGACTGCCCCCTGCACGTCTGCAGCGATGGTTGTGTCGAGTCCATACATCAAGGCCGACAGATAAAGAGCAGCACAGATCAGAGACCAGCGAAACCCGGTAATTTTGCGAGCATCGTCATCTGTGGGTGTGTCTATACCAGTCAACGTATCTTTTTCGTCATTTGCGGGTTGAGGGCGGTGATCTTCAATTTCTTTGAGGGGGCTATGATTCTCGAGAGTCTGGGACTTTGTGGTATCTGCTTTGGCGCTTTCGCTCATGCTAGAGGTGGAAAGGGAGGACTTTGTGAAGGCCATCTGAGTGTATTGATAGACTGGTTGTAGACAATGGGATACTCCTATATAATATCAAGTGCGCGCATATGCTCGCAGCAACAATAATGACACTCATTTTTCAGGAGTTCCAAGAGTTGCAATGCGCAGGATAGCAGTAATATATAGTAACATATCCTCCCATGGAAGCTCACTAACACCTGGATAGAATTGAAATATGGAGATCAACATCGTCTACCGGCTATTCGGAACAAATAGCCGGTCAAATCAGTATGCAAATCCATGGAGATATGTTTATATGTACAGTCCATACATATGTATAACAAGGAGTTAAGAATTGAACGGACATCATTGCTGGTTCGGCGTGCTGGAGCTCGCCCGACAATCGTCGGCCGAAGATCTCCAGACCCTCCCCGAAGCCGATTTCATTTTTGCGAAGACAGGCCCTTGATGAATCAGAACCAGGACCAAACGAGGCTCAGTCAAGAGAGCTAGCTCTCGAAGTCCGCGGATATGACGTGTAGTCTACTTCGTCGCGGCCTTGTTGAAGTAGGTTGAAATTGATGCGGTTTTGGTTAACTCTTTCTTTGCTGTTGCTTGAAAGTTCAAGAGGTTGAGCTAGATAAGGCTCGCGCTAGTATGAATGAGGCTAGGTTGGTATGCTTCCCGTTTACTGCGAACACAGTTACATACAATACCCTACCAAGATCAGCAACAATTAGTATATATTTAATATAAGATCCATCATTTTTCATCCTGTGCGATTATTTTCATTTAAAAATACAAGCCCTTCATACAGCTGCGAGGAAACAAAACCCGATCATTAATATATCACTCAGAGACTAGCACAGATTAAAATGAGAAAAAAATAGGGACACCCCCCTCACGCTTTCCACGCTCGACTCTTCTCCCTCTCCACAAACTCCTTCCAGCTCGTCGGCTTCTCCTCCAAAATCGCAAGACTCTCGCCCAAGCTGGCCCCACCATAGTACCCGGGACCCTCCAGCAGCTGGTGGTTTTCCAAAAACTCCTGCGCCGCGAAAGGTGGCATGAAAGACTTATATTGCTCAGGGGTAATCTGGACCACCTTGGCGGGATATCCCGTTACTTCTGTGAATTCTGAGACAATGCGGCCTGGGGTGTAGTAGTCTGTTGCTTCGTAGATGTCTTTGCCGAGGGTTGCAGGGTATTTCTTCATGGCAGCCGTTACATATTTGCCTAGGTTTGGTGTTAGTTCCGATGTGGTCTTATATGGTCGGTTTCTTTCTCTCTTTTCTTTTTACTGTTTTTCTTTCCCCTTTTTATGATAATAAGAATAATAAATAATAAAAGTAACTCACCAGTATCGCCAGCAGCATCGAACAGTGGAAACTGCGCGTTCTCACTAACTGGCAAACTCAACGTAAACACCCCATCTTCCCCCTTCCGTAACGTCTTCTCAAAATTACTCATAAAGTACCCCGGCAACACAAAGGTGGCCGGCAACCCAATGCTCCGGACATACTTCTCAACATTCGCCTTGCTGTCAAAGTGGCTCACATTCGGCAAGCGGCCATGAGTAACATCGGTGACATTGACAAGTGACGAGAAGATGAAATGGGAAACCCCAGCAGATTTGGCGGCATCAGCAACATTTTTGCCCTGGGAATATTCAACCTCTGGCTTGGCGGATTCCCAGAAGTTGGTGACGAGGAAGACAGTGTGAGCGTTGGCGAGCGCAGGGGCGAGGGAGGAGAGGGAGCTCATGTCCGCCTGGAGTTGGGGTTTTTTGTGTCAGATCAGATTTTGCTAAAGAGGAGACTGACTTCAGGGCAGAATAGTGGATATGATGGAGCAATGTGGGAGGTGAAAATTGATATCTGTAGAGCTTCCCTAAAAACGTACACTCATGATCTCAACCCCCTGGTTAGCCAACTCCTGGGCGGATGGCTTGGAGGGATCGCGGGTGATGCCCCGAATTTTGAACTCCTTGGATAGAGTGGGATGGGCGAGGATGGCTTTGATAACGGAGCCACCCTGATTGCCTGTGGCCCCAAACACGGTGATGAGCTTCGACATTGTGTAGACAAGCTACAGAGGGATATTTGTTGGGTTGAAATTGGCGAAGAGGTGCTGCTGTTAGGCTTGCTGGTCTGATGATTTTGAAAGAATGGGGCTTGCTGGTACTGCTTCGGACTGGTTCTATTCAACTGCGATTTGAGGATTGATCAGAGATCTTGATCCGACGGGGAATTTGGCGGCTATATATATATGCGAATTTCATATTCTTAGTTGTGGCATTCGCAGCAAGCTCACAGCCTAAATCCCAGGTTGGGGCACATTTGCACCCTTTGGCTGTCTGACAGTTACATCATCGCCCGTCGTAGGGCCAGGATTGATTAACTTTGCGGCCGAAATCCTGCTTGTTTGGTGGTTGCATGGAATATTGTAATCCAATAAACAACAGAGGCTGCTGTAGAATACGAACCATACTGAGCCACTGACCGCACTTCAAGCATCGGACGGAAATGTTTTGCACAACGGCCCATATAGGTCAGCGGATTATCCCGGGCTGCATGCCCCATCCGTGGCATTGATTGTGAAGGATTCTGTAATCGTTGAGGTGATAAATAATCTAGCGATGGCCGAAGGCCGAAGGAAGGCCGAGACCGACTTGGCAGCATCGGGCCAAGCCTGGATCGTGGTGGGGAAATACATAAACATCAACAAGCATTATCTAACTATGGCATCTTCTTTTCTTCTGCAATGTTGAAATCAGCCAACTATCACACCTCATCATACCGGTAAAGCTTTGTCAGCATTCGATGGAAGAATCTAGCAGCTTGTATTTCTGGGACGCATTTTGTGTTTAGGAAGCCTGCCACAATATCACGGGCTCCGGTTTCCCGTCGATTTGGTCTAAGATCTTAGAAAGCAGTGTGATAAGATCGCGAATGAACAAAGTGTAGGCATGCGAGGCTATCACCCTCATGGTCCATCCGTTTTGTCCTTACATCAGTGGTATCTTTCGACGAAACCCCGCTGGTCGCCTCTCAGTGTGACGTCGCGGTAGAATTCATATGATATAACTATCAAGTCTCACCTGAACACGATCAAATGTTACCTGCCTGCCTATGCCGCAGAATGGGGTTATTCTGCCATGAGTGTTCAGAGCTAAACTAGGCTAGTATGTGCGAGAGTTTGGTATTCTTCAGTATCTTTATATTTTCTCATAGAGTTGGCGGTACCTTCCAATGATATTATTGTTGCGGCGCTTCATCCTCCGTTTCGTGGAACTGATTGCTTGGGCATAAGTGATGAGCTTCAGATATGGAAGCATAACCGGTGGGGGAAATATTTGGAGATATTGATGTCATGAGCATCTGCTTCTCTGCTCCGCCTGGCCCCTATCGCTTCTCCCCCTTCCATACCTGGTATCCCCTGTCAAGTCCCCATATTTAAACCCCCTCAAACCACTTATGCGCTAACGCCTCGCGAGCTGTGATCCTCTTTGCTGGATCGAAATTTGTCATGGAGCAAATGAGACTTTTAAAATCTTCATCAGCGCCCTTCCAAAGTGAAAATGGTTTGCGCGGGTTTTCTTTATCGAAACCATCCCGAATGATCTTAAAAACCTGGACCCAGGGGTTCTCATCACCCAGATAGTTCAAAAACGCAGCTATCCCGTCTGCATCCGCAAAGTATGAGATTTGGCGCTCAATCACAATAGATAACGGGTCTACGCCTTCGTCCAACTCCTCTTCCCCCACTGCGAGGATAACGCGTTTATGCACCGCATAAATGCACTAAAATCGTTAGTGAATATGCCCCCTTGGCCGCAAAAACTAATAGCTGACGAGACTCACTACAAGCGCAAAGGAGAAGATATCAGAAGGCTTATTCACAGGCCCTTTGGCATGGGCTTCGGGGCTTCTCCACATTGGGTTCCCTGCCTGTTTTCCAATCATCGCTGATCCAGGAGGGATGTATGCGGAATCTTCCAAATCACCAAGTTGCACTCGTTCAATGAGGATACCATCCTTCCGGGCCTGCCAGTCAACAAAAAAATTGTCGGCCTTAATATCTACTCGGAGTAAGTGATCACCATCATAAGAAGGGAGGGGGTGTAGGGTTACCTACCGGTATGGACAATGTCCTGATCATGGAGTTCTGCAATTCCACGAAGAGCATCTTTGAGTATCCTTTTTGTTGTTTCAAGAGGCAAGTCCTTCTGGACACGATGCAGGAGGTGTCCTGCCAGATACTCAAAAACAAACACTGACTTCTTGGGAATTGTATCTTGACAGAGACGGACGTGGTTAGCGCTACCACGAAGCCTATTATTTACATCCTCGAGGTCTTCAAAATTAACCGGGTGAATGTATTTCAATACGTACTTACGGCCACCCGCACTGAGGAAGCAGTGAGTAAGCAAAGCTATTATCATAATTATACGAAGGGAAATAGCTTCAATCTACCTAGCAAGGCCAACCCAGCGAGGGGGAAAGGTTTCTTCTTGAAGAACTCGTTCAATTTTATAATTGCGACCAGACTCGCCGATATACTCACGAGAGTCTACGTGGGCAGTCGACATTGTGCCTGTCTTGCGATAGAGGGTGGCTTTCGGCAAAGCCGGTTTGCAGCCCGGAAGATTCAGCACAAATAGGTTTGAATGTATGCATCGGTTCCGGTAAGAGCGGAGCGGGAGATAAGAAAGGTTACCAAGTGGCGGCATGGAGGCTAATTAATAGAGAATGGCTTTGCAATTGAGTCAAGTTGACATCAGGAATTTGGGAATTTCTCCGCCTGTTGCTTGAAGCGTTCGCAGGAGAAAAGTGTATGACTGATTGGTGTCGGTCTAACAGGGTTTCCTTCACATTTGCCACTTGGAACTAAAGTAGCGGAAATCAATTGAAACCCAGAGACGAATTTCGGGAATAGTGGGGAGAAATGGGGAGGAGAGGATACCTGGGGATGCCTCCAAAGAGACATTAAGGGATTGCCTACCAAGGAAGCCTCATCAAGAAGCGAGGAGGATCAAATTTCTCAGAAGAAAGGGAAATCGTTTCGGAGATCGAAGGAAGCAATTACAGCGTACAACCGATAATTGACTGCCCCCAGAATGACACCACTGGCAGCTAGAATGTTGATTAAAAGATTCGAAGCTTCGCGGATTGTCCTTGCAATGGGACGCGGGTATTAATTGATCCGAGAAGCATTAGCGCCCCGTCCACTTAGAATTTCATACAGATTCTCCCAGGCAAGCTGACATCGGAGGCGCACTTCACGACGAAGTTCAATGGTGTGCAGTATATCCCTTGCCGTGCTAGTGTAAAAGCCGATATTTTCTGTAATGTTCGACGCTCAATCGCCTGCCAGGCGGCGGCAAAAAGCAAAGCTTTCACCTGAATTTCTGTCATCAATTTTGGTGACTCCTAGATATTTCTCGCATCCCCCTTGCTCATATAGCCGGAGCAACATGTTTGCATCGTGTCTCTGCTCCTCAGTTGCTCCTGCTCAGTTACTGCGATGCAACTCAGCTGATCGGGAGCGCCAAAACAAACTGTGTGACTTTGTGAGGTGAGCTCGACGCGGTTTGCAATAAAGCAGTCATTCATCATTACTGACTTTATGAGTTCTGGCCTTGCTATTGTCAGAACCTTCTTGCCTAGAGAAGGATTCTCTCTTCCATAGCTCGCCTTTGTATTACAAATCATAAGCCCTCTTGAATCTACAGCATTTCCATTGAGGTGACCTACTAGTTTTCTCACCCAGTAACAGCTTAGCACGGTATAGACAGAAGCAACATGTCCATTGCAACTAAAAAAAGTGCATACAACCTTGAAGCGCAGCTGGAGCCTCAAGGACCCCCAACCCTTTTTCACTTTTGCCATTACACCTCCTTTCACCGCATCAAACTTCACCCACCTGCTTCGTCGATTAGGTGGTGTTCTCTTGCCGATTATGCGCTTTACCCATATGCCTCGTAGAGCATACCGCATCAGTGGCAAGGACGAGATCTTGGGTGGCAGGACGAACAAGCTTCTTCCTATTCGCCACAGAGCATGCGAAGGATTGCTTGGGCGTGATGAAATGAAATCCACTCGGATTGATAGAAAAGCGCGTCTGGCACACGCTGCCATTTGCACATTTAGTGACCTGCATGTGCACACGACTGGACATGATTTCAACGAATGCCGCATATGCCAGCGCGGAAGATGTTATCCACGAAACTGGCGCTCAACTGCTGGGGATGGAAGGAATGCATTTCGCAGCGCACATGCGGTATACGGGCAATTGAGAGTTCGATGTTTGAGGGTTCACATGAACAGCGAGGGACGAAGGCACCGCTCGTTGAGAAGAATTTGTGTGCAATGGAGAATGAAGAAACCATCCAGAGCCGGAAGGAATGCAGAGGATATAAACTGCAGGGCTTGCCCAGCAGCAAGCGCGAAAAGAAAATGACGTGCGAGAAAAGCAAAATACGACAACTTGAATGCGAAAAATTCTGAGCTCTCCGCACTAATTTCGCATTTTTAAACTTTTCATTAGGTTTTGGGACCCAATCAAACCATCGATAATCGAGTTTTAACTTCTATAAGCTTCAATATTCTGTGGAATAAGAACGTTAAAATCTACAACGAAAGGCTTATTTAATTGGGCTATTGAAATATCTAAACCCATACTCCGAATCACAATCTATTGAGTATTGATAAGGGATTGTGTCTGCCACGACCAAGCGCTCCACTATAACACCGGGCCAAGTTACCGAGAGAAGATATTGGGGGATGGTTAATCCTCTATGATTATGGCGGAAGCTTGATAATCTCATCTCTAACGGAGAGCTAATACGTGGTATGCTGCCTGGTATAAAATATCGCATCCGCTGCCTCTAGCCGCCATGTTGGCGCTAGCGTCCATTCCCTTCAACGCTATCTTGTTGCTTTTGAGGAAATTGGGATGAAGGAGACGAACCCAGTAGTGCAGTTTTCACCCTGGGGTTTGGCCAAAGATATCCACCGTCAGGATGTTTGTTTGTATCCTGGTGCTCATCCAAGCGAACATTTCTCCGGGTGGTTTCCTTCCCGGTAATAGCAGAGTTGAGTATTAGTTGTCACAACTCAGAGCCCAGGATCTTGGTCATTTTTCTTTCCGGTGATTCTTTGTTCAAGATACACCTTCTATCTCCGTTCCACAAAAGTAATATGACAAATGGGGGGGGGGGGGGGGGGGGGGTCTCAATTCTTGGGACAGGAAACACAGATGATGAAGGGCTTTACAACCATCGGAACAGGCGGCCTCCACTGAATGGGCGCAATATAAGTATAGGAGGTATAGGAGTTGGCACCCCTGATGCCCCTTAATACCATGCGACCTGTCCCTTCTAGACAGTTACAACCAACCAACCCATCCTCCGTCATTTTGCGTTTATATTATTTTTATAGATGACTTGATCCCTTCGGTCCTACTATGCTAGTATCCAACAACATCCTGAGTTTGTAATAAATGCGGTAACTTAAGGCGTAATAAGCTACGACTTCAGCATTAGTTCCTAGAGCTAGTCCATACTATGTGCAGAGTTACTTAGGACAGAGGACAGCAATGAATGAATCATTCACTTGCAGATCAGAGCTGCCTTTAAGACTTCGGCATAGCCGGCTATTTGGAGCATTTCATTCCCCCACAGTTCGAAACATAACCACCTACAGACATCCTAGTACGCTTGACGAAAACCTCTCCAGTGTCGATGACGCTATCTATATAGACGTTAAGGTTGAGCAAAACAGGTTGAGGACAACATGGACACCGTTGTCGCACAACCCCGCTGTTTCGTCTGACAACCTAGGTTGTCTGAAACGACGGCTCAGAGCAATAACAGTAACACTGAGTGAGTATTCCGAGGGACGGGGGTATGGATGACCATATATAAATATACATCTACTGAGTTAGTGCTTCAAACCAAAGGCGTCACCACACCCACCAGCTGACCAGTTCTCACATGGTACAGTACGTCTTTCTTCCTCTACGCTATTTAGCTGTCTCGGACATATATTTGCGATCTGAGATCGACGAGCGAGGGAGGAAGCCGGTGTTGGCCTATTCCCCGCTGCTGTTTTTTTGGCTGCTGACCCGCACGGGAACATTACAAACAAACTCACGGCACGCACTGTTTACTATCCACTGCACATATCATCATGATGACCATCAGCATTGATTGGGTTTCAACGGCAGCCTGGGGATACCTGAGCGTTGTGTACCACTATACATGATTACATGAGGTATTGCTTGTATCCGGCCAGTCTGCAGTCCATGGAAACAGTCGAGCTGGTTTCCACTGGTTACGCGAAAAAGCAAAACTGGCTTCAGTCGGAGACTACTTTGTTGGGTGCAGATGCAGATGGCTCGTTGGCCAGAGTCGGAGAGTTTGAGCTGCTAGTTACCAGTTAGATCGTGGTCTGATAGGCACGGACGACAGTTGGGGAGCTTAATGCGGTGCGGGGTATGGATGTATCTATGACTGAAGCTGTAGGAGGTGATATGATGACACTTGCAGTAGCTTGTGATGGGTGATTGTTAACTAGTTAGTTAACTACTAGTTAATCCTTTGTCAGGAAGCGTTCAAAAGGAACGGGATGCATTGATTGCTGAGATTGTGTCGGGACAATGGCGAGACGAGACCTCCACAGCTCCGCCAACCGTATCCCAGTAGCTGGGTAGCTAGCTAGATCTCTATGCCATCCTCTCTTCTATACTGGCCACAGCTTGCTGGATGCCGCGGTGTTGGTTTAAAGTTCCGGCCAAGCCAGCTAAAAACGCCCTTTGCCCCTCGATAGCTTGGATATTCAAGCACTGGAAAGATCACTGGAGAGCTGGAAAGCTGGATAGCTGGATAACGCCAGACTGCGCTGCCGACCTTGCCGAGTCTGGTCTCGAGACTCTCGAGAGCTCCCAGAGCTATATCAGACCGACAGACTGACCTGGCTGGACCTGGCTGGGCTGGACTGGCGGCAAACAAAGCCCAAATATCAGATAACTAACTTAACTCCTGATCTCATGACGGCCAGCATGATCGATCGACTCTGCTGGCTTCAAGTTCTGCTCCTGCGAGTGGTCCCGCAGCAATGCCGAATATCCGCCAGCTATTGTGTATCGGATCTCTCCCCCGGTGGCAATCCTCGACATTGCTGTGCAAGTTCCTATTCCCCTAATGTACTCCGTACAGTAAGCTCCCCTTCACAGCTGGTTGGATGCACGTCAAACCAGCGTCATGCCAGCCATCCCAGCCAATGACGTCGGCCGCCCGCCTCAGCCAAACCCGCGCATATCTTGGGACGTAGGTATCTGTCTCCTGTATCCCTTCCCGCCTCGGCCACTGTTCTGGATTCTGGGTACATCGGCAGCGATATCTGTGGATGGCGGTTTGGCTTTCGCCGGCTCGCCCGGTTACGCATCGAACCTTCACCTCAGGCCGTGTGAGCACTTGACCCCAACCGGCATGCTGTGGCTTTTGCTTCCAAATCCCCTCAGGCTCTATGACGTTATGCATTGCATAGGGTTTGGGATTTTTCTTTTTTCTTTTTCTTTTTGTTCTCTGCTGTCGAATTTTGCGCTACAGACTTGCGGTGGTGCGGCGGGCGCGAGAGGGGGGGGGATATAAAGAGTTTGCCCGCCTCCCTGGTCCAACGAGTACCTGGTTTTCTATTTTATTCTTATCGGTTGATATATACATATGTGTGTGTATACGAGTATACTATATATCTGTGGTTCTTTACATATATACCTTTACCCTATCTAATCTTGGAATAACCCCTGATTCCAGCGCAGGACATCAGAGACCCCGAGACGGTTTATATTTATTATTTAATTGCGTTTTATCATAACCATTCTCATATACCCAAGTCCAGCATCCACCTCTGCTTTCATCTCCTTGATACCTGCAACAGCGGCAAGCGACAATGGCTCTCCTCGACACCGCCATGCGCGGCCTGCTCTTCTGCACCCGCCTGCTCCAGTGGTGCAGCGCCGTGATCGTTATGGGCATCGTGGCCTTCTTCCTCCACAGGGGGCCGAAGGGCCAACATCTGAAATACGAGATCGTTATCGTGCGTTGTATATATCCATCCCTAGAATATTGATCGAGGTACTAACAGAACCCAGGCTGTATTATCCGTTGCCTTCTTCCTGCCCGGCCTGCTCTCCGCCTTCATCCCCGCCGTGGGCAAGATCGCGTTCCCGATTGATATCATCTTCTCCTATCTGTATGTCTCCGCTTTTCTCCTTTTATACTCTCTCATTTCTACAACGACAGAATAGCAATCGTGACCTGGCTAACAACCGCCACCAGCTGGTTAACCTCCTTTATCTTCACCGCGCAAGACTACAACTTGGGCGTCTGTGGTCTCAACGCGCCCCCCGGCGGCCGCTGCTCGCTCAAGCATGCTCTCGAGGCCTTCACCTTCCTGGCATTGTATGATAGTCCTTGCTCCCATCAAGCTCCCATTCCCCCTTTTCCCCTTCCCCTATACGAGCATAGTTAACGTGTATTTTGACTTCAGCTTCGGCTGCCTCGCCTCCGCGATGCTCGAGATCTATAACCTGTGGGCATACCACAAGTCGCGCTCTGTGACGGCGCATCCCACGAAGGAGGTGCCGCGGCAGTCGGCGGAGACGGAGGGGACGGCGGCGGTGTAGTTTTTTTTTTCTTTCTTTCCTTTTTGTGTATCCCGGTTTGAATTGAATTGAATACGAAATACGATATGAAAATGATTTATGAACAATGTATGTGGTGACGGTGTGCGTGAGTGGCGTGGCCGGTGGTATATAGGTGAAAGGGCTAGTGGTAATATTCTGCTCTTGATTTATTTATATCCCGCCTGGGCTCTGGTTTTGGTTTTCCTTGATGTTGACATGGGTTGTGGATGGATGGCTGGCAATGGCTTGACGGGCCATTTGCAGTATCTATGCGAATGCGAGGTGAAGGACGGGTGGGACGGATCTAGGCTGTCTCCTATTCTTGTTACATTGTTGTACTCCGTACTTGATCTTGATACCTAACTAATTCCCCCAAATCCCCAATCTGACTCGTTTACAACTTACTTGTTGAACTAGTACCTTTTTGCAAAGAGAGATTTCTGCAGTTGGAAATTGGAATCGATATTGAAGCGGAGTCCGTTTTGGAAATCTGCGTAGGTTGCGCCATGATAAGTTGTCGTGCCCCTGGTCCGTATGTTTGTTCACCCGAGTCAGAGGAAGGCAGGGAGAGGAAAGACTATTTCCTCTCATCCGTTCTCTGGCTTTTTTTCCCTTTCACATTTCTTCGTGCGGCGGTACAGTGCGGCGGTAACATGTGCTGTGAGACAGTGAACATACAATCATCTCATACAGGCTGTGGTCTATGCAGCTTACCATCCCGTACTGAAGGCGATATTTAGTCCTCAACCTCACCATCTTCATTTTCCTCGTCGGCCCGGGGAGCCGTATGTTTCCGTTAAATACGCGCTGGCTGAACAAACCCGTTAGGGGTTCAATATGTCAAGTTCTCTGAGTGGCGCTGATGCCTCGATCCAGAGGGCTTTCGTGCTCTCGATAGTTATATCGACAGTGAACATACTGCCAGCATGGTGCTGGTGGTGATCGAGCTCTTTTGCCTCAGTGGCCTAACAGAAGATATAAAAAATCAAGGGCAAGTCACAGCTAACGATTGAATTCAACCTGAACATCCATTCCAAGGCCCTTCAAAACAAAACACCCCCCCCGCCCCTGGGACAACCGCCCCATAAAAGGGAGACCTCTTATCCAAATCACACAGTTACATACCAATGTGCAAAAAAGCAAAGGTGAAAACAAAAATGACATTGAAATTGAAACTGAATAAAACAAGATTCAAAAGACATAAACGCCGCTCCCCCCACGCCGCCCCCTTTACAACAACAAAGAAGCCCCACCCAAAATAAACCCCAGAAACACAGCCGTTAAAATAGCAGCCCCAATCTGATCGCCCACCGTGATCGGCCTCGTAGCAATCTCCGGCAGTAAATCGCCCCTGACGAACTCCGCGCCCACCTCACCCTTACTCGTCCTGTTCGTCTTCGCCGACACAGGCAGCGGCGCGCGCCGGACCAGCAGCCCCTGAATCACCTCGAGCGCCGCCATCAGCTGCCCCAGCCCTGCGCTGCCCTCGAAGCGGCCGACATTCCACTTCTGTGAGCACTGCGCGCCGTTGGTGCCGATGGTGCAGGCGCTGGCGGCGCCGGCGGCAGAGGCGCGCAGGATCGGCAGGAGCCGCGCCGTCGTGAAGGGGCAAATTTGCATCGTGGCGGCCATCCAGCGCGCGAGGTAGGCTTTGAAGGAGAGCTGGTCGGTTGTGCATTTGTTGTGGGCTTCGCAGGTGGGTTCGTAGAGGACGTTGGAGCCTTTGTGGATGAAGATGTGGAGGGCGTTGATGATGTTTTGCAGGCGGGTTTTCCGCGCCGTGAGACTGGTTGGTATGCTGGAGGGGCGAGGGGGAGGTTAGCTCTCGCTTTTTCTAGACAATAGATGGCAGATGGATTGGATGAAAAGAATATGAGGTGGGATTTGACACTAACGAATTGATACATATGAGCTGCGCCCAGCATAAATATGCCCGCATTGTACGTCCATCGGTTGCGATTGAGCTGCGAGCAGTTCTTCAAGTCATCCGTGCCGTCCAGGAAATAATAGTCGGGCGTAATCAGACCAATGCGCTGCACCCACTCCCACGTCTTTTCCGCCCAAGCTGCATACGTATGGTTGTTCGTATAGGTCGCCAGCCGCGCCGCGATGTTGAAGAAGCACCCGTTCGAGATGGTGTTCTTGTAGTTGAAGCCTTTGTTGAAGCGGAAGATCTGCCATTTAAGGCCCCCGCCGCACGTCTCCATGTCCCAGCGCGCCGCCTGTGAGTTAAAGGTGCCCTGCACCAGGGTGAGCCACTGCGGCTGGTCGGGCGGCGGGTCGGTGAATCTCCGCTCTGCGGCGGCCATGGCAGCTAGAGCCCAGAAGCATTGGTCGTCGTTGGCCTCGACTCTCGTCTGGTTGGCTGGCATGAAGTTCTGGGTGTCGCTGGCCTGGTGTAGCATGGCTTGTATGATGATATTGTTATACGTCGAGTCGCCGGTGTAGAACCAGTAGTCGATCAAGGAACCGAACATCGCCCCGGCCTCCCACCAGTAGTATGGCGGGGGGAGGTATCCGGGGACACCTCCAGGTCGATCGCCGGTGTAGTAGTGTCTCACCCCTGCTGCGAGGACTCGGGCTGTCATTGCGACGGAGTCTAGTTGATGTCGTGTGTGTGGTGTGAGTGGATGTGGATGCTCTTGGACTACAGATATATTCGAAGGGGTCCAAAGGGGAGGGGGGGGTTAATACCATCATTGTCGAGGTCCACATCAATGCCATGTATGGGAAGGGCGAGCAGCAGCAGGTGGAGGAAAGTCGAGATAATTGACATTGACTGCCGTGACCCAGCCGGAGACGGTAGCCGAGATGGGTACGCTTGTACCTGCATCGTAGAGATACAATTGAGGTAAGATGCCGCCAACCAAAGGGCGGCTGTTTCGTACACAACGGCTGAGAGGTCGCGGCAAAGACGACAAGGAATTTATACCAGCATTGTCTCTCAGTCCAATGCGTGGATTGCATGTGGGATGCAATCATCTCGGCAATGCAGATGGCTGGCCGTTTGAATGAAGAATATCAAAGCTCAGACAAAGCAGCCATGGATGGGCTGTTCGAAAGACGTTTCATATCTGTGTTTCTCATACCCCATCCATCCATGGATAGCAAAGGGTCCCAGCCAACAAAAATAAGCCCTTCACAGCATCGCCGAACCTCTTTGGGCAGCGTTGGTGTGCTGTGGTTGGGTCTACGATATCCTACTAGGCGGAGTAGTGGCCATTAGTTACTCGGGGCAAGGCAAATGGTAAAAGTTGGGGATCATTCATGAGCATTGAGTTAAGCTGAACGGCAAGCCAAAGGAGTAGTAAAAATGCCATACCCCGCATTTATGTGCAAGAAGGTATATTCCACAGGAATGACAACGGTGATCTCATCGTCTAGCTGCGAGGCGCCCTGAGCGTCGTCAACTTCCCCGTCGCCCGCTTTGGTTTGGCCAATGTCTGATGCAGATGGGTAATACAAACGTGAAGCCAATGAAGGATCCTGAAATCGCCAGTAGAAAACCTACGGTGATCGTGCCTCGCGGCCAGGAGAGGGAAGAGCTGTACAGTAGTCGTAGTAGTAGTATAGATATACAGTACCCGCATATCTCTTTAATGATATGTGACAGCTTGGGTGGCTTACTTTTTATACCGTGGCTCTAACAGATAGTTGAGACAAATGCTTGGGCGACGAGCAGGCAAGGTACATTTTTTCATTTCTCATAGTGAAGAATGATTTATTGTATATTCATATTTTATGTTACCTTTTTACATCATTAGTTATTTATTTATTTATTTATTTCTTCTTTCCTCTAGCGTTTCTCTCTTTCAAACATAAATCAAGCATCCATGGCAATCACCAATCTACTCAAAAATGAAAATACGTAATCTGAAAAAGTAGAACAGAAGCTGGAAAAATTAAAGCAAAAAAAAAAAAAAAAGGAAATAACAATCACCCCTTTAAATCTACTCCGTAAAATGACAGTCGTCAATCGGCGCGTATGCGCCCCACCCTTCCTCCTCCGCCATCCGAAGTACCCCGTTGTGATCCTCCCCGGGCCGCCCACTAAGCGTATCCACAAGCTCCTTCAGCCCCATCCAAAAATCATTCTTCGGCCTCCGACGCACCCAGTCTGTATCCGTCTCCTCTAGTCCGCCCCTCCCCGAAGCATCGGGCCCCATCGGCCCAAACACAACCTCACTCCCCTTAATCCCGATAACGACGCTGGACATCGGATCCGCCGCAATGGACTCCCCACTGCGCCCAAAGAACGTCTCCATGTGCTCGATGCATTTTATCGCCATGCGCAGCGCCCGCACGCGGTCCATCGGCGACGGCTTCCCGCCCTGTTGGAAGTGGCCGGGAACGGCGGCCCGGGACTCGAAGCGCCCACGCGCTTCCTCTTTGATCATGTCGGCAATTACCTGCGTGGTGTAGGTGGCTGAGGCGCGCTCGTTGCGGAGGATGATCTTCCCCGCGTGGCTGGCGCCGCGATCTGTCGCAAAGTTGTGGCGTAGGTATTCGATGTCTCGCGAGAGCATTTTGATGTCGATTCCCTCCTCGGGGATGTAGACTGCGTACGCTCCGACGGCAAGGCCGGCCATGACGGCTATGTAACCTGAGCGGCCGCCTTGGGTTTCAATGACGAAGACCCGTCGGCGGGAAGACGAAGCGGATTGGCGAATTACGTCGCAGAAGTTGATGAGCGTGTTGAGACATGTGTCGCTACCGAGGGAATATTCAGTACCCGGGACGTTGTTGGAGATGGTCGCCGGGAGGATGACGAGAGGAATTCGGAAAGCGGGATACTGATCACGAGCTTTGCGGAGCTGGCTTACTGCCGTGAAGGCTTCGAAACCACCGATGACGAAAAGGGCATCGAACTTGTACAGCTCGAAGCATTCAGCGGTCTTGGGCATGTCTTCGGAGGGGAGGCCGCGGTTTGTGCCGATTTCGGAACCGCCTTCATTTACCCATGAGTCTGACTCGAGCCATGAAACTTCCCGGACAGAACCCAGCGGCTTATCCGCGTGGTGTCGGCATAGGCCTGGAAAACCATTGTATATCGCAATTGGCGTGTGACCTCGGGCGATACAATAGGCGACAGCTGCGCGCGTTGCGGGATTCATTCCACCAGCAGGTGCGCCAACATGGATAATTGCGATTCGCATACGCTGAGCCGAGGATTTCTTGTTAGCGAAATAAAAAGCCAAGTGAAATAAATAATATCTTTAAATGAAACTAATACAAAAAACAAAAAATAAGAACAAAGTAGACATTTAAATTAAACGTACTTTATTTTCTGGTAACTGCAACTTTGGATGGTGAGGGGTTGCCGTATTGATATACGCCCTGTGATAGGCTTTGAATTCCGCGTCTCGCATATCCAAGGCCGTCGCAAAATCTTTGTCCTTGATGGCCTGGGTCACTTGCTTCGTGACGCGAACAGCTTCGACAAGGGATGTCGGTTCGATTTTGTTTTCTCTGATGGTTATGATAGGCGAGGGAGACCCGGGTTTAGCTTCCAAAACAGCTTTGACAGCTTCTATCCCCTGAAGTGTGCCCAGCCACCGATCATAGGCGCATGCGGGCCCTCCTCGCTGTGTGTGGCCGAGAACGGTGACCCGAGTATCAAGCTTCAATCTGTTGCTCAGAAGGTCCTTCACTGATCCAGATGTTATCTTGTTGAGGTTGCTATCCTGAGCACCCTCAGCAACGATAACAATGGTCCGGCGTTTGCCTCGTTTTCGATTCTATATATTCAAATGAGAAATTAGTTAGCAAGGTATGTATGCATGCGCATTGCACCAGCACCAGCACAAACCTGAGTGATAATTTCACACATGTCTCCTTCCCAACCATCTCGTGGCGGCCTCTCCGGAATGAACAACCAGTCCGCCCCTGTGCTGATAGCCGACATCATAGCCAGCCACCCGCAATGCCGTCCCATCACTTCAATCACAAATCCGCGCTGATGGGAAGCTGCGGTATCGAATACCTCATCAACAGCCTCGCATATGCGGTGGAGTGATGAATAACAGCCAACAGTGGCATCCGTTGTTGACATATCGTTGTCAATTGAACCCACAACACCCACGATATTGAGGCAATGGTACGGCTTCACCTCGTCCGAGGTCAACTCCCCCTTCTCCACCAGCTCGGCCAATAAGCCAGGCCACTCTCCCCGGAAGATATCTGCACCAGTCAAACTACCATCTCCACCACAGACGACGAGCGCATCGATTCCACGCACAACCAGATTTTTAGCAGCACGCATGCGCCCCTCTCGCGTCATGAAGCTCATGCTGCGAGCAGAGCCAATGAGAGTACCCCCCCGCGACAACCAGCCGCGCACATCTTCCCAGTACATCCGCCGGATCAACTCCCCGCCCTGCACGAGGCCTTCATAGCCTTCGTGGATAGCGTAGGCCTCACAACCACAGTGGGTAGACATGCGGACGACCGCGCGGACCACACCATTCATCCCAGGGGCATCCCCGCCACTTGTTAGCACAGCGATACGGCGACGCTTGGATGCCATGGTTTTGATTAGCCGATAAAGTAATGAAGGGTATCGGATTGCCAAGCAATAACAGGTTATTTCCTTTGCAGCGGCTAACAGTTTACTTATGCTGGGTAGCTATATATCAACGATCCCCAGCCTCGATCAAAGCAGGAGGAGGGGTAAGGGGCAGGGGGGTTAGTTGAGATGCAACTCCGAGAAATTGAGCCAGCAAATTCCTCTAATTCCAAAATGTATAGCGGGTCAGCGCAAACACAGCAATCTAGGCATGTACAAGAGACACAATTGCAGAAAACCACCGACCGTAGTGTTGATTGAACAAGTTGTCGTCGAACCAATCTGGTCCTGCCCGAAAAAGTCAATGAGGGCGTCATAATGACTAAGCAGAAGCTCTGGGCGATCATGAGGATACACTAAGCTTTATTTAGGTTAGCGTACGGACGATCCAGGTTCGTCTCGAAGGTCTGTGCACGGCTGACTAAGGGTGGAAATGTTTGATATCATTCTTACCTTCTCCCTGAAAAAGAGTATAATAAGTACAAACAGATAATAAAATAAAACCCAAAAAAAGTGAAAAAAAAAGTGAACCAAAGGCAAAAGAGAGTCATCGGTTCAAACAATATCCAAAATAAATACCAAATATTTGTCAAAGAAAATCACAGAGTGGGGGAGAAAAACAAAGATAAACAAAAGGCAACACACAAATTGCCCTGCATCACAGTTAAGTAAGTTGTTGGCGTACGGTCAACGGGTTAAATTCAATAAGAAGACAGGAGATTTAATCATGTGGAGAAAGAAGGCTCTCGCCAGCTCGCCTACGTATTCTGAAAACTCCTACCCAACCAGGCACGCGCCATGGATCTACGAGCTCCTGAAGCCCTAACAGTCCTCACACTATTGTGTAGTTGAAAAGGCAGAGCAAGAAGATCAAGTAATTCATTCAACGACGTGTGAAGAGCCCGGCCAATCGATTGACTAAGGGGCTGTGAATCCACTATACACAATACAGCAATTCTAGCTAAGGAACATGAAAAGAGCTTGATGTATTTCTGCTGGAATGTGCCGATGCTCGCTGATGCAAAACGAGATGCTGCAGAGGGTGGCTTTCGGAATGCTAGTAGCTATTGAAGAACACAATGAGAATAATTGTGTTGAGGGACTATTATGCAACTAATTCACTTCTCTGTACAGAGGTTCATCTCAAAAGTGCTTACCCACCAAGGCACCTACCAAGGCACTATATAACACCACCAACTTGAATTTCCCCCAAATCTGCTTCATCACAGTAGAGATGATATTTTCATTTCTCATTAAATTACTTGTCAAGATGACTTCTAATACTGATATATACAACATTCAGTGAATGCTCTGATCAAGTAGTTCTTCAAATCTTAATTCTATAGAATCTTGCTGACTCTGAATGAAGTACAAAATCACACAAAAGAGTGTATTGTGGTTCCCACATTATATTGCAGCTGGCAGTTGCAGTGTACTATATAGATGGGATGGATGACCACACCTACTGTGAGCTGAGTCGCATCACTGCACTCACAGATATAGATATCACTATAAGTGCAATCATTTAAGAAATGATTAATCATTATGTTGGTATTTTGCTATGAATAATCTGATGATCATGGTGCTCGCTTATAGATTATCACAAGCATCAAAGAGTCAGACAGAAGAGAGTAAGATGTGAAAGCAGTATTGAAAAAATCTTTCACAGAATAGAGTGAATTTCTACTCATATTCAAAAGATTATAGAGCTGGAAGATGAAAATGAATATAAAGAAGTATAATTGTATTATTTTGTATATAGATTGCATGATAGAGAACACTTGCTATATTCAAATTAGACTATTATAGAGTTTTTAGTATGAGAAAGAACTTTTGAGATGAACCTCCGTACTAGAACCGGAATCCTTGGGGATCACAGGCCGCACCCTCTGCATTGGTAATAACCATGCACGAAGACACTATTAGACACTACCCTTTCTCAGAGCCATAGACCAGGATAAATAAATAACCTTGTCAGCACAAAATCAATTCTACCGAAAATATCTTGGCCTAAGACTCATCAGAAAAGTATTGCTCAGAAATCTCATCTTCGGTTGTGTTCTCATCACCCGATGGGTGGATAGTATCCCCCTCTACCCACCGATCCAATTGCCTCTTTTGCTTAGTTGACACTACAAATCGTTCCTCGAAAACCGCTCGCACCGCAGTCCGCGTGCTCTGTCTGAAGGTACCGGAATGTGAGACAACGAATATCACGGCGTTGTAAACCTTGGCAGAATATCTCTCTCCATCACTGAATTCGCCACGTATTATCAGGAATAAAAGTCGAAATGCTGCGTCTCGTGCTCTGGATTTATCACCCCTCCCGGCTCGATAACACTCATACTCGAGTTCGTAGTCGATTTTGCAGGCCCTCAAATCGGCAAAAATACCATTGACTGATTGCCCTGCCAGTACGTCGACCCCTAGGAAATCATAAGTCTCACAGAGAATATGATACTGGGCGATACCGCCTCTCAAAGAGCGAAAACATTGCCGGTAGCCAGACTCCAAACCCTTGAGAGCGACATCAAACAAAGGAATATCCTGGTGGATGAGATTAGTGTTTTGCGGCTGGGTAAGACGTTGAGAGCTAACGAAGGTCGAGAAATATGGCATCCTCGAGATGTCAATGTTGTAGAAAGCATCCCCGATTTTGATTGTTATTTTTCGATCCTCCGATTCAGGTGCCTGAGTCGACTCCATTTTATTGTCAAATTTCGAATAAAGATCATCCGGCAACATCCTGCTTCCACTCCTCATCCAAACTCCAAGGGTATCACTTCGGCCGTCATATTTGATAACGGCGTTCCGCCCATTTTCTCTCACCGCTCTAATGATTTCCTTAATCAGTATTACCAACGCCCGAAGATCACTAGAATGCCCCTCTTCCCACTTAGCCAGCTCGCGAGTGACATCTTCGACTTTTGGTGGTCCAAATACGCCATCTCTGTGGTAGGCACGGACGAGATTGGGTGTTTGCGACACCCATAGCTGTGGAAGGACTTCTCCCATTCTGATATGCCTACGGAACACACGTGTTTTGATTTCAAGAGTTGACTGAATTGGTACCCGTTTGCCTTGCTCTTTGATAGCTAGTTTGGACCCGGTGGAACGAGAGCGGCTTTCGATTGGCGAAAGAGACAGGGTTTTCATCGAGCTTAGCAAATCCCCATCGCCTGATTCCACGCTGGATGGTTGATGTTTTGGAAGTCCATCAATAAACGCGTCGGCTTCGTAGCGTACTATTATTTTCAAACCGCCGAAGTTGTATGAGATGATCCCATGATGTCCCGTACTACCGGAGACCTGAGTAGTGGTGAATGTCTTCTCAAACTCATGACCATAACCCCTGAAATCGTTTGGTCCGATGAACGTATATGTCTCGGTTTCCACCCGACAAAAAATGGCTGTATTGTTCCTCACCTCAACATCGATAGCGAAAGGTTCGCGTCCATTTTTGGAAAGACTTGGATTGATGAATGATAGAAGTTTGCGAACGTTGTTTCGATCGGTTATTAGGTCAACTGGGTTTATGTTGTATGAAGGATTTTCGATGTACAACGAGCGAAAGAGTGGCTCTAACGGACTTTCAGGATGGCGAACAGCGTTTTGAGCGATATAGATGAGTCCAGAGTCTTTGGCCACCTTCTTGTCGGTCTTGGATGGAGACCACAGAGGAGGGCAACCGGGGACAGCAATAGTGGGGACAGGCGATTCGATCCAGTTATAAGAAGACAACGGCTCGACATTCGTGATGGTTGGCCCTATTTCGTCAACATTTGTCAAAGCCGGACGACGAATGGCTGCGGTGCGGATAGGCGCCATCTTTGCCTTGGTTGCTCAGTTGGTTCATGAGAAGGGGAAGAATATTCAGATTTGCTTGTTTATTTCATCACAATTCACATGCTTGGTGGCAACACATATGATGTTATCACACACAGTTCTACTGGTAGTAGAGGGGGTGAATCATCAACACAGAGCCATGGAGTGAATTATTCATCCTATCTTCATGTGCCAGTACATTGTACCTCCAGTATCTCCTTGTATCTCCATGTATGTCTGCTCCTCTAAAGCAAATCTGTCAAACTCCAGGCAATGATGATATTTTTTTCTTGCATGTAGCATGGAAGAGTTATCATCCTTGAGTGTTCCAAGTGAGACCAGACCCGTATTTAAAATCCATGAAGACTTCTCCCACCAATCTGCAAAGTCTCACTCGCACCTTGTAATATATGGCATAAACTCCTTTATGGTTTGTTAGTTAGCGCAAAGCTCTCACTTCACTCTGCACTCTCTGATGATGCAATCTTTTCTCAATCGATTCATCCTTTGTATTTAGGAAGTGCGAAGGCTGTGTTCAGTTACAGCAGATGATAAAATTATGGTCTACTGTGAAGTTCTGTAAAACCTGCAATCTTTGAAGGTTTTACCAATACACTAAAAGCATCAATCCTTAAGATATATGTATGTATATGCATGATTCACAAGTTCTGCTTGACTTTGTGCTCTAGTTATTTGAACATTAGTTATTTTGTAAGCAAAGCTGGATTTGTACGAGACATATAGAAATTGATGACTCTTAGATTAGCCACATTATCAATCCTTAGATTTTTGATTTTCTGCATTGCTCACACACCCGTGTACGGAGAAGATTGAAACGCGAGGGTGTAGGAAAGTTTAACCCCACTAAAACAACATAGCCATTATCATTAGTCATCTCCTTATGCGGTTTTTCCCCGCTGTTTCTCCGGCCCTAATTGTGAGTGGGTGTATTTTAGATGTGTCGTCAAGGTTCAAAATTCCTTGGCAAAAAGCGAACCATGTTCAACTGTCAGGAACCCGTCGGCCACTCGCACTCCGGCATTGACATACAAGGAAGGCTACTATGATTGTGTTCCCGATCTTCTCCAAATACCTACGCGATGTTGCCCTAGGCGCCACTCTCTATCTGCAAATATCATCGCGGAGCTCAAAATCCCATTCAATTGGACAACCCTTCTCAGCCCCAGAGGATAATTATGGAGGAGTCGTTTCCTCTTCCTCTGCGCCCCTTGATCGAGAAGTCAGCAACAGAACCGGATTCATTGCCTATCCGAATCGCCCAGATTAATGGCCAGCGTGGCTCTTTTCGCAATGTCACTGAAACAAGCCTGCAGGAGGAGATACGTGCGGAGCGGGCTAGAAATGCTGCAGGGGTGGAAGGGAGGGAGGAGGAGGAGGCAGTAGAATCACAGGAAGCTAAGTCGGCAGATAGGCTGGAGCAGTTGTTTAAGAGCCGTGCCGAAATTGTAGATTTTGCAACGTGCGCCTCTCTAGGATCAATATACCTCTGATGGCACGAAGGACTCCTGTGCAGGCTGACCGCGACGACCATATATAGGCAAGCCCATGCTGAAGCCAACTATGCCCTCGACCTCGTGTCTCTGCTTGTTTCCAGATATACACCGCGCCAGGCTGAGATGTCCATGTCTCCCTATCTCAAACAGAGGGCACCGCTAGGTTCGTTGGGGATCGATATCATCAAAACGCCGGAGAAGACAGAAGCTGTACAAAAGGAAATCGCGGACCTGTCACGGGGTTGGAAGATGGAAAACTTCGATTCTGCGGCTAACAAGCTGCTGCAAGCCGCGTCCCGGCTGGAAGAGGAGGTTACTGCGGAGACAAAATATTGGGCTGGCGTCTTGAATATCAAGGAAAAGGGGTGGAAAGTTTGCAGGCTTCCACGGGAAAGACAGACGTTAGGTGTACAGTATGGCTTCTTGGAAGGTATGTTTTATTCTAACGTGTGTGCCCGTTCACAATTTATTATACGTCGACTAATTGAGTTCGAGTAGCCACTCCTACGTTCCGCGACCGCGGCCTTGCAGCCTTGCGGCGAGGAAATAGAGGAGATCTAATATTGGACCGCGGGCTACAAGCACGCAAACCTCGCTCTCTCCGTGTTCGGGTGCAGCATGCTGACCGTATAGTGGGGGCCTCAAAGATCGTCTCCCTGGAATTGGCTCCCGGCAATGATGCCATTGAAAACCACATTCGTTTGACTCGGGATGCCTTGTATGAAGAAGAGCTGTTCCATGAACTTAATCGCGAAGCCCGCACTCTACTGCAACATGGCATCGAGAGCAAGGAGAATTTCATCCAGTTACCAGCTGACTCTAATCAACAAATTCTAATCGATATGGTTGGGCCGGAAGAGTGTAATATTTGGGACACAGACAAACAGGGGCATGCAGAAGATGCTCTGGCGGAGACTGTTGCCCAATCTCTACGGATATTACTGTCCCACGCCCATCGTCAGAAGTACAGACGCAGGACCCAAATCCCGCCGCCAGTCACATCGAAACGCAGAACAAATCCAGAATACTCCCTTCTACGACCAATTGTCTGTTATCTACAGCACAAATCAGCGCTGGAATGGTTGAAACTTTTCCTTAGCAACATAACCCGAACGTTACAACTAGCCGGGTTAAACTGCAAATACAACATCTCCCCACTGGTATCCGTGAAATTCCCCGTCGTAGATACAAGCAACCTCTCTCCTTGGGAACTGGACACTCCTCCCTTCGTCGAGAGACTCGTAAACAGTTTTCTCACACCATTTGAGTCCATTGTGACCGGCACTTTCCTCTCGCCAGCCTCCAGCTTCAAAATCCGCATAGTCACCAACATCAGCCCCAGTGCATTCGGAACGGAATTCGAAATAGGATCGAACATCTCTTCTAGTCCGCGCACTAAATCCAGCTCCTCCCGCTTCGGCCTGCGAGATGATCTCCAACAGCTCCTTCTCCACCTCTTCACGACGGACCTGGTATACCTCATCCCCCATCTAGCCCGGGATGCAGGTACAGAGCCATCATCTCTACGGCCCAACACATCCCTGCTGAAACAAGAGCAAGGACAAGAACAAGAACAGCCAGAACAAAGCGGTTTCAACACCCCTACCCAATGCCACACCTCGCACCTGACATCGTGGATCCCCAACTCCCCTGAAAATGGGGAGTTGACTGTATTCTCCCCTTCCCAACACCGAAATAAAAAGCTCACCATCGACTTGCATCCAGACAAGTTGACTGTACAGTGTCAGTGGCTACGTTCTGAGATAGATGTAGATGGGAATATGGACTGGGAGATGTCAACAGGTGAAGGGGATGTGATCTATTGGTGGGGCGATGGTGATGGGAATGAGGGAAAGACTTTGCAGAGTGTTGTCGGACTGATGAGTCAAGAGGCCCCCAAGGCTGAGTTGTAGGTGGCATGGAAAGGTTGGAAGAGCTGCTGCATGCATGCATTTTTCCCCTTCTTGGTTGGGTTATTATTATTATGTGACCTAACTGTCATGTTGCTAGGAATGAGGGCATGAATATGTTCCCAATTATCTCTTTGCATTTAAGCAGCTCACGATCATTAATGATATATCTCGTGCATAGTGATATAGAGACCTGTCGAAGGCTGAGTAAGCCACCACCAGCACTGTTCGGCTAAACCTGCCGAACTCGAGGCCGATATCCTGATCTCAACCTCAACATCCAACCCCTCTCCAACAGCGACGGCAATTGCATCAACATCTCGACGTTCACTCGTAAATTTCTAAATTATTATCCTCTCTTTTGTTTCCAGTTTGAATAGTAGAACTCAGGACAGCGGCGCTATCGACGCTGAGCTCTGGAGAGTCTCTCTTGTCCCAATACCCACATCTTTCATTCACCTGAGGAAGTGCTTTTGTTCTCTATATAAGGCCAAGTTTTGAGACAGATTGTTTACGGAGCATATGACGGGGGAATCCCAAATAATTGATCTAGTCATAACATTGTGAGCTACCTGCTCTTTAGTGCCCTGACCGCTCTACGCGCATGCCCAGCCCACTCATTGTATCCAATAGTTCTACAAACAACTGGCTGTAACTAGAGCCCCAATCGTTGCAAGACTGGATAGTTTTGCTGAATATAAATCACCCTCTCCCCCGGAAGATTTCCTGCGGCTTAGGAAACTCAGCCTCCTCTTGCACTAAACTGCTCATAAGTTTCTGTACGAGCGCCTCCAACTTCACGATGACGACTCGATACCGAGTTGAATGTAAGACTCGCCTAACTTTAGGGTCCCTCTGTTGATCCCCTCAAGTGTAATATGGCTAACTTCCGACGTTTAGATGCTCTTAAGGTTGGTCCTGAGACATCCACAGCCTGATGTACTGTTCAGGAACATCTCGATAATTGGGGGAGCATTCTTTTGACCTACCAATTCCATGGCTAACTTTGCTCCTTGTGGTATAGTCTCACCGCAGGGACCAGCTGGTAAGTTTTGTGGCCTTTTTTTTTGAGACTTCCATAGGAAATCACTGACATTACATGAGGGGAATCGATAGATCGAGTGGATAAAGGTATAGCCTCCTTTCCAATACTCTTTTTTGTATTTTCCGCCTATATATCACGCTAGGGGCGGAGTTAAGCAACTGGCAGGGATATTTACCCTTCACAAAACTATGACTTATCCAAACTGCAGGGACTTCTTGCTGTTCCTTTCGTACTACATTCGCAACCAACTGCACTGTACCAAGAGAACAGTCCCAGCCTTGCTCTTCTTGCCGCCAGAACTCATGACCGTTATGTGGAGATCATGCATGATGTGGAAAGCCTCATAGACGACCACAGTAATTTAGCCCTGTGCCTCTACGAATTCTTCTCACACGATTAACATACCCAACACTTCGATTGTGCTAATTCGTGATACAGTCAGCCATCAGAAAAGTGGAACCAGCCATCGTTCGAAATTGAAGCTTCTAGTCCCTAGCATTGGAAACTTCTTCACTCCTCTACCTTTGGCTGACGCCTTCAGATATCAGGACAAGAAACGATTCATCAGCAGTCGGCGATTTGTGCCGCCATCTTTCAATGACATTCGCAACATCCTTAACACAGCACAACTATTGGGCCTTCTCCACGGTGGAAAGGTTGAGCTCATCACTTTTGATGGTGACGTGACGCTCTACGACGACGGAGCATCACTGACTGTGGAAAACCCTGTCATTCCACGGATAATCCGTCTCTTGCGCCAAGGGAAGAGAATCGGCATCGTAACCGCTGCTGGATATACCGAGGCATTCAGATATTACGAGCGTCTCCACGGTCTATTAGACAATGTAAACAGCACCCCAGACCTTACCAGTGACCAAAAAAACAGCCTTATAGTAATGGGTGGCGAGAGCAATTTCCTATTTAGGTTTGATAGCTCATCCCCTCATTTCCTCTCTCCTGTCGAACGGAGCGAGTGGCTCCTGGATGAAATGAAACTGTGGAAAGACGAAGATATCGCTGAACTTTTGGATATTGCTGAAACAGCACTCCGTGACTGCATGACAAACCTGAACCTTCCCGCTATCATTGTTCGCAAGCCGCGGGCAGTTGGTATATCTCCACTTGAGGGAAAGCGGATGCAAAGGGAACAGCTTGAGGAGACGGTTCTAGTAGCGCAACAAACGGTCGAATTGTCATCGGTGGGCCACCGCCTCCCGTTTTGTGCGTTCAATGGTAAGTCCATGTCAATTTAGTAACTCCCAAGGGTGTTATGCTATTCCCTTAGCATTACAAATTCAAAGCTCACCACTATTCTCAGGGGGAAACGATGTATTCATCGACATTGGTGATAAATCGTGGGGTGTGCTCGCCTGCCAACGCTACTTTGGCGGAATCGCCCGCTCTAAAACTCTGCATATTGGCGACCAGTTCCTTTCCGCAGGTTCCAATGACTTCAAGGTATGCATTCTTTTTCCTGAACATGAGCAACCGTTCGATAATCCAATGTTAACATTGTTGGCGTTGCCAATACAAACAGGCCCGCCTGGCATGCACCACATCTTGGGTTTCCAATCCGGGGGAAACAGTGCAGTTACTGGATGAGCTCGATGCACTGGAAAATGAAGACATATCTAAATGATATCTACACATCCCTTTCTCCATCTTCCCGCTTACAAGTGCAGAATATTTTTTATTCCAAAATACTCCATATTTTCAATAGCTCGGGGAGCCGATTGGTCGCTTACTTCTCAACGATAGTTTTATTGAGGCGTTTAGAATTCTAAATTTCATGAAAATGGTAGATGCACGTTTTCGCGTATTTACATATCCAGGAAGCAATATGTGATGCTTCGGTCAAATTTTCCAAACAAAGGAAACGACCTAGTTGGCTCCATCCGCTCATCACATATTTCGACGTATTAATCACCATCCTATTTCCGTCTTAAATTGTTCCGGTTCGAACTGCGTCGCAGTACATCCGTGACGGTAAATTTCGAAAGCACTCATTTAATTACTCATAATCTACCTAAACCAACGGCTCGCTCACTACAACAACAATCTTCTGACAATCCTAACCCAGTTCCACTCGTATTCAACACTCCCGCCCGCCCCGCCCCCCAAATCCTCTCCATCCACCAAACGCTGGGCCAATTAAGCGCCTTCCTGCTCCTCCATGATACGCCAGCAGAGTTAGAGGCACAAATCACTTCATTTGCCACATCATTCAATCCACGTCTGAGCTTATATTGGATCCCACGGCTTTATACGGTTGCCCCACCGTCACTACACATAGCGCCTTGCAAGATCTATCCCTTATATTCGGATTCCACACGTCGGTAACAGGGATATATTTTACGAATGCGTTCCGCGAGGACCTCATCCGGCATTGTCGGTTGGTGCATTGTCATTAGGTGCGTTTTCCGAAAATTTGGTTTCCTTCTGGAATAACAATGAGTATGGGAATCGGGAGAACGAAGCATGGAGAGCAAAATGTCAGAGGAATAAATTTCAGGTCGTTTTAGAATTTACGCCTTGTAACTCCATGGATGCATTGTATCCATTTTGCAGCAGGTGTCGATCACCCTAGTTAGTTAATTTTTTGAATTGATAAAATTATTTCTTGGTCGCTGGAATAATCTAGTTCGCTGCTTCCAGCTCTGGATGTGCGAGGTTTAATATCGGATCATCCGTACTCGTAGGGCTCTGAAGAATATCGAGGCAGGCAAATACTAGGTACGCCAACTGTACTAGTAGCTATGCGGTTAAGCAACGCAACAAACCAAGTATACCTGGATGCTTACATCGGCGAGCGTAGTCCATTGGTGACAAACCATGGCGATCGGTGCAGTCAATGTTAACTTTACCAGTGCGAAGCAGGAGTGCCACTGCTTCTATCCACTGGTTTATTATAGCATATGACAGTGGTGTCCGGCCCTTATTGTCCCTTGAGTCAAGGTCAACTCTGCCGGTCCGAATGAGTTCTGTGACGCAGTATTCGTGTCCCACTTCTGCAGCATATGACAGTGGCGTTCGGCCCTTATTGTCCCTTGAGTCAAGGTCAACTCTGCTGTCCTGAATGAGTTCTGTGATGCACTCTGCATTTCCCGCTCTTGCAGCATATGACAGTGGTGTCCGGCCCTTATTGTCCCTTGAGTCAAGGTCAACTCTGCCGGTCCGAATGAGTTCTGTGACGCAGTATTCGTGTCCCACTTCTGCAGCATATGACAGTGGCGTTCGGCCCTTATTGTCCCTTGAGTCAAGGTCAACTCTGCTGTCCTGAATGAGTTCTGTGATGCACTCTGCATTTCCCGCTCTTGCAGCATATGACAGTGGTGTCCGGCCCTTATTGTCCCTTGAGTCAAGGTCAACTCTGCTGTCCTGAATGAGTTCTGTGATGCACTCTGCATTTCCCGCTCTTGCAGCATATGACAGTGGTGTCCAGCCCTTATTGTCCCTTGAGTCAAGGTCAACTCTGCTGTCCTGAATGAGTTCTGTGACGCAGTCTGTGTTTCCCGCTTCTGCAGCATATGACAGAGGTGTTCGGCCAGCATCATCCCGTGAGTTAGGATCAACTTCAGGGTTCGCAAGCAACAGCTTGATAACTCTCTGATCCACTGAACAATAACTAGCATTTGAAAGCGGTGTCCGGCCATCCTGATCCCTGGTATCTGGAAGCCATCTCCCTGTTTCAAGCAGAAAATCAAGCATTCTCTCACTGCAATGAATTGCAACATATGAAAGAGGGCTAACTCCATCAACAAGTCTGAACCTGAGTTTAAATTGGTCCCGTAAGTATTTGGATTTAGGTATATCATCACATAAACTTCCATATAGTTGGTGAACCCGAGATGTGGTGGGTAGTGCTTCTGCTTGGGCTTTCAGAATTGCCCGCAAGGCGTTATCGTTGCCCCTCGAAATAGCCACGAAAAGTGGGGTAACCCAGAATGAGGGTTCTGCCTCGAGATATGATAGCTTGGACGGGAGAATCCTGATGAGGTTTGACAAATTTGCTGCCGCTGCCACATACAAAGGGCTAGCCTCTCGATTTGTAGTTAATGCTAAAAACAGACTAGTCCCGTACTTTTCAAGAAACGGCACTTGGGTTATCCCTTCCCCTTCGGCTATATCAGCGTGATACAGGATTCTTCGTGTAGCATATCCTATGAATGACGTCCAATGAGTAGAAGAACAAGAAGGGAATTTATCTGGACCAAAATAATTGTTGATTATGAAGTTGTGGCAGCATTGCTTCAGCCGCTCGTGGCTCTGTCCGATAATGTTATCCCCAAGATTGGGATCAACCGATTCCAGTCCGTGTTCCCCAAGGAGAAAGTCCCTTACTGACTGGTGTATGAATTGCATAGTTCGATTTCTGGACCCGATCGCTTCGGCTAGACCTTTGGAGCAATTAAGAAGATATTTCACTACTCTATCAGGCTGGATATCAATCGCCTCCCTGGTTGGAATGTCCTCATCGCTTGTGCCAGAGAGTATCGCCAAGTATAATTCTTCAGGGGAGAGGAGACGTTTTGCAAAGAGCAACCATTGCATGCAAAGCAAAAACTTTTCGTTGTTCTGTTTGTTCCGCGTCAAGATGTTACGGAACAGCATGTGTAGGTCATCAGGGATGGCTAGCAGCGTTTTCTGCAGCTGTCTTGGAGAACAACCTTCATCATTCTCCTTGTTCAGCATATCCACAACAAGGACAACCCACATGAATACACCCGAAGCCTTTCGTTGGAGCTCAGTTCTAACTGCTTGAGCGGTACGGTCTGTGCCGATTCTTAATTCGCTAGCTACGTACCTGGTAATGTCGCTGCTGTGCCCGGCATGGAGTTCAAGGTTCAGGCTAAGATGTTCTGGGATTGAAATATTGGGGTAGTGGCGGGATGTAACACAGACTCGAAAGCATGTCTTCCATTTGATGGCAAATTTCACACATAGATGATAAAGGAACATCAATATACGCCTAGCTTGTGAATCATCATCGCATTCATCCAATGCATCAATGAAGCATATCACAGGCGACTCCCCAAGGGCTTTGACTGCATCCGTGAAAAGATCTTTCAGCAATTCAATGTTCCACTCAAAACTGTCATTAGTTTTCCAAGTTTCAAGCTTAGGGGAGCAAAGGATCTTCCGGAGCTGTGGCAGTTTTGTAAGAAGTTGATACAATAGCGATCGAAACATCCCAACGGTGGTCTTCTCTAAGGGACCGCCTCGCGCGTGAAAAAAATAGGATATGACGCTCCTGTTTCCCCCGGCTTCCGAAGAAACATCCACCGCAAATTTCATCAAAGTCGACTTTCCTGCCCCTGGCTTTCCCTTGATCCATAACAGTCCATGGTGTGCCTCACGATGAGCCGTGCGAAGCCAGTTCTCATACTGAGGCGTCTCCAGCAGCCACCCACATGTCTCGTCATGAGCCGTCTTAATGGACCTTATGCGACCATCTATTAGGTCAAATTTCAACGATTTTACAATCTTCTGTATCTTTTCTTCGTCGGAACAGGAGACTACCTGGTGTTGCTCTGTGGAATCAAAACTGGGAACCGTTAGAGAGAGGAGTATTCATTTAGCTATCTACTCGGTTCTAAACACGTACTTCGCGGGTTTACGTGACCTGGCAATCGGCAGGTAGCAGATAAGCTGCCTTGCGTATGCTGCCGCCGCTGCCGCCGCGTATCCTTGCCATTTGTCATTTTTGTGGGTATCGCAGTAGTCCGCTATGCCACGGATAACGAGGAAAGGGAGGTCGGTAATGCCTGCTGCCTCTGTCTCAAAACAAAGTACTTGGTACTGTTCTGCGAGTTTGTCCCTCAAGACGGCATCTCTTACAATCTTCTCGCCGGATGCGATCGTTCCTCTATGCACCCGCAAATACGATTCGTCACCTTCGTTGTCCTCGGGCCGTTGGACTAGCTGAGAAAGGTCGCATTCATCACAAGATTGTTTTTGCCCAACGTGGGTGTAGTTCTTTTTGAATAGGTGATCCTGACCTCGGCCAGGATACATATACTTTCGGAGATTTTTATTTCCCGTTTTGATCCTCTTAATATCTGTCAAAATAGGGTCTTGGAGTAACCTGACCCGATTTGCTGCCAGGGCTTGAGCGGCATTGAGGAGCACCGCTGGCGGTAAAGGGAGAGAGCTGGTACATTCAAACCGGCCATCTGTGGCTTTTCCACGATCATACTGCACTGCACCAGAATTGCCGTCTACCGGTTTGCTGACCACAACATCCCCAAGCCGGATCGCTCCATTGTCAGTCGTCACTGGAACACCACCTCCGACACCAACTAACAACCCAAATTTTATGTTCCTGTACGTCCTCTGCATCTGAGTGATAGTCATAGCCGAGGCCGTAGATCCAGTAGCATGGATTCCTGCAATGACCACATTGTGCCCTTCGATACTTCCAAGATTGTACACATTGGAGTCTATAGGATCCTGGGATAAATTCGCATGCTCCTGGTCGAGCATCTCCAACGCCGCCGTTTGCTCCACCTCCAACGCACAGATCCACCCAATCGTGTAATCCTCGTGCCTCAACTTCCGCCTCGGGATAAGGGGCCTCGGGGTAAGGGCTTTATCCGTCTGGCTACTCGCAGAACTAATAATATTCCCTCTCTGTGTTCCTCGAGCTGATGGCTCCACCGCTCCCCATATATCCTGTGACATCCTGGTAGACTTCTGCTGTAGGAAGGGAGAGTAAAGATGAAGGGCGGCTGGGTATGGTATGTTTTCGCACCAATTATAAACAACTCTGAAGGATGTTGGACAGATTCAAACTCAACGCAACTATGTTTCTTTACCAGACTGAATCAGCTGGGTGACGAGATCTGAAGGAAGTGCTAGTAAATAAATAGAAAAAAAAGCAGGAGAGGGGTTGGAGGAACCCTTCGCGGGGTGACAAGTTAGTATTTAGTGAACCGCTTTAGCTGTATGTCAGCACAGCCTTGGGCTTCATACCTTGAGGCCATAACACAAATCAGCCAATGAATTTTCGACACAAAGCTGACGGCGGCAGCAGGGGCTAATCCGATGCGCTGTTAAACCTGGCAAGTACGGCTTGCCGGGATAGCGGTTGGTAGTGGTGTGGTATAAGAGTCTACTATAGGTTGATGGAGGCCGGGAATTTCGGATTTGATAGAATCGGACATGTTTGCCGGCTTTGAAAGTCTTAGAGCGACGATCTCCGTCGACTCTTTTATTCTATGTACATACATGTATTCCATCAAACGTACATGGGCTATAGCAGGGGCTTCTGGGTACGCCGCCCGCTCTCACAGGCAAAAAGGAGAAATCCGAAATGAGCGAGACTGTACATTCATTAGCTGGCTGATTGAGAAACGTAGACGAAGAGAAACGAAAGATAACTTCGTATCCACCGAGCGGAACTCCTGTGGATATATCTATCTACAGCATTTGCGATAGACTCGAATACTTCCATAATTTGAGTAAAAGCATCTCCACTTCCCCGCACTTCCTGTGCAGCATAGTTGCCGTTGATGTGACAACAAAGCGTCGTCCACGATGCTGGGCACGCTCAGATAACCCGGTAGTCACGCTGCCAATTTACAGCAAGATGTTCCAGCAGCTTCCTGGCTAGTGCTGTAACGGTGGAAATACCATGTGAAATGGAGATCCTAAGGGTTTGACGAACGTTTCTCTCTTCCGGATCTGTGATAATGGTTTGTTAGAGATCCGGCCGATGTGACGGCACAACAAACGCAGGAGCATTGATATCTCAGATCGCTAGTATATGGAGAATCAAATGAGTGTACTTATGCTGTGCGGCCATTCATCTTGAGATCCATGTAAATTCCTTGACGACATGTAGTTCTCGATAACGGCACTTCCCGCTGATTGATAGGGGCTATGGCGGTGTTAAGCCCTAAACTGGCCCCGATAAGGTTAGCGATCGCTGCGGAAGTTCGCGTCACATGAATGCGGCTCCCGAACACCCTCCAACGTCCAACGTCCAACGTCCAACAACGTCGACGACGATATCTATACCAAACAACTTCTTCCTCGTTTCCATCATCGACCGATCTGCACTACTTGTCGGCTGTAGCCCGCAGCAGTTTTTTGCTAGGCAGCACTCCCGTTGCGCTGAAAGAACCCTTGCTCTCTGGCGCTAGCTGCCCACGTTGTGCCAGTTTCAATCTCACGCCCCACCTTGGGATCGTCATTGGTGCTGGTTCATGGCCTGGAAAGGCTGGGTGAACAGCTTCCAGTAGAACAGCTTAGAAATTGAACGAGTTGAGAAATTCGGCCATATCCATCAATTGCTACTGGGCCCTTCCCACGGGCGATTAATCTCCCGATATATTTTTTTTAACAATATTTATTTTGTAATTTATTTATTTATTTGATCTGGAATGAGTAGTATGCGCTTGCCGATGGACAACGAGCTGGAAGATGTCTCCTCCATCCTCTAACATTTCTATCTCGTCATATCGAATGTCTTCCAGCGCATCCGCTTCCCATATCCCTTCCGGTCTACCCTCTGAGGATCACAGCGTCATCAATACTAGCCCCAAGCAACATGCTTGGTCTACCAACCATCCCGGTTCGACATCAACTACATCCCCCACCGAATCTGTTACTCTAGACCCACTCCAGGCCTCGTTTGCTTCCCCGTCCTTGACCCTTTCTTCTTCTTCTAACTCCCCCGCTCTCATCTGCTCACATATTCCCCCAACCTCATCGCCGCTCAGTGAACCCTCCACCCTCTTCACCATGGCGTCCTTTGTTGGGCGCGTTTTCGTGTTTCTGTTCCATATCGTTCCAAGCGTCCTATACTGGGCTATTACTTTCACAACAATCACGCTTCCAACTTGGCTATTCACATTGTTTTCCATGAGCTTGACCTTTACCATGAACTTCACAACACTGTACGTACTTGCCCCAGACCTTTCCGCTACATATATCCTACTTTCTCTACTCAACCCAATTGCTAATGTACTATACCAGCCTCATCATTCTTCTAGTCTTAGTGTCAACAATCAGCTGGTTTATTCGCTACCGATTCCTAAATATGTACTCCCGCCTTCCGCCTGAACCTCAGCGAAAAGAACCCCAAATCGATCTCTTCCCTGATACCCAGGCTGGTGACTCGAAACCTGGACTGGCCAACTACCTAGACGAATTTCTGAGCGCAATCAAGGTATTTGGATACCTGGAACGCCCTGTTTTCCACGAATTGACACGCACTATGCAAACGAAGAAATTGATTGCCGGGGAGACATTATTACTGGAAGAAGAGAAAGGGTTTTGCCTCGTTGTGGATGGTGCTGTTCAGATATTCGTAAAATCCATTCGAGGAGGCCAGGATGAATATAGGAGGAGCCCTACAGCCGATTGTAACGACGCAGAAGAATCAATGGAAGAAGAGGAACGCAACGATCGCCGGCATCAGGGATATCAATTGTTAACAGAGGTAAAAAATGGAGCCTCAATGTCGTCTCTATTCTCTATTCTGTCCCTTTTTACGGAGGATATCAAGTTACGTCATAGTGAGGACACGGAGTCTAGCACCTTAAGCATCGACCCAACACGGAGCGCGCCGCCTATCCCAATGGCTTCTCCTCCTTTAGCGGAGAGCCCAATGGCACCAAATTTCCAGGGATTCAAAGAAACTCCCCCTCGAGTGAATGGAAACCCTGTACCGTTACCAGCCGTTCCTCATCTTGCACTTGAAGATAGTCATGCGTCCTTTCAAAGTGAACTTCACACCCACCAGTATAGGCCGAAGAGGGCAAGAAAGCCGAAAGAAAAAAAATCTGTGCATCCTGACATCGTGGCACGCGCAATGGTTGACACGACCATTGCCATTATTCCTGCAAGCGCCTTCCACCGCTTGACCCGAGTCTATCCTGGAACTACCGCGCACATCATCCAAGTTATTCTTACCAGACTTCAGCGGGTTACATTCGCCACCGCACATTCGTATTTAGGTTTGTCTACAGAAGTTCTTGGCATTGAGAGGCAGATGAATAAATACACCTCTTATGATCTTCCCAACCATCTTCGCGGCGCGGCGCTAGATAGACTCAAAGATAAATTCACCAAGGAAAGGGATCGACTCGGCCCGGATGAAGTCACAAAAGGTATCGCGCTGCACAATCCCTCGGCGAGCGGAAGACGTCGTTCCAGTAGCTCTTTACGGAAAGATGCTGCATTATCTGCGAAGCTTTCGGCTGTACATGCAAGGCACTCAGTGCAAAATGTATCACGTGTCTCTGAGAAAGAGAGTAGCGGTGTGAGCCCTGGAGATTTACTTTCCACGATTCACCTCTCCCGATATGGACCTCAATACGGGTCCGAGCGTCTCAGGGGCTTGGCTCATACGCATGAATATCCTGCGCCTCTAAATAGCCCTAGAGAGGCTTTCCCTTCGCCGACACTACAAGCAGAACCGCTCCCATTTAGCCTATCAGCACAAAGTCCCCCATTTCATAGACAGGAGTCGATCGATGAGGATTTAATTTTCCGTGAATCCATTCTCGACTGCATGATGACGGCTCTCGGCCTTACAGGGAGCACGAACGAGGCGTTGCGCAAAACCCATAATTCTGGAGAGGCATCTCCGCAGGTAGTGTCGTATGATTTCAAACGGCAGAAAGCCGTCTTTAATAATGCTTTCGGCTTTATCGACCCGTATGATTCATTTGGCGACGGCGACTCTGAATCACTCATGTCGATGTCCGTGACCAGTGCTGGTGGAACATCACCTGTGGCCAACCTCAAAGCGGAGCTGCGGGACGAGATTGAAATTGTTTTTTTCCCGAAAGACTCTTTACTCGTCGAGCAAGGAGAACGCAACCCGGGCCTTTACTATGTTATAGATGGATTCTTGGACGTTTGCATACCGGTTAATAATAGAGGTGAAGATCTGCTGAGCTCTCCTGATGTGTCCGGCCTTCGATCGAATGGGTTATTCGAACCGCTTAAAAGGCCCACAGCATCTCGCGCTTCATCCGCCATAAGGGGTGGCCAAAGTCAACGGAAAGGGCCTACTAGGCGCAAATCTTTATATATGGTAAAACCTGGCGGTATTGATGGATACCTTGGGTCTATCACTTCGTACAGGTCTTTCACCGATGTTACAGCGAAAACGGACGTTTATGTTGGCTTCTTGCCACGGGCATGCCTAGAGAGGATTGCTGACAGACATCCACTTGTCCTTCTCACAATGGCCAAGCGGCTGACCAATGTCCTTCCTCGTCTCATTTTGCATATCGACTTTGCCCTGGAATGGGTTCAAGTCAATGCTGGAGAGGTCATTCATCACCAAGGTGACGAGAGTGATGCGATTTACATTGTCCTTAATGGCCGGCTCCGGTCTGTTTGGGAAAGGGGGGATGGCAATGTGAGCGTCATGGGAGAGTATGGCCAAGGTGATAGTGTCGGAGAGTTGGAAGTAATGACTGAGTCGTCCCGGCCCGCGACCCTTCATGCGATCCGCGATACGGAATTAGCTAAATTCCCCAGAACGCTCTTTAACAGTCTTGCGCAGGAACATCCCAGTATTGCAATACAAATATCGAAACTTATTGCCCAGAGGATGAGACATCTTATCCATGACCCACTTATGGAGAAACCTACCGACAAAGGTACACACGAGAGCGCAATGACCGGGACGTCGACTTTGAATCTCCGAACAGTTGCCGTGTTACCAGTTACAGCCGGGGTTCCCGTTGTGGAATTCGGAAATCGACTATTGAATGCGTTCAACCAGATCGGGGTCACCAACGGAGTAGCTGCTCTTCATCAAGCTCATATCTTAAATCACCTTGGACGCCATGCATTCAGCAGGATGGGCAAATTAAAGCTTTCCCAATATCTAGCAGACCTGGAAGAAAAATATGGTATGTTACTTTACGTTGCGGATACAAATGTTAACGCGCCATGGACCCAAACTTGTATTGCCCAGGCAGACTGCATCCTCCTGGTTGGAGTTGCTGAAGATTCTCCCAGTATTGGCGAGTATGAACGGTTCCTTCTTGGTATGAAGACCACCTCCAGGAAAGAACTCGTGCTCTTGCACCTAGAGAGATACTCTCCTCCAGGTCTGACCAGACAATGGTTAAAAAATCGCATGTGGATCAATGGGGGACACCATCACATCCAAATGTCGTTCCGCCCAGCCACCGAACCCACGCATCCTGTGACAAAGCGCTTTGGTACCGTGTTAAAACAGAGAGTTCAAGTTTTGCAAGCTGAGATTCAAAAGTATACTTCTCGTCGTATCCACCAGACCCCGCTCTACTCCGCAACGACTCCATTCAAAGGCGACTTCCATCGGCTCGCCCGTCGCCTCTGCGGCAAATCGGTTGGATTAGTTCTGGGAGGCGGAGGGGCACGCGGTATTGCCCACATCGGAATCATAAAAGCCCTGGAGGAGGCTGGCGTCCCAATCGATATGGTTGGAGGTACGTCAATAGGCGCCTTCGTTGGCGCTCTGTACGCAAGGGATGCCGATGTCGTACCTATGTATGGTCGTGCGAAGAGATTTGCCGGCCGCATGGGAAGTATCTGGCGCTTCGCTCTCGATCTCACCTACCCATCCGCCTCATACACCACCGGCCACGAATTTAACCGCGGCATCTTCAAAGCCTTTGGCGACAGCCAAATCGAAGACTTCTGGCTTGAATTCTACTGCAACACAACAAACATCAGCAAATCGCGCAACGAATTTCACTCCTCCGGCTACGTATGGCGCTACGTGCGAGCCTCGATGTCCCTCGCCGGCCTCCTCCCTCCCTTGTGCGACGAGGGCAACATGCTCTTAGACGGCGGCTACGTTGACAACCTGCCTGTTGCCCGCATGAAGTCACAAGGGGCAGATGTCATCTTCGCCATCGATGTCGGCTCCATCGACGACAACACCCCACAAGCCTACGGTGACTCGTTATCCGGTTTCTGGGCGCTTGTCAATCGCTGGAACCCTTTCTCGTCGCTCGCGAACCCACCCACACTTTCTGAAATCCAGGCCCGCCTCGCGTACGTCTCCTCTTTCAGTGCATTGGAGACGGCAAAAACTACACCCGGTTGTCTATATATGCGGCCGCCTGTTGATGCATTTGGGACACTGGATTTCGCTAAGTTTGATGAGATCTATCAAGTTGGCTATGCGTATGGGAAGGAATTTTTGGAGAAGTTGAAGAACGAGGGTGGGTTACCATTACCAGAGGAGACGGATGAAAAGAGGAATTTAAGAAGAACTATGGCGCCTAGGAGGGCGAGCATTTAGTTTCATTTTATATGAGGGGTTGTAAATTTTTATTTGAGGGTTGGTGATGGTATGTGTTTTGCATATCTGTAAATTATCTTAGATTGCGGGTATATATGCGTATTCTTTTCAACCTACTAACTACTCTTGCGCTGTAACTTGTTCTCCGTCAGATTTCTCCATGACAAATTTGAGCGACTTTGTTTCGTTTTCTCCTTGTGTCATTTCTTTCCTTCTTCCCCCCCTTCTTTTCTTTCCTTTTCCTTTTCCTTCTTCTAGTTCCCTTCCCCCCACTACGGAGTTCATTCTGGTCAGAGATATCACTGGCTGTGTCCCGGGTCGACTTACCATTATTATGAAATATTCCTAATCACTGGCGTTTCCTCTTGCTTTGTGTGGCCGGCTTCAGGCATATATATATATATATGATACATAAACCCTATAAATCTCGACATGAGTTGACATGTGAATAGCTGCAGCTTATAGTGCCTGTTTATCAAAAAACGAAGAATCACATGGCTAATACATCATGAGAAGGCCAGAATAGGGGTAACTGAAACGGTGGTGAGTTTGGGCTGGCTGGAATAAAAGGGAGCGGAAAAGAACATGTACTGTACAAAACATGCCAGTAAGTGGATTAGACCAAAGTACGGATTATAAGACGATGGTTGGTACATGTCTGCTAGGGAAGAATCACTATTGCAGTCAAAAAAAAAAAAAAAAAAAAAGGTATAAAATGGAAATATAGTAAGTTGCAATCAACGTAATGTCAGTGACAAACTCTTGTGTGTCTCGTTTCCAGTGCCCTAGGCCCCGCCCCTCTCAATGGATGTGCAATTTGGTAACTGGCATAAGTCAATTTCAATTCCATACAGTCGACCAAGTGGTTAGGCCTCGGGCGTTATTCGCGGTGACTTCGAACGTGTCCGGGTGGATATTCCATTACCGGACTCTGCAGCTGAGCTTGGATGCAGGCCCGCGTTCCTGAACATTTTCTTGTTTGACCCGCTCCCTCGCTTGTGAGCGCCCTTGCCTCCACTTCCTGTCGCTTGATCTCCGTCATGCGCCTCCTTCACTTCCACCTCAACTTCATCGGAATCCTCAATATCCTCATCGTCATCATAACATTCCTCCCCTTCGCTACTTGTGGAGCCAACGAGCGTACTCATGCCCGCATCCATCCCCTTCCCCGCGGAAGAATTCCCAGACCCCATCTCGCCAGTGAGACTTCTCTGCCCCGAAACGGGGTCCCATGCCCCGTCCTCACCCCCTCTTGAACCAGGTCTAGATGCCTGGGAAACTTCATGAATTAGACGTGCATGATCGCTCTTGTTCCGATCCCAGCTGCGGTCAGCCTGGCCGTCACAGGCGCCAGCGTCGTCTCCACTACTGCGGCTACGGTGAGTTGTTGAGACAGTTGCTGCGGTGCTTGCAGCTGCAGCTTCTTGAATGCCCGTGAGAGCTTTTGTTGTTTCACTTTCTTCACCGTTCAAGGCGCCGCATGAGCCGCAGCGCCAGCGGCCGATCTCTTCAAGGCTCCGGACGCCCGGTGCAGCTTGGCCGTTGACCAGGCGGCATTGAGTGCATATCAGTGCAAGACGGTTCTTCGCGAGTGTTTCATCTTCGCCTAGTAGGACGTCGAGGATTCTGTCGTACCAGTGAGGTTGAAGTTGGGAGGCGTGAAATTGTTGCGGTTGAGAGGGTGGGAAGGCATTGGGAGCGAAGCCAGGTTCGTCGACGGAGGGAGAATTGCCCTGAGCCAACTGTCCTGGTTGGTTGGTATTCGGATTTAAGTTAGATGGGCGTAGTATCCTGCGTTGGTCGTGCATAGGTGGAGATCGAATGGGGGTTGTCGGCACCGAGCCTGGTTGCATTCGTGGGATGTTTGCCGTTGGGGGAGGAGGGATTCCCGTTCTCCCACCTGCGGCTGGCAGCGGGAGTGACGCTCTCATTCGTGGGTCTCTCTTTTTACTAGCTACTGGTCCTTCTACTCCGGAAGCCGTGCCCTGCTGAGATTCGGGGCGCTTGGGTGAGTCCCCACCATACTTTTCCAAAAGTTGTTGGGTGGAGTTGTACTTCGTAGCTTCCTTGAGTTTCTCAATAGTTGCATCCCGCTGTTTGTGTAGCTCATCAAGATGGCTGTGCGTGCCGGAGATGCGGTACTGGTAATACTTATCTAGGCCTAGCCGAACAACGTAAATCCTATCTAGAAATTAGACTCTGGGTAGTTTCAGCAATCCAATACAATATTATAAAAGAACGCACAAAACCGGCCCACCTGCCACAGTGGAGTATTCGCAAGGGCCCCAATTTTGCCATCCGAGCACGAGTGTGACGATGATCGAGTAGAGAAGATATGCGAAGGAAGTATACAAGGTCCATAAGACCCTATATCGTCGCGAGCGTTGTCTGTAGCCGTCCAGTCGGGTAGTTGCCCGCGCGATCTTCGCAGATAAGGTGGATAACGTCTTTTCGAACTCCGCTGGCGAAGTACCAGAGCCCTGCCGAGGAACAAAAGTGTCAACATGGGAGCTCAAAACTGTGGGGATGAGCTGGATAATGCTAGCAATACCTTCCATGGCCAGAGGGACACCATGGTCGCTGGGCGTCTAGGAACAAATCAATTTCTTTCCATTTCAATACACTATCCAGGGGATGTTTGCTTGTTTAGCTGCGGTGCGCCATAGAAAAACATGCTGGACGTGTTTGTTCGAAGGCAGATGTCGATTGCCAGGTTGGAAGAGGTGAGGTTGAGCCATCTTATTGGCTGGATGGATGGATACTTAGTCATCGGCATGCTTGGGTGATTGATTAGCTAAAAATAGGCGACTTCTTCTGTCTATGTACAGATCTGTATTTTGCTGGAAATACAGAGCACTCCGTAGAGGAATATCCATCCCGTTGAATTAAGTCTCGGCATGCATCACTTTGAACAGGACATCTGTGGGAGGGCAAATCGTTATTACAGCAAGGCAGTTTCTCATTCTGATACAAAGCGACTGTCTACTCGACACCCGCGTAAATGCTGGCTGGTAACAAACCCTCCTGCAAACATTGAAGTAGATTAGTATAACGCATTTCACCACTTCCTTGTTGACACCCGACCGATCCTCGTTAGCCTGACCATATGATATGGTCCACTTTCAAAGCTGCCAATCTCACACATTCAAAATACAAGAAGGAAGAATACTCTGTAGTGAAAATAGGCTTATTCAAATAGAGTTCAATATCACATGGTCAGGCCAATGAGGATGTGGTGTCAACAAGAAAGTGGTGAAATACATTATTTAGTTCAAATGATCTTCTATATTCAGTATCAAGCCTTTCTTCTTCTCTCTCTTCTTCAACTCAATCAGTTAATATAAGTTAGTGAAAGTCTATAACTTGACTTTGTTATTGGGCGGGGGCCACGATGAAGTTTCAATAAGGCGACCAATACTTATTCTGAGATTATTGGCTTTTAGCAGGTTTCCAACTTTTATCATTTGGCAGAAATCAAAAGATACAGATTGTGAGGTAAGTAAAGTGAGTGTTATGATTAAGTGGGCTGCTACAAAGTGTCTCTAATTTCCCACCTGATGAAGCCATTTTGCCTTTCGTAGTCCTTTATTTGACTCTTTCATACCTACAAACCAGTTGATACATAAACAATGAGCCAAGTTCCGGTCATCGACTCCACGCCTCTGTTCACTTCAGCTTCATTTTCCTCTCCTGAGTGCCTTGCAACGATCTCTCAGATCCATTCTGCTTTCAGCACCTGGGGCATCTGTATCCTTACGGGAACTACTTCCGTCCCTCCAAGCCTCACAAATGCCCTTCAAACAGCTTTGAACAGATTCTTCTCGCTCCCCTCCCAAAAGAAAGAGGAGCTTCATGTAAAGAATGGGGGTTGGGCATGGAGAGGCTACATGCCTTGGGGCGGAGAAGGAACGAAGGGTAATACAGACCAGAAGGAGGGGTTTTATGGAGGCCCAGAATTGAACCCCGACGATGGGCATCCATTGGCAGGTATGCCGACTTACGGGAAGAATCAGTTTCCAGACAGAGACATACCCGAGATGAGGAAATTGGTGTTGAAATACATTGAGAGGGCTACCGAGCTTGGTTTGACAATTAGTGATGCGATCAGTGTGGGTCTGGGTTTGGAGAAGGAAGAAGTGAGGAGGAGGATTTTGGAGCCTGAACCAATACAGCTCTTTCGAGCTTTCAAGTATTTAAAAAGACAGGGTATTGAAACCTGCGGCATCGGAGAGCATTCGGACTTTGGATTTCTAACTATTCTCTCACAAACTGCGGCTGGCCTTCAAGTTGTCTCCCCTTCAGGCGAGTGGGTAGATGTGCCCGTAATTCCAGATTCATTCGTGGTTAATGGTGGGTAGTCAACATATCCAATTTGATGTTGCTCTGTAACTTAGCTAATTTTAATACTTCACAGTTGGTGATATCCTTGACCGCCTCACTTCTGGCCTTTATGTCTCTCCACTTCATCGTGTTTTGCCTCCATCACCTATGTCCGACCGGCTTTCCATTCCATTCTTCTTTGACCCCGCTTGGACAGCTGAGATTCGACCTTTTCCTCTCGCCACTACCGGCAGCCCTGACTCGGCGACGCTCAAACGCTGGCAAGAACGGTCGACGTTTAATAGTCTCCAGGGTATTTGGGGACAATACCTTGGTGTGAAAGTCCAGAAGGTCTTTCCAGATCTTAAATTGCCTGAGTTCCCTGCAGTGAGTAGGGCAAGTACGAGACATTTGATTGAGGTTAAGAAGATTTAAGAAGGGTTTATCACAATATAGGAAGATCAGAGATCATCAGAGAGGAGCATCAAGTGACCAAAACATTTATTCGAAAGAGAATGATTAACGTGTCTTTGGAAGTTAAAACTATTGAGTGGAGTATCTTAACCCGGGGATTTCTTTTCCGAAAACTTTTAAGACTCCGCTAAACCATTTGCTAAAGAATTAGTTCACACTAGTTACGTACGGTACATCAAGACCTTCATGTTGCCTTCAAACCCTCCTGTGCCTCCTGAATCTCCTCCTCCCACCACTCCCTATATATCTTGAGTCGCCTGGTTCTCTCTGCTGCCAGTCTCTTTCCCTCTATTGTTTTCATCAAGCCCTCTATGCACTCCAACTTGTCCACAAAATGCTGTATTGTGTCCTGCATGCGTCTCCCTTTTTCGCCCATCTTCCCCACTGCCCCGCCATATGTAAATGTTCTTCCAATCCCAATGCCTCCAATTGCATCCAAGCGATCTGCATCCTGCACAATCCCTAGCTCAGGAATCTCTTGAACCAACCTTTGCACCTTTTCGCGGCTCTCTGCTGACTTAGTTTCCGCCGAGAACGACACATTGCTGACGACTGTTTGGATCTTCTCTGCTAGAGAGTTGGGCGCCCCAAAGGACACAAGTAGCTCATAGACCATGGTGTCAGCATTGTCGCCAGGTTTGAGGTACTTTTTATCGCCAACATCATGTAAAAGCGAGGAGAGTGTGATGATTAAGGGGTCGTAGCGGGTTGATGAAGAGGGGGAGTCAGGGGCTGACAAAACAGAAGCAATGCGTCGGGCGAGACCTAGGACACGCAGAACGTGGTCAAAGTCATGAGAACTGTCGTAGTGTAACATATACTCTTCAACATATGAGGTAACCTTTTCAACAAGTATAGAGTCAAAGACAAGTGAACTGTTTGTAGAGGGAGAAGCGTATAGTGATGACGCTTTAGGATCCTGCTCAGCATTAGGATCTCGTGTGCGTTGCTATGTTCAAAGATCAGTCAATGTCAACAATGAGGGGAAACTCTTCATACCCCTCCTTGGCAACCGTCTATGCAATTCTTTGACTCCTGGAATTCAAGACCAGTGCTAGCGGAAGCAGTGAGAGGGTTTATACCCTCACAGTTAGAGCATCCCCCACGGCCAGAGCCAGCCATGTGGAAAGGTAATTATATTGAAGATCCGAAAACGGTCAAGGCCCCGGAGCTCCTGAAGAGATGACGCCAATGTGCCTGGAGTCCTGGACCACTTTAGCAGATCTTACCACTGGAGTCTAGGCTTCCAAGGTTCCTGGTTTGGCCGACTAACCGCGTATATAACCCCTGAGCAGTCGCTTACTAAGCGGTTAGTTAGTCAACGAGTGAACTCAGCACCTTTTCTTTTCTCACTCCCGACCATCCATTCTCAAACGACAAACAAACCGGAGCAATGGCTCGTATCCAAAATGGTTTTTGGATGGCGCACTGTCGTATTAGCCCTGGTTGGCGCAAATCTGCATCCGATGGTGGTAGTTGCAGCACGGTAGACGTCGAGCATCTGTCAATCAACCAATGTGTGAAGATTCTTCCAAGGTTACACTCCTGCGTTCGTTGAATTACGATGCGATAGCAGCCACCCATAAACTGCTGCGTGCCGGGACTCTCGGGTTTTCCTTGTCGCTGATGGGCTAGTTGACATTGGTCCCATGTATGCAGTTCAGCAAACGCCGACATTTCAGCCGTTTCGCAGAGGAATTGGGCTGGCGCTTACAAGGTCAAGACGCCCTTAGCCTATCACCAATTTAGGACCCCCTGCCATGTATGCAGAGGAGGGCGACTCAAACGGCTTGTTGGTCACCAGTTCCTTAGACAAGGTAACATGGCGGAAAATGAGGCAGCGGGTGTGCTGGTCGATCCAAAATAAGGCGGGCGCCTAATAATTGCCCGTTTACGAGTTCGTTTCCCCGCTTTCCAAGATGGCTTTTTCAGGGGCTGTTCGTTCCAGATGTGCTTTCGTCGATTTACTATTTTTATTTTATTTTGGATTCTTGAAAATATCTCTTTTCGTGGACTGTCGCATGCATACAAGACATACCAACGTCTCTATCTTTTTACTATACATACGAATCTGTGAGATAAAGACTGTAGTATGCTGGACCCCCTATTTTATTTTAACGAGCTGTTGTTCGACTTCCTCCTCTAGCTATGAAATCTCTTCGCCGCAACCTGAAATCTTTGCAGAAACCATTTGTCAATGGATCCAGTACCTTATCCCCGAGTGCCACGCTCATTCATGAGGACGGAGATAGGGAGCATGTGGATGAGCATGGTGACCCAGACGGTGGAGACGACGACGACTGGAAAGGCCCAATTGGATTGAATCTTCTCCATGAACCTGAGAACCCTCGTGTTGATCTTATTTTCGTTCACGGCCTCGGTGGTGGCTCGAGGAAGACTTGGAGCCTGACAAAGGAAATGAAGCATTTTTGGCCGAAGAGTTGGCTTCCGGAGGACTCGGCATTCGAGAATGTACGCATATACAGTTTTGGCTACAGTTCCGACTGGCACAAGGGCAAAGACAGTGCAATGAACATCTACGACTATGGCTTGTCGTTACTCACGGCCATGGAGCTACGTCCAGGCTTTGGTGCGGATGATGTATGTGTCCACCATTCTGAAATAGGAGTCGTATCTGCTAACTGTGAAATGGTTTTAGACTCCAATAGTTCTCATAGGACATAGCATGGGCGGATTGGTTATCAAGAAGGTAGGTCCTTCATTGATCAGAAAAATAGCCGATGCTAATGTGAAATCGTAGGCGTACATGCTTGCAAGGCTGAATCCACAGTATGACGATATAGCTAAACGAATTTCCACCTTTTATTTCATTGCCACTCCGCATTTGGGCTCGGACTCGGCTGAACTTTTGACAAAAATCTTCCACGCTGCATACGGTTCGCGCTCTTATGTCTCAGACCTCGAAAGGGGTTCTTCGACAATTAGGGATATCAATGGCCAATTTCGTCTTTACGCAGGCGATCTAAAGTTATGGTCATTCTACGAAACTCTGCCCCTTACCGTAGGATTTCTCAGCAAGATTATTGTAAGACAGGATTTCGCCGTGCTCGGGTACGGATCGGAGAAACAAATCCCCATGACTGCTGATCACCGGTCAATATGCAAATTCAACTCGGTGGCCGATCCAAATTACAGGAACATTCGAGATGCTCTCGCATTGACAGTTCGAGAACTCACTGGATCAGGTACCTATCTCCGTTAACAACACCAAGAAGCTCGACTAAGTGGTTTTATCTAGGCCAGCGGTTAAAAGCAAAACGAAAGTACGAACAAATGAAGACTTTGAGGGAATACTTGGGAGTGGCTTCAACACCAAAAGAAGATCTAACTATTGTTCAAGAAGCTCGTCTATCTGGGACTTGTGAATGGCTTTCCAGTACGGCTAGCTACATTCAGTGGAGAAATAATCCCAGCAGCGGCCCAGCCATTTTTTGGCTTGGTGGAAATCCAGGGGCTGGCAAATCCGTTCTGGCGGGCTATGCAATCGAAATGCTAGAAGCGATGGGTGCGGAGGTCAGCTACTTTTTCTTCAAGTTCGGAGACGAATCGAAGTCGAAGCTGAATACCTGCCTTCGGTCCATTGCTTTCCAAATGGCGAGCAGGAATGAAAGTTTGAAGGAGTTGCTGCTAAGCATGCATTCCGATGGCATAGAATTTGATAAAGGCGATGAGCGTACCATATGGAGGAAGATATTCCTATCCGGAATATTCCATACCCCCATCCCACCTCAGTATTGGGTAATTGATGCCCTTGACGAGTGTACCGACTTTGTTTCTTTTTTCGGTCCAATGCTGGCTAAATTGGATAATTCAATACCGATCCATATCCTTATTACAAGTCGACCAACTGCTATTCTTCAGCAACAGTTCTATAGTCTTGGGACTGGGCGCGTTGTCTGCGAACAAATTTCGGCAGCGGATACACTCCATGATGTCAGGATATTTGTTGAGGAAAAGTCCATGTTGCTTGACGTAGAACCGAATTATCGGGATTCCCTGGTAGAACGGATCTTAGCAAAATCCAACGATAGCTTCTTATGGACGGCAATAGTTCTCAGTGAGCTCCTGAACGTGCATGGCCAGGAAGACATCAACCGTGTGTTGGAAGAGGTGCCACAAGATATGGAACCGTTGTATTCCAGAATACTCGAAACAATGTCACGGGCAAAGCATGGAAAGCAGCTAACCCAAGCGATTCTAGCTTGGTCAATTTGCGCTCAGCGGCCCTTAACTGTACCGGAGCTTGAGTCTGCGCTGAATCTTGATCTTAGTGATACCTTTCTACACTTCAGAAGGAGTATCAAAGATACCTGTGGCCAGCTTGTGAGCATCGATGGATTTGGGAGGGTCCAAATAGTGCATGCGACAGCCCGGGAATTCCTCGTGAAGAATGGTTTGCAGTCTGAGTTTGCCATCAATGTGGAGGAAACGCACACTCGGATCGCTAAAACCTGTCTCCTCTACCTTACGGGCCCAGAGATGGAACCTCCTCCTCCCCGCATGCGCACTTCAGCTTCCTTGACGCGGAAAATTAGATCTGAATTCGCTGTTTATGCCATTCACTCATTTTCGGACCATCTGGCTTATTCAAGCCCGACTGCAGATGACGTTCTTGACCTTCTGGACGCCTTCCTGAGTAAGAATATACTCTCCTGGATTCAGGTTGTTGCCGAGAACCAGGACCTCACGCCGATGTTCAATGTCTCCAAGAACCTTAGCACGTATCTTGATAACCTTTTACGTGCTCGACCTTTGGGAGAAAGTAGAAAGCAGGCTATTTGGGGCTGGTCGAAAGATCTCATCCGGATCCCAACGAAATTTGGCGACGCTATGTTGAGCTCACCAGCCGCGGTGCATCAGGTAGTCTTTCCATTTTGTCCGACTGAATCCGCCGCGTTCAGGGCAGTGATCAGCGACAAAGATGCCTTGAGTCGGGGAAATCTGAGCACCACTGAGCGATTAAAGACTTATCAGTTCGAAGCCCGTGGAACTTTTTGGAAACGGATGGTTGGTTTCTTCTTAGCTGTATTACAGTATTCAGTAGCCGTCCTAAGCTGGCCGGCTTGGATATACGATATTGTATTCCAATCCCACCCCAAAGAATCGAAGGTGGACCAATCAACAGCCACTAGAAACAATATGCTCTCGATCGTTGGATATTCGAACACTAGGTGGGATGAGCTATTCTGTTGCATTAAATTCATAGGCAAATTAAGAGCGACGGTGATAGGGCACGGAGACGAGCATTTCGCAATTGGCTTTAATTTAGGGTTAATCATACTCTACGAAGCAGCTACTTACCAGCAGTACAGAACTCTTGATCATGGCCTGAAATCTCTAAAGAATCTGGTATTTCAACGGGGAACAGATCTAATGGCATCGCACTCGTGTTCGCTGTGGGACTGCGGCACGGTCAGGGTTTGGAATATTCGCAGTGGGGAAATTATCCATCAATTTGAATTCATTGAGGTTCTCTTCTGGCTCAGCTTCTACAAGAATTCTCTTTTAGTCGTTTGGCGCAGTGGGGATTGTGTTTCATCTTGGAGCTTGACGGATGGATCCTCCCAGCCTGATCGGCCGTTCGATCAACTTAAAAGAGAAGCTGTGGGTAGGAAGCGAGGGGGTGTTTCGTGCATGTCAATGTCGCCTGATAGGAAAACATTGGCCATCGCTTACCACAGGGCTGCAGGTGACAAAAAAAGTTGGCCCATTACGCTGTGGGACCTCGAAGACGATACAAACATTGGGAATTGTGGGAAAGAGAGTGATGAAATGGATGTCCAATGTCTTCTTTTCAACCCGGATCCCAACTGTGAGCTGCTCGCAGTTCATTACAATTCACAACCGGATGGAGAGCTCATTATTCTCAAACCCATTACCAATAAAATCCTTGAAATGGTACCCGCAGGGACGGGCGTCAAATGCCTCTCCTCTAGCCCCGATGGCCATATACTTTTGCGTGCATGTAGCGATCGCCATATCGTCGTTTATGAATTCAAGACCCTAAACGTTTTATACTTCATTAAGACGGGATGCTTTGACTATAGTTCCGTCAGCTTCGGAAATGATAATTTTTATTTTTTCGAATGCAATGAACTCTACTGTAATGTGTGGGAACCGGCAGTGCTGCGCCAGAAACGACAACCAGGCGTTGCCTGGACCAAGCCCAGTGTAGAGTCCGCGGTGGCTAATGGACTTCTTTCGATTTGTTCCATGACCATCGATCCATCTGGAAAATTTGCATTTTGCGGCACCAACGACGCCTCCGTTCTCCAATACGAGCTAGAAACTGGAAGTCTGGTGTGCCCGTTCTACAAGCTCGGTGAAAACATTGTCCATGCTGTTGGCTGGTGGCCAAAGGGCGAGGTCCTTATAGCTTTCCATACAAAGGATTATAAAAACGGCTGGTTAACGTCTACCAAATTGAAGAAGACTGCACACTGGGAAAAGGAAGGCTGGGAAGCTGAAAGGAAAGGGGGCTTCTTGGTTAAGCTCCCTCATGACGAATTTGGTAGTTGTCAACTTTTAATCAGCCCGGACGACGGAAAATGCTTGTTTGCAACCACAAAAAGATCCTATCTCGTATCTGTTGACGGGAAAATACAGTTTGCCAAAGAATTGAGTGAGATACGATGGGTTCAACATCCGTCCTCACCAGCTCATATAATTGGCGTAGAAGGAGTCAGCGGTGGAAGGAGCATTATTAGTATCTACAGCTGGAGTGACTTGACACCCCAAGCCTACGTTTCCTTTGACACTGACCTCCGCCCCTCCGCAACCTCACCTACGGACTTCTATGGCATTTGTGGGAACCAAATGGTTGTCCACTTGAGAAACGCCGGTGTGAATAATTTGCAACACGCTTATTGTTTCGACTGGCCGTTTCTAAAGGCCGAAAGCGGCTCGAACAATGATATTATGCCTCGAATGGCGCCCATTGCTTTATTAGAAACAATCCACCTCGTGCTCGGGATTTGGGAATCAAGGCTCGTCTTCTGCAATAAGGATGGATGGGTCTGCTCTTTTCCGTTAGAAAACATTCACGGCACCTACCAACGCCATTTTTTCATTCCCAGGGATTGGATTAACGAGGGTCACGCTCTTTATGCTGTCACAGCGGTGGGTGATATTGTATTATGTCGGGAAATTGAACTTGCTATTGTCAAACGTGGACTAGAATATGTAGACAGGCATGAAAATGTGGTTGAGGCTCTCGATATGAAGCCGTCTTCGGTTTCTGTCAACACTCTAGTCGAGAAAGAAACTGACAACATGGCTTTTGTGGCTATACGGCTACCATAGATGGGTTCTGCTTCACGAGTCTGGAGAGCTGAGCTTGTTTTCATGAGTTTTGTTTATTTATTTGCTCCATTGATTTATTTTATTTCATTTTCATTTTCATCTTTATTTTTGGATCTGGCATTACTGTATCAACGATTATTTCTAGACATCCTTATTACTTTTGATTTATATTAGAATATACTTGTAGAATAGAATTACGCATTTGCACAGTTGACTTGACTCAATATGTTAAATTTGGTTTGTCTTCATGGAAAGCAATAAGCCACGTGTGCTAAAAAACATCATTCAGAGTTGTCCATGTATTATCGAAGTTTTAAGCCAGAGAGATATAAGCTTCTATGTACTGACTGGGTGGGCAGGAAAATGCCCAACCTTGGAAACGTAACAATAGATAGGTGTAATTAGAATAACGGACTGATTCGAGGAGGGTCATTAGATATGAAATTCAATACGTGAGTTTGGCTAGCGTAAAGGGATGGACGATAGGAAATCATAAAAATTGAAAGACGGGTCCTGAGTCAGAGACCCGAAAAAAAAAAAAAAAAAGAAGGGCGGCGGCAGGTGTGTGAGGTTTGTACAAACTCGGATGCCTAAAAGATATGAACATAGAGGAAAGCGGATTAAAGGAAAGTAGCGAGTGACGAACGTAACCGCCCCGATAGCGATTCTTCAGGCGCTCCCATAAACGAATAGCACGGAAGAATATGAACAGAAAAACATACGCCGCGAGTTACATAACCACGCAGCATGAATTTTGCTTCTTTGCCTGAGCGGCAAATGCTCTGCTCTGCATGCTCAAATTGTCGCTCTTGGCGATCAAACTATCTAACTTCTCCCCTTTCATCAAAGCCGCGTCAATAGTCTTGTGCATCACCCTTTTTACATCATCAAGCTGGTCCTGAATTCCCGTGATCCGATCGTCCAGCGTTATTCTGCGAACTTTATCTGGCTCCTGGTTAGCGCGAACAAGATACGCGTTCAATTCGTTCTTTGCCAGCGTAATAAGTTCATCTCGTCTCCTGGAATCCTTCGGGTCAACTTCTTCTCGAGATTTCAGTGTCAGATGAAAATCGGCCCCTATCTTGCTCTCCAACTTCCGGGTGACATATTTGACTATAATTTCCGCTGGAGTGTCTTTACGCTCAGAGCCGGCGTCGGTACGATTAATAGGGGAGTTCTCATACTCGGCTGAAGTGACGAGGAATGTAGCAACACCAGTACCCGGGTCCAGGAAGTATATCGTCCCAATATTCTCCGAGATCTTGGTAATAACATTGGCATTGATGTTTCTGCAAAGTTCTTGCGCGGTAAATGCGATCAATTCTAGCTGACTGCAAGGATGGGCATAAGAAAAAAGAAAAAATCAGAACTTAATGTTCACGAAAAGACCAGACGTGCGGTTTGTTAGATGGCAGACGGAGAAGTGCCCGTTGCTCACCTTTTCCTGATGAAGCTAGTCATTAGAGTATTGTAAATAGAATCTGCGCCATAGAGCTCAACAGGAGGCCGTGTAGGATCCGTATCATAATGGGGTTCACGGTAGGTCCGGAAGAACTACGGGCGCAATGGCATCGCTTAGCAGAGTCTTCAATGAACCGGCCACGCTTGTTCTAGAACAACATACCCCAATGTAGATGAAAGGATTAGTTGCGCTCATGGCTGTAATTTGATTACACTGTCCCCTCTCAAAGCTGAAAGGTGTATGAGGGTGTTGACCGTGGTGGCGTCGTCAGGGGGTTGTGCTTGGGACGGTCACAAAGGGGTTCCTATTCTCCAGGACGGATATAAAATAAAAATCAAACTAAACAGCGTATGTACAGTGACCCTGGATATAGGCTTTTCCTCCGGGATCTCTAGTCTGTGTTAAAGGGGCGGTCGATGGGCGTGAACATCAAGAAGCGCCGGTTTCGTCTGATGTTGAAGCGGTAACGTTGACCCTCTGCCAGGCTTCCCGCCACATTTTGCCGTTTTCAGCTTGCTCCAAACAAGAGCCGCCAGCTCCACGCGGGGAATGTGGTTCGGGTGCACAACCGCTAACCCGGTTCGGTGCAAAAGGCGCTTGATTCAAACTTAGTCCATACAAATTGGCATCTACAGGACCTGTATACCGTTATCTCGGCTACTATGTCCAGATCGATGCCCCACGGCCATTCAATATTTGGGGAGACATCATATCGATACCGTTGAATAGCCGCAGGGACGACTCCCCACTGCAGGTTGCCAGTGCCCCTTTTTTTCCGAAGCTCCCATCTGCCGGAAACCAAAAATGTCGCCCGCAACCCAGCTAGCGGAGTCACAATGGCTCTCTCAACTGGCCGCTATGAGGCAAGCTATGGCAGACCTAAACCTCCCCAAAGCCGAAGACTTATTACCCCCCGGCAAGGGTCTCAACCTCGGCGATGACGAATTTTCATCAGCTCCAGAATCGGTTGAAGATTTGTGGGATATTATCAGCGAGGATGACGATGACGAGAGAACAGGCGATGATTCTGATGCAATAGTGGATGCCAGTGTAAATGGAGTAGAACCCTCCGGCAAAATGGGAGTGTACAACCTGCAGTGGCTTTCTCACAAATGCTGGGCAATCGCAGAGCGGAATGCTAGCCTCAATGCCTCCGAACTTCAGCAACAACTTATCTCTGTGCTTGCCGCAGACCACCCACCTGAGGAATTACAAGTATCATTAACTGAAATTGTAGGGTTCGACGATTTGGACTTTGTCATTGACTTGATCGCCCATCGACATCAATTAATCTCAACCCAAGGTTTAAGTGGCAGTGATGATATATTCAGTCGATTGCAGACAAAGAGTCAGCGGGAGGACTCCTTACGACGACAAGACTACGAGCATAAACATGCAAAATTGGCGCCTAAACAGGACCGCGAAGGACCTATCTATCCACATGTGTACAAGGCGCATCAGGCTGGGAATACTCTCTCTGTCAATGGGAGAAAATATGGCCTCCCCGTCGGCAGCAGTCACGTTGAAGAACCAAGATATACAGAGTACTCCATTCCAGCCGCAAAAGTTGGGACCATTGGTGCTGGTAGGAAGTTAGTCGCTGTTTCAGAGATGGATGGGCTCTGCCGGGGTACTTTCAAGGGGTACAAGTCTCTGAACCGCATGCAGAGCTTGCTGTATCCTGTTGCATATAAGACGAATGAAAACATGCTTATCTGTGCACCCACAGGTGCTGGTAAAACGGATGCAGCAATGTTGACTATTCTGAATGTTATTGCCAAAAATACCATTCCCAACCCTCTCGAGAGTCATGATGCCACAGAGTTCGCTGTAATCACGAACGAATTCAAAATTGTTTATGTCGCACCCATGAAAGCCCTGGCCGCAGAGGTAACAGAAAAGTTGGGGAAGCGTCTAGCATGGCTTGGGATCGAGGTTCGCGAACTAACTGGAGATATGCAACTGTCCAAGAAGGAAATTGTCCAGACCCAAATCATCGTCACCACCCCAGAGAAGTGGGATGTCGTAACCCGCAAGGGGACCGGCGATACGGAGCTTGTCCAAAAGGTTCGTCTATTAATCATCGATGAGGTTCATATGTTGCACGACGAACGTGGAGCTGTGATAGAATCTCTTGTTGCAAGGACCCAGCGACAAGTTGAGAGTACTCAGTCGCTCATTCGTATAGTCGGGCTATCTGCTACGCTGCCAAACTATATTGATGTTGCAGATTTCCTCAAAGTCAACAGGATGGCAGGGTTATTCTACTTTGATGCCTCCTTTCGCCCAGTGCCCCTTGAACAGCATTTCGTTGGCGTGAAAGGTGACGCTGGCTCTAAGAAGTCTAGAGAAAACCTAGATATAGTCTGCTTCGAGAAGGTCCGGAATATGCTTGAAAGAGGTCATCAAGTCATGGTCTTTGTCCATTCTCGGAAAGAAACTGTGAATGCTGCACGGCTTCTATATCAGATGGCTGTGGAAAATCGGTGTGCAGATCTCTTTAGCCCCTTGGAGCACAAAAATTACGCGCAGGCACTGCGAGATGTGAAGACAAGTCGTGGCCGGGAGCTTCGCGACCTTGTCCCCAAGGGACTTGGAATCCACCACGCGGGGATGGCTAGGTCTGATCGCAACCTTATGGAACGCTTGTTTTCTCAGGGTGTGCTAAAGGTTCTCTGTTGTACAGCCACTCTTGCCTGGGGTGTCAATCTTCCAGCTGCTGCGGTCATTATCAAGGGAACCCAACTTTACAGCGCTCAGGAAGGAAAACCTATCGACCTTGGCATTTTAGATGTCCTTCAAATATTCGGTCGAGCTGGTCGCCCTCAGTTCCAAGACACCGGTATTGGCTTCATTTGCACAACACATAATAAACTGCAACACTACTTGTCCGCCGTAACTTCTCAGGAGCCCATAGAGTCGAGATTCTCTCGCAAACTGGTTGATAACTTGAATGCGGAGATCTCTCTGGGAACTGTGACGTCTGTTTCTGAAGCTGTCCAATGGCTTGGATACTCGTATCTCTTCGTACGTATGCGTCGGAATCCCCACGGCTATGGTATCGATTGGGCGGAAATTAGAGACGACCCCCAACTCGTCATTCGCAGACGAGATTTGATTATCAACGCCGCCCGAACCCTGCAGAAGAGCCAGATGATTATATTCAATGAGCGGACGGAAGAGCTGCGAGCCAAAGACGTTGGCAGAATTGCAAGTCAATACTACGTGTTGCAAACAAGTGTGGAAATTTTCAATGCCATGATGACGCCCATGGCTAACGATGCGGATGTTATGAAAATGATCAGTATGAGTGGGGAGTTTGACAATATCCAATCCCGGGAAAATGAATTCAAAGAACTTGATAGACTTCGTTTAGAGGCATTGAAAACCGAGGTCGAAGGGGCGAATGACACTTCCCATGCGAAAACCAATATTTTACTTCAAGCATACATTTCTCGCGCCAGGATCGAAGATTTTACTCTTGCCTCTGATACGGCCTACGTAGCTCAGAATGCGGCTCGCATTTGTCGTGCCTTGTTCATGGTTGCGCTGAATAGGCGTTGGGGATACCAGTGTCAAGTATTATTGTCTACCTGCAAATCGATTGAAAAGCAAATATGGCCGTTTCAACATCCCTTCCACCAGTTTGACTTGCCCCAGCCAATACTGAAAAACTTGGATGAGAAATTCCCGGCCTCCTCAATTGAATCGTTGAGGGATATGGAACCGGCTGAAATTGGACAGCTTGTCCATAACCATCGCATGGGGACCACCCTCTCGAAGCTGCTGGATAACTTTCCAACGCTGAGCGTGGAAGCTGAGATTGCTCCGCTGAATCGCGATGTCCTTCGTATTCGTCTTTATCTATATCCTGAGTTCCGCTGGAATGATAGACACCACGGGACGTCCGAGCCGTACTGGATCTGGATAGAGAACTCTGAGACATCTGAGATCTATCATCACGAATATTTCATTCTGAGTCGGAAGAAACTCAACGATAACCATGAGATGAATTTCACCATTCCTCTCTCCGATCCGCTGCCTAGCCAGATATATGTTCGCGCTATCTCCGATCGATGGCTTGGTGCGGAAACCGTTACTCCCGTTTCTTTCCAGCATCTAATTAGGCCTGATACGGAGAGCGTTTATACGGACTTACTTGATCTGCAACCCCTTCCAATATCTGCCCTGAAAAATCCCATTCTTGAAAACATATACGCACAAAGGTTCCAGTTTTTCAACCCTATGCAAACACAGATATTCCATACCCTGTACCACACCCCCGCCAACGTTCTCCTTGGTTCCCCAACAGGAAGTGGCAAAACTGTCGCAGCGGAACTTGCGATGTGGTGGGCTTTTCGAGAAAAGCCAGGCTCTAAGGTCGTCTACATTGCTCCCATGAAAGCCCTCGTCCGAGAACGTGTGCAGGACTGGCGACGTCGGTTGACCGCGCCTATGGACCTGAAATTAGTTGAACTGACGGGCGACAACACGCCAGATACAAGAACAATACGCGACGCGGACATTATTATCACCACACCTGAAAAATGGGATGGTATTTCTCGAAGTTGGCAGACTAGAGGGTATGTCCGTCAAGTTAGCCTCGTCATTATAGACGAAATCCACCTGCTTGGGGGTGACAGAGGGCCAATTTTGGAGATTATCGTTTCCCGGATGAATTACATTGCCTCTCAATCAAAAGGCTCTGTTCGGCTACTCGGCATGTCCACGGCTTGTGCCAATGCTACCGATCTTGGAAATTGGTTGGGGGTTAAAGAAGGCCTTTTCAACTTCCGCCATTCTGTTCGACCTGTTCCACTGGAGATATTCATTGACGGCTTCCCTGAACAACGAGGCTTTTGCCCACTGATGCAGTCGATGAACCGACCCACATTCCTAGCGATAAAAAACCACTCCCCTGAAAAACCCGTAATTGTCTTTGTAGCATCCCGGAGACAAACACGTCTCACCGCAAAAGACCTGATTAACTTTTGCGGCATGGAAGACAATCCACGCCGGTTCCTTCACATGTCTGAAGAAGACTTGCAGTTGAATCTTTCGCGTGTCAAGGATGGCTCTCTTAAAGAAGCTCTCAGCTTTGGAATCGGCCTCCATCATGCTGGCCTCGTTGAATCCGACAGGCAGTTATCGGAGGAGCTCTTTGCGAACAACAAAGTCCAAATCCTTGTTGCAACTAGCACCCTCGCATGGGGTGTTAACCTCCCCGCCCATCTAGTAGTTGTGAAAGGGACACAGTTTTTCGATGCTAAAATCGAAGGTTATAAAGATATGGACCTCACTGACGTGCTTCAGATGCTGGGCCGTGCTGGACGCCCGCAGTTTGACTCTTCTGGTATCGCCCGTATATTTACACAGGATTCCAAAAAGGGTTTTTATAAGCACTTCCTCCACACCGGCTTCCCTGTAGAATCCACACTGCACAAGGTGCTTCACGACCATTTGGGCGCAGAAATATCTGCAGGTACTGTCACAACGAAGCAGGATGCTTTAGATTACCTAACCTGGACATTCTTCTTCCGGCGTCTGCATAAGAACCCTTCTTATTATGGACTTGAAATTTCTGCCGAAGAACACAACACCATGGCAGCACAGCAGATGGCGTCCGATTTCATGATCGAGCTCGTCGATAAATCCCTAGAAGAGCTCGCAGAGTCTTCATGTATTTTATTAGATTCTGCCACTGGTGACGTGGACCCGACTCCATATGGCAAAATAATGAGTTATTACTATCTTTCCCACAAAACCATCCGATATGTCATGTCCCACGCAAAACCAAATCCAACCTTTGCTGATGCTCTCAGTTGGATGTGTTCCGCCACAGAGTTCGACGAACTCCCTGTACGCCACAATGAAGATCTCGTCAACGCGGAGCTGGCGCAGAATCTCCCTCTCCCAATCACCACGATGGGTTCCTCGCTACCCATGTGGGATCCACACATCAAAGCCTTCCTACTGCTTCAGGCATTCATGTCCCGCATCGACCTACCTATTACCGACTATGTCGGTGACCAAATCTCAGTTCTCGATCAAGGCATCCGAATCATTCAAGCTTGCATTGACCTGCTTGCCGAATTTGGTTTCCCAAACGCATGCACCATGATGATGACATTGCTCCAATGCATAAAATCCGCGCGCTGGCCAGATGACCATCCCCTTTCAATTCTCCCTGGCATCGACCCAACGCAAAATAGCGAAACATCCTCCGGAAACCATCTCTCCCCATCTCTACATTCCCTGCTCTCCCTACCCCAATCAACTCTCACTGCCCTCCCACGCACCCTCAACCTTCCCCCACAAACATCCACGCAATTTTCAAAAGCTCTGTCCCTCCTCCCTGTCGTCTCCATATCCATCTCCGATCAATCTTCTACCGGTTTAACGGTATTACTCACCCGTAAACAGCCCATCCCTTCGCGTGGTGGACAGCGAAAAACTACTGCTCCATTCGATGATCAGTCGTTCCGCATCTACGCGCCACACTTCCCCAAGCCGCAGACGGAAGGCTGGTTTATACTCGTTACTGCCAATGCTGATTTGAGCGCTGGCACGCAGGAGGATATCCTCGCACTTAAGCGGGTTTCTTGGTCGTCTGCGACCGGCACAGCTAGAGTGGGTGAGCGGGCGGATGTCATGGCGAGAGCTAACGTGAGGTTTCCGGAAGGGTGGAATATGGGTGATGGTCACACCGACGGTGCTGAGCCTGATATGGGAAGTAACGATCGTGATAAGAAGAATGAGGACAAAGGCATGCGAAAGGGTAAGGAGAAAGGTAGAGGGAATGGGTTGGGCGGTGGTAAATTGAATGTCAAGATTAGAGTGATAAGTGATGCGTATGTTGGGTTGGAGTGGACCATGGTTTGTTAATAAATTATTGTATATAGAAAGTGAGAGAGAGCGCGATAAAATTGGGCTGGAGCTTGAATGAAAATAATATGAAACATGAAATGAACAAATGCCGTATCATTTCTTTATGAGATGTTGCATGAAAATGCTTCAGACTGTGTATATTGGTGACTTCTTTGTCCTCAATCTTTTCTCAAGTTATGCGTTTGATCAACTGCTGGAGGACAGTATCAAAAAGAAATACCAATATGCACCAGGTCAAAAGTTCAAGTCAGAACTGTATGAGTTGCAGTATCTGATACTGCTAAAATATATACAGAGAATCAAGGCATGCATGTATACAAAGTAAGAGTGAGAGAAAAATAAGTACTAGCAGCATGAAGCCATAGATGATGGACAGAATTTTTTTTTTAAAAAAAAAAAAAAAAAAAAAAAAAGGACCTCTAAAGTGGAAAATTAAAACTAAGAGATGAAATCAAGGAGGAAGAAAGGCATAACTGAAAATCAAAATTTGTAATAGGAAAAAAGTGCAAAAATCGCCTATGGGATTTCAATGTCATTGTATTCTTATATATTCAAAACTTTTTGCGGAATCCAACCTGTATACCACTATGTACGGGACAAACTCCACAGCGTTCTGAATCCAGCGCCCAATAGCCGAGTTCCAAGACTAACCCCTCCAACAAATCCCTTCTCGCCCCCAAAGTATCGCAGCGAATCAAATACTCTAAAATAGCTAGAGAAGCCCCGCTTGCGCAACTTCAATCGGGACCTCTTGAGATTTCTCTCGCTCATGGCCCTTCGACACCGAAATCAGCGTGGGCGTAGCCGACCTCTTCTCGCCAAATCGTTCGTCAGGGCGACGCAAAGAATCACTACGCATCGCGCTCATCGGCACGATTACCTGCTTTGGTTTTTTTGTCACGGAAACTGACCGCGCAACAGATATTTCGATGGCGTTCATGGCTTGGCGGTTGGCGTTGTCTTTGGTGCTGGGGGGTGGTCGGGACTTGGGTTTTGGCCTCGTCCGGTATTGCGGGAGAGCGGGAGGTGGTTGAACAGGGACGGGCGGGAGCGCAATGGTAGGAGATGGGGCTGGAGGCGTTGGCGGCGGTTTTCGTTGAGGAGGCGGTGGTCGTGGCTGTGGTAGCCATTGCTCAATATCAATTGTTGGGTAAATGGGAGCCGGTTTCCTGGGTTTAGATTCGGATTTTGGCTGTAGTGGTGCTGGCGGGATGATGTGATGCGGCTCTTCGAATAACATTGCTACAACTGACTCATCGGATCGTGTTTTGCGGATATTTGGCGGTTGTGAGGGATTCTTAAATTCAGTAGAGGAAGACTCCCTGGCTTCTTCCTTTGCCGGCGAAGTTTTCGGGTAAGCGTGGATCTCTTCTCCTGTCATTCGTTTGCTTGAAGGACTGTAAGGTTGTTCGATTGCAGCAAACGATTCCTCTGATTTGATCGTCCGGAGCCTTTGCGATCGTACCACACTCTTCGATTTGGCAGATACCGGGTCAAGTTTTGCAGCAGGATTCAATATTTCCCACAGAGGTTCGTCAGGAGAAATGGGGACGACTTTGTTGTAAGTAAATGGTACAGCCTCATCTTCATCGGATGACATACTGATATCCGATGAGGACGGCGATGTAGATTCCATTGACAGATATGATGATCCTTCCGATACCCACTGGCTACGAGAGCTTGAAGATGTGGCCATGGATGATGTCCCTCCTTGTGGGGTTGCGCAATCCTTTGTAGATATGACCTTCTCGTTCAGTTCTGTCCCTGGCGATCGTGGATTAGTATTTGACTGCTGTAATGGGATATTCTGGCGGGTTAAGTTTGAGTTATGTGGTGTCTTAGGAGGTTTTGCTGTTGGCGCTGCAGGGAAAAGGGTGAATGTCGGCGATTTGGGATCGGGAGGCGTTCCTCGCATTGGCAATGTGATTTCGCGGTGTCCCAATTCCTCCTATTGTATCACTGGTTAGTTGTAAGAAGACCTTGAAAAAGATGTGTCAACCATTCACCTCTTCGTAATGGGTTTTCAGCGTATTGAGGGTTTTGCTTCGACTAGCTAATAGCGTCGTAGAGGTTGGCTTGTCCAAAACGCTTCCAAACATGACACTGTATCTCTCCATGTGGACTTCAGGAATCTCAACATTCAGCAACGAACCTGTAACATCCTCTGGTCCTGACAGTGAACCTGGCAATATTACTTCTAGCTTCAATGGCTTCGCTACTGGTTTAGCCTGATGGTGAGCTTTTTTATTGGGCTTCGGAGGCTCCGCATACTTGACCAGTTTCCTTTGTTCCTTTCCCCCAGGCGATTTGGAGACATCTTTCCCTGACTTCCGTGAAAGTTTACCCATACGATGTTCAAATTCAAGATCATCCCATGGAGTGTGACTTTCAGAAGACGCCTCGAGATTCCGGGAGTCGTGAGAATCCGCCATTCGATCACGAGATTCATGGCTGCTTGTCGGTCGATTATGAAGCTGAAGCTGGTCAAAATCAACATCAGGTTGTTGTTGTAGTTGTTGTTGCTGTTGTTGCAGTGAATTCTTCGCCTTGAAGAAGTCGCTAATTTTCTTCCATTTGCTCGGTTTAGGTCTCCAGGATTCCGATTCTGCAGATCCCACTAGTTCCATCGAATCGAAACCTATGGCTGGTGGGGATACAGCATACGAAGGTGTATACTGAACGGTCCTGTACATAGTGGGGCTTCCCACTGCCATGCCTATCATCGCTGTGCCATCGTCCGATGCAGTGCTTTCGTGGCGTTGGAAGGAAGGTGATTGTGCCGGTGAGGCGGACAGCTGGAAATCAAAGTCGGGTGCGGGAGAGGCTTTCCATTCCTCCCGTGGCGGACCAGCATGTGTATTAAAAGTGTTGTTTCGTTTAGGAACAACGTTACTGGTAGAGGTCTGCCCGTCACCTTGTAGACCTGAATGGGGTAGCGCATCTGTGATATTCAATCTCGGCCCTTGTAGGGTGCCACCGGTTGTATTTGCACGCTGTCTGGTTCTGGTGCTGAAGGATTTCATGGTTATTTTAGTGGTCGTTCATATGTTTATGTTACACCTGAATATTGGATAATTAAGGACATATATGGACAAGAATGCTGACGAAACCTAGCGGAGGAGAATGGGAATAATGATGTCAAATAAAAATGAATGGACGGCTTTCCAGAAAACCACAATAAAGGGAAAAATGAACGTAGAGAATTGAAGATGCAACCGCAACCGGCGCAAAAGAACGTAGATAAAAATGACCGAAGGTACAGAAAGGATTACAGTGGCGAAGAGAGGGACTAAACAGCGCAGTAGTGTCACAACGGTGAGAGGAAGAGAGGAGAAAGTCCACGGGGCGGGAGGAGTGGAGTTGAGACAGGAGGAGGCAGGTCGATGTTCTCCATGATTATTTCGATACTTGTACCATTCAGGTTATGTCGCAAGTTGCGACAACAAGGATATGGGTGGACTGGGAGTTGCGGCAATCTAGACTGCTGAAACACGCCTTCTAGCCGTTTGCTTGCCGAGAGTGTGATAATAACTACTATATTAGGGTCAGCAACTATTTATTGTCGTAGCAGAATATCCCACGGATAGTCATCCCACTGCATCGAGAGAAGGATTATTCTCGAAATCAACGCTTCGGAACGTAATCAACAGCAGTGTTGACTAAAGGAGATGAGATGAGATCACTCAACCCCTCAAGGGTCTTGTCCCTGGCGCTGCATGGTTCCCTGCCGTCTCTCACTGGTTGAATTGTTCGCGACCTGAATAGCAAATTACACCCAAGTTGCTGACAATAATGGCCAGACTCAGCCGGCGGAATACGGGTTGTGATAACATACCAGCCAGCCTCTTTCTTTGATATTTCGCAATCATGTCGTTGAACTCTTTCCTTCATTACCAATGGGTCACTCTGAAACCTGGGTTTGAGATATCTGGGATTGCTGGAGACTCCGAGAGAGATGGCGGGCTTGCAGCCAATCACGCTAGTCCAACATTTATTTATAGTTAGTTCATAATTTTGATTCGTTGTTGTTTTGCTTCAGGGCCAGGATCTGCTTATTGGCTTGCTAGCGTCTCTTCTTCAAACAAAAGTTGTTGACACTTGACTAGCGATTTTGGAGTTAGACTGACAGTGACACCAAGTTTGCTGATCATTGTTTCGCTCACCAGTTTGAGGAAGTACTGTATCCCACAAAGGATTAAATGAAAATTGAAAGGCCATTCCTATTACCTAGTTGATCCCCCTTTAGGGGAATACTTTCTCTCTTTTTTTCCCTCTCCCGTAGCACAAAATAGGGGGCCTCATGCATGCTAAACCATGGACATACTTCACGAAGCACTTCGGACTGGGTTTTCGTGACAACCCAGACACTGAGATTAGTAGACTAGCCCATCCCTCCAGAATGCAATATATATCCGTCTTTGTTGTTTTTTCTCTCTTCATGGGAGGCGCGGAGAATGACATGCCAAAGTAGAATGGATGAATCGGCTATGCAGGAATTAAAACTTCCCTTTAATTCATGAACATCATGAACATCACGGACATGGGACAACAAGATGCCCTGCCATTATCACGTTGACGCCCAGCAGCTGATGAAAGATGACAATCCTTGCTAAACCTGGGAATAATATCACTAACTAACCGCTATGTTGCTTTGTATATCGACAGAGCCTCGGGGTAAGTAGGATTCATATCGCCAAACTCTATCTCGCCAACATGGCCAGCGGACGCCTCATTTGATCGTCAATATGCAAACCTATGGAGCGGATGCCCGCAGATCTGGTGTGAGAACCAGGGCTGACGTTAAACCATATTGCCCCTCAACTGGGATTTTAAGCAATGCCCGTTCTGCCCTTGCAAAGTGTTCCCTGCAGGCTGCATTCCCGAGGGGAAACAGCCGGCTATGTGACTATATCTATATCGACCTGGGACAGATCCCTCGTGACGTTTCCAGCGGCGTGTACAGTATGCATTGTGCATATACACCACGGAGATGCATGTATCAGCATTGGACATAGTCTGCAAGTGTGTCATAGTTATACAGTATCAGACCACAGTGATAGGATACCTGCCCCATGGTAGTTGCTGATGTGGATTGCATATATAAAAGTGTCTCTCTGTGGGCGATGGCGGGGTAGTTCAACCTCCCTGGATTAGGTAATGCTGCCCCTCTCCTCGCGGATGGCAGAAAGTTGAATGTGGTTCCGATTTCAACCGGAAAAACCTTCGGTGTGGATTCCGAACAGCCACGGGCACTAAAACTTCGGACGATTGAACCGTATCTCTCACCTTCTCAACCACCTCCCATTCTCTATAGTGGTTATTTTTCGTATTTCTAGATCTCCGCGTGCTAGCGAACGATATTCCTGCCCTAACCCATCACTAGCCATGTGTTGGAGTGGCAGGACTGTATAACTAGTAAAATATGAAGGACGTAGTATGAGTACATTTTAGATGGGATGAAAATGACTAACTCTTCTGCTAAAAAGGTGGGCCCAAATTTGGAACCACGCTCAACTGTGTCACTCTCCATGTTTATTTATGTCGTCTTCCAATTTTTGCAACCTCAAACATCTTTTTGTTCTCCTCTACCCGGCTGTATTATCTTCCATATCACTCCTCTCCTCTTGCAGTCCTCCATTCCTTTGTCCTGACTGCCAAGTCCCTTAACAGTAGCGGGCTGTCTACAGGTGTGTTCCAATTCCCCCCTGGCTCAGGCCATCCATTGATGTCTAATCCATTGACGCCTGCTAATCTACGCATCTGTCAGACCCTTTCTCAGCAAGCCGATTCCCCATTTCTATAGATCCGTTGTTTATTATTTCTATATTGTTTCAACAAAATGGCCGATCCATCTGCTCAGAAACCAGTTGGCTGGGCAGGTAAGTCACTCGTTTGTCTGAGTGCGGTACAGCAAACTGTCTAGACATATGTCCTAAGCGTCCTTGAAAACTGACCACTTTTTGCACCGATTAGACTATCACAAAGGGTATCTAACTTTACCCCCTTCCTAGCTTTCTTGGGCACTTTTCAACCTCCGTCTTGCAAGATAGAAATCCCTTACCATTATGTCTACCGCAAAGCTGCCAATAATGCTAATACTCGATCGCTATGCATAGCCTAATGCAGTACTCCGGAATCGACAAGGCGGCCATCTACAGCACAGATCCACAGTATGCCAACTCGCCCTGTGCCAGCTCTCCAGGTTTCACGGTATGCACAGATTTCCCATCAAACTCTCCCTTGCTCTCGTTTATATATGACAAAGCGAAAAGGACCGGAGCCGGAAATCAACCCAGCTACCTGTTTTTGAAACTATTTCCAAGTAAGAAAAAATATTGATTAGATCTCGATATCAGGCCTTGCCCAATGAAATCGCTTTCATCCTTAATTCTTTCGCCGATACCAAAGATGGTGAACCCAAGGAAGTACAAACGAACGGATTTTCCTTCGCTGGCGAGAAGTACTTCTTCGTAAGAGCAGATAAGAACCCAGATTGCCTCATCGGTCGGAAGGTTGTCCACTCGTCCCTTTTTCCCGTTTCTTTTTTGATCTGAGATGCGCGTAGGAGTCTGAAAATTCAACCCACACTCATATTCAAGGAATGAATGCTAACTAGCCTCCTCCTTTGTTTCTATGCTTTCCACCAATTAATAGCAAAAGGAAGGAATCGTCATATATAAGACCTCCTCTGCTCTCTTTATCGTGCACCACCCGTCTGATGTCTTCACCAACAACGTCAACGAATATGTGGACGGTTGGGCTAGATATCTGATCAATGCTGAAAACGCTCAGGGTTGAGAGGACATTTTGGCAGGTTTACCAGGTTCGATAGTGATAACATGAAACATACCAGAGAAAGAACGGAATGGAGCAGTCCCAGGAAGATAAGGCGAGAAATTAATCGAACAAATTAAATAAATACACACATAACGGTCGTCATCGCTACGATCAAATACGAATCGAATGGATTGATTAAAGCATTTTTATTGTTTCATTTCCTTCTGTCTTTATATCATTGTCTCCTCCCGGTCTGCTCTCCCCCGTTTACATTGGATATATGAGAATATATATGACATGTTCCCTGTTATATACGTTAAACTTAAAAGGCAGGAAGCATTCTCTCATATACCAACTTGTATGTTTTCGGTATCAATCATTTTTCACCATTCTTTCACTTTATGATGTTCTTTTGAAAATGGCAATGAGGGTAACAATTTTTCAAATCAATGGTATTCGTTGTACATACATATCTACCCGATCTCAAAGCACCAAACGGCAAAACAGTTATCAAGAAAGTGTTTCCTTGGGCGGTGACAAGGGGAGACGGAGTCTGCAAGAAATGGTAACCCTATCCATCCAGCTGTACAAATACAGCAGACTCTAATTGTGAGCTGTTGCCTGTTGATGACTGTTGTCGTACATTTTTCATATTACATCCATGGATTGATCGATCAGCCCATGATGCTGTGCGAATGATAGTTTTCCTCTTCGGACAGTGTGGAGCATTTCCTCCAGCCACTTAACAGATTGTTGATCGTTTCAAGAAAAGCAAATATTTGCCCATTGCCACATTGGCTCGTGTTTCATTGGGTTTGGATTTGGCTTGCTTAGCTTTGGCACCAAAATATTCACTTGCGAGTCGTCATGGATTTGAACGGATATACGAATCATAAACAACATTCCCACCACATTCTCGTCCTTTCTCTTCTTGCATCGTAAACTTTCTGAATGGGCCATCAGTGAAATTCATCTCCCCTTGATCTATGTACTTACCAACCACCATAGACAGTTTCTATTTCCCCAACAGCTAGATTGGGATGCGCTAGGACAACCACGGGCTGGGAGTTATATTAGTGCAAATCGGCGAAGCGCACGCTCTACCTCTCTCCCAGTAAAGCCTTCCAGGCACGGCAGCGGTGGCTCACAGAGTCCACACTATAGCCACACCATGAATGGCCATACGTCGAAGTGGATGCACAGTTCTCAGGAACTGAGTCCTCTCAAGAGTTGCCATCTGGCTTCTGTTCCCTCCTTTTATGGATATAAGAGAACTCTCCAGCTTAGCACGTCCCCATGCCCTTCGGGAGGCCCTCCGG